TCAAATAATGTTTAATTAAAACAAATTTGTTGATGTGACATCAAGCAGATAAACATAGCTTAATGCTGTTTAATTTGTATTAGTTTAAGTTTTATACTGTGCTGCAAATGATATGGCGTAAAAAACTTCCGCCTATTTATTGAAACCACTTAGAATAATATTCGTGTTATGACACTATTTGTTTATGATATTTTGTTTACATTACGTTTACAACAGATGCAGCTGACCAACAAATAAATAGAAGCGGTCAGATTCTTGACCATTGTCTCAGTGCTCAGACATTTGGTACTCCTTGCAACTACCCAGACATTCGAGGTTCTGAAAAGATGTCTCCGTAGTTTTCTTTCTTTCTATTATAAAGTGTTTTTCAGATGGAAAATGCCAAATATAAACAGCAGTAGGCAAGAAGTTCAAAATAAAGAAAAAAATGCCTTATGCAAAAATAGATGCATCATAGCATACTGTTAGAAATTTTTTTAATTGGAAAACATATAGACGCCTAGAGTATATTTAAATTTGATGACATGTGTCGTTTTAGTATAAAATATTTATTAATGATGGCTTGGGTTTCCAGAGTATAACTCAAATTAATTAAAATAATTCTGGTTTTGTAATAAAACAAGTCAAATACGCTTTGCTGCTAGTTTTGCACTTACAAAGGCATTTTAACATAATAAATATACATTGATTAATCATGGTATACTTGCAAAAATAAATGTCAAATTTTATCTGTTTTTTGGGAAAAGAAAAACAATTTTTACTCATTTAACTTATTTTGTTGTTCTCTTTTTTTCTATTTTGTTATCTTTAGTGTGCAGTAATTGTTGCATATTGCCATACACCAATACTGCTTCAAAATTCCTTCAATTTAGCAACATTTAATTGCAAAATTTGTTCTGTTTTATAAAACAGAAAGAATATGTAAAATAAACTGTGTAAGCATTAATGGACAGTGGTCATGGTTGAAACCAAACAGAAATGTTTCATTTATTATTTCTTGGACTGCAAAGTGGACGAATGGTAGTGTCATTAATCTTTCAATTACATTCACAAATATTATACATTTGTTCACTGACCCATCTAATTCAAATAGGTGTGTATGTAGCGCAGCATCACTTCAATAACATTTATTTATCCATTCTCTAAATCATTTCTATCAGATGCGAATTGAAAATTTTCATTCATCATTCATCCATTCCTACTTCTTGTGAAATGAAGAAGCAAACAATATCGATTGTTAATTTCATTAAATTTTGACTTTGTTGCTATAGTGCTTGCTTCCATTTATTCAGGTATTACTTAATTACTCGAAATTTATAGCTGTTATTTGCAAAAAACATCTTTATAAATATATAATTGCATTTCTAAATACGAATTATTTATTGTTTTCGGTGAACATTTCTTCTTCCTCTTCCCCTCTATCATGAAGAGAGGATGCTCTCTACACATTTATTGATAAATGATAATCGCAAAAAGAAGATTAAAAGACTTATCACTTGAAGAATTAAATATTAGTTTCAAAAAAAAAAAAATATCTCTTATTATTAACATTTCGCTATTGTTGGCAGCATTTAGGATTCCTATTATCTTTTGCTTTTAAACTTTTTTCGATGCATTTTATCATAGCGAAATGTATTTTGTATATGTCTGAATGTCATACATCCATGAATTGTTTATGAAACAGTTGATCATTTCGTCATATTTTCCAAAGTGTTTTAATAATATACAAGTTGAGATTAATTACTTGCCAGTATTGTTTTTTCTCAAAAATCTCTCTTTTATTGAAAGAATTATTTTCTCTGAGATGCTTGTAAGAAGAGATAAGGAATGAGATGCGATGATTATGAAGAAGAAATTTGCCTCAGAAATTAGTGCATTATTTCAATTTTCGATTAAAGATTATAAATGAGATGGTGAAAAGTATAAATTGGAAAAAATGCTATGATAATTTGTAAAAGCCATTTGTGGCCAAAAATCCAACGTAGGTGATCTATGGAGACAATAAGTTGTTTGCCATAACAGACAACGATTGTACATCTGCATAGAGAAACATCACTGATTTATTGTTGGAGCTTTCTTTCTAAGTAAACAAAGAGTTCTAAATTAGAACTGTCTCAGTACTCACAGAACAAAGACAATGGAAAACAGAAATTACAGGGGATTTACTAGTACCGATAGTGGATTTTTGATTTTCGAAGTAATCATTCGAATTACTAAGGTTATATTAATCTATTCTGAAGATTTCATCATAGTGTAAGAGTGTCAATAATGATCGCTCATCGAAATGCGCATCAAATAAATGTAACTGTAAACATAGGGAATTAATTTATGACGAGGGCTTCCTCGGTGTATTTCAGATTAAAATAGTAAAGATCATTGTGCATGTTGGTAATACTAATTGTAATGTATTTCTTAAACGGCCTGTGATTTGTGCAACGAAAATAGCTTTATTTTTTATTTCTGAAAATAGTAAAGAAATAATAACTCTATGAAATTTATTTTACAAACATTTTTTTTTTTCCTTTTGTCTTTTCAGAAAAAATATTTCCTTTCCTTTATAGAAATATAATCGTTGAATGTTTTCTAGAAAAGCAACAAAAATTAATATGCAATAGAGTATGTCGAAAATGAGGAATCGTTTTGATAGCGGTCATATTGTAAACATTATGTTTTCTTCAGTTTTTCATAAAATGAAACAAATGAAGGGAAGTACTAAGATGATAAATTCTACTGAACTTCTTTGGAATATGTCAATTTCCACATTATATCATTATATCTATAAAAATCCTACGAGTTAATAACTATGTAAGCAGCTATCCCAACATCTGTTGTCAATTTAGGAATGGAATTGATGAAATTTAGGAATGGAATCTATTCATTTAAAAATTTTTGAAAATTGTCAATTATACAAATTTGAATGAATGCTTCAATTTACTCGGTCACTTTATTGAAACTGAATATGGATGGCTTCTTAGTGCATTTGGTTCCAGTGTTTCCATACCAATGAAATATACTTTTAAAGCGCAGAGTGAATGGATAGTTAAAAGTTTATGCATTACAATCGGATGATTTGTTGGGAAAAACAAAAAGCTGCGAAAGTCCCTATAAAATATTTCAACCGATCTAGATTTCTAAAACCTTAATATTTAAAAACCTTTTGCGTTTATCGGGTAACTTAGGCATTTTATGTGCCGAGTCATCTTTTACCTTTTTGCGTTGTAGATATTTAATATATTCAGAAAAAAACAGGTATCACTGGAACAGTTTCCAGCTGGATGATTCATACTTTTAGCCTTGAACTGTTTTAAATAACTCGAAATTTCCACCATTACAAGATTTTCAGTTCCCAGCAGAACTATTTTGGTCAGCTTTTCACATCCTTTGTATCAAATTTCGATTTTTTCCTATGATTAATTCTTTGACTCATCGAAGTTTAATATGAAATTGGTTTTCAAAAAAATGAAATTTATTATCGCATGCCTGACATCTGTTATTCTTTTGTAGTGCACTTTTATTCATTGATATGAAAATTCTCCCATTTTTTTTTTTCCAATTAATTGAAGTTCATAGTAACATCCTTAACTTTAATTTCAAAAAGAAAGTTTTACTATCCTGCTGCAATTCGTTGTTTTAAACTTTTTGTGAAATTTCTTGCGCCTTGATAATAATGATGCAACATTAAATAATATTAATTGTTACATTAAAGTACATCATGTGAGTTAATAGATAAATGATAACTGAGTGATATTGCTGCTGATTTTCGCCAAGTTATCGCACTATTATATGATAGTTCAACGACTTAATCTTTGTACAGTTTTCAAAAATAATTTCATTCTGAAGAGGTGTTCCCTCATAAATACTTATCGGATTCATATTGCCATCTCTTAGAAAATATAAAAAATTATGAACCTTAAAACAATTATGGTAATGGAAGGGAAATAGTAAAGAAAGTTCAGATTCTACATTCATTTTTTCCTCTTTTCTGAATGTTTTCTTTAAAAAACAAAAAAAGAAAAAAGAAAAAAAGCAATTCTTTTAAGAAAATAAAATATTAACCCATTTGCAAAGTGACCTCGGAACTTTTTTGTTTTTAAACAGAAAACTATCAATGGAAAAAGGAAGCTAAAAGTGAGTTATAATAATCATCATTTTTTTTAAATCCTTTCTATTAACATCTAATCCTTTCTGTTAACTTTCTATTAACATTTCTATTAACATAATGCTTTATAAGAAATATCAACTCTTGACAGTTTTATTGACTTCAAAATGTTCAATTATTAATTTGAAGAAATTGCTAATGCAGTAGCAAAACTCATCTGGTCATTTCAGGATTGACCATTTGAATAATTTCTCATAAGATGTCATGCTATTTACGCCCCACATTTCCCACATTTCACTCCCCATAAAATATCCTTTTCACTTCGCATGAGCTTCCACTTTATTGATCATATTCAGATTTAATAAAAACAGTCCAGTGAGTGTAACTGAGATATCTGTTTGTCTTTCCACTCCTTCCAAGTTGCGCATTTCTCATAGATGACATCTCTCATCTCATGCATTTATATTTCCTGGATTTTTCCAGAATCTTCAAAATTATACTACTAAAGATAATTTGCAGAAGTGCATTTTTGTTATCACTTTATCTCTTTTAAATAAAATGATTATTTTCAGTTAGAAGCATATCGTTACTTTTTCAGGGATTTTTCCTTATTTTTTTTACATTTCTTCATTAAACCTTCGCTTTTTCCTTCAACTCTATTTTTATTTCTATTTATAAAAGTTCTATCCACAAAATAAAAAAGTTGTATTCATAAAATTTAACAGAAATACGATTTGCTTTCAGATTTAATTGCGTTTAAGACACAAAAAAGAAAAAAAAAAAAAAAACGAACTGCAGAATAAAATAACAAAAGTATAGACAAATTAGGATAAGTTGAATCGAAGTAACTAATAATCCTTAAATTTGTTATTTTAGATTCTTCTTGCTAGAATTTTGCTAGATGTTCTTATTGGCTGTATTGATCATCTCGATCAGTTCAAACGTCGTTCAACCAAAAGTTCGTTATATGTAACTTTTTTTGACAACGTAGACGAATCATATTTACAACACATCAGAAATGATAGTCTTCATGGCTGTCTGATAATTTGATAGAATACATCCTGATAACATATCAAATATAACTGCGTAAAGAGGTTACAACACTAGAAGCTTAAATAATTCGTTTAAATTATGTTTTTTTCTAAACTGGTAATTCGGATCGTTTTGACTTCGAAGATTAAGATGCTTTTCGTTTTGTCCTAAAACAAATATTTTACTGTGTTGATAGTCAAAATTTCCAAGGATTGTTATTTCAAGTTGATTTTGAATGACTGAGTTCTAAATATTGGGAATATTTATGAAGTAGGTATAACTGATAAAGTTTAATTTTCATTTGACTTAAATAACGTTACAGAATCCAGCATGTGAGCAACTGATTGAATGTTATGCAAAATCTCGAGCCAAAACTGACGAATGCCTATCACGTACTGAAAAGCGAGTGTGCCAGAACGAGTCTTTAGAGTCAGAACTCAGAGAATTAACCAATGACGTATGCATACAAGTCTTGGAATCATAAAAAATAAGAATTTTGGATTTTATGTTAAGGGCAGTAATTACGAGAAATATGACGAAGAATTTTAAATTAAACCTAAATTAAAGTGAAATATCAATAGGTTTGCCAAAAGATTATTCAAATATAATTATATGTTTGTTGACTCCAAAATCATGATAAAACAGAAATACAAGTGTTGAGATAGATAAAAAAGCGGAATTTCGTACAGCGTTAGTTTGACATCATTAAAATTTTCAATTTTTTAAAATGTTATAAACATAGCAAGAAACTGTCTAAAATTTTACTCTGAAATTAGCATAGGACAGATTATTTGCAGCGAATTTCGCTCTATGAAAATTGTTTACGTGAAAAATTGCCCACTGCGACAACTATTGAAAATGAGAAAAAGGTATTGTTAAATCATTTCTTGACATATTGCAAATTGTTTCAGATTATAATAGAATAGTCCGTGTTCTCTAATATTTAACCAGAACTGTTTGGGTAAAAAAGGTTAACTAAATTGGAGCATCTTTATCGGACAAGTACCAGCAGTAGACAGAATCACCATACCAGATTTGATTCAGGATAATTAATTGTTTCCATGAGATTTCCACGAAATGATACAACTGGATAAACCATTGCCAATGTTAGCCATCTGGAAAAAGAGCTAACTCTATTGAGTTCGTAAAATTGTTAACTTTGAGCATTGATATCCTTAGCAGTAATGCACTGTAACATTGAATTCATAAATCCTAGTCACGGCAAAGAAACTTGTCCTAAGGTAATAATTTTTTCAGCAGTTCCTATGTATAACTCTTTAGCACTTTCTATATATAATTATCAAAATGACATTCTACATGGTGCATTAACAAAAAGGGACTATAACTCGATAAGTAGAAGAATCTGAATCTGTCTCTATTCTCACGACGGGTGATCCAAAAATTATGGGTGGAAGAGATTGGAAAATTTATCGGAAGATTAAAGCCCACTGAAAAGATAACACATTTATTAGGTAAAGTAGTATGAGAAATTTTGAAATAAAACAGGAAGATGATGCCTATATCTTTTCTATATAATAATTTCAAAACTAGCGGATAAGTTATTGCAAAGAATTCCTTATTTAATCATTAAATGAATATATTTCTAGAAAGTGAAATGTAATGCAATACTGAAGAAGAACTTAGACAAAAGAAAAAAACTTGTGACCAATGAAAAGGAAAGGGGAAAAAACAACGGAAAAAGTCGGAGATCGATTCACAAAGGCAAAAAAATTAGTGCACAACAGAAGTTGTGTTTTCGTGAAGCACGCAAATTGAGAAGTTATTGCGGACAGTTGTCCAAGTGCTGCACTATTAGCAAACTGTTAGTCATCCTAAAATCATTGGCTTCTGCGGGATATGCCATTTCCTGAGTAGTATTCCTTGTTTGTAATTGAGACAGAAACATTCTGCACAAAGTGTGACGTTAGCGCATGCAATATCAAACTGTTGCAGATGCAAAGCAAACACCCTAATCGATGAACAAATTGTTGCAAAAAGAATGGAAATTAAGGAAGCCGATGAACAGTGCCGTCTGGAATATTATGGTAGCATAAAAGCGAAGAATTACAAAAATCATAAACGTGAAGGGTATCATCGCGGTGGTGGTGGACAACGCAGAATATCCAAGAGTACGGATTCTAATGTATAATCATTATTTGTGTTTTGTCACTTCTTGAAAAATTATGGCTACAAATAAACGAGAGTAATGTCTTTCAGTGATAATTCCTCATTTCTGAACATGAAATTTCAAGGCGAATTTGTTTGAGGGTTTAGTTTCATTTCATGCCTTAAAATTTGAATTAAATGCATAGTTTGATCTCATCTCCATTACCATTAGAAATTTGATGGAATGTGAGAAGTATGACAGAAAAATTTATTCAAATGGCTTATCAAAACCGTGTTTCATAAACACTAAAATTTCCGTACATATACTTGTATGTAAAAGTCTTAATATTTATGAAAGGGTATTTCGAAATGATTTCTGGAAATTTTTATTTTTAAAAAAAGTCCTTATATCGAGCTCTTACATACTTTTGGTTGTTAGGACTTTCTATTGTGCTGTACTGATGTCTAATTGTTTTCAAATGAAGTTACCTATCCAATGTGTAATGCTCAATCCTCAATCTGTACCCATAATTAGCAAACAAAATATTTTATGGTATTTATCTTGAGTAAATCAATTCAGTAACTAAACTTTACAGAGCTTTATTCTGCCCATTTCTAGGAAACAAATTTGAGACAATCGAAATCGCAACAAGAGATTCGTTTTTTTTTTCTTTCTTTTTTTTTTAAAAAAAAAGAACTGAGAACCAGAAGTCTCAAAAATTTGTAAAAAGACCTACTCATGCAAATTAAAGTAGCAAACTTTCCATGAAGATCCGAACTCTTTAACTATGAAGTAAGACAAATCAGCTGCAAAACATTTTCAACGACTACAAAGAATAACTGCAATCATTTAAAATGAAAATGCAGCCGTCAGCAAACTCAGAACGAACTCCCTAAAATATAGATAATAGCATTTTCAAATTTTCTGTCAAGAAAAAATCACTTTTAATTCGTTGCTTTACCATTCTCAAAATATTCCCTTAAAATTTTACTACTAATTACCGTTGTGCCACAATATTTAACACCACTCCATCTTTATGTGATAATAATAAAAGGTTTATTACGAACTATCCTTATCAATCCTTCCGAAATATCGAGTTAAAACCAACCACCCACACTCACCAACTTCATACAATCCAAACAAAGACAGTTCTTTTACCGGAGGATTCGCATAGTGATGAAACCAGAGTAGCGTATCGACACTGGTTTGATAACGATTTCGTTAGTGTTGAAAGTAGAAGTGAGTTGTGGTTTGCTCTCATTTGATTATACTTGGAGGAGTTTGGGTTCCTCTTTCTACAGATATCCATGTTAGTCGGCAGCGTAGGTGATGACGTGCCACAGCGTGACCTTCACGAGCCAGTCATAGACGACTTGTACTTCATGCAGCCTCCATATGGAACAGTAAGTAACTCCTTCAGTCTATTCAGTCATGTAAATGCCACATAGAAAAAAATCATGTATTGTAGGAGCAACGAGAAATATAATGTCGAATGTACTTAACGGAACAGTTTGATTATTTTTGCACCATCAGAAGGCAGCATATTGATTAGGGAAGTTTTTAGTACTAGCTAATATTGATGTTCAAGTTTCAGAAGTTTCATTAAACAAAGAAGTTCTCTCTGTGTGTGCTGTAATCTTTGTTTTATCGATTTTGTATTCTTGTTTCAATGTATTTTAGAAAAACATCATTTAAACGAGATCTAAGGACTTTTTTGTCATTTTAGAAAGTAAGCCTCGTGTTGCGCAAGTATGTAACACATATCATTATTCTTTTAATCTTTCGATTACACTAATAAGAAGTGCTTTTATGTCGTTGGATTTCTATTCTTTCAGCCTGCTGAATTTGTCGAATCACATTTCGGCAAACATTCGGGTGCAAAGAATTTGCAGTTTTTGAAAGGAACTACAACACTTGCATTCATCTATGAGCCAAAAACGCCAGCAGATAAAGGAGGGATTATAGTTGCTGTGGATTCGCGTGCATCTGCTGGAGAATACATATGTAATCAGATTTCATCCAGATCTATTTTTATTAATTTCTGATGAAAACCTAAAAGTTTTCTGAGCTGCATAACTTGGAAAGTTTAGAATTTATTGTAAGTTGAGATTCCTTACAGCGTCCAAGAGTGTTATGAAAATACTGGACATCGGCGATCGAATGGTGGCAACTATGGCTGGTGGTGCCGCCGACTGTCAATTTTGGACACGTATAGTTGCTAAATATTGCACGTTAGTTTATTGTGTGATTTTTATTGTATATAAATTTTTTTTCCCATTATCCTGTCGTAAATAAAAGATCAAATAAGTAAAAAAAAAAACTTTTTAGACTGTACGAGCTTCGAGAAAAAACGGAAATTACTGTGGCTGCTGCAAGCAAATATTTCCAGAATGTTTTATATTCTTATCGAAACCATGGACTATCAGTCGTGAGTGGTGTTTTTTTACTAATTTTTAGCATATTTACCTTACTATTCTTTTACAAACTCTCTGAAACTTTTGAGTCGATATTACCAACTTAAACTTGTTAGATTTTTATGAAAGTGTTGTTGAAATTCAAGGAGATGTGTTCTTTTAAATTATAATGTTTTTGCTTTGAAACCATCATGTACTTCGTCCAGATGTGTTGGTTATGAAATTATTGATATCGAAGCAGTTAGAATGTTTATTAAAACTCTAATTATTTTTTCAGGGCTCCATGATTGCTGGCTATGACAAGCGTGGTCCTGCGATTTTTAAAGTTGACAGTGAAGGACAGCGCATTCAGTTAAGACTGTGTAGCATAGGTTCAGGTTCACTGAGGTGTGTTTTGCATATATTTGAATTATTAAAACTGTTTAATTAATGCTAGGACGAAGCTTTTCGAATTTTTGGACTGGATGAATGGATTTCTGCGCAAATGCGCCGGGAGCTAATGTCAATGTTTTCGGGAAAATTGAGAGTAAAAATATATGTTTTGCCAAGATGTTCGCTTATTTCAGTGCTTATGGTATCCTAGACAATTTTTACCGTCCTAAAATGACAGATGAAGAAGCATACAAACTGGGTCGGCGAGGAATAATGCATGCTACTTATCGTGATACCGGTTCTGGCGGTGTTTGCAATAGTCAGTTCTCTTCCTTTTTAATAGTTGCATAGTTTACATATCTGTAGTTTGGGCTATTTTATATGCTTCTAGTTGTACTGTACTTCTGTTATGTTTGAAATATTATTGTTTCTTGCAGTGGTGCACATTTCGCCGACCGAGAAAATTCGCTTTCCAGCATTTGATGTTTCCCAGCTGTACTACGAATTTGCTACTGAGCTTGGACGAGATATTGCTTACGAACCCGAAATAGAAATATAATTACTTTTTAAAAACACTTCATAACACATGTGTTGATTATTGTTCTCTTTTATGTAAATGAAAGGTTGGTACAGAATCTGCCCTTATTCTTTGCTTTTAAATCGATTTAGAACTTGCATGCATCTAATGGTTTTGGATATCGAAATCGGCTCACAGGAAATCAATTCGCTTTCTTGGGATTTTTTAGTACTGCTACGACACCAGTGCTGTAGTGAAAATCTCTTACACATAGCTTCAATAACAAAAGCTGCATCGGAGTTTTTAACCAGAGTTTACTAACCAAGAAAGTTCCGTCAATTTTGACCTAATAATTCATCGGTATATCTTATAAAGCTCTAAAATCTGTTGAAATCTCAAAGCTGCTTATAAGTCGTGCAAATATTTCTAGACCGTCAGTTTTATATGACTGCCCGGGAAACATGTCACTTTGGTGACCTACAAAGGGAACTACTAAATGTTGAGGTCAGAAACTTCAGTGGATTTTGACAGGTTTTGGGAAAAGTCTGAAATACAAGCAAATATTAATTTCGAAAGGGTTGAGGAGGATGTCTGCACACTTTTTCAACAACAATTGGCTCACATTATTTCTCAATCCAACGCTTATATGAAGGGTGTTGCATCAAAACTGCGTAAAATGTAAGCCTTGAATGAATTATGTCAGCGGAGTGTATGAGCAATACGTAAATATATAAAAGATATAACTATAACTTCAAAGCAACTGACCACACCATTTAGAAATATTTGTCGTCGACTACACACATTTTCGTTCATTATTTGTTTTATTAGGTACTCAACTGATTACTCATAAATTGTCAATTTGCGTTCTTAGTATTCTGCTGTTAAATTGCATCATTATGAAGAGATATGATCAGCGTAAAAACATCCTAATAATGAGAAGTAGCTTTTAAATGAAACATGCAGATTGTTCCAAATACATCCTTGCAACAACTCTTATAAACCTTAATAAAGATGACTAGCTGGGGAAAGTTGTTTCAATGCGCTTATTCAAATCAGTTATCAGCAAACTAAAGAAGTATATGTTCAACAAAAAATGTCTAAACATCCAGTTCTCTGCAAACAAAAAGAGTTATAAATGTATATATTAACACTGAAGTCAATGACTCTTACAAATTCTTCATATTCAGTAAGAAATAAAAACCGATTCATATGATTTTCTCATTAGCAGTTTTGATCAGAGATTAGAAATCACAAAGTTTTCAAAATTCAAAATCATGTAAAAAAGCATATACTGGTCTGTTAGAATTAAGCTTATAAAAAGAAAAAAAAAGTAGATAGTTCAGGGTAGCCATTAAATACAAAAAGCCAGACAATCCAATGTATATATGTTAACAAAGTTCACTATAATCATAATCAAAATTTTGCCTCCATGTTATGATAATAAAAAAGAGAATAACAAGGCTATTCGAAATTCAATTGCTACGCATTCAGTATGCTAAAGAATTTAGTAATGGTATCATAATTTCCTCTCCTTTCATGTTTAATTCCTTTACACTTTCTTGCTGGAGATGGAAAGATGTCCACAATGCCACACTGTGATTCTTGAACTGGCTTTACTAGCTCATTTAGCCCTGATAAAATAGAGTCCCCACCAATTCCTATTTCCGTCGTCTTGATTCTCCTTTACTATTTGCTTCATCCTTTTCCAATGAACCACTCATATTAAAACCAATATCAGAATATAACATCTTTGTCTCTTGGATCATTCCAGCAACTCCTTCAGAATAGCTATAGTTTCTTGTCTCATCTTTTCCATTGCAAATTTTATTAGGCATTTCCGCTTCATTAAAATCACAGTGAACGTCACTTTGCGTACTTCTCGCTCCCTGCATTTTCTGGAATCTTCTTATGATCTTTTCGTGTTTTCTGATCAAATTCATTTTTTGCTCATCTTCCAGGATGGAAATCATTTTCTCAATCAATCCTCGCAATGCTTCTAATTTCTCATCCTTCTTCATTATCTTCCTTAATTTTTTCGCAAAATTTCGTTGCTGTTGTTCATCAAACAATATAATTCGAGACTCGATAAGATTTCTTAATTTTTCGGTGAAGTATTCAGTATAAAAATCAGAGGCAGTAGATCCCTTATTTGTTACAAGTTTTTGACTATTTGTGTTGTGTACTTCTAGATCACTAATATATGATATGCAGTTTTTTTGTTCATATTTATGAGCCCTGTTAAATGCTGCTGAATAAGAAAGTGAATTATTCTCATCAGCGTTCATAGTATCATTACTGCTAATTAGAACATTTTCATGTTTTTTTTCCAATTTTTGTGAAATAAGTTCTCTTACATACTTCATACTATAGTGCCACTTCCTGAGGCTTCCATCCAAATGCGTCAGATACTCGATCAGAACGGTAATCCAATCTGAAAATTGTGCAGGCGAAATGTTTCTGTTGGTAGGTATTCAATTTTACACTTACTAATAAGTTAAGAAAGTTATACAACATTTAATTCCGAAACATTACAGTTTTTGAAGAAGCTAATAAGTATCTAATAATTTCCTCCAACTTTGTAGAAAAATTTTCAGAGAATAATTTCGTTTAAAAGAGCTTACCAACACAGTTGAAATTCATTGTCCTTGTGGCATGTCTAAAATTAACAATATGACCGCACAACATTCTTTTCAGAAATTCACCTTCAATTAAACCATTTGTGCAATATCCGACTAAATTTTCCTCCTCGATTCTGGAATTTAAATTTCTTAGATTTTAAATACGAAAGTAGTACTAGCATATACAGACCTCTACTGCTACTCATGTTCCCAAACATGGAATCAAATTACAAAAACTGACTAGCGATTGAGATTTATAACCGAAGAAATCGAAATTAATTATATAAAGAATAACAAATCGCGTCTAAAATCAAATATGGGTCATTGTTCGTAACCGGTAACTAATATTGCCGTCACATCAAAGCACTAAAAACAACTGAAGGTCTTACCTCCTTTGTAACTGTTCAATATCAATACGACTTGGGAACATTGGTTTTTGTTCCAGAAACAAACTTAGAGCACGTCTATATTCGCCAACACTTATTAGAGGAAGTTTTGGCATGCAAGCATCTGTAGCCTTTTCTGTATCGCCATTAAATCTTTCACATGTTGCACGTAATCTATCGACCTCTTTCAACCTACGATAAAAGTATTTGTTTCTTGAAAATTCAGAATTCCGAATACTGGCCTTCATTAACAGCCTCACTAATAGTGATACACAGAAAATCACGATACAGTGCTTCAAGATCAGTCATATTGTCATGAATTAGGCAATTTTCGCTTGCATATCACAATGACTTACATAGCGATTACTAAAATGATAAGGCTAGCAAAAAACATGGTTGAAGGTAAAAACCTAGTATTTAGATGGCAAACGTTTGTATATAAGTACAATATGAAAGAAAAAAACTTGATCTTTATTTTAAAAAAAAAAATGCTTTTTAAAAGAGGTAGCATCATACAATATTTATATAAAAATAAAAACTGATACCACAATTTTTTGATCACAGGAACAGGACGTAACATTTTCCAAGTAAGTGAAAGCCAGGGCAAATACGAAATAGCCTTTTCCTGATCCTGCAGTAAAGCAAAATCAGCCACATTCCATGTTTCTTTTTCTGGCAACATTTCTTCTAATTCGGAAGGACAATTTCTAGGAAGCAACCATTTGGTTACAAAACCTTCAAAAAAATTAAAATGCTGTTTCTTTCCGATAACAATTAAAAGAAAAAAAAAGTGACTGTGAGCTTGAAGAAATATCAAGCGTGAAATTTGCAAATGTAACTATTTATAAACGATCTAAGAGAAAAAAGGAAAAAAAAAAAAACGGTATATAAGCAGTACATAGGCAATCCTGTCTTAATAATCAAGAAATATGAATAATAACACTATAAAAATATGTAAAAAAATCAAAAATGTAATACCATAAAGAACTTGTCGAGCACTATCAGTCAATTCAGTATCATAGTCGTCAAAATCACATGGTTTTTCCGTTCTCCTTCTCAATAAATTAATTCGATAATCTATTTCGGCCTTGGATCGCTGCAAACGAATACTTATAGCCCGGGATGAGCAACCTTCAGCATACAACTTCTCAAATTGTTCCTCTAGTTCATTGTTCCATTCTAGCCTTTACATGAAAAACAAATGATCCTTTAAGAAAACCAATGTGTAATTTTTAAAAATAGGTTCATAGAAATAGATTAAGGAAATTCTTAAATCTATTCTATGAAAAAATTTGATCCATAACCATACCACTTTAATTTTTTCATCATGAAAAAAAAAATCATTCAGCATCTCTTTTTTGCTCTCAAAGTTTTTTACTTTTTTTCTTAAAACTACTTTTTGTTTACTTTCAAAAGCACTAATATAGGATCTGCAAACATTTGAAAAAAAAAAAAACAAATCAGTAAATAAAAACATAATGGCACCTGTTTTTTTCACCCGGATGGTACATAATCAACATTCTGCTAATCACCTGTCGTCCTGTCCGATCATTGAGTCCTTCACCTAAGAAACGATTACGATTGAAAATGACAACTTAAAAAAAATTACATCTGTTAAAACTAAACAGTACGAATAATATTAAAGCTGCAGTGATTTACAGTTTTTTGATGGAAAAAATTCTCTATTGTAACATCATTGAGCTAATAAAATATTTTAATTGAAACATAAAAAGATAACACAACACTTTTTCTTTCCATCAACATGTGAAAACTACTTACACATTGCCGGGACAAAATTAGTTTTGTTCTGAAAGACTAATAGATTGGTCCGTTCATCCGCATCCATTTCTCTACTATAACCGCCTGCAAATTCATAAGCTCGACTGCAATCGACATTATTTGCTGCTGCATATCTCTCCCAGTTCTAAAAAAATCGAACACTTTATATATTTAAATATAAGGAACTTTTCCAAACAAATGATAAAGAATTCCTAGCATACCAGAATCGCAATTACAAATAGATGAGGAGGGACGAATCAGATATGGCTTTTTAGAAAATGTTAAGAAATAAATCAAACCCTTTCAAGTAGATTATTTTCTTCATTTGAAAACTGCCCAATTTTCAGTTCGATCCCTTAAATAAATACTTGAAATTTCAACACATCACTAATTGGCGGAAGAAATGTCGTAAAATCCATTTTGGATGTGAACTGTGTAAAATATGAGTATATCATCATCGACATTTTTGACTTGCAAATGAATAAGTATTGTGAGTAAAGTCAATAAATGCGTCAATTTCCCACTTAAACATTTTCTTCGCCTTTAGCCATGAAGTGAAATACGTGAAGGAAAAGTATGAAAACGAACCACACTGCTTAACTCGTTGTAAATGAATCGGTTTCAGCGCATACCGTATCAAATGATAGAAAGGAATGCCATCTTCAGTTAGTACACCACTCGCTGGTAATAGCACTTTCCCGCGAAGAGGACGACATCCTTCATCAGAACTCATCCTCGCCACCACAACACCTCCCAATCTTCACTACAAATTCCCTATCCAACAACACCTGCAACATATCAACCTGCTCAAAACACTCTTCAGAAGACAATCAATTACGAATAAAAATTATATTGTAACCAGGATGCAACAGAGATTAAAAGAATTTATAAGAGAACACGTGCTGTTGTAGACTAAGAAGAGGTAGCAATTAAGTGATTGTTATCTGACAGGAGACGATAAAGAACAAGAGTAATATAGAAATACACTACATTTGATGAGAGAGTGCGAGAAGTCTCGGAATTCCTTCTCATCTAGTGGCGAACCATCCCATCATCGTTAAATTAACACATTATGAAATACGACGTCTGTGTGGGAAGTTTAGGCTGAGAAAGGCAAAATTCGTGTGGCAGTGCGTGGGTTTCCAGCTATTGTCCATTTTCCTGTTTGCTCTTCATACTCGCACGGGTTTTCTGGATGTTTTACTTCCGGGAATAAGTTGCGTGTGCTGTGCTGTATTGGTGTCTCAGGTACCAGGGGACGAACCAGGGAACTGCCTCTTTTATCCATCTCATCGTGAACGTAGACCGCATTCCTTGACTCGTGTGTCGTCCGACAACAATGCTCATTTTATTTCCACCAGCCTTTCGTCTTTCTGTCTTCGTTTTCGGTGAGTACTCAAAGATTGACATCTCGTCCTGTTATATAGTTTCTATCTGCGAGATGTTTTATGTGTGTGATATTCTCCATTGTTACTGTCGTTTACTTGTTTTTAAGTCGAAAATATTCTCCAAGTTACTTTAATTTCAGAAAGACTATACAATGGGATATCCAGCTCATGTACCGAGAGGAGGCGCCAGTACCAGTAAGTTTTGCGCATTTACTGAACATTCCACTCGAGCTTTGATCTCCCTGATTTTCGTTTAATATTGATGACTACTTTGTTAGTATTTTTCAGATGGAGTTGGCTTTCGAGGTTCCCCGAGAGGTGGTGGTGGTTTTCGAGGGTTATCAAGAGGTGGTGGATTTCGTGGGTCACCCCGAGGAGGAAGTGGTGATTACTTTCTTTTTTCTGCAATCAAGATCACTCTGATTATTTGCATATATATCAGAACATGAAAGTGATTGCAACAGCGTGTTGTGTGAAGACATTATAAACTTCCAGGTCGAGGTGGTTTTGGTGACAAAAACAGTGTTGGAATGGGAAGTTTTGGTGACAGGAGAAGTGGTGGCGGTGGTGGAAGAGGCTTTCGTGGTATGAATGGAGCAGATGTTCGCGGAGGGTTTGTTTGCTTTCCTAAAAATTTTTTGGCGGCTGTATTCTTGACAAACATAAGCTACTGATAACAGATAAAATGTAAAATTTTTCTTTTTCTGATCAGTTTGTAAGCTTTGCTATTGTTAACAACAACTTCTAAACTGACTTTAAATAAAGTGAATGCTAACTTCATCATTTGTTCATTTGTAGTGGAAGAGGACGATCACCGCGTGGTCGTGCAAGTCCTCGAGGTGGAGGACGAGGTGGAGGAATGCGGGGTGGCAGAAAGGTTATCATCGAGCCACACCGACATGAAGGTTAGTGTCATTTGTACTTTGCTTCCATCGTTTTGTATAAAACAAACGTTTCACTAGCTAAAATATTCGTGTAATGCCAAATTTAATCATTTTCATTCTTTATTAATTTACAGTGTTCTCTATTATTTAATTTTTTATTTTTTCATCAAGGTACTGCTCCTTTTAGAATTACCATATTCAATTTTCTGTACTTTTTCAAATTCAGGTGTTTTTATCATCAAAGGCAAAGAGGATGCATTGGGTACTCGGAACTTAGTTACTGGTGAATCAGTGTACGGTGAAAAAAGAGTGTCCATTGAAAATGATGATAAGGAAAAGGTTGAATATCGGGTTTGGAATCCTTTCCGATCAAAATTGGCAGCTTCAATACTTGGTGGTTTGGATGATATACATATCAAACCGGGATCAAAGCTTCTGTATTTGGGTGCTGCATCGGGCACTACTGTATCTCACTGCTCTGATATCGTTGGTCCAGTAAGTTACAGATCACAATTATTTTTAAGCATAATCGCCGCTGTATCCATGAATTTAATTTCAAAATTTACCAAAATACTTTTCTAGGATGGTTTGGTTTATGCCGTGGAATTTTCTCATAGATCTGGTCGAGATCTGTTGAATATAGCAAAAAAGAGACCAAATATCATTCCCATTGTAGACGATGCTCGTCATCCTCAAAAATACAGGATGCTTGTCGGTATGTAACTATTATATAGATGTTATATATTTTTACATATTTTAATTCCCTTAGAAAACTAAAGGAATTCAAATTGGGATGTTGGTTTTAATGATCAAATAATGCTTTGTAGGAGTGGTGGATACGATATTTTCTGATGTAGCGCAGCCTGATCAAGCCAGAATTGTTGCTATAAATGCCCACCATTTCTTGAAAAATGGCGGTCATGTTGTAATCTCGATTAAGGTTCGTTTACTTTTTTGCTTGTAGTAATTCATTTGTCCTTTCTGGTCTATCTGTCTAAATCCTCTTACAAACCCATTGCATTTTAAAAGTTGATGACACCCTGAAAAGCCAATTTGAACATTTGCATATGCCTCATGTGAAACAGCTATAATTAGCGTTGCAAAGCACATTTTACATACATGTAATGTTTGTATGTCTTACACTATATATTTATTTTTGTGTTTAACTCATCCATCATTTATAAAATGGTGGGAGATCATAAACGAACTTAGGATCATCAACTCATTTGACCAAACATATGATTGCTACTATGTGCATAACAGTTGAGACTACTATCAGCAAGTGAAGTCAATTTTCTAGAAATATTAAGATTTCCCAAACGCTTTTAGGTTAAATTTTAGCTCCCAATGATACTGGCATGACGGGTGTGAAATAGTTGGGAAAATAAAAATTGGGTATGTATTCAACTATGAAAGAGCCATAAAAGTGTACAATTCCTCTTAAGAACTGAGTATTTTTTGTCATATATAAACAAAGTGATAGAGCCGAAGGACGGGACAAACAGCCGAGTAGCGATCACTTTCTTTTTCTGGACACTAGATTTTTCAGCTGTTGCTAATCTAGGAATTTTTCCTTTTTTCTTGTTAAGAAAGTGAATTGGTCATTTAACGACAGTTCTATATATATTAGGTATGTTTTATGACTTGCTTGTAATTTTTATTTAGGCGAATTGCATTGATTCGACGGCAGCACCGGAAGCAGTGTTTGCTGGTGAAGTGAATAAACTAAAGGAGGAAAAGTTTAAGCCACGTGAGCAAGTGACGCTGGAACCATATGAAAGGGATCATGCGGTTGTGGTCGCTGAGTACCGTCCGTTGAAGAAGAAACAAAGCTAATAAGAAATTTATGTATTCCTTCATGTTGCACATAAAAGCTTTTTTCTCAATTTCATTCCTCATCCACTGGATTTGAAGTTTTTTTAATGGATAAGAAACTATAAAATAACCACTCACTTTTTTCTCTGTTCCACTTTTTATAAAATTGAGTGAAATAAAAATGATTATTTAAGTGGGTAAAATCATTTTTTTGGTTCGTAACCTCAGGATAAACTTTGAAAGTTTATTCCAGATGTTGTTACATACGGAAAGATTTTGAATATTTATTTTACTTAATGATTAAGTTGATAAAGCTCTCTCTTCAAATCGACCACAAAATGGCATAAAAACAGCATGTGAAGTTTCGCTTCCACTTTTCGCTACAGTATCCGTTGCTGAAGGATTAGATTTTGCAAGTAGTTGCAAGATTTCAACCGGTAATCAGACAATCAGATTTAGCCAAATTATTTGAATCAGTAATCTGTAGGATTCTTCCATATTGTTAACCTAAGCTCATTGTGCCAATTAGAACAACAATGGGATTGATTAGGTGTCGTCCAGCATCATCTCCACAAAACTAGATTTATAATGATGCGTGATGGTAGATAGTCATTAAAACTCCTAGCAACGAAGGCTCTTCGTACCTTTTCCGACCTCAACCAAGTGAAATTATTCCCCTCATTAAAGCTCTTGAAGTTCTAATTCATTTTGATGTGATAACTGCCGGTCGTTCATTTTTGTTTTTCAAAGCTAATTTTTTAAAAAAGTAAGAAGAGATAACATTTTTTGAACAAACATGCAGCGTAGCGATATTGATTTATAATACCGCTACGTCTTATTAAGCCGACCTTGTTAACAAGATACCTGGCCCTGAACACTCCAAGCTTTTTTTTTTTATTATTTAAGTTAACTTATATGTTTTGAAAGTCATTTATAAAATAAGACTGTCATAGTAATGGAAGCATATTTACAATACATTCCAGGTCGTGCTTTCCATTTTTATCAAATCGATCTTATTGTATTCAGGGAAAAAGTAAGATTTGTTTGTGATTTTCATCCAGTCTTGATTTTGTTTTCAAATCTGCGTTTTTTAATGATAGCTATCATTTCTTAGAGAAGCGTGGTGAATACAATTTGATTGTTATCAATTTTGGGTGGGGAAAATGAGAGGGAATCGGATGTATGAAAGATTTAAATCAGTCAAAATTATGCGAAATCTAATTTTCATAAAAAATTTTGTGAAGTATTTTGGAAATGGAAGTAGAGGAAGGATAATTTTAAATTTCTAGAGCAAATCTATGGATGCTATAAATGTTAAATTTTTTTGATATAATTAATCGAGATAAGAGGAGTAAGAAATTTGCGCGTCCCACTTCGTTTTACAATGAATATAATGTGGTAAAGATTTTTTTAGTGATTTAGAATAATATTTTGCGAAGTTTTATCAAATAACATAGTACTAAGATAGTACGTTTAACTGACAGCTGAGGAGTTATTGCTGGATGCAGAGAGTTTTAAAAGTGACTGCTATGTTCAATAATTAATAATTCAGATGATGTTCAATAATTAATGCTTAACGACTCAATGGTCGATGTATTTTGTAGTGATAACAGTGAGTAGGAAAGGTTAGTGAAGATGAATGATTATTTTTGAACCTTTCCCTGGGGAGATGAAACTTTTAGTGATTTATCTACAACAGATCTTTATTTGATGAATTGAAATAATTTTTTATTTCAAATTTTTAAAGAATTTTGCATTCAATCTTTTTAGAATATTCAAATTCTTTTTAAATAAAAAATCGTGTAAAAGTTTTAATTGCTTCCCTGACGATTCAATTAATTTGCTTTTTTTGCGCACTAAAATCTTGAATTCATTCATCACTTGCGAAAATACAGAAGAATACGCAAAATTAAGTAAGTTTCTAACATACGCGAGAGGAAGTGTGGTGATGGTTATGTCACCGATAGCTTCTGAAATCTTGAAACAGAGAAGGAAAAAAAGACAAAGTGCTGTAGATATAAATACACTGTATCTACTCACTGATGAAAAAGATTGAGTGAGGAAGAAAAGGAGTAGGAGATAACTGATTGTATTTTGAAATTACTGTGCTCTATTTTCGTTGCGAATTGGTAGAAATGCTTCTTGTCATTGCACCATTTAAGTGTGTGAGCATAATTTGAATGCACTCTTTATTCAATTTGGTATTAAACTCTCTACTTGTTTCTTTTAAGATTTAAATTGGTCTTTCGATGTGAATCTAATTTTCATATGCTAGCTTAATCTCTTATTCTCGAATCATGAAGTATTAGAAAAATGATAAATACCATCATTCATGTGATTACTTTCGCTTCGATATAATGATAGTTTGGAATTCCTTTCAATGCGTTGAAGCAAGTTTGTATCATCAAAGCGAAATTCTCGTCCTTTATGGGCGTCAATAGTCTTCTAATTTTTGGGAAGGAATTGTTGGATTAGAATCTTATACGCACTATATTATAACTCTTCAGAAATTTCTTACTTTTAACGGATATTTGTACTTCACTTCTTTCTAAGTAGTGACATTCATGATGGAAAACATGAAGATTTTTGAATTTCTTCATTAACTTTATTGTCTTAGTTTAATAATTTAGTTTTCAAAATATCTCAAACTAGATTTTCACTTCATTCAGCAGAAATTTAAAAAATTCGCAGATGAGACTGAAGAAACGAAGTCATGAGCTAGCTAGAAAATTTATAAATTCCTTTTTATTGTTCGATTTTTCTTTTTTTTCCATCGTTTTTTGATAAACGAAGATTTTTATCTTGGACTGAACTATTAATTTTCACTTTTTTGATCTTATGGCAATAAATTATAAGATTTTATACTTCGCAATGTAAGTGTCATTCTTGCAATGCGTTACGACCGATTGTCAGTGATTGTCAGTAGTTTATACTATTGTAAGCATTCTGCTGAAGCTGAGACGATCGTTGCATATTCAAACTGCACGATTAGTGCTTAAGAACGAATTGTGCCCCTCAAAACAAGTGAAAGTTATTTTGTTCATTTTTTCTTCTTTTGTTTTTTAGTTTTATCCTCGATTTTATCCTTCGTATCGCTGGCTATTACAAAGAAACGAGTATCGTGTAATTCTTTTAATGTAATAAATTATTTAGATTAAAGTGATAGTCTAATAGTGAGAACAGGTGACATAAAACTATTGTTTCAAAATTAATCTTAATGAGCTTTCATTCACTGAAACATCGAAAAAGACCTTAGGTCTATCCAAATAAAAATAAAAAGAAGGTGAACTTAAAAATTGATCTGCTGAACTGGAACCTAAATCTATGCAGTATTTAGCAAGCTGTAATTTATGTTTTAACCAAATAGTTTGTGCGTAGTGAATGGAATTCTTTTTCTATTATTAAAATTCTCCATTATTTTCTGAAGAAGTCTAATTAATTCGTTAATCAATGGAAGCATAGCTGAGACATAACTTTTTCTTTTCTTTTTTGTCACCTTCTTGTCACCTCTCTTTTTTCAGTTGGAAATAGAAATGAAAACTCATTAATTCTTCTGGTGTCAAAAAGTGGAAGGGAAAGAAGCAAAGGAACAAATGAAATAGGGAACAGTTGGTTCGGTGATGTGAAAATAGTATTTTTTTACTTCACTATCTATTTACACCTACACTTTTCCTTTTTTCTTAGTTCACCAAAAGGCCTACCGTTGTTTTTCTTGGCTTTTTGGGACAGAGTTATGTGAAATTGAATTAGACTTTGCGAAAAAAAAAACGCAAATTCAATTCCATTTGAACAAATAGCAACGTGAGAAAGAATTCCAGGGATAAAAATGAATTTCTTCTTGACGGCATGTCGGGAGATCCCGGCATGTCTCATATTATTTTTGGTTTTTCTCAATTATGTAAAAACTGCTTTTTTTCTTTATACTGATCCTCCCTTCCTCTATCTCATAATCGATTTCATTTGAAACATATAATCCATGTAATTGCTCCTTTTCCGCCTTACTTCCAGTTGAAACACTTATCAGTCTACTTCAAAAGTAAAATAACATAATGTGCTTATTTCTTACAAAACACTGAGACTTGTTTTAATTCACTGTGGCTAATCGAGAAAGCAGCAATAAAATTATCATTTACACGAACTTTTTGCTTGTCTCTTTTGGAATATTCCATTAATTTCCATTAAATCATCTCAAATACTCTTTAACTCACAATTGCATCGGAAAGGTTGAAAGAATATCCGGATCAATATAAAATTCGGGGAATGTATTTGGTGCTAAAAGACTACGTATGCCAACTACAGTTACAAATAATTTCATGAAGTAATAGCGTCTTAGAATTATAAAATTCTAACAAAAAATTGGAAACTTAATTCCTGATTTTACCGATACAAACAAAAAAAAAGATACTATCATGCGTAAAGAAGAAAGGACAAAAAGAAATATTAAGGAAATCAGAAAAAAAAAAAGTACTATTCACCTTTTTAGAATTTAAAAATAGAACTGTTAGATTTGTTAATTTTTTTTGCAAAAAATTTGCTGCAAACTATTTCTATTTCCAATCAGTTTAAATCAATCTTCTTGACTAGAGAAATTCATTTTTTGAAAATCCGACGATGACATCAGAAACGGATGAATTTTTCTAATCAATTATTCAAAGAAATTTGCATGATTTGATTTTGTGTCGCTGAATATATAAAATTTTTTTTAAAGTTGTTTTGCAAATGAATTCTTGCAAAATGTAATTTGGCCATTCAACAATTTCTGTAAAACAAATTTAAATTTTGAAAGAATTCATAGCTTTGAAGCATTTTTCATTTGGAATCATTTGATCGATATCTTCATTTAACCGTTATACTTTTATGGTCGATATGTCAGCTCGATCTTTTTAAAGGAAGATAAAAAAAAAGGAAGATATTTTGATAAATTTAACTCATTTTCACATTCCTAAAGCTTTATTTTTCTGCTTCACCCATTCTCGCACAATTTCCATTCTTTTACATGTCAAAAGTCGATAACGATGATATTAATATTTTCCTGTCCAGCAAATCTTTATATTCCAGAATTTGAGAACCCTATTCAAAAGTAATAAATTGTTAAAGACAAACGCAATTTCACTATGTTAGTTTTGGATGATGTTTGTATTAGATGCTGCTGAAAGTTAGTATCAAATGTACATTTGACCACGACTGTCCTCTGCTTGGAAGTAATTTATCAAGAATTGGAAACGTCGCCTCATTTAGCTAATATTTAAATTTGAGCTCCTTTTGTTAATAAATATTCTTTTCATAATAATTCGATTAATCAGCATACGTAATGCATTAGGAGATTCAAGATTCTTAAATTGTTTATTTGTGCTTTGAGAGGTTGTGCTAAGCTGAAAATTGAGGAATTCAAGATGAAATGCGCATTGCATGTTAAGATTAAACTGGCAAAATTTACTGTTATGCCAGGAAAATTATGAAAAAGCCGTTTTTTATTAAAACTATCTTTTAATAGCTTAGTTTTAGAAAAACTTAAGCTAAAAAGTGTGGAGATGTTTCTAGGTTCATAATCTCCTCATAATTTTGAATTTCGGCGATTTTCTATCTTGCAAGTTTGCATGCTTTCCTTAGCATTATCTAAATTATAAAGTTTGTATATTGAGATCTAATTCAAAATATCCGAATTAAACCGCTTTTATTGCAGGTTTTTACGAAAGGCTTGAGTGAATATCAAGCATGACCGCCTTGTTACCTTACGTTTCTCAAACTAAATTTTTTTAAATGTATTACTTGGGCTAAAAGCAAAATTTTCATGAAAAAAGAAATAAAAGTCTAAAGAATTATTAAATTTTTGATATCCATGGTTTTTTCAACTTTAAAAAAATAAGAAAAAATCACTCAGTTATTTATTACTAATGAAATATCGACTCTCTAAATTTTACGCCTTATTTTGCATTTCTTAAGCTGACACCATGATGATTTAATTCACTTCTTTTTCACTCTTCTAAAACATCAGACACCTGAAACTAAAATTTGCCTAGAATACTGCCAAAATCGTCTTTTTATTGGTCAATTGGTAGTAAGGTCAATCATAAACATCGGGCACGTCATATGGCCTTCACGCTTGTACAAATTGCCCTTTCCAACATTGAAATTAAAATTTGATTAACTTGCTGCAAGAATTGCAATATAAGTAGCTAAAAGATTTGCTTCATGAAATATCCTTATTTCAAAATGCTAAATTTATAAAAGATAGGTTAATATAAAGAAGAAACAAAAACAATGAGCAAAATTTATGAGTAAATAATAAAGTTAATTCCTTTTTTTCAAAGCTGATAAATGATGATCAACTTAGTTATGATTTTTGTGATTATAAGTTAATTACATCTTGTTATTCTACTACCAAAAAAGAATTAACTTATTTGTATGTTAAATTACAATATTAAAGTGAAATCTTTAAATAGATTCGTTGCGTTGAATTTCTTACTTGAACATTTCATATACACACAGAACAATTCACATATATGTCACATATTACAAAGGTGAAGAAAAACTTTTAACACTTCTGCTAATGAAAAATAAACGAATAGGTAATAAGCAAACTTAAAAACAATGACGATGATGAGGAAAAATGAGATAAATCAGCAAAAAGACGGAAAAATTATGAGTTTCAGAGAATTTTTTCTTTGCTTCCTAATTGTCTAACATTTCATCATCATAATTCCTCCGAAGATTTTCTCAAGTTTCTAATTTTTATTGATATTTAAATTTCTTGTGCGAAACATTAACTTTTGTAATGAATGAATACATATTTGCTACATGAAAAAATCAATATTTCCTAAATATATTCTTTTTTGTTATTCTTTTTTCAGCAGTTTGTATCTAATTTATATCCATTAATAAAAATAAATGTCCATTTAAATCCAATAAATAATGAGAAAATGGATTGATTGATTGATTGACTGATAAAGTAAATATCATCCAAATCTGAAAGGTTAATGAGAACAATTTTAGCAAGAAAGAATATCAGTGCTTTAAAGTGTTTGCTCTTCTGCTTCGTTGCCTTTTTCTCTTATTTCATTATAAATCCGGAGAGCTATGTTTTGAAAACTAAAAACTTTTATTTAATTTCTCGTTTTTAAAAGTTTATTTTGTGTTTTTTAGGAACTTTCGCTTCCATTTATTGATAATTATAGTCTGAAATATTTAATTTCGATAATGCAGTGTGAATGAGTGAATTGCAATAGAAGTGCAGTCTACCATGATTGGCTTGGGAGCTATAAAATAGCTGTTTTTCTTAATTACCTCTCAACAAATTTCTTCGAAAACTTTTTTGAGTAAAATCAAATTGTCTAATTACTATACTTCCCAAGTTGCCAAGTTGCAACTTCTTTTCATCATAAAGTAATGATTCACTGTAAAATATTCAACCATTGAATAAATGATTTCTCTCTAAGTGACGAGTGAGTGTAATGCTAAGTTCAAAACCATTAATTCTATATTGGAATTGTTGCTGGTGGATTTTTCAAAATTTGAATAAAGTTTCTTTATTCGAAATTCTACACTTTGTACCCTTCACAAATACAACATTCTTTTTTTGGTAAATAGTAGTGACAAGAAGATGTAATATTATATTCATTTTCTTAATTACAATGACAGGTACACCTGACATACTTTCACTGCAAATAATACTTATAATTAATTCCAGAACGTTTTGACAGCATCGACCGTATTTAGGGATCTGCTGATGATGATAGAAGCACTCTGTCTTTCCTTTTCTTATTCATCTATCAATCACTTATATCCCATCTTTTAATTTAATTATTTTTCCGGTTCAGGATAATATCTTTTCGTTATTAATGTTAGATAACCAGTATTAATGAGGGAGAAACAAGAATATCTCGGTAATTGCTTTTTTATTCTGGCTGGTGATTGATTGATTAAGCAAATTAAGGAACTGATCATTGGATGTAAACTGAAATAGTTGCATTTCAGACTTTTTGCAATAAGTGGTCAGTTTTTTGTTGTTTTCACACCTAATTCGAGCGATAATTCAAAAATTCCCTTCTTCTTCTTCTCTCTCTCCCTCTCTCTCGTTAATTCAGTCTTCTGCGCTACTCATCCAATCCAATTCAATCCCTGTTACAATGCCAATTTACTAAGTTCGTCAGCTGTATGTGAATATTTCCGTCGTTTTTTCATTCATATGCAATTCCGTTTATCATCTCATCGTGTCCCCTCCTTGTTTTCACCGTAATCGTTGAAAGAAAGCTTCAATTCCCATCATGCCTTACTTTTTTTTCTTTCTTCTTTCAGTCGATTATACACTACGATTATTTTTATACTTTTACGAATTTGTTTTCCTAACAGCTAGCCAATCCATTAAGTCTAGAAATAACCTTTTGGGTGCACAATTGCCTGTGGCAGTAAACATTGCGCTCTATTGCTATAATGTCATCACCAAATAGTTTCCGTTCTTTTCCTTGCCTGTTCCGGTAATTATTCCTCTAGGTAATATGTATCAAATAACCAGCTAAAATGATATTATTACCAAATGTAATCATAATTTTCAGGGAATACTGAAGTATGTAAAACATACCAATATTTCTAGAGCGAATTGTCCACAAACTACAAGTTTGCATGCAAACTCAAATCTAATAGAAATAATTGGAAGATTACTTTTTCTTCTCCTATTAACTAATTTAGGAACTGATCGTTTGAAGCCAGCATCCCTCTCGAGCTGTAAAGTTAATGACAAGCAGAAGTAGCAGCATCATCACTGTCATTTGCCATGAAAGTTCTCTTAATGGTACATGATAGTATACCAGCTAGAGGTTAAACGAGGTTAAACAGTGATACTAATAGGAAGAATATTTCCGCATAAATTGGATGATTGCAAAAAATAAAGCGTTATCGAGTGGTCTTCCATTAATAATACATTGGTATTTTTTCCTTTAAGATATAGAAATGGAAGAAAAAAGGCTAACTTGGACAGGTGTTAAAATAGCGTTCTATTTTTTGCTAGTAAAAGTTTTTGTTAAAACCTTTCTCAAAATCAATTTAAAACAGATGGATCTGATATCGACAAAAAATGATACTTATAATACCATGAATATAAGCAGTTGCGTTACGGACTCAACATCTTTGCAATGCTCGCCGAAGTTAGCCACTCCGGATCATGAACTTAACATTTCCGGATTATTCTTTTTAATTATTCCGACCATTACTGTTTTGGGTAACTCGATGGTAATTATTGCTGTACTACGTTTTAAAACTCTTCATTCTGCTATTAATTTCCTAATCTTTGGTTTGGCTGTCGCTGATCTCCTAGTTGGACTTTTCGTCATGCCTTATGCTGTTTATGTCCATGTGAGTTTCTAGTCTGTTTCAAGTTCATTAAAAAATAGAGTAAATTACTGGTGATAAGGATAGAACAAGTGATAATTTAAGAGAGCAAACAATAAAATCTATTGAAGCATTTTAATTACAATTTTTTTTTCTCTGCTGCTGAATGCTAAAAGCAATTCTGGTCGAAAGAAATTATACATTGTTTTAAAAGCAGGATGATAAATTAATCATCAAATGTTAGTTCAAAAGTTAATAGGCCTAGCGTAAAAAGGCTATATTTATGTTAGCATGAACAATCAGATGATATTAGTTCCGATGATATCATATAATAAGACAAGTGGAATCAAGCAAATGAGCTAAAGACATTAGCAGCAAAGGATATGTATTAGTAGGACTAGACAACTGACCGTACTAATGATCATTAACTTATCATTAACATTATGTAAATTAACAAGTAAAGAAGCGTTTCTATTTATCTTATCATTATTTTTCCATGATTTCATGATTTTTTCTCATTGATTTCACTTATTTTACTGCTACCCTAGAAGGCTAGTGTATTTACTTCTAAAATGGAATGCTAGATTTTTTTTAAACAGGAATATTGTCGCAAACCGTTTTGTTTGTTTCATGCTAAAGATTATTCTATGTTGGGGCTATCGTTGTTTTGGAATCATTACTAAATAAGATTAGTAGAAATTAATGAGATTTTTTAAAAAATTTCACTGTTATTTTTAGAAAGAATTGATGAAGTGAAAAGCAAGCAAAGCTGTAATAATAGAGAAATTTAATTAGCGCATATGCAATGGGAACTTAACTGGTGTAATACCTAATGAAATGCTTATATGATTAAAAAAACTAATGTTCCATTAATCGCTTGAATGGAAACATTAGCTATTAAATCTCCCAAGTGCATTTTTTTCAAGAAGTATAAAGCAATTTTCAATGAAGCTCAGTGTTTTTTTGGTGGGAATTTCAAGAAGTTATTTAATCAACTAATGTGATAACTAACAAAGACAAAGATTTTCACTGGATCTAAAGTTATTTGCTTTCACATATTCTATCAGAATCACTTCACTCTTCAGAAGGAAAAAAGAAATATTGAATATTTGAGTAAGTGATGCAGAAAAGGTGAACGGAATAATACACAATACTGAAATTACTTACAATTGAATTGTCTTTTTACACTTCAAGAATAGCTGACCGCTTTACTAATTTTTCTAAATCAATTTCAAAGTTAATGAAAATGGTTTTTTCCAGCTTTGCCATCTAAATAGTTTTTTCTTCCTCTTCATGACATGGTAATACTGTGATAGCTATGATTGTTTACGACATGTTCCATTTCAGGTGCAAGGTGGTTATTGGTTCCTCGGATCTATGATGTGCGATATATATTCAGCAAGTGATGTCGCCTGTAGTACTGCGTCCATACTTATACTTACAGTCATTAGTTTTGATAGGTGAATAGATTAAACAGATGGAAAATCATTTTCAGACCTCATTAATTGAGTTACCATTGAAACAACTTGTCAGTTGAACTTTTTTGCTATCCTAAGGAACAGCTGCATATCTGACGGAAACATAAGTTTTTTAATCGATTAGAAGCGAACCATGTATCCCACAAAGACCTCAGTTTAAAGATTAATGTGATAAATTCTGCAACTATTCTTAATTAATTCTATGTTTCATTTGAAAAAAGTGCTTAACTATTAGTGCTATATTTAATTAGTGATATATTCATAGTTCTGACAAAAATGATAGCATTAATGAGAATTTATATGTGTTAGGCAGTACAACCCTCATCTTAGGGAATACGAAAAGGTTAATTTATCAATTGTAGGTACCGAGCAGTTACTCATCCCATAAGTTATTCACACAATTCCCATGATACAAAACGGGTTATTTTTATTATGGCAGTCATTTGGGTCATTTCCCTTGCACTTGCTAGTCCTATGGTACTCGGTAAGTCATCACTGTTCCAGCTTTATATATTTTCACTGTGCTTATTAGAAGAATTTAAGGAGTATTTATTATCGATCAAACTAATTCATTTATTTGATAATTAGCTTCAGAAAATCAACTCAAAATTTCCTTATGATTAATTAATTAATCGCAGGTGTGAATATCCGACCATCAGATGCGGATCCATATGAATGTCGCTTCTATAATCCAATATTTTCAATATCCTCGTCAATTATTAGTTTCGTCATACCTTGTTTTATTGTCCTATTTGTTTATATTAGGTTAGTGTTTTCGTTGCTTTCATTATTTTCCTTTTAAAACTGTTTTTCTAATGATATCTGTCTTACTTGTTGAATCTTCTGTTATAACCGAATATGAAAGCACCTTTCTCAAATATTTAGCAAATTTCTTTTTTTGTGAAAGATTTCGTTTTGCAACCGAAATTAAATTTCTTTTTTTGTGAAAGATTTCGTTTTGCAACCGAAATTACACAGAAAATATTTTAGGATAATGATTGCTTTACGTCAAAGACAAAAATTGTCCAGGAAACAGCGTTGGTCATATTTACGACCGTTAAAAAGGTCTGAATTGTTTTCAGAATGAAGAAATGCACAACTGAACGGTAACGTTCTCCGGATCATAGGGCAAAATTTTTAATTGCAAGATGAAGTTTTCAGTTTACAATTCTCATCAGTTTTGTCTAAACTGAAATTTTGATTCAGTAACAATTATCAGAATTTATTTGCTCTCCGAAGAAAACTTGCTCATTTTAATTCCCACTCCGTCAACTTAAAAGAAATTTCTCATTATTTTAACATGTTTACAATACTTCATTTGCTGTTACACTTCCTAGGATTCAACTGCAATTTTGCTGATTTCCCTTCCCATTAATTTTAGATTAGCGAAGGAAACGACAGCTGTCAGTAATTTCAATTGCAGTGACCAGAAGGCGATAACTGGAATCGGTTTGTTTATTATGAATTGATTAATTCGTTTGCTTTATTCTAATTACAACAGGAATACTAGAAGTATGGCATTAAACGACACAACAACTTGCCACCCTCTTGTTTTCTGTAATATAAGCAAAAATAAGTGTTGAAATGAGAAGAAAAAGAGAAATGGAAATGAACGTATTTGAGAACTAAGAGTTCACATAAACTTTAATTATACTCACATCTTGTGAAATAAATTGTCGTTTTAGTAAGTTTGAAAATGTAAAATGTAAGAATGCTCTCATCATAATATCAAAATTCATTTTTGAAATGAAGCTGAAAATTTTCTTCTTTCAATTTTTTACGGAGTAGTGAAAGACTCCGTAAAAATTTGCCATTTGTGAAAATTGCTGTATCACAGCAGATTGAGTCACTGATATATTGCTGAAAAGATTACAATTTTTTTGGAAATCTAAGAAATATTTTTTCTTTAATGTTTCCGAAATCTGACAAAGTTAAGCAAACTATTCTCTTTTCTCTGGTCTCTTGGTCATTTAATTAGACATGTTTCTTTCAAACTTGTCTAATAAATTAGTATTTCTTTTTCATCAATTTGGAGTCGTATTTAAAAAAAAAAAAAAGGTTATTTTGCTGAGCTTAAAGAAACCTCCGATATTCCGGATTTCTTTTGTTCCCCTGTTCCTCTGCTTCTTTCACTGTCATATGTTATTTTATAACTGCAGATTTCTACAGTTTCCATAATAGGTGATGCAAAAACTTCAAGACGATCCTTTTAATTTCAACTATCTTCTGACGTGTTCAATATCAATTAACCCAACGTTGATATGATAATTAAATTTAGTAACATATACTTGACAATGGACACCCACTAAAATGCATTGATCATTTCTATTTATTGTTTTTTATTATTGTAGTGTAGTAACGATTTGGAACGGAGCGGATGGAACATTGCTAAAGGACCCCTTACCTCTGCAGGATATTAAACGGCTGATATCTTCCTGACCATAAATGAGTTCTCCACATTAACATAAGAACAGGATACTATTACATTTTGGAAAATAAAGTATAATAATAAGCTATGGAAAGCTTTGGCCAACATGTCTGATGTACTTATAATATTAAATTGGCGACCATATTTGAATGAGTGAATTCCGCATGGCTTGTCTCATTTTAGTCGATTATTTCTGACTATCTTTCAAGGTTTTAAACCTTATTAAATCGAATAAATAAAAAAAAATTCATTTTTCTGTGGCTTATTCTTGATAACCAAAATTTGTTGGGAATCTAATTTATTTCTTAAGGCTTAAATAATGGTCTGTAAATTCTTTGATGTTTTTGGGGGCTTTAAAGTTCTGAAAAGCTTTCCGTTTGCAATTTATAGTCCTTTTTCAAGTCTTGTATTTTAATTATATTTCACTAAATCATCAGTTAAAAGTTCTGAAGAAATGACATCTATAAAACAAGGAATCACTTTAAAAAAACAATTCAATTTGTGTAAACAAGTAAACCAAAATAAGCGCACATTTTTTTTATTTTTGAAAAGTGTTTTAGTTGCCTTTTCTGAAAATTCTCGTCGCGTGAAGAAAGGGACTTAATTATAATATTCAAAAATGATAGAGTTTTTTTTTTTTTCTTTTTTTTTCAGTAGAAACAGCAGAAATAATCAGACCACAGCTAACAGTAGATCCTGATAAAAATGAACTGAATTTGGGCAGTTTGGGCAAAGGAAGGAAGAAGAAACAAAAGTATGCTTTCTGGTTGTTTCTCGAAATACCTGTATTTCAAATAAATATAAAAAAAAATAAAATAATATTGTTAGAAGCAAAAAATATTATTTTTTTTTTTTAACAATACGAGATAAGGTGAAATCAAAAGCAAAAAGTACAAGCAAATAAGAGTTAAAATTGTTAGCACAAGTTTTCCTAAACAATCATTATGTGTTAACGGCAACAATTAAAAATAACATATGTGAGCAAAAGTACTTTGTCTGACTTTTTCATTCCAATTTATTAATTACTCGGTATAATTCTCGAAATATTTCGAGAAGCAAATATATCTAGCACAAAATGCGCACATTTGCAGCCTTCTATACAATTCTATAACGTCGTTACATCATCATCGATACTGGTGAACTACTGCTTCCTGTTTTGCTTTGAATTGATTTATTCATCACAAAAATTTTATTGTCATTATTTTTAGCGATACTCTTGATATGGTTTCAAAGTTAACTACACTTTATTCTCATAAAATTAATAAGGAATATTCTAAAAATGGAATGCGAAAATCACTTAAGCAATACGACGGTTGTGGAGTGTATATAAATAGAATAGTGAATGGTGATACTGAAATAATCAAAATCGATGATAGCGATATTTCAGACGAAGAGATTTCTAATAAAGGTGAATTAATCAAGCTTGATAATTTTATGAGACCGTGACTCAGAATACATGTATTAGCTTATTATGCAATTTACTTCTTCCTTTTTAAATAGCTAATTTACAAAAGATGAATCACAGTGATCATTATGATGTCATTTGTAAGACGCGGCTGATAAATAATCCAGAATTTAAGTTTTGCATCCTTATTACTAAAGGCTTTAGATGTCAATCAATAAATAAATAAAAGACCAATGAAATTGTTTCTGAAGTCAAACAGAAGTAAAACTTGATAGCTTAGAAAACTTCAAGGATTCATTCAAAGAATCAAAAAAATGATTACATTAATTAATTTGGTTCAAATTGCAGTAAAAAAATCATTCAGTGAAGGATTTCTGCTGAGAATGCTGGAAAGATTGAACTGGAACAATTTGCCTTGTCCCTGCAGAGAAGTTACTTTAAATCGGTATGCTAAGCTTTCTGTTGCAATTCAACTTTTGTAAAGCTAAAGTTTTTTTATTACTGATTTTTCAAATAAATTTTCAATAAAAGAATTCAAATAAAAGAAAATTAAGAATTTAAAATCAAATAATTTTCATTAGAAATTTTTAACTCGTTCAACCAAAAATCTCAAAGATGAAAAAAAAGCATTTTCAAAAAAAGAAACAAGAAGTTAGTAATAATGAGCTGAGAGATTTAAGTGAATTAAAGGTATAAGTCTGACAAGAATTTAGGTTAGCAAATTTAGTGTATTCCTGACCTAGTGAAACGTTTAGAAACAAAAGTTTGAATAATGTTTTAAGGAGCCTTGGACAAAATTATGTTCGTTAGATAAATACTTTCTAGCAAAGAAAAGAAAAGAAAAGTGAAACAAAGTTTTGTAAATTGAAAACAAATTAGTGCCCTAAATGAAAATGTCGAAAGGATTACTCAAAGTAATTACAAATAAAATTAGCGCTGGAGAAGTAGGTAAAATAGTGACAGATTTGATAAAATATAAGTAATTAAATTGAAAAAGTTGTACATTACTATTAAGGTAAAATCTGTGCTTTTAAAACAAAAATTTCAAAATTACTCATTAAAATTCTGCTGAGAAAAAAAAAATCAGTTAATAAGACAATAAATTATATTGGAAAATTGTTCAGATATAATTATAAGCACTTTGCAGATTCTTACAGAACGATTTGAAAAGCAAAGAAAATTCAGTGATATTTGTTCCACAATTAGAAGTTTATAAATTTTACGAATTGCAGAAAATGAACACTTCCGGTAATTTTCATTTGTTCAAACTGAAATTATATGTTTATTTTATTCAACATTCATTATATGAGTGTTTTGGAGTCAAAAATATTTCGTACTTTACGTTTTCCGTGTTTTATTTCAGCATCAAATTCCATATTTGTCCATTGAAAAGTAAACACTGAAAGTTTTGCAGAAAACAAGCAAGAAAAAGATGTTTTCTATAATGAGGAAGTGGAAACTGATATAGGTTTCACTGATAAACCTGTACCGCAAGTAAGGTTTTCAATTTCTGCTTGATATGATAGAATATTTGATTAAATGAAATTTGAATTTTGACTTCTGCTTCCTACGAAAAAGAAAGTGAATGGTTGCTTGACGTTGTACTATTTAAGGATGAAAGAGACAAATTGAATGGTACAGAACAACATCTGTTCACAAATGCTAATGCAAAGCAATACATAGAAACTGTTGAACAAAAAGAAAAAGAAAAGGTAATTTTGAGATATGAATTCAAACAATACAAATTGATAAAATGCTTGAAATTCTATGGTATCCTAAATAAATGTAAAAATTTATTTTGCAGAAACAGCTAAAACTTGATTTTGTTGCAAAGAAAGACGAATCAATAACCAAGGAAAATGATACTAAAATAGAGTATTATGACAAACAGCAAAGAAATTTCGAGAAAGGTAACTGTTGTTAATTGAGTTCACTATGCAAAAATGATTAAGCTTAACAACTGTTTACTTTTTCATCCTTCAAATTAATTTCAATGCTTAATAAAATTTTCGAAGAACTTTTGAATTCAAAAATTCATATCTGATGGACATGAAATTTCAATAAGGTGAAGAAAGTGAATGCCGAGGAATGGATGATACTAGAAAAGAATCTGGCAATCTTGATAAAACAGTCAGAAAAACTTTGGGAAAATGCTGCATTCTGTCGAGACTTCGGAAGAAAAGTAAGGGAAGAAAACTTCCGCACTTGAATTCAAATGATTCAAAGTTAGTCTTTATTGATAATTCACATCACTATCATATCATTTATCACTAACAGCACCTTTCAATCTTTTCAAACGTTTGAGTAGTTTCATTGTTTAAAATTGTTGAGGAGATTGAAGCTATATAAGAAATTTCCCTTGCTTACAGTCATATTTCTAAATATCTCTTAAGTAGCTAGTATCATCTATTTATAGAAATAGCTTCCTGACAGAACGAGCGTCAACGGTCTTTAGAAGAACATTAAATCGTGGTAATAGTTTGATCGGACGGCATTGCAGCAGAAGTCAACGAATGGAGAAGCGAGCTACAAAAACACTCGGTGTTGTTGTCGGTATGATATTTCTATTTATATTTCTTGCATTTTCAGAATTTTAATATCAGCAATTAAGATATTATAATTAATAAATTTGTATACACATATACACTGCCAAATCATTGCAGGTTTCTTTTGAAACCGAGCAAAAGAAATTTCACTTACTTACAACCTATTTCTATTTATCTGCTTCTATTAGTAGTTCTGGTGATAGAAAATTTATTCATTATAGGATTATATCTTTCTTTATTAGTTACAGAGGTTTTTCGCAAAGTTATATATGTCGCGAGAAACCTTAAAAAATTGAACGCTCCATATTTTTTTTAAGTAAGTTGTAAATTCTTCTCATTAGCTCCGTTTCGCTTGTATCAGCGTTCCAGCATCTCGAGTAATGCACTGGGGAACAAATGATGTGGAACGAATTCTGTAATTTAATTTTGAAAGAGAGCTGGGATGATCAGTTATATAATGTTTCGATGTGGAAGTAATTTTGAAAACAGTAATCAAATTTCCTTCCACACTTTTTATAACCCTTTATCATGTTTTCTTTTTCAATTTTCATAAATAATCCTCCTAAAGTAAAATAATTTTACAAATGAACATATTGATTTAATAATTTCAGGGATATTTCTAGCTTGTTGGGTGCCATTTTTTTCGGTATATATTCTCAACGCAGTATGTATTCAAATGGATATTAAGAGTTGTCAAGTTGACTTCTATGCCTTTTTCTATACAACTTGGCTTGGCTACATCAACTCATGCATCAATCCAATCATTTACACTATTTTCAACGTGGAATTTCGACGTGCCTTCAAATGTATATTATTTGGAAAAGTTCGTTTGTTTGTTTATTTGTTATTTTCCTTTTTCTACTCATGAGGTTTTCAGCTTGAAAAGCATAGATTTTACCTCTTTTTTCAGCTCTCGATTCGAAAAGACCTATAAATGAATAAAGGAAAGAATAATTCAGGATGTTTTTCACGTCCAATCTTTACATTCCGTCCAGCATATTAGCCATTCGAATGTAATTTAGTGGTGTTTACGGGTATTTATTGCTCCAGTAAATTCTCAATTCTTGGCTATCTTACAAAAAGACGAATGAAGAAGCTATTTGTCATTTATCGCGATAAATCAGATCAGGAATGATCGCCTATTCTCAATTGTTAGCGATTTGCAAGTGTTATAAATTTATTTAGAAAATGTGTATGTGCATAGCAGTGATATCATTAATGAATACATTCTTTTCCATTGATCCACACCTGTTTCGGCACATAATTCGGGCAGAATATGCAAATGTACAGCGGTGGAAGTTCAGGATGTAGGTGTGTGTCTAGCTGGAAATTAATATAAATACCTGCTTCACGTAATTGAGTTACTGAGATCTGCAATTACTACTAATCTTCATTTGGAACAAGTTTAACTTATGAAGAAAATAAATTGCGACGGCGTAGTAATTACATCAATCAGGTTGATAAAATTGAAATGACCTTTGCAGGAACTTGAATATCTCTCGCATCTTTCCGTGCTTTCATCATGTAATTAAATGTTGCACTTGGGCATTCGTTTGAGATTTCAATCGTCTAAATTTTGTGTTTCAATGAAAACAGTGATATAAAATCATTTATATAGATATTTATGATGATTGAAACCCACTGCCAATTTTCGAAGAATGTCATAAATTCGAAATGACCTTTTTGGATTAGAAACAAATTTTTACCAAATTATAAACCTATTAAAAAAAGAATTTTGAAGTAGAGTTTGTAAAGTTTAAATTTGAAGATAAATTGGAATTCTCGTTAGTTTAAAAGTCACTAATACCAACAATGGGTTTACAGTAAGTTCTATACTTTTGTCCAGTTGCGATATCAGCAGAAAACAAATCAACAGCAGCGTCATGTGAAGCAATTGGCTGAAATTTCTTTGCAAAGTGGATGAAATCTTGAAATATTAGAATAATGAAATATTTTTGTATTCTTCAATTAATTAAATGATGATTTCAGTGTACAGCAAAACAAAAAAGGAAGTATTTATCAGCTTGTTATCATTATTGGTTAGACAGTAGATATTAGCGCAATGCGCAATGTTCAATGTTGGACTGTTTTCAATTACGCACGATTTCACTTTTGAATATTCCTTTTCATCTCTTATCAATGTAATAAAAGAAATCAAAAGAGAATTTTCGATATATTTTTGGTTTGCAAATTCTTATGAGAATTTGGTGGCAGATAATTTAGTTAATTGTAAAAAATGCTTATAAGTACTGTTAGGAAAAATAAGAACTAGTTTTCTTTAATACTTTCAAAAGTTTAGGATCAAAAAACGGCAAATTTAAAAGAACATTCAAGTATTCATTGAAATGATAAATACCTGCGCTTCACCTCTTGATGAATTGATTCTTGGAACCGATAATGATGCATCTAAATGCGAGTTACACATTATCTGACTTAAAAATTTTAATTGAAATTTACTGTTCAATTATTGAAAACCCACTTTCTGATGATACTTCATTCTTGTCTTTCATCTCGGAACTCTCATACGATCTTGGGTTTTCAGTTGGTAACTGATTGCGTTGAGACAGCTGAAAAAAAAAAAAAAAAAACATCACTGCTTACTAATCAAAAAAAATTGCATAATTTGGTCATTTCTGAAATTTATAACTCATAACTTTTTGCTTTTGTTTTATGACATTTTCTTTGGTCATGATTTTATAGACAAATTGGAATAGCGAAATTTCGTTGACACAAAAAGTCAAAAAAAGGAAATAGTATATCATTGATCATAATCAATGTCATGATCTATGAAGCAACAAGTATCTTCAGCACATGCCCATTCATCTCTGAAGGTAATTGTCAGAACATAGATTAAACCCAGGTGTTTCATTGCACTGCATGATTTGAACGCGTAATATTAAAGTACTTCAAAAAAAAAAAAAAAAAAGAAAAGTTGCTTCATAAACTCCATGCATGCCAAGAAAGCGTTCTAATATAATCACTGATAGTTGAGAACTGATGGCGAAAAAAGATTTGAATGAATGTGAGATAAAAGAGCCAACTGAATTTTAGCTTAAGATTAGCGTGAACTTTACTTTAATGAAAAATAAGGAAGAGATAAGAACCTGTTCAGCTTTGTTTAATGTCATATTCATCATATGAGCGAGTAGACTGAAAGTTTCTGCTGAAAAGTTTTTGTGCTGATTGCTGGACATTTTACTCTTTTTTCAGCGACAACAAACAATCTTTTGCCTTAAAAAATTCGATGTTATCATAAATAACGGCAAAAAGCGATAGGAGTCGACCAACTTATGATATTCACCACTTAACAATGAATATATTTCTAAAATATCGATGCTATCAAATGATTATTCATTAAAAATTTTCAACCAATCTTTCTCTCTTCTCTCATCTATCCGCTCAGTAAACCTTAATCTTAGCTCATCTAGAACGAAATTTCTGCTCTTTCGTAAGCAGCTAATTTAACAAATTCGACTTTTCTCCTTCAGAATACACAATAAGAGTAATGGGAGAGGTAATCAAATAATTCTTTTATTCTGAATACTTTCAGCAGTAGCATCACTTAAATTAAAATAACACAATAAACCTTCTAAAAATACCATCGGAATAATAATAATGCTTTAAAATTAAAATTCATTAGAAATATTGGATCGCTTTGATTTCAAATTTTCTTTGATAATTTCAAAAAGAACTTTGTTTGATTATATATATATTCTAAGTTAAACCTTGCAGGTAACGCATTCTTAATAACAACAATAACATATTTAAGAAAAAGCTAACATCGAAGTGATGACCACATCATAAAACGATTATTCACTGGTAGTATTGATCATTTTCTATCAGTTTTTTCTAAAATAATTTGAAAGACTTTAGAATTGTAGCTAACTTCACTTTTACGTTTAGATAATAAAGTTATAAAGATAGTAGCATAAAAGAGATAGTAAAATTTATTATATAAAAAAAAATGTTTATAAAAAAATAAAATAAAATCATTAAAAATATTGGATCTCTTTTATTTTTTCATTTCTCTCCAAAAGCTAATCTCTTTGATAATATAATAATTGAAATGATTAATGTCCAGCAGGTATTATCTTACTAGTAATTACAACATACTTTAAAAAAGCATTGAAATGCTGGCAAAATAATAAGATGATAAATTACTCACAGTATTTAATAATTTTGAACTGTTTTTTAGCGATGAATGATTTAAAACACTTTAACTTTGTAATTTAATATCGTTTTGTAATTTAAGCAATCAAATTCATAAAAATTTTGATGTCGAAATGATAATAAAACTTTAAAACTAAAATTCATTAAAATTAGTGGATCACAAATTACATTTTTTCAAATAATTATCATTGCCTGATAGTGATATCAATTAAAAACTTAGATCTTACAGGTATGTTTTTGCAAATAGATGGCTCAGATTTTCTAGGTAATGTGTTTTTGCAAATACGACAATAGTTTTGGAAGAAATTGAAATGTTGATCAGCTCTTGAGATTATGAATTCACTACTGTATTTGATATTTTCATTTTACTGATGACAAATCTTTCAAAAGATTCAATTTTGCAGTTAAATCACTTTCGTATTTCAGTTAATAAATCTTATAGAAAGCTCAAAATTACAATAAAAAAATTGCGATTAATTAAAATCGTTAAAATTCAATAGAAATTTCTTTGTTTTCCAACTTTCATTCTTTCTACCATGATTCTTTTCTTTGTTATTACCTTATTTACTTTATGGATTCTACTTTTCTTCAAAAGGTGAAACACTTGTTCTTCGATCTTTTTTTCTTCAATCAGTACAAATTTTTGCAGGATTTTTTAAATTAGGTGAATGTTACTGTGGAAGCTATCTCCAATATCACAGTTAAGTGAATAATAAGTAAGCAAATAAGCATTACTTAGTATTTAACACTTTTATTATCTGCATTTTTGGATTACAAACAGGATTTCTTCAGTAATTCTTCTTTCCACATTTTTATTTTCACGTTTTTGGTGTCATTAGTTAATATGTTTACGTTGTTGTGGAACTATCTCCAATATCACACTTTTTATGTATCCTTTATTAAAATGTATTGCAATTTTTCATTGTTCGCTTTGAAAAAACACATGACTGAATGGCTTCTAACAACTTCTTTGCTTTTAACAACAGCTTGCTTTTTATTTTGTATATTTTTTTCCATTGCTAATATAGAATCCTTTTCGTTGTGAATGAATTCGTAAAGATGTTTTGCTTTTGAGAGACAGTCTAATCTATATCAGATTGTACGATGTCTAAAGAAAATGCTTTTTTTTGGGCAATAAATTCGGCGTTTTTTCTGGAACTTTTTTTCATCGCTATCTAAATATGAGTGTTTTCAATTAAAAATTGTCTATGAAAATCAGGAAAAAAGTCACAAAAGGAAAGATGCTGAACTTATTGCCTGAGGAAAATATAATTTTGTTTTCATTATTATTCCATATGTCACTTTGTTTTGTAATTTGGCTAAAATTGCTGTTATGTGAAAGTAAGGAGAAAGTAAGGAAATATATGAAATACGCTTGAAGTGAAATAATGGAATGAATTTGAAATCTTTTCACAAAAAATTTCATTTCATCGAATTTTGTTTGTACATACTTTAAATGCAAAAAGAATTTTGACTCAGAACTCTCAAATATTTTCGGATTTTCCACACAGAAGCATACATTAACTCTTCAACGCTTCAAATACCATTGGATTTTGACTTGTTTTCAACGTTTACGAACTGCTCTCCAAATTCAAATTTTTTTTAACCTGAACAGTTTACGTCAGCAAATAAATTGATTTACAGCGAATTATGGTTTCCCAATGCTATTTTACACTTTTCAAATAACCAAGTCGGTTGAGAAATGAATTACATAAAAACACCCTTATGACTTATGTGACCTTTCGCAAACTATCTAAAAAACTTTACATCCATATCTTCGTTTGTGAACCCTTAAATCATAAAGAAGCACCACAAACCTTCAACTAAAATTATCTTTTTTATTTTTAAAAAATTTGCTACAACTTGAAATCAGCGCAGAATTCAATAAAGGAAAATAAGAGATTTTGTTCGACAAATTTCTTTCTAGATTTCATTAATTGTATTGCACAATCCTACTGATAAAAAATGTGAATTAGGAAGAGCCGTGAAGAATACTATCTGCATTAACTGAAAGATGAGCATAAAAAGATCCGGACAACTTGAAGTACCACATCGTCTTCACTTCTTATGTTTGATTATCAACTTGCGGTACATACACATGTGAAAAAGAAAATCGTCAGCTAAAAGCATTTTTCAAGCACATATGCCAAAACATCATACAAATATATAATACGAAGAAAAATAAAATATCACGAAATAGGCAAAGAAAGCAGGATAAATTACAATCATAGAAAAGAAATACTAATTCTTAAGTATTTTCTAAAGACTTATATTCTTATAAACATACAAATTCTCATAATAAAAATTAATTTAAGAAACATTATGCAAAAACATGAACCTTAAATAAAATCCTAAAACCTCTTGCAAAAATGAACTCAAATTTCTATAGTTTATGAAACGAAAAGTGCTCCATGAATATTCATTACTTTCTTTCTCCCTCTAGGAGGCAAGAAATACCTGTTCAGTAAAAAAAAAAATTATTTTAATTATTTGCTTATGCTAAACGAATGATATTTCCTGCCACTCAGGTATAGCATATAACCCCACTGAAATTCATCACTATTGTCATTATAAATAGTGATGAAAACAATAAAAATCAATTCTGAGGGATGAGATCTATTACTAAGCTGGAAGGAATCAATTGGTAAGATAAAAAAAAGCTAGAACACAATGTCTCAAAAACTTGAATTTCGAAAAATTTCCATCTCCTCATAATATGAAATAAAGTACATGTAACAATCCTTGAAAAGGATATTTTTCAAATCTGGAAGAACGTTGCACGACTTAATGTGCTGGATTAGGAATCGAAGATCCATGTAAATGAAAACCGGTCTAAAACAAGTAAAAAATGAAATTAAAAAGCTATGAAGTGTTACATACACAGTACAGCAAAATTTAAATAAGAACAGATGCCTTTCAGGCTCACTGTATAACATACACAGATAAAACCATTACTGTACAACTAGTAAAATATCCTCCATTACTTCATATTTCGTTTCTGAAGTACAAAAATTGCAGAATAAAATTTCTGATTGTAAATCAAAATCAGAAAACTTTAGGTGAATTTTCGGTATACACATGCTTCCCCGTTTTTCTTCTTTTCGGTTACTAAAATCACAGATGTACTTCTAATCTGGAATGAAGAAAAATGAGGAAGCAAATGAAAAGATCACAAACTGGGAAATTATCAAATCTGAATAATCATATTTCTAAGCTGCTTTGTAAGTTAAAGATATCCTTAAGTAAACACATAATAAAAGTTAGTATATAAAAGATTAGGAACACAATTTTCAAATAATTTCAACAAAATAGTAAAGTAATGTATAAGCATTGGCATTACGTTCCATCAAACAAGACAAAATTTTGCTTAAATCAAGCATCACCCGCAACGTCATTTGCTTCCGCTTTCGTAATTACTTCTTCAAATATTGCTGTCATACTTTCCAGCTCTTTCTGCTACAAATATATAATTACAAGTACATAACTACAAATATAAATATATAATTTACAAACCTACATTAAAGGGGATAAAACAAAGAATGCATATATATATATATATATAAGTAAAAGGATTATGCATACTGAATAAATGAATTATGTATTCTGTAATGACATATAGTGCTAAGAATAATTTCACATGACTCTGATAAGGCAGTAATATTCTTTTATACATAGAAGGAATTTGTGTGGAAAATGAGTGACAGATATTCTGCCCTTACATCTGGTCTGCCTTCTAACTCTTGATAAGTGAAATAGTTTCAAGGTCACAGAGCATAATGCGTAATATTACGACTTATTCGCTAGAAAAAAAAAATATCATTGTTACCGAACATCGTCTTATTCGCTAGAAAAATATATCACTAATTTAGGCTAAGGACGAAAAGTAGCTCCAAAATTTTGATTCCAAATGCACTTAAACGCAGTGATAAAGACTGTATCAATTATTATTCTCCTCTTGTTAAAATTTCATTGACAATTTCCAAATTTTATTTTCCCTTTCTCATCATACATAATGCAGTTATTCTTCATTTATTTTTAATTATGGTTCAGTTCCCTGTGCAGCAAATGAAAAGAAACTTGGTTGATTAAGCAGAACAAAATTAAGAAAATTGAAAGCGCAGCTTGGAGTGAAAATATCGCGTGGGCGGAAAGTTTTAAATCAAATGTAATGGATGAATGAATGATTCTATATTATATAAACTGAAAGGGGACATCAGATTATATACGTCAAACAACTGGAACTGGAATTAAACAGAACCAGAATTAGCTACATTGGAAAGTCCTGGATTAAAAAACTCTCCTTATTTAATTAAAAGTAGGTTCAGCTATATCAATGTCTCCGATTTTCTGATTTACAACGCAATGAATAAATCTGATGTAGAAATAACTCTATCTATTTAAGAACAACATAACTATCATTTGCAGATTGCATTAGACACTTTAAGAAACTTGAATTCTATTTGATGATGTTCTCCAAGAGTAGACCATGTCCACACTTTTATGAAATATACAGTAACTTACCCTAGCTTCCAGACTCACAGTCAAACTGTCGATCTTTGATTCCTGATGTTTCACTTTCAGACGCAAACCAAGTGTATCTGCTTCATGCTGCTTTATCAGCCTCTCTATTTCGTTATTTGCCCTTTAAAATTATCTAATAGCAACAAATCTTAGTATAGAGATATATCAAATTTTCATTTACCATGATCACAAAATAAAATGCAGCATAAAGCTACAAATACATTCCTTTCAAAAAATAAAAGACCACGGAAAAATCTTGCAAATGTTCTATCAGAAATAGCAAAGCATTTGGTGTAACTATTCACGTGCTCGTAAAGTGGTAACTCACGGCAAAGTACTTAATTTACTATAAAAACTTCGATATTCATGTAGTAAGTTTGTCGCTGATGGAACAATTATATGCCGAGGACATAGACAATCTCGTATATGAATCTTAAAAAAGATTTGAGAAAGACATTAATCGCTTAAAAAATCATTTCAATCCAACCCTGCTCAGAATGTCATCGTGACAGGTTAAAACAACTACCTTTTCAAAATGTTTCAGTTATTTAAGTTTGATCAAGTACGTTACTAGCACCTAAAACATTAGTAACCGGAATTAACAAACATTGAGCAATGGAAGCACATATATATGTATATATATTTTTGTGTGGTTTATTAATGCTTACAGATCAAGTTGTTCCTCGGCATTTCGTCGAAGCATTTCAAATTTCTCAGCAAGAAGTGAATATCTCCTTGCCATTTCCTCAGATGCGCTTTTGACACTGTCTTCATTCTAAAATAAAGGCATCTAGTTTCTAAAAACCAATTCAGTGTAAATATTTTTCAATGAGTCGGTGTAAGATATTACGATTCAAAGTGAAAGTAACTGACAATAACAAATAATAAATAAGCAAGTTAAATTTACACAACCAAATGTCAACAGTAAGATTAAATGAATTTTTCTGAATAAGATCGTAATTTAAGCTAATTAGAATTTAAATTTAGCTGCTTCAGTACCATATAGTCACACACACACACACACACACACACACACACACACACACACACATACATAAATACGATGTTCAGAAAATGAAAGGTTTCGGTATTCGTAAAAGTACGGAACGGAGTACTTTGTCAATCACACAGAAAAGTTCGCAAAACATACCAAAATCATCACAATCAGAAGATAAAAAGAAAACGTACTCGTTTAATTTCAACGCTTGTTTGTCGCAATTTTTCATAACGTCTGAAAAGTTCACTGTAACTTGTTTCCAAAGAATTCACTTCCTCCGCTAACTGGTCTCGTTCTTTAAGCAGCTGAGTAACATCATCTGGTGATAAATTTCTTTCTGGTCCTGGTCTACCCACCGACTTCGATTCACCTAAGCAATTTTTCTGTACAATTTCAACAACTGAGCATCTGAACCATTTTCTGATAGTGCAATAAAGTTGAACCGGTAATTTCTTGGAAAGTCAATGTTTCTTTTAAGAAAACTAAAAAAAGTTGCACGGTTATTAGCAATATAAATTATTACGAACTTCAGTGGTATACATATTTGAACAAATAATGTCAAACACAAAGAATCAGAAAACTGTTTATGTTGCGCAAGTACTAACTACTGCAATCGTGGAGATAATGTGTAGCTCATATCAGAAGTTCAGTGGAAAGAACATTACCAAGAAAACTGAATACAATGAATTTTCTATATCGTGATGATACTATCAACTTATTTTATGGAGAGTTAAAGTAGAGTAAAAATACACACCAATTTTACCTCTTTCTGACCCCATCTAATCACCAGAAAAAAATCAAAAGTTCTCACCATCAGAATTCTTCTTCTTCAGTTCTTCCACAAATTCTTGCACCAATTTTTCATATTCAGCCATAGCCAATAATCGTTCAGCAGCTTTCTGTTCTAGTGGTTCATTACGCCTTTGCTCATGTGCAAGTAGTTGAGTCAACTGAAATACAATTCATTAAATCCAAGTAGAAAATGTTTAAAATAATGTGAGATTTTGTTCAGTTGTTTTTTATGACAATTATGCATTCATAATTAAACAGAGGGCTATTTAATGCATATTTATTTACAAATCGATAACGCATCATAAATATTTGTTAAATTATAATGATAGTTATCCATTCGTAATTAAAAAATAGGCGATTTAGTGCTCATTTACTTACATGGATAACACATACTTCTTAGCAACAAACAACTAACAGACAATTCAATCGACTAAGAGTTAATCGCTAGGAAGTAATGTCCATTAGTTCATTAACTAATTAATAATTAACGACATTCATTATGCTATTAATATCCATAGATCGTACTAGAACACAATAAATAAATCTGAAACGGATATATTATATTTGAACAGCTACACTCTCAACAGTACCGGTCTACCTTTGACCTTTATACAAAGTGATCCTTTTGTAAGATGTCCTACCCACTCGTGAATACTTCCAAGCACACAGTTAAAAGTTCTTCATAAAATTCTTTAACCTTTTCGTTTTTAGCAGTCCATTCTTTCTCTCTTGTAGCGACAATTGCTTGCACACGTCGCATAAGTTCCGTAGCAGGATCGTCTGAGTGCATCTACAATCAGTTCTGATTCGACTTTATTTAAATCATACTACAAACTTAATTTAGTTCAAGTGATCTAATATTTTCTTCTAAAATCACTTTATGATTCTTATTAACGTTTTCGATAAAGGAATTAATCTTTAATATTATCTGAACTGTAAGTTCAATAAAGAGAACATACTTATTTTCATCTGAACATCTGCAAAAATATGCGACAGAAACGGATCAAAAACAAAAGGAATATCGAATGCTGTTTTTGCTTAAGGAATGATATAATATTGGTAAAATACTTTTCCTTTGGAAAAACTGAAATATATGCTTCAAAAAAATATAATTACTTGTTTCACTTCATTATATGCAGCTGTTATATCGAGACTTATTTGGCTCTGGACTGTGACGGTTCGCTGCCGTACACGCTGTGACGATTTTCGTTCTTCTCTAAAAAAGCAAAAAATTGAGGAAACTTTTATTTCTTAGTAATTCAGAAAAAAGATGTTTATCATCATAATAGAAATTTACCTTTGGGAATTTTCCGGATGATGAGGAGAACCTTGTATAGCTACAGCACTAGAAATGACAGCAGAATTTGCATTAACTGAAACACACGGAGTAATATTTGGTGGTATTATACCCCTTACTGGAGCTGCTGCGGCTGTAAATTGCTCTAACTGAGGAATGATTTTCGGTACATATTCCTGTAGCGGAACAGACTTTGATGCCGTAGTTTGTTGATGCGCTGACCTTGACGGTAGAGCTGGAATTATTTGTGGTTGTGGTGCAACTGTCGACTGCTGCTCCAATATCCGAGGAGGTTGTGATATAGCATGACTGCCTGTAATGGTCACAACGGCTGAAGGAAGCGACTGCCCTACAAAAGTTGTGTAACCATTTATTTGTGAAAGTTAATATGAAAATAACAAAAACTTTTACAAAAAATATTAAAAACATTAATGTAAAAGAAATTCTGAAAGTTAATATTTTGACAAAACTAATATGGTTAAATTAAGATTTTCATAGAACATTTAAATGGAATCAGATTTTTCAGTAAAAAAAAAAGTTTTACAGTTGAATATTAGCATGGTTAATGCCAACATTTATCTTATGATACGATCATGGTATTAAGTTAAAGCATTAGCTATGGTTACAAAGAAGCGAAAAAAAGTGTTAGAAAGTGAAAATATGAATTAAGTTAAGTAAGAGTTCAAAAGATTTTTTTTGAAAAATTTTCTAAAGTCATTTGAGTTATTCCGGCTTTCAGAATGATGCATCGGTGTTTACTATAGTGCGGTTGTAAATCATGCATTTAATCTGAAGAAATACTGCTATTTCCAAATATTAAAATGATTTCTCAAAAGGTCGAACGAAAATGAAAAGGAAAAGACCTTACCCTGATTAGCAGAAGGCATATCTGCAATCCTAGATTCTGATTCAGTTTTCGAGAACTGCGTGACGTGACTTGTATCCGGTAATTGTTGGACTCGTGTTTTTGATGGACGTGTAATTGTCCTTGAATCTATGCTGCAGTAGAAATTCTGAGTTCAGACACAAAAGTCATTGTATACAAAAATTATGATCTCAAAATGTTAAAAGGAAAAAGAGAAAAACAAATTTCCCAGTAAATTAAAATGGAAAAAATTTAAAAATGTAACCAGAAAAATGTAATTACCATAGCACTGGCCATAAAACAAACCACAACAAGAAAAAATTAAAAGTAATTTTAGTCAATAAACCATTCAAGGCATCCATCTTAACAAAACACTTAGGTACAGCAAAAGAATGAATCACGTCCCTAGAAGTACAATACAGCCCGATGTTAACACCAATAGGTAGGACACAACGATTATCAACATCAAATAGCCGAAAATCACCCAAACTTAAATCATCTACAGGCTTTATAAAAGAATCAAAAAAAACTAATCTACTATCGTCACCATATTCATAACTTCAATATCACTGATGACCGATAACCTTTAAAGTTAATTCAGACTGACGAAACATACGACCTTGATATTGGATCAACCAAAACCCAGGTCCAGCTATGATAACCAAAAAATTAACAACTAAAACTTGCAAAATTAACTCAATTATACGACTATCACTACGCTTTAAATTGAACTTAAAAGAATTGCCATAAAAATACAAACCAAAACTTACCAAAAATATAATAAAAAAACCAAAAAAAATAACATGAGAATAATAATTATGGATAAAATAACAACAAAAAACATAAGAATTACTAGGAACAGGAAAAACATAATTTTGTAAATAAATTATTAGCTTAAAATCCTTTTGTTTGGAAAACAAAAATACCAAAAATACTAAAAAGCCAAAAAAAAAAAAAAATTATAACAAACCATTGTCCTATCAAAACAAAATTCTTAACTTAAACTACTATAATAAATTAAAACTAAATTATATTTAATAAAAACATACAAATCAAAGTTAAAAAAATATAACTTTGCAAAAAAGCAAAAAACAATTCAACAGGTATAATAAACAATAAAGAAAAAAAAGAAAAGAAAAAGCCCAAATCTAAAATAGTAAATATTAAAAAATGACCAATCAAAAAAATAATACTAATACGCAAAGTTAAAGCCACACCACTCATCAAAAATCTTAACCAATGAGAAAAAAATATAACTAACCTAGAAACTCATTCTCAAGAATGATCATCTTCAAAACAAACCATAAACCTATCAATAGCCAAAGTAAAAGTACGGACTCCCAGTCAAGAAAAATTAGTAATAAAAAATAAAAAATTAAAGCTGGCCCAAAAATTAAATAAAAACTGACTCACAAATTCAAAACAAAAAAAAAAAAACAAGCTTAAAAAAATCTAGACTAAACACTATGATGACTAAAATCACTAACAAAAAACTTAAAAAGAATCCAGCACTCCTGAATGATTAAACTTTACTAATTCTGTATAAAACAAATACCAATAAACACGAAATAAAAGATAACAGCAAAATCGCCTGAAAAACAGAATTAGAAATAATAAAAAAACCACTGGATCAGTTACTCTGGGCAGTAAGATATAATGAATTATATAAAGGCTCAATTTTGAACTGCTTTGCAGAAAAAAGAATTTTAACAATGAATCAATTAATTCATAAAACTTCAAATCCGAAAATTTTAAACATTTAATGGAAGAATACAACAATACAAATTAATGATGCGTATGCCTTTGACAATAATGTCACAGGGCTTGAGAAATCTGAAATGAGGACAGTTTAAGAAAGTGAATGTCAATTCCCGTCAACCATGCAGCGACCGCTGGGTGGAGAAAGGATAATGAACTCAACAATGATGCAATTATTTCAAAACATTCTATGAAATGCTGTATCCAGAACATGATTTATGTGACATACTACGGTAACGTTTGATATTTGACAAACTTACCAAATATTAGTTAAAGATATCACTTCCTGTACTAATTTTTAAACTGGTTATTTCTTAATGATATAATACTTAAATTTTGTGGAAAAAAACTAATCTTGTCACAGTTCGAATTAAAGAAATGAACTTATTTTTTTTTAGTGAATGAAAAATTTTATATTTAGTGAATGAATGGTCGACTAAATTAATCAATATTTCTAATCACACAATTATGAAAAAGAATTACCATAATAAATTAGTATGTAAATACATTATAATACTTGCATAAAAGCTAGAAAGTCAAAACTAACTTGACATTTTGAAGTGTTAGATTGCAGATTAGTGTAACTGTTCATTTCGAGAATGGTTATATTAATCGGGACACTATATCCTCAGGTAGCTTAGTAGTCACGGAGGTTACGCTAACTCGCAAACTCTGAATAACAAGTTATGGAGAACAACTCTGCACTTCACAGTATTGATGAAGATTGAGTATAACATAATTAAATGTAGTACTTTCAAAATGATGGCTGATTAGATTCAAAAAATTATTTGTGAGAAAAAAAATATATATATATACTTAATTTCTTATCATTATATTCATTCCCTATTATTCTCATTTTCCCAACCAATTATATTAACTTTCTACTTTTCTCTCCTTTCCCAATGTTAAAATATAGGAATACTAAAAAAGGCGTTAATAAATACCAAACAAACATGTCGAGAAAGAAAGGAATGAATGGATGAAGAGAAAGACTGATGCTATCGATAAACACTAGTTAATTTGATGGCAGAACAGATGTTCCCGACATTATACTCTAATGAACATCATTCTCAGCTGAAAAATATCACCGTAATTACTATTTACTAAGTTTATTACGTCACAATCGATATTAATGTCTGATAAATACATGCGAGTTCTGATAATTCGTAACGAAATCAGTAATTGCTATTTAAGATTTCTGGAGCCACACGTGTATTCCATCTAATTCATTTAATAGTGAAAGCATTAAATGAATCCAAAAAAAACTATTTACTAAGCTTTTTGGAAAGTGTTTTTTTTAGCAACTGTTAAAATACTCTTGAGAAAAATAAGAGGAAATAGCCTGTGGTTAGAGTTTTAAGATAATAGAGGGCAGAGTAACCGATACTGGACTGCAGATATATAGCACAAATTTGGAATATAAAAAGTACGGAACACAAAGATAAAGAAATGATAGAAAGAGAATGACGAGCGTGGAAAGTTTTTAGCAAAAAGTACTCATTGAGAATACAATTTAATACGACACAGTTAAATATTTGGATCTAAATAAAAGAATTCGAATCTCCCAACATCATCTGTACTACCATTCAAAACATACGCAGTTCAGAAGTTAATCCGATTTCATTCTCGATAGCAAAAGTATACGATTAGTCTCTAACATCATTGATCCTTACAACAGAATATTTAGAGTTACTTACTTTATTAAAAAATGACCTTAAGCATAATCTTAAGCAATTTCTCCTTCCGTCTCAGCGGTTATAAAAATTACTTAATTTCGGTCCTTTGTCTGCAAAATATTTCATGTTTTTTTGCATTATCGGTAAAAGTCTCATTGGTAAGATTCCTGAACTCCGCTTCAAAACGCCTACGAGACTAACGTTGACAGCAGTGGCAAATGGGCTTTGTTATATGGTCATTCTAGTTCAAGTTCGAATCCAAGCGCTGAATTAAGACCAAATGCTTTCATACATATAAATGCAAGAAATACATCCAGCTTTCGTACAGACAAATATTAACATACATTTTCTTGGGCGTATCTTCCGGCGAAATCTGAACTACACAAATCATTTTCACAAAATTTCATTTCCATTTTTACTGTCCTCTTACATATCTTAAAGATAAAAAAAATTCATTGATTTTCCTAAGATTTCTTACAAAAACCTGGATCTACCTCGATGCTGGCCTACGGGGCGTTTCAAATTGCGTTATTGGTCCCTCGGCAGGATTTTGCCTTCCTTCGGGAATTGCATCAGATGATACCTCCATGCCTTCCAGTTTCTCCGCTTCAATTAGGGTCGTCTGCTTCACTCCAACCGTTTCGCTGGGATACTGCTGTTCCTTTGAAACTATTTCATCTGAAAAATTTTTTTAATATGAATTTATTCTTGCTAACAAGGAAAATTTTGAATTTCTTTTCACCAGGAAATTTAAATCAGTTAGCTTTTTGTTAATTTCTTTCGAATTTCTAACAACATAGATTCCCAAAAGTCATGCGATTATTTACTATAGGAGAGGAAAGATAATAAATCTGTCAACTATTAAAGCAAGACCAAAAATGTTTTGTCTATCCGACGAATAAGTGACAGATAACATAACTAGTGATCATAATTCCTAATCAAAATAAGCTGGTTATTCCGAATCTCTGGAAGCTCACTCTCAACTGGATGTAAATGGAGATATTTGCTATATCGACAATCATCTGTTTCACCTTTTCTCACCAATTATTAAGCATTTCAAGTTTCCTCTCGAGAAACTTTTAAATCAATTTGACAGGCACATTAGAAAACTGTTTCTCTTTGTTCATTATTATTCTGTAAAATATCAAAATTTCATCATTATCATACTTATCAATCACATGGGAAGAAAATTTCGATTTTAAGGAGACCTGATAATTTAAGGCAGGAAAAGTTACGGTCTTTAAGAGATTGACAGGATAAAAAATGAAATTTTAAAAGAAATAGAGAATATGACACAACTCATGTAGTATTAACTCCAACTTACATTCTTTTTTCTTCTTGCCAAACAATTTCATAACAGAAACTACCGCTGACCCAGTCATTGACAGCATTTCTAGTCCTCCAGTAAATTCTCAAACCAAACTTACACATAAACGGCATGCAATACTTAAATACACAACAACAATATAGTTAATATGTGCAGATGTACCTATAACCTACATCTATATCTATATATATATATATATAGATATAGATATATATATAGGAGCACATACATAGATATAAACAGAACTGAACTATTCTCTACTTCCTTCTTATCTGCCGTACTTTAATTGATTAATGTCAGCTATATACAAAGGAGCCATAGTATGGAATATCGCAAAGGTATCGTAGCACAATATATTAATGCCATATTAATGATTATATACCGAAAAAACGCTACAATGTGAAAAGATGTCATATAATCAATAGATATTGATCATAAAGTAAATATAATTTGGATAAAGTTTGAACAAACCATTAATTTCTTAATTTTCTCTAATAACAGTTTGAATATCAGGCACTAACAAAAGATGGAAAATTAAAAATGTCCAAATAATCTACCACGAAAAGAAAAAAGAAAGGGATGAGGAAGTTTTGTGAATAATGATGACATAGTTGGGCATAGAAAAAACAATCTCAAACCGTTTCCTAAACTTTCATCATTACTATTAGGTTATACCCCATCACTACATATAATCCAAATCTAGTCCTTCAGAATTATCTTATGATTGCACGAACAGGTTTCTTTTTTAGAATTACTGGTCCTTTTTTGGCAATGATGACTTTTTCAGCAAGTAGAAAATTTCCTTTTTACGGCAACTGGTAGCAGAATGGATTTTACAACTTTACAACTTATGTCACGTTTTTAGACTGACAGCAAATTAGAAGTTTTTATAGCGCTCTTTTATAGCTTAACAATTAGTTTTTAGATAATTTTTTTTACGACTAAAATATTTATCCCTTTTTTTCTGATCTTCACGAAAGGAACACCTAATTGAGATGAAAGGATATGTACCACACAACAACCATTACATGTATATTACAATAACCGCATGTTTGGAAAACAATCTTCATGAATTTTTTATCTTCATGTCACATTTTCACGAATTTTTGTTATTTGAAGGATTCCTCTTTCCTGCTCCAAAATCAGATTTATCCTAGCTATTACGACAGTTATACTGGCAACAGCATAATTAAATATTAGTGACAGTCCTTCATATTTCAGTAAGAAGTTTCGATATCTATTCGCCCACACAACTGCTCAGACATCTCGGGAATAATTCTGTATTGCTATCTATTTTTTAGCCAATCTACCTAAATATTCAGCAATAAATGGATTCAAAAAAAAAAAAAGCGCAAGATTAAAAAAACTTACTTCTACTGTTATTCCTTTCCATAACACCAAATTGCACAGTTTTTTGAACCTCTGGTGTTCCCGATGCTGTGCCAACGAGAACTACCTAAAAAACAGGCATAAATAATAGACTTGACACTAGTTTAGAGATAATTCTTTCTTGCCAACTAGAAATATTTCACTTTCCCACCTTAAATTTTCAGACAATTCCAAAAGAATACTTCTACTGAGATTATTTACATTTCTGTTCAAGGTATCCATCACACAAATAGTGTATTTGAAATTTATTAAAGTTTGAACTAACAAATATCTACAGAAGTTCTGTGCAAATTGTAAACTGCAGTTTGAAAAGAACTAGATAAACCTGAATTAATCTTTAGCACTGCTAAGAAAAAACGGACGTAAATTACAATTATTAGTACTATTATAATCGCATTACAGCAAAAACAATGGTAGTTGTGATGTGCTAGTAGTTATAATTAAAACCATAATACCAAATATAAAATGTTAATCGATGTACCATAACTACTACCAGTAGTAATTAATCCCCGCCCGATTCATTACTATTACATCCGATCCTTCACCCCTCCTCAAATTCCCTCACCGTAAGCCAATGGAGCATATCAAAACCTCTCTTCGCTGTAGCAGCTAAATAGCCAAAAAGTAATGGTAACTGCCATAGTAAGATGGTATGAGTGACAAAATTGTAAAGATAATAAACTAGAAATGTCACATTGCTCTTAACAAAAAATTCTAAAAATAAAAGACTTTTTTTCAATCTAATTATTAATGGGATCTTAGCTGAAAAGGAGAAAAAGCAACCGGTGGACAAGCATCTACGCATTTCACAACTTACTTTGAATAAAGGAAAAGGGAAATTGCATACGTAATTTATGGATTAGACCAGCTCTATCATAATTCTCTATGTTTTAATGTATTTATCAATATCTGATCTTTTTCATCAATCTCAAATTTTTTCAATCTCCAATCATTGCTATAATTGTAGCTATAATTTTATTCTTTCGAAGTTTTCTTTCAATCATTGATATACATAAATTCAAAACTAACCTCTTCAACTTGCGCTTAGGAAACACTGCGCATTTATATATTCTGCTATTTCCCAATTTAGATTGACATCACAGTTTGAATAAATTTAGAAAGAGCCCACCTGATCGGAAAAGTTAGGTATTGTAGAATTTTTGTTTGGAAGAGGTGTCAGGTTACTTAGTAATTCGGGTACTATTTTATATGCTTGCGCTGTATCAGATTCTGAAGTTTCGCATGATGTTTGAGTTGGAACATGTGGTGATGCTTGCACTTTGGATGATTCTGGAGTGGATTGCTGTAGCTGGACTTGTTGCAGATGTTGGGTTTCAGTCGTGCATTTGGATGCAGTATTTACAGAAGAGGTAGTGATGTTTGCAGTTAATTTTTGTGTATTATCCTCTGAAGCTGAAGCTTTTGCTTCATTATTCTGTACAGGAAATAGGGAAACATCTTTAACTTTTCCCTGAAATGCTGCGATTTTTGTAGTACTTATAGCAGTGGATGCTTGTGTTGTTACTACCGGCATTGCAGTTGCAGATTTTGATTCAATATTCTGCAAAACATTGTCAATTGGTTCAGCAGGTAAAGGATGAGTTAAAGTATCATTTGATATGATCGTACAAGAAGCTGAGTCAGGATTAGTTTCACTTAAAGCTTTCGATGAAATTTCGTTAGGAAAAGCTTCCAATAATGCTTGTTCAGTGGGAAATTCACAAAGAAGAGATTCAAAATTAATTTTGGGAGCAGGAACATTGGATGAGACATCAATGGTTCCAGGTTCGTCGCGAATTACTGCCTTCAATACTTCTTCATTGAAATCTTTCGAAACTATATTGAATTCACTTTGACTGCCTAATCCAGGAGAGCTCTGGTTCTCATTTGATATATCAGCCGTCTTATCCAATTCAATTGTTTTGTTTGTAGGAATCTCTAGTACATTTGGCTCGGTTTCAGTTGCCATTTCTGGAGTGGTCATTCTCTACAAAAGAAAGTTGAAAGGATAAATAAAAATAAAGGAAAAAAATTCAGAAAAAATCTGAAATGATTTTAAAGAGCGAATGGTTGTTTTTACTTTTTTTTTACTAAAAAAGAGAAGACTCATCTCACTTGTCCGAATAGTAAATTCACAGCATCATGCCATGTTATGATAAATTCAAGCATTAGTTGGTAAAATACTGTTGAAAACTGTATTTTCTAAGCTCGAAAAGTTCCAGCTCCAAATAAGTGACTTCTGCACTCTGTCAACTTCATTATTAAATTCTCAGTATCTTATTATTCCTTTTCGACCTTTAAGTTAAGTTTATTTCAAATGTTCGTCCGTTTAAGATTACTTTAAATTATCGCACTTTTTGTATGGAGTTATAAAATATCTTTTCAAATTTATTTTCATCAATATCCGTTTGTCAGCTAATGAAAAGTCAGATAAAATTACAGTTTTATCCAATAAATTAGCACTGCTGAATTCATTGCCATTAACAGCTTTTGCCGATGTGAATGTTAATCGCCTTTTATGTATTATTGGTCGTATAGGCTCTTCCGAAGATGTTTGATCCATTTCTTCTTCATCTTCTTTTCAAACATTTGTTAACAGTTAGGAAAATACTCATGATTATTTTATATGTGCAGGTAAGTGCACTCTTTTACATACTATCTGGATATTAGTGTAAATGTTTCAATAGGAAGTTCAACTATATAAGTGAAACGAAAAAAATAAATTTGATCTTACCGCATGTAGACGAACTACCAGATACTGTATATGTTTCGGTAGACGAATCTCTGTATAATGACGACATGACAGTCACAAATTCGTTCTCCTGCAATGGCAGTGACTAGAACATGAGAAAATAATTTACAAAATATATGCGATGTCCTCGATAGAAACTTGGTAATAATATGCTGATAAACAGGTTTGTAATGAAAAATGAAAAGAAGATATTGAAGTGAAAAATTCATCCTTAGTTATAATTAAGAATCCTTCATTATAAATGTTCGTTTCAATAAAATCAAGTGTGATCCACTCACACAGAAAACGATAAGAGTATGGAAAAAAGAAATTGATTTTCTTTTGCTCTCCTATTCTCTTGTTACATTGTAATGAACAGATCACAATCAGCAACATAACATGATTAATAAGAAGTTACTGTCCTCTTTTTGTTTTTGAAGCCTTCATATGTTTTGTTTCTTTTCCATCTTACTTTTCCTATCTCAGGCCTTCCATTATTATAAATGCTATGGATTGGATAATTAACTTGAATAATGGAATAGTCATGAAAAAAAATTATTAAAATTTTAAGTAAAATTGTGAACATATAAAGTAGAACTGAAAATAACTTTCAATGATGTGATGAAGGAAAAAATTCGAAGCTAATCAGAACACTAAAAAGTTTACTGTTTGTGTGTCTTTGTGGGTTAGTGACCTTAAAATTGGACCTTGAGCTTTTGTTGATCGTATCTTGATAAGAGAGTAGATACATTTCATCACTCAAAACTACTTTTAATGCAAATAATTTCAATCCTAACTTGGGAAAAACTAGTGCATGAATGAGCCCAAGAAAGATTAGCGCAAAGAGTCGCGCTGAATATGGAGATAGCTTGAAAGAAATAAATTTAGTATTTCAATATCGTTGTGCTAAAAAAGCTTCGAATATCTTACTTCTATATTGTTCAAATAAACTTAGAATATGCTACTTCTTAATGACTTTGTCTTAAAATCGTAATTTACTGCAAATAAAAAAATTAAAAGTTACCATCTAATTACAGTAGCTACTGAAATTAAAATCAAATAAAAAAACTATAAAAAATAAAAACTTTCATTGTAAGCTGAAATCACAATAACAGGAATGCTGAAGATGAAGGTTTTGAGACAAATTCACTCAAGTAATTTTATTGAGGTAGTGTTATTAAGTTTTTTGAACAAAATATACGAAAAAAAATGCTTATGTTAGATATTACGAGAAGTGATAAGTGGCTTTTTTTTCAATACGAAGTAAAATATAAAAGCACCAGTTAGCTTAACTGGATAATTTAAACTAGAAAGAAAAAGAAAATGATTGCTCAACTTTTTCAGGATAGTATTTCCTACAATAAAACAACATACAAGATAAGACAAGAATATGAGAAAAAAGAAGAATATGAGACTAACTTGAATAAGACATGTTGTAATTGTAACAAAAAAAGAATAAAACAAGCAATGATAGAAAACAAAATTATTTCAGAAAACATGATGCTACAACCTGGAAATATCAATTAGAACTAGTTCCGTTTAAGTTTTTGAATTAGAAAGAAAAGATAAAAAAATGATATTCTAAGAAATGTTACTCTGTACGCCTGTGCAAACATATTTGTGATGCATACATAACGAAACAGCAGAAAATGAGAAAGTGAAAAGTATAGAGAACAACAGCTAGAAGTCTTTTCCTTTCATTTCTATTTCGATTACAGTTAGAAATTTTTGTCTCGACCCTTTTGATTGTCAACAAATCATTGAAATTGTTAGTGGCATGAATAGCAATGTAACCAGTTCACTCGTGTCTACATTTTTCATAGTGTTCAGTTGTGATAGACCAATACTTGGCCATTTAATGAGAAAAAGAAAGAGTAGTTCAAAAATATTTTGTTTCGTATTAATATGTTTCACCATTTTTCCCTAAAATTTTGTCACTTTTTTCATTTTGTTATTATGCCTCAAATATTGAGGTGATTATTGAGATATTATTTATTAATATTGTAATTAGAATAAGGCTTTTTTTCGTGTTTATTTACTGCGTGGTATCTTGTTAAACATATAAGACGTGATTGATTTGATGAACTTTGAAACATGTGACGTGTTACTTAGCACTTAGTTACTAAATGTTATGAATTAGAGATAGAGCTTAATCAATTTTATCATCATCATGGAAAGGATCTGCAAATGTTGCATCCTCATCTGGAGACATAATATATGTACAGCTGAACTAAGCTAGCAATTAATTCCTTCGTCTTTAGAAAAAACCATCTTCAGTCTACTTTAAATTCATTTGAATTTTGAAGTTGTTGTTCTTAAATTTTTACAAAACTAGGTGAAGATAATTGCCGAAATTCATTCTTTTCGGCTGGCCTACATCGATCATAGGCAAATAAAATTTAGATTATTCTTTGATATTGTCAGTTTATAAACTTTAGTCAATAAAATTTTTGAGATGCATCTTCATCATTTGAAATATATAAAAATGTTTGGTAATAAGCCCACTGATTACTGTCTCATTTACTTACTTTGTTAATCAAAATAATAGTAATAGCGAACAGTTATAGAATAATTAGTAAATAGTTGTGAAAAATGAGCTTGTAATGAACTCAGCAACTTATATTGACGGAATGGTAATCGATCTTTTCAAGTCTGTGTTTTCTTACGTTATAAGTTGTAATGTTATCCATAGATTCTTGACAAAGATACAAAAAATTAAAGATGATGCCAGGAACTGTATTTTCTTCTGGACTCCAGTGCTAAGAAGAATCAACCACAAAACGGACAATAAAGTCACCATAACGACCAAGTGGACAGCACCATGCGATATTAATCCAATTCTTAGCAACTATTATCAGTTATCAGTATCTGTATAGTTAGTGCTCTTAAAATATTTACTTAAAATATTTATCAATTTTATTAAAGTTAAAAACTAACTGGATTTTGAAATTTCATTAAAATTTGGAGGATTGTCACGGATTTAATGGAATTTTCTTCCACATATTTTTTACTTTCCTTAGCTATTAAGAGTTAAAGTAGTTATGAATTATAAGAAATGAGTGGCAGCAGTCAAAGCAGTGAAACCATATTTGCTTACTTTCAAGAAAGTATAGAACCAATGTCAGTAGCTAACGGATGAATCGGAAGTTAACAGCTCGTAATTTATTGTGGAACACGTAATAGTAACCTCTGCTGATGTTAAATGGTATATATATTGTCATATCATAGACAGTATTAATTTTCATTTCATTTACCGGATGATTCAAAGTATTATTTAGTATTTATACGCTTCTCTTTCATCTTTACTGCTTCGTTTCATCATTAGTTGTCGATTTGATTCGTAATTATTTTACTGTTCAAAATATTTTCACCCTCGAAAATTTTCAAATAGTACAGGAAATTTGATCTTAAAATTATTGTTATGTTCTTTTGTAAGGAAAAAAAGAACACTGAGCTAGCAATGAAACAAATGATTTATTAAAATGATGTTTAAAATCATTACTTAAACTTCAGTAGAAAAAAATCTAAACTCCAATCTTCACTAGTAAGTGAAAAATTTATCATCCTAATACATTTGAATTTTTTTAAAAATTTATTCCAATTTCATTGTAGTTAGTCACATTGCATTTCATGACAAAAAGCTTAATTTTAGAATAAACTAACCAACCAACAAAATTCGAGAATCTAAAGTCGACTGTTGTAGAGCATATAACTTTTGCTACTGAAAATATTGTAATAACATCCCTAGAGAATATAACCATTAAAACGGAATGTTACTCACACCACAAGCATATATTAAGGAGATCAGGCTATATTAGATGTATTTCAGGATTCAATCTCAGCATTTAATTCTTCGATTACTTTAAACCTTTCAAACACTACAAAATAGTTCATGAAAAAATGTCTCTCGCATCTTTTTTCAAATTACATGAAAACAAACTATAACTGTGGTTATTTTTTGCGGTGTCTTAAACATTTCGTCATACCGGAAGGGACTGCGTCGTATATTTCGGCGTTATTCCATGATTCGAGGCAAATTAAAAAGTTGAAATAAATCGAGTAACACTTAATCAATGGAGTGCAAGTTTTCACGACTTAACACTTAAACGAATATCTTTACTCTTAATCTATTCAGAACTTCAGAAACGTGAAATCAATTTTATTGCACATTTTACACTTGCACTTGTTTTATCAAAAATCTCACATAGTATAACTTCCGCGGTAAGATAAAAAAAATAATAATAACAATAATCATTTGAATGATGAGACAGCAAAAATATTTGCAAATTGAAAATTGAATCAAAAAAACTATACGAGCAATCAAACGTGAGAGAAATACTAGACAAATAATTACATGAGTAAACGAAAATAAGCTATTTACACAGATGGACAATAGCAAACTAGCGAACAGATAAATGACAATAAATTAGTATGGAAAATTAGCAGTATTAACAGGACTAGATAAAATTATTTCGGTAATTCACATTATTTAAATTTCAAGTAGCCTAAAAAACCTAAATACACATAAGACCGGAATAAACAAATTTCAAGAACTGAAACGCCTAAATAATACGAGTTAGAACATTTAAATGTCTGCGCAAATGAAGCTTCAAAAATTAAAATGCTTGCAGAAAATAATCCTTTGTATTCATATTTATAATGTATCACTAATCACATTGCTTCATCTAATCTCTTTACATTATACTATTAATCTTTTGCAACAACACTGATGACGCAAGAAAGAATCAAAATTCTTTGAACTCCAGCATGCCTGCATTGATGAATTGCTTTTAAAATATACCAACAAATCTCTGAAAATTACAAATAAATCTTCGGTCACATTTTTGACCGCAAATCATTTGCAGTAATGAACAATGTCTGCACAGCAGCAGAATTTATAAGAAATTTGATGAAAAAACCTCACTTTGAGAAATATAATGAAAAAATCTCACATCAATCTTAAAGCGCAGATGAAAGTTTTGAAGCCTAGTGTTTTAGACCAAACGTAGTAGATGCCTTTTCACAAATCATTTCCGCAATAGCTAAACTGCTTGTAGCACCTGGACTAGGCGCATTACGCACATGCAATACGTATTGGTTCAATTCTCCCTCACCACAATCGAAAATAAAGTCATCAACCAAATTCCCATTTAAGTCAACGGCTTGAGCTCGAACTCCTGCCGGACCACTATAAAACATAGCTAAACACAATGAATCTGGTCAAATGTTTGATTAAAAACAATGCAATATGAATTATCAGGAGTAGTTCCACAAAATATTGCGATGAGAGGGCTGTTCCCACAAACATAAGAGCAGAAACTGACCTCACAAAAAATGACTGAAATTAGTTGATTGACATATATATGTAGGAGTATTAGATCAAAGTAACTACCATTATCCAGGTAATGGTGCTAATAAAATATGTTAGATTTGTAACATGGATAACGAAAAAGAAATCTACCGTGTGATGTCCGATATTTTCAAGTTAGGCATGAATCTCTGTAACTGTTTCACCTGTGCTCTGGTCCAAATTCCGCGATACAATTCTTTCATTCCGTAACCAAAAAATTTGAGAATGAGTTTTCTCGTACCTCTGCAAGAGAATTTCAAGCTGTCTGCATTATATTAATATTTCATAAACAAAGAATTTATGAGGAAAGAAATGCCGATGCAATCACCTGTAAGTTAAAGCATCATACAAATCAGGCACTGAAATTTGAGAATATTTGTATCCCTCTCTTTTGTACGCTAGAACTGCATTCGGTCCCAGCCAAACATCTGAAAAAAATATAATCTTTTGCAACTGCTAATCACACGTGAATAAGAGACGCAATTGAACGGTTGAAAGCATGCTTCTTAAGGTGGAGCTAATATCAAACACATCTGAAGCTAAATGCCTAAACAATCTTTAAATATTGAAAAAAATAAACGAGTAGATTCTGAAAATACAAAATAAAAATATAATATACATAATAAGGAATGAATGACATTCTTGAATATTTAAAAAGCAAAAGCGACGACAAAACGTCCAAATTTAAAATGATATATTTATGAATAGAACAATACAGATAATTTAAATATGAGACCTCCATTCATACGTGGCGTGAAATGTACACCAAGAAACGGAAGGCGTGAATCAGGCACCTGAAAATTTCTAACCACTTGAAAGTTTTAATGGTTGTTATAAAAAATTTTTAGTTAATTGTTGAGAGAAATCAGGAAATCACATAGTAATTATGAATCCAATAGTGAGCGATACAAACAAAACCTATCAAGCTAAACTAACCAAAAAAATAATCAATGCCATTCGCATTTGTAAAACATGATTCTACCGATGAAATTACAACTTGAAAAAACTTACAGGATAAACATTTGTCGTTACAAGCTTCTTTTTCTCTTCAGAAGTTAGTAGAAGATATTCGCCACGGAAAGGAACAATTTTCGGGTCTGGCAAACCACCGGAAAGTTTCGCAATACGATCTGATTGCAGCCCACAGCATGTTATCAAGTATTTACAGCGAATTTTCGGCTGCAATTTACCAACATAAGTAAGAACAGAAATCTACCGACAATAAAGTTAAATATAAAAACTCGATCTCATCTAACTTCCGGCCTCATTAAAAGGAATTTCATAGCACAGAAGCAAAAAAATGTTAAAATTAGCAGTTATTTCAATGAAATATGACTGTGAAAGCATCAACAACATTACAGATTTAACTACTTCCAAAAGTATTTTACATTTCAAATTGCTGAAAATGTATCATGGTTTCCCAAGTGTCCACGTAGACTATTCTATCTCCTCTATATCATACTAACCATTGTAATAAATGGAAAAACAACAGCTACCAAAGAGGGTTCTGATTCGATCATAACAGGATAATCATTGACCATGTTCTCTTTTTTCGATTCGCCAACAAGCAATAACGTTTTTAATGGATATTTCGTATAAACAATGCCGCCACGATTTTGGAAATCTTCTGCATATGATTTTGTAACTAGTCCCCAATCAATAATGCCGGTATACGGAGACCAGAGTGCCTTCAAACCCTGAACAAGTCATATGATAAAATCTTTTTGTGAAACACAAATTTAAATATTGCTTATTTGTTACGCTTGATATTTTTCCAAACTTGAAAAAAATGTATTACTACAGTCACTGAGTTTATGAAGTCATTAGTATAGAAGACATTCAAGCATTAACAAGGCAGCATAAATGAATCTGTTAGTACATCATCTTAATGGAAATCCCTGATAATAGCTATTAATTGATAAGATGCTTCTGAAATTTAAAATTCAGACAACAATTAGAATAATATGAAATCAACAACATAGAAAATCTTCAAACGATAGCAATGTAGAATAAATGAATCCGTTAGTGTTCTAAGACTGCAGATTCTGGAGATTTTCAATAATAGATTAAAACTCCAAATCAATTTATCCGCCAAACTGTGAAACGCGTTCCATCAACTCAACTTGAAAGGGTGGATAAGGGAAATTGCTTCAAAGTGGTTGGATCTGCTTTGGCTTTAAAATTAGAACATTAAGACTCTAAAAAAGTCTAGCAGGTCAAACAAACTATGCGTTTTATCACGATAAAAGACTGAAAGACTGTGCGCTACCTTGCAAAAAGGAGCGTAATTCTTGATTTCGCTACCACCAATCATTTTTATTGATCTGCATCCATTTTTCTCAGCTCGTTGAAATAAATTCTAAAAGTATATTTATTAGTATGAAAGGTCTCAGTTTTTCGAATTTATTAGGGAAGAAATATAGTGTTATGTGTAAGTAACAAAAGACATAACCTTCGCCTTATGAGTGAGAAATGAAAAGACAGAAGTATAGTTAGCTTTACCAGTAGTATTTACTTCTGCATGAAATATTTGACGGAAAATGAAATACTTAAGGTGATCTTATTTTACTATTCAATATGTTTCATATCTAGGCTCATTTCTTTGTTTATGTAGATGGATGAAGGAATCTCTGAAAAAAAAACTTATTATGTCGTGAAAGACGAAATATTTAAATTATTATATCCAAAACTAACAAATTCCTCTTATTCCTTTTCCTCACACAACAAAAACCCTTTGTTAGCAAAACCCTTTATTAGCAGTCTTTGTTTCACATCAGTTAAATATCCTCTGCCGGATATCTGGTCAGCTCAGTTCTGCATATAAACCATCGTCCTCCATACGGTGGTTCATTCTGCATTTTGGGGTGGTTTTCATATCATTTTAATGTTTTATAATTATATCTTTCGTTACGCGTTTGTTAATCGGTGTAGCATCCGTACGATATGTATAAAGCGCTATTATTTGCTTCATGTTAAATAAAGGTTTAATTACCCAAGTTTGAGGTTTCACGACATATTACATGCTAAATTAAAATTTCTATCAAAAAAATTTTTTCCTAAAAGTTATATATTAATTAGTTATTTATTGAAATATAGTATACATTTTAAAAACTTTGCAGACATTAAAAAAATATAAGAATGTGAAAGGAAACCTTACTTCTAGACGTGGCACTTCGATTGGCTCAACCGCAACAATTAACTTCCCAATTCTTTTGTAAGGTACTTTATGCTCATCGCAGTATTTATATGCCAAATCAATACCTGCATTTAATGTTATGTTAGAATTTAATGTTAGAATTTGGAGAATTCTCAAAATCCCACTGAAATCTTAGTAAATTGCATGAATTTACTTCATAAGCAATGGTATGAGTAAAAACGCTAAAATTTTAAACTTATACGTCCGTATGTTAATCCATAAATTTATATTGCATACATGTATATATTTCATGTTGTTTGTCCTCTATCAAATTTCATATAAGTCACGGTTGCGACAACTATATAGGTCGAAATATCCTATCAGGATGTAGGCAAAAGCTTCACCGAAATTTAGCAATTTATGCCGAAATTATTTCACATGGTACTTGCTCACTTGAAATAGTGATAGTTCGGAAGAGAACCTTACCACGAACACAAAGTTTTGCTTTCAGGCTACCCGGTGCATAATAAATTCCAGCATGAAGAACACCGCTGTTGTGACCACTTTGATGGAATGCTGCAAATCAACGAAGACTTTTTTCACACAAGAAAATCCTATCCTACTTCCAACAAACTTTTATGAACAAGATGGTTGATTAATTTCTGTCTCATTAATTTGATCTTCACAATGCCTAACCTTATTCAACTCAATATTTTTAGCTCCTACTAACGACATTCTGCAACACCGCTTCTCCTCTATTCGATTTCCCAATATTTATTCAGAAACTCTTGCTGGATTATTATTTTATTCTCCTCTTTATGAATTTTCTAATTACCTATTATATCTGAATTCTGTAGAATAATATCAATGGCATGAATAATCTCTCCAAGGAAATTAAATTTTCAATTAAATTTTTTAAATGAATATTCTCATCCGAAATTTCATGTCAAATGATGATGTGTTCTTCATCAATTCTAACAAATTTTTCATTAACCACTCATGAAATCAACAACATCATTATTTGAATCGAGAGAGGGAGAGTTGTGAAGTTTTTATAGCAACTGGCATTTAACGAATAGATTTGCGTGCACGATGCTTACCCAAATGATCCTCTTTTTCTAGCAATGCTACTTTCAATTCCGGATTTTTGATTTTTAACTGTCTTGCGGTAGCGCAACCAACAATTCCACCTCCCGCCACAACGACATCAAATTCTGATGTGGTGCTGAAGAAACAAAGTTCGATCTTGACAAATAAACATGGCACGAACTGAAAAGCAAAGCTTCTGAAATAACTGGAAAGCTCATTATGTCATTTAATTGATCATCTTAAAAAGTCTTCACTTTACTAACCTTCCAGCTGCAGCGGAAGCAATACCTTTACTTCTGGAAAAAATACTAGTCCAAAAATCAGACGATATTCTGGGGATCACCGGTAAGCGGAAAGATGAGATATTCATTTAAAACTTGAACTAATAATATTCTGGAAGAAAAATTAAAGTTGAATTGAAGGAGAACGGATGGAGGATGGATGTCATAGTGTTCAATTAATGCTGCATTTACATAATTCACAAAACAAACTATTCTAAATTTCAATCCAGATAATGTTATACCGAATTTGAAAATGTTTCACGCCTATGCGCTGACTTAAATAAAGTTAGGAAAAAAAATTGAGGGAACTCAAACTTTTAATGAATTTTTCCGTTAATAATTAAATGCAACTATATTTCATCCTCCCATATACTTCTACATACCATTACAGCTACAGCAAGTAATCACGCCCTCAAACCCTTCACCACCTATACGACACCACCAAAATAAAAAAATCCACGTACGTCCCCCCCGAATCCAGTGCAATATATTCCAACGTGTTTGCCAAGTCCACTACGTTACAGTGACTGGGACGTTATGAAAATTTCGCGTAAAGTGGATTTAATTGAAAATTCAATTAATTCTCTACTCTCTACTCTTTCTTGTTTATAAGATTTAAGCATTCATTTAAGCATATTTGGCATAGCTTATAGGAAACTTGCCACCGAACCGAATGGTACACATTTCATGTCTTGAAATTGTTAATTGTTTGTCTATCATTAGTGTCAACTTTTTTCATTTTAAAAAATAAAAATTTTTAGTAATTGATATTTCTGTTGCAATATTAATATGTTAAAAAGAAGATAAGCTCACTAATATATGCTGCTTTTGACAATGGAAGGAAGGAGAAACTAATGAAGTAACTTGAGATGCCGAGACTGATTGCTTTTACTAGGCACTCTATCTCAAGTTATTTCCTTTGCTGAAAATCATGGATCTGACCAATAATATAATCCCATAACTACATAATTCTCTGGTTGTTGGTAGTGATTCCTCATTATTAAGTTTCAAATTCTCACAGTTTCAAATTGCAGGAAGAAAACGGTTTAATCGCCGTCAGACGTTGTCACAGTGGAGTAATGCTTTCAAATTGTGAAGGATTTCCCATAATACATTTATTAGTATTAAACATATAACTCATTATATGACTTAAAGTATGCGGCAATTGTTTTATTTCTAATTAGAGCAAGAAATTTGTCATCTCAGAGTAGGAAAGGAGGAAGGGAATTCGAAGAGAGTGCAATAACTGACTGATGAAGTCATTCGTTCAATGAAAAGTAGAAAGAAAATGAAAAATGCATTTCAGAGTCCCACCTAGAACTACACTGTACTCGGAGCTTATCTCTCTTCGTTCTCTTTTTAGCCAGACTTACCCTGATTAATTAAGAATTTTACTTTTCTTTTTTCGCATTAAGAATAGCTAATTTGATCGTGCATAGATTTTTTAAAGTTTATTGTTTTGTTCCTAGCAATTCAACTAAAGCAAACGAAAATTTTTTTTCTAATTTGGATTATGTCTTCTTTCTAACGAGATAAGTGTCCTTAGAATTTAGGAAAAGAATAACGAATCCACTTAGATAACTTTACTCTACTATTACTACATTTCAGATTAAAGATGTAATAAATCAATGCTAAAAATAAACTCATTAATAGTAGAGGTAATTGAAAAATTATGTTAAAATAAGAACGTAATACTGTAATATCGATTAAAATGCAATGAAAGAGATTCAAAAAACATTTTTAAGAAAGGCCTAAATGTAAAACTAAATTTCACGTTTCCTGTGTTTTTCAATATATGAAAGTATCTACGAAAAATGATCTTCAATATTTCATTACTCGAGCAGTGTGTGAATAATATAATCAAAAGACGGTGGGGGGTAAATTTCAACAAAAAAAGAAAAATTGAATAGCTCAAATTAATAAATATGTATGAGAAAATATCTGAAAATTATGAAAAATAAAATTCATAAATAGGTAACCTTTACTAAAAATGCAAAATAACAATTAAGTTCCTGCTTTATCAAATAATGCGCAATAATTGTTATCAGATAACACTACAAATTCAATCAGCAAAGAAGGAGTTAAATAAAATAGCGATTAGAAGTAGATCTCTTCCTGAATTCATCAACAAATACTTCATGCATTTTTAAATAGTATGGAATTTTGAAATTAAAGAGCACAAATTTTGAAGGAAGTGTAGCATAAGACGGCACAAAATTCAAAAATAATTAAAAATTTATTTTTAAGATTCTGCTAATGACATCGAAATTTTTCACACGGAATATAAATCTCAACTGGGTAATAATGTAAATGATAAGGACAGAAATAACTACCGATTTTCAAGCGATAATGCTAATATAAAACAAAATATTCATTGCCAATAATTCGATTCAGTTTTCCACTGATATCTAAAACTATTCACATCCAACAATTTTGCTATTTCTGAATTGTAGAAAAAGCACTATATCACATAACAAAGATGAAAACATAGAAGCAAACATATCTTCAAAAAAAATTAAGAGATATGTTCGAAATATGTAAGCACCATTGCTAACATGCAGTTGTACAGTGTTGTCGAGTCTTGAATTCGATCACTTTCGCAGTTTGTGCTTTATGTATTCCAAATCTGTATTGTGTAAATCGATAAAGTTTTATTATTTGGAATTGAAAGTAACGCTCATTTAATCGAGCTTAAATAGATTTTGCTCCAATTCAACTATGTTTAATTTGATTACTAATATAAAAAGGAAAAAAGTTTAGAAATCATAAAATAACTTTTTCATCCTTCCTACGTTAAACAATTTGCTAAAACGCTGACTGTGATCAAAAAAAAAAAATTCAGTTTTTCATGACTTACACAGACAAATATTATTCAACTGCTGCATTATAATACAAAATAGGAAATTCTTTTTGATGGCATATATCCATCACTTACTATTCGTTTGTTTAGTCGGTTGAATAACAAAGCTAACTTTTCTAATTCTTCGGTCTCAAATTAGAGTTTAACGAAATATTTTGACTTAAACGACTCCGCTAAAAGTACTGTCATTATTTTACACAATGCACATACTTTGGTTAATAAGTAAAAGAATAAAAAAAATATGGTATATGAAGACCATGCAAACTTGAAATCTACTTACATACGAAATGCGCCCGGCATCAGATCTATAACCGCTTCCCGAATTTCATGTGAACGACAGCCAACAATAATTGTTTTGGAAAAAGAATTTAAAAATGAAATGATAACAATTACTGAGTAAACAGAATTTGGTATGATTTCATCACTCGTTTCGTAGAATGCGATAATCATAGGCAAAACATATAGGCCAGCAGTCGCAAAACACGACAAACCTACGGTTTTTGTAAAGTTTAATTGACGCTTGTTTATCTTAACTGATTCGGAATTCTGAAAATAGCAAATTGGAAAATTACGAATTGTAGTTCATAATGGATCACAATACAAAAAGATGATTTGTTGCTTAACACAGAAACTTCATTAAATGTTGAAAGCCCTTCAAATTTACTTCCACCGACACATTCAAAGCAAACACTTTGTCAAAATCAAAAATTTCGATTCTTGTGAAATTCATGAAAATGCAGCAATTAAGTTCACCAATTAGCTACCGTTCACATTGATAATGCAATTGCTATTTGAGATGAATGTAACGGGTCGGAAAAGTAATTAATTCCTTTGAATGATTTTAACTCATATGTAGATTAAAAATAAAAACCTGTTGTTCTTTTATCCTTTTGCTATATCGTCGCACCATAAATAAAGTGACAATGTAAAGTATAACACTTCCAGTAGCTGCACTAATGCGTGTGCCATAGAATATTCGATTGAATATTGGACATCGGCTATTTGGTGTCCTATAAGCATACTTTAAAACTTGGCCATGCAAAGTTAAGTGTAAAATTGAAATTACTTACTTTAAGTTGTAAAAGAGATAAAATAAATTCAAAAAGCGGTGAAAAATTCGCAAGAAATTCTAAATGTTATCTGTAAATGACTCAGTTAATTTCATTTGTTCATTCCAGAATTTACATTAGGAAGTCTCATAGCGCTAACCAGCAGAAAGAATGCACTTTGACATTATTTAGATATGAGCAAAGTACACTTGCAGATATCAATAAAAGGATTGATAGATTGCTGCCAGCTATCTGTAATTCAATATTTTTAAAATTATAAGTAATTTGAAAGTTTTATGACATTTGTGATAATTAAATTACGAGTTGATGTTGCGATTTTCCGACTTTAACTGTTTAATATGATAATGTTTCAGCTTATAAAATGCTTTTAGTAATTCCATGTTGCTTGCAAGAAATCTCTGACTATTCGTCGTATCAGTAACCAATGAGTCATTCTGTCGCTTTTTCATCTTCTCTTCGGCGACTAATTCAACAATTAGCATTTCTTTACATAAAAGACACAAGTAAATCTTACCAAATAATGCTGAATATTCAACATTTTTTTATAATACAAAATAGGTTTGACGATTGAAATTAACCGGTCAATACTAACTACAAGCATTGATATAGCGGTCATCGGCTCTGTCCTAAATTTTTTGGCCAATTATCATCAGAATAAAAAAGTAACAAAAGCTCTAACAAAAGCAATAAGCAGTGTCATTAAGACTTACATCTGCAAGTCTATTGCCATAGCCGGGAATCAAATGTTTCTTGTACGTAGCGCAAATGGTAATTCTGTGTTTGTGCATTAGTTTAGCGACAAAAGGAGAAAAAGAAGGATGAGACAAAGTTTAAACGAAGTAAATAAAGATTAAAAAGGCTAGAAATTGATGGATGGAAGGAAGAAAGAAGAAGAAAATGGTATTAGAAGGGGTCATGATGGCTAAAGCAGTGATCATTGTTACAATTTCTAGTGTGGCAGTGAAAACATCATGAGGTCACTGTTGCTGGAAGTGAAGTATGAATGAGTTCATTGAAGAGTTACTTAAGAGTTACCGATGAGAGATTTGACCCGTACTGCAAGTAAATGAAGATTTGAACAGTAAAATCAACCAAATCGAGCATAGTGCAAGTTCAATTTCCCTCTTACTGTATCCATCAGTAAAGATGATTATTCCTTACTTATTCCTTACTGATATATTCTAACATTAATTATTCCTTACTGATATATTCTAACATTAATTATTCCTTACTGATATATTCTAACATTAATTATTCCTTACTGATATATTCTAACATTAATTATTCCTTACTGATATATTCTAACATTAATTATTCCTTACTGATATATTCTAACATTAATTATTCCTTACTGATATATTCTAACATTAATTATTCCTTACTGATATATTCTAACATTAATTATTCCTTACTGATATATTCTAACATTAATTATTCCTTACTGATATATTCTAACATTAATTATTCCTTACTGATATATTCTAACATTAATTATTCCTTACTGATATATTCTAACATTAATTATTCCTTACTGATATATTCTAACAAGCTTCATATTTCAATTGCTACGGTATACTTGTGACGTACATATAATTGTGTTATACCTTGTAACATATTCTTACAGTGGTAGAAATTTTTAACTATCCTTATGGACGATAATGTCATACCAAGCCAAGAAATTGAAATATGGAAACTGTCGGAACAAAAAAATATATATTGTATATTTTATTTTTAATATATGCTAACTTTCATGCCAAAAAAAATATGAAAAATATAAGTTGTTTTATGCTTGTATTATCGACCTAATTAACTCTTCGTCTTTAAAATTTACTTTCCTTTTTAGAAATTGAAATAAGATTGACTCAAGTTAGGAAAGATATACTAACCAGGCCAAAATAACATTATGCGGCATAATCACACAAATTATTCTTGAAACTGTACCATTTTGATTTCCTAGAAAAATTTGCGCGTTACGTGTCGCACCAGCTAATGTTATTGCAAATCCCATTAAACCATCCGCGAAAAACTGCAAATAATAAGTTTTGTGAGAATGATGAGAAACTGTAGTAGCATTTTGCTTTATTTTAGAAAGCATTCAATTATAGGGAACGTTGAGAACAAAAATCGCTGTTTCTTCTTGTGTATCAATATAAGTTGTCTCATAGATGGCGAGCCAACAATATAGATAAGTTAAGTTATAAGTGATAGGCCAAGGATATGAAACATAGAATGAAAAGTTATTGAAAAAACATCACACCTCCATTCCTGTGAGGCCGTATCTTTCACGATTTATCTTTGTTCGAACGATTGCAGCAAAATAAAATATGTTGAGCGCAAAAACTACAAGTCCTCCTGCGATGTAAACTGAAAATTGTAGTATCATCCTGAAAAGAAGTTCGAAGTTTCGAAGTTATTTTTTAAATTACAAATTACAATATATTGACTAAAGACATTTACTTCATTACTTGATTTGTAGTATTGCTGGATGCGACATAATTGCGAATAATTTTTCATCTAAAGTTCAATATAAAATATATTTTGAACAAAAATTAAATTGTGCTTAGTTGTTTAGCACATTGAATCATCTAATAATGATTTATTGTAAGTCTAATATGCTTGAAAATTTGTCAGTTTTGTCTTTTATGATTTACAATAATTATTTGTACCAGTTTTATTTCATCTTTTCACAACTTCTCGCATTATTTTGACTTCCATTATCATTAACTCAGAATCGTGATTAATTAATTAGTACAACGATATATCAGGAGAAATGATTTTTTTCACATTCTGCTGCAAATGTGTTAAACAAAGAATCTGTGATTGGTCAAATGAAGTTCTAGCTTCAAAAATGAAACTTTACTGTGAAACAGTAAATGAAGCCATAGCTTTTTAAAGATTATTGCAATTTCATCTATGGAATCAAAATGCTAAAATGCAACTTTTTTTTCTAGAAATTGAATGTTTAGGATTTGATTAATATGATAATCATATCAAATATTAGTTTTGCATAAGGATATAGACGCAATAATATTTTTTTTTTTTGAGGAAAGAGATAAATAACAATAATATTTTGAGGAATAAAAGCGAACACCCAAGAAAGAATCGGAGAGCAAGCTTTTGTTAGATGTTAATTTCTATCTTGCTTTTTCACATTCAAGAAGTATTTAGATGTATAACACTTTTATGATTATGGAATTCCATTTTCTAAATCTATCTGAGAATTGAAATTTCAAATTTCATCAACGGAAATGAAAATTTTCAATAACACATAAGCACTTATTATTGTTATGTCTGAACCATTTATCAAGCGAAAACTTTTCATTTTAATGCCAAAGATTTCTTTCAAGCTATTAGCTTACTGATGAATCAGTGAATAAGTTTATCATTTATGCAATGAAAGTCTAACAGTACTAAAACAACTAAACAAAATATAAGTTATCCTTTTCACAAACAGATCAAAAGTTAATTTAATCCTATTCAACATCGTATTCCTCTCTTCTTCTTCCCTGGCATTGAAATCAAAGGTAACCTTAATAAAGTGTTTTTATAGTGTCCTTCCTACAACATTCATTAGGAAAATTATCTTCTTTTATAATAAGTACTTCAGAAAAAGCGTTCGTTGAAATATTATTATGTGAACGTGTTCCGAATGTACTTAAATTAAATATATGCTTTTACCGATTTTTTTTTCTATACAAATTTTTGTCCAGAAATCTGGGTAAAAATGACAACAAAAGGAGTTTTAGAATGTTGGCAAATATTTTTTAATAAAATTTTCTCCTAAGCAAAAGAAGATTTATTCGTTAAAAAAAAAACAGCAGTAAAAATAAAATTAAAACCTTTTATTAAGGTTAGTAAGGATAGCTTACACAGTAATTATATTTCTTGTATACATTCCCCTAAATAGTGATTCCATGTTTCCACTTTTTTAAACACTAAGCTCAAAAAAATATTCATATTGAAATTCACAAAATTACTTAAAATAAAAAAATTACTTAAAATACTATTAATTATAAATAAATATCACTTGTATAACTGATTTAAGCAGATAATTTAGTCAGATGGAATGAATATCAGTAGATAATTTCAAAATTCAAAATCTAATTTCATTAAAGCAGAAAACCCATTAGAATACCAAAATCAAAAAAAAAAGGAAGAAAAAACTTGTATAATTTGTAAAGCCAATAAAAACTATTAATTAATTATTAACTAGAAGCAGCACTTTTTTAATTAGATCTTTGTTAACATATTAAAAAAGTATATTGTTGACCTTCCAATATGTTCTGTCCTTTATTCAACACACAGTCATTTATAAATATGGAAGTAATGTTTAACTCACTATGAAAAGTACTATAAAGTGGTGAAAAGACTTTATATTTTAATATTACTGATGGAATAATCATTCTCCTAGCAACACATTGTTATTCTCTTTAATTTTTTTAGTAATTTGTCATAATGAAAAAATCAAACTTATTTTATAATAGCCAAATTTTGCCTTCCATGGAGTCATAACTTCTTCATTTGATTATTTCCACAAGTGAAGAAGAGCTATTTAAATTACGCATTTTTTTTTCATTTAACTACGCTATAGTCAAAAAAAAACCTTTGAACCACTAATGAATATTCTTTCAATCAATAGTAAATGAAAGCTTCTATGAAATGTTTATTAAGTAACATTAGCAGAAAATTCTTTTACATATTCCGTTGAAGTAAAAACAAATAAATCTGCAAGGATTTGAAGACAACAAAAAAAAGTTGTAAATTTTGGATCATTTCTAATTGTCAAAAAATATTCATGGAAGAATTTGAATATCAACAATAGACAAAAACTTTGTATAAGAAGTTGCCCTTGAATCTGAAGAAATTTGATTATATGCTTAAACAATGATACCAGTTATCCTACTGGATGAGAAATAATGCTTGATGATGAAGAAAAGATATGAGAAATAAAACTAAATAATATTTGAACTAATCGACTACGATAGTTAATGAGACTAAAATTTAATTAATACATATGGTCGTCATATTACCTTTCAGTTTGCTCTAATGTTTAAACATTAACATGTTTACAAGACTAGTGAGTATTAATATAAAACCAAAGTAGCCAACCAAAAATGACATCAACAGCTGACTTTACTGATAAAGAATCTGCTATAAATGTGGTGTCACAATCTTGCCTCATTAAAAAGAATTTCCTTAAGTCCTACATCTTTCTTAACTTCTTTATCATATGCAAGAATTTCTTAATATTTTTTTATCCAAAATCATATTCCATCAAATACTGATCGTTTGCTTACTCATTAAGTTTATTTGCTTTTATTGCGTCTGTAAAAGACTCTAATTTTAAGATTGAAATTTCATATTTTGATATATTACGATATAAAAATGAGATATTATCAGAAAATACTGAATTTTCAAGAAAAAAATCATTATTCAATTAAACGATCATAGAGATCAGCAGACATTTAATGTCTTGGTTTCGCAGTGATTGTACTACTTTACTTTACTGTTGACATAAATAATTTTCCCGAAATCGTCAACTACTCCACAAATTTATTTTTTAGAACTAGTCGTCAGTTTATTCATTTCGATTGTTTTTGACCTGTGAAAAAGATGGTAATATCCTCAAACATCTGATTGACAATTAATATTAAATAACAATCTTTATCACTGATGACAATTTATAAAAAATAAACCGCAAAAACAGTATAATATAATGTGTGTAGATCTGATAATGATAAGCAATTAATGTAATAAATATTATTTCGATGAATGACATGAGCTTGCATAATGAAGAACGAAGGTAATAAATACTTTCAGTTATTTGATTTACTAGTAATTTGTCCAGAGACTAGTGTTAAATACGACTTTTTCATCTTATATGGTAGTTTTTCCCAAGAAATAGCCAATACTTCAAGCTGATAGCAATTATTTTCAATTGAAGAAAAAGAAATAAAAATTAGAGAGCAATATTGTCGTAGTGTTTTTTTTTTTCTTGCAGAGAAACTTTGCATGTTTTTTTTTTTTGTTGTCAAGAAAGAAATCAAAATGCGAGGTTATGAGACAATATAGCTTCAATGGGTTATCACCAATAATAAATTTCACAAAGAAAGAATTTAAGTTAACAGAGCGACCGTTATACTGTTTAGCAAAGCAATTTTTTTTAATTTCAATAGTCACTGGAAGTGAACAAATAATATTCCCACCTACACAAGTACACAAATTAAATTTTTGTCAAGGAAGTCGAAAATGTATATTATTATCAATTACTGACAAAAATGGTTAACTTTCGAAGGAAATATCAACTGTTTCTTCCTCATTACAGCCACACCCACCATATCATAGTCTCTTACTTGAAAATGTACTTATCAATCGAACGACGCACTTTCATGCAAATTAAATTTTCCCTAATAGGGACAAAAATCAAGAAAAAATCTTATTCGTTTATTTTATAATGACTTTTTGATAGTTAAATGCTAACACTCTAGTGGCCACTTCAGTTTATACTAATGATAAAGCTGTCTGTAATGATTCCATCAGTGAACTAAATAGGGAATTGATGACTTATAATCTCGGACTAGAGATACATTTTCAGGTGAGAAAAATTGATTCCTGATCTGTTTTCCAATTCTCAGCTCCTTAGGTAATGCATAATTCAGGTAATACTTGATCGCACCTTCCCTTTTCAAATGCATAAAAAATCCTTCGCATTGAATTCGACCATCGTGTCATACTTATCACGCGTTGATAATTTCTCGGTATAATTCTTTAAATTACAATCGAAATAAGTAATCATCTCTATTTATTTTTCTTGCTGATTTGCTTAATCATATCTTCTCGCCACTGTAACATCACTCTTTGAAGTTACGTCGCTACTTCCCGCTTTTCCATATATTCTCCTCGATTGTTTTCAAAATATTATATTTTGTAGTCTATCAACTCCCAAAAATAAATTGTGCGAACTTTTCACCGGGGTAGCAACTTTTATCTCTCCATTTCTAGACTTATATTTATACTTTGACAAACTCATGAGAAACTTGTATCCCAGCAAATCACACTTTTTCATATTTCTGAGTCCTTGAATTATAAGCGACAAATAGTGAATAATGTTCTCCGAAACCGCCTTGAAAGTTGAAAAGCCACTGAAAAAAAAAAAAAAAAAACTTCAGTAAACCTACACGATGAACGACAATTAACTTGAAATACATTTAATAGCCGCCTCTGAAGTGAACACAGTGTTCTTTGGGCATTAATATATTTTCAAGTACAACTTTTATCGTAATCTGATTTCAACAGTTTAATACTCCAGATAGACATGTGTCGATACAAAATTATTGTGTGTGCAAAAGAGTTTCTGAGAGATACTCTTACTGATCGAAAAATTTTACTTAATGTTAGTGACAGTCGTCTCTTATTTCGAGTGCAAAATGAAAAACAACCAATAAAACAATTTAATTTGGAAAACAACTGAAAAAATCATTTCTTCAGAGGCTAGCAGAGAAAATGAAGCACGAAATATATAAAAGTAATCCATCAAAAGTCAACAAATCGGCCAATTCATATGACCTAACAAAGTTAGAAAAACTAAAATGAAATGGTTAAAAATGACTAATTTCAAATTTATAGGAAAAATATTTCTTCAGTTTTTAACCTGTCTATTATTTTAAAAAACTTGATATGCTTTTAAACATCATTGAATACATATTACCACGCCTCAAAACCTCAATTCTTACCTTTAAAAGTCAATCAAAACAGCAACCATTCTAGGACGGTGGTGGTGGAGGAGGGGCAGGTGGTGCCAATAAGCTTGACAGATCCATTTTCGGTACTGGCGCTGGCGGTGGTGGTGGCGGAGGCATAAAACCAAGTCCAAGTGACATCGGCGGTGGTGGCGGTGGAACAGGCATAGGATATCGGCTCGTCGGCGGTGGTGGTACACCACCCCACCCACGACCTGCTGGTGAACCCCAAGCAGCAGCATTAGGCATGTATGAAGGTCGTGGTCGAGGTGTATTGAAAAAGTGAATGCCTTCAGTTGATACATTACTGCTACCCAATGGTGGTTGTGTGCCACCTTTTGAATACCCCTCCATACCTGAAATAATCTCAATATAAATCTTACAATTTCCTTAAACAGCGATAAAAGTACTGCTGAATACCGGTACTAATTAAACATAAAATTTGCATATTACTGATGAATCAATCAATATTATTGAGGGGAAAAAAATCCATAAGTAAGAAACGTGTTAAAAGCCTCTCACCCTATTAGAAAATGCTGTAGTGTGGCATTATCATCCATAAGGACAGTTTGAAATTTTCTACCACTATCAAACGTATATCACAAGTATACCATAATTGTAAAAAAAAAAACGAAAATATCAATTTTTATCGTCCCGCATAATATGAAATCAATAACACTGCGATATAACACATCCCATTCCTTCCTAACCTAACTTATTTCAATTTATATACAACTTTTCAAAATATAGCTAGCGCAATCATATATATATAGCACAATACCTTCTTGTCTTGCTAAATTGATTCGAACGATCGGTGTACCCGTCGGTAGTGAATAATTCTTCGGCTGTAAATAATGATATTAGATCAAAAGCACTTGGCAACGATTTCACCACTCATTCACAAAGTCACAATAACACCTTTATCAGATCTGTTCCTGCATTTGAAGCATACGAAAAACGAAAAATGAAAAAAAAATTTTTTATAAAGGCAAAATATCAGTCAAAAATCTTGAAAATATCAAGTCTACCCGAATATTTCCTGCTATATACTTATTTCTAATCATCCATTATTAGACAGTAAATGAAAGTTAGAAAGGATGAAACACCTTTCTGAAGTCAAATATTTGAAACGTCTGAATAATTCACTGGCTTAAAAGCAGTAGTAATAAATCGTGATTTCCTTCCTATAAAATGATTTACTCTACAGCGGGAACTGTTCAATGCTTAACTCCTTAAATTTATGATGTCAATAAGTCTGCAAGCAAACACGATTTTAAGACAACTTCTTTATAAAAAATGTAAAAATTAGAAACCTTATAACCAGATCCTGCATTTCCAGTTCCCAAACCTGCTTTTCCTGAAGCACCATATGGTTTCGATGCAGGCTTTTCTCCCAACTCAGCCATCAATGCCGTGTACTAAAAAAGTAGGATTAAGTGTTTAGAAAAGGAATTACATAGAAACAGCGCCTTAATTAAAAAAAAAAGGGAGAAAAATGGATTTAAGCAAAAAAAGTGACTACAAAAATGCCGCAACAAAGGATAAAAAAAACAAGGAGACCTCATCATCCATGCCACCATCTCCTACACTGAACACTCCACTCCCAGGTCGTGGATTTTTGCAATCTTTAGCAATATGCCCCGCAGCACCACATGCGGTACAAATAATATTTGCAGTAACATTTGGAGCATCCGGACATTCCCATCTGAAAATTATTTCGAAAAAATATATGAGCAAGGTATGAACCAGTGATGGCTATCAGAGTAAACTTACTAGAAATTCTGGGAAATCAATAGAATCATACGTCTGAAGAGTTTGGAAATCTCCTAAAACACAAATTTGTACTGAATACTCACGTTTTATGCTCATCAGAGCCACAGTTGCTACAACGGGCACCGCTTGCCAAATCCTCAGGTCGCAGAGTGCCATTCAAAAGTGCAAGCTCTCTCAGCTGCAGCTTACGCAATTCATTTTGACCATCAGGTATCATCAGTGCTTCATTTATAATTGATGTTATCTGAAAAAAGTAGATAACCTTTTTAAAAATTTGTGATTTTAAATGACTGTAGCAGTATTGTTATAATAAAGCACTAAATCCTAAATTTAAAACTATTATTAATAAAGAATAGTGCATCATTAAGATGACAAATCTAAAGTGGAAAAAAATGAAAAGAAGGAATATTCATTATTATAAAGAAACATGAAATACTGGAAAAATAATCAAATGTTGTTTTCTTAAAATTCAGTGTTTCCATATGGACAAATTAGATCTTACTGGTAACCATATAAAATGCAAATTACAAAATGCATATCAAAATTTCAACATTCATGACGAAATAAGGATTACTAAAAGCTTGTCTCAAAGATTTCAACAAAAAAGTTTTTAAACATTTACAAAAACTATAATTTTCATACTCGACAAAATTTTCAGTAAAAAAAAATAGCATGCACGTGGAATAATTAAAAATTTCTTACTTTTTCACATGCCTTTTTTATAACCGTATAATCAGTGCCTGTTACATAAGCATGAAGGGGTTCATTTTCACCAGGCATTGGTCCCTCACGACGTCCCAATTTGCCTTCTTTTACTGAACCTTTACCACGAATTATAATTTTGGCACCTGTCTGAAACATTAAAAAAGAGCTCAACGTCTCCCACAGATTGCAAAGTATTGTACAACCAGGTGGAGCAATTACTAATATGAAACAAGAATCATAATGCTAATTTAATCCAATAAAAATCATGCATTAGATTAAGTAAATAATGATTTATGATTTGCATGCGAATAGAAATAATAGAAAACCTCCGCTTCCAGAGCCTTCAGAGTATTTCCACGTGGACCAATCAGTAATCCAACAAAATTAATTTCTGGATGATTTTCTTGTGGTATCCAAACCTTGTCATGCAAACGTATTGTTGGTGCTCTAGAAGATAATGAATCAATTTGGGGATGATTTTTTTTACTGTCAAAAGAGTTTGCTTCTTTTTTAACTTGTTGCATTACGTTATACATCATTTGATTACAATATCGAAACTATATGAATGTAGCAGTAGGTTCTCTTGTAATTATCAGCACATTGATTATTAGATCATTATTACGCCCTACTGGATAGTTTTGTTTTGTTTGGTATCGATTGTCCTTGTTTATACACAACAGAAAAGAAAAAATTAAAACATTCATGATCATTTAAATCGTCCTTAGAATTAAAATTATAGAAATGAATTGTAAAGCATGAAAAAATCAAAGACGCACCTGTAATCCGCTGGAGGCTTGAAGTTTGGATTTAATTTCAACAATGCCTGGATTTTTTCATGTCGCAACTGTTCCAATTCTTGCCTTTTTCGTATTTCACGGGTATTCAATCGTTTACCGCTGGCATCATAAATCGGTTCCGGCGATGGACTTCTGCAAAAAAGATATGATGTAGGCTAAATGTAACCATAAATGACAAAAGCTGAAATTTTTATTATCTTATTTGAACTGTTGAATTTCCCCAGCAGCATTTTTCCGCTCACGAAAAGCAGATGCTAAAAGGCTAAAAAAAGATTTGATTAGGATTAAGATTAGTAGCCTTTTCGGTGATGAGATCCTGAAAACAATTTTTTAGATTCCGCATGGAGGCGACGGATAATGTATTTCAAAGGTTGGATCATCAACATAACCAACAAGAATTATTCGTCTAAATATATTTTTCATTTCATTCATTTTTTCGACTAAAATTGGGCTAAAAAATTTTTTTGAAAAGTACAGGCTCGAAAAACTAAAGTTTTCCACGCTAAGCTTACACTAAAACGGCGGAGAAACTATGAAGTGGAAATGAAACCACTAATTAACAATCAGAAGTTTCATAACAATTCGTGATGTTTCGAGTAAGGAGTGGTACTGATAATTAAGAAGCGTGCTGCGCTTAATGAACCGAAACACTTAAATAGTTCTACCAAACTCACCCCACGAGAACGAAATACGAAAGAACTTAAAATTCATTAAATTGAAAAATTTCGAATAAAACTTGTGGTATGCATCATCTTGGTGAGTGAGCTGACAGATACAGGAATGAAGGAAGGCGTCCATCAACATCATAGATGTTCAGCTAGGCTAGAAATGGTTTGTTAAATTGTTGATTGTCAACAAAGCAGCAATAAACGTTATCGTTTATTGATTGATGAACCTTAAAGCTGGATCCGGATTGCCCATGAAATCGCCAAGACGTAATTTTCGCGTTGCATCTTCCACTTCCAACTGAACTGAAATAGGTGGTTACGGGGCCACCCTCCCCCGTTTATTAGTTCACAACAAACATTAACAGTTGCAACAACCGATCTGGCTCAAAATTTGAAGTGAAATTGAAAAAGTAGTGTAAAAACGAAAAAAAAAAAAAAAGAAAACAAAAAAAAAGAGCAACGACGTAGTAATTATGCTTATGATATACAAGTGGTCATCTTTAATGGAGATCTACTATTATGTTCTCCCAGCTAATCTACACTTTCTACAACGTGATTCCAGTGCCCTGGAATGTGCATTAATGTATCCCTAGTACTGAAATAAGGCTTACACATATCGATAACATTATACTCTATCAGATCCATTAGTAGCAATAAAATTTATGACAAATTAAAACAATAAAAAACAAAAATATTACGAACCTGATTAATCGACACAATTCCTTGCATAATGAAATGTTTTAAGGACTTTTTAAAACCAATTTTAATACATAATGCAAAAAACATTAACAAGAAATATAAGTTCTTACGCAAATAAGCTTGTCGCTGATCATCGCTAAGATTTGACGGTAATATCGTTGGCATGCCCGGTACAAAAGACTTGTTGGTACTCCAACGTGATTTACGAGGCTTCTTTTCCGGTTGGCCAATTTCACTTGCAGCACCTGCTCCCTCATCTTCAGTTTTCATCTTATCAACTGCAAACATTTCGAATGGATAACATGATTTTTGCTAAAGAAACTATTTGATGCTAACTTACCAACTTCAGGGCGTGCCAGTATTGGAAGTACTCCCTGTGCAGTCTTCAATTTTGCAGAGCCAACAGTGGTAGTCTGCAAAAACCATACTTCTGAACTATGCAAAACGCAGAACGCATTTCATCATCTTGTAAATAACATCATGAAGCGTGACGAGATGTATTAAAAGATCTACTCATAAAATATTGAAAAATAAACACAATAAATTATCTAACATCGCAATTAACATGTACGAAAATGGGAATGTCATCAAAATTTATTTGCCAGTTAATTCTATAAAGCAAAAAATTGGCATACAGTTGATATGAATAACTTCTAAATGTATGGATATAGATGGAAGCTCACATTAACTTGATTTTCTTGATTTTCACTTTGTTCTTCAGGCCCTTTTGGTGGAGAACCAGTACGATCTGAAACTGAATTCTGATTTAAATCACTAAAATAATTTTATCATGCAATGCTTAATAAGAGGTTATTTAGTCTACCTCTACGCTTTTTATGCTTGCTTCTACTCCGACTTTGCCTACTGTGACTACCACTTCTTCTGCTTCGACTACGACTTCGTCGACGACTACGACTTTGACTTTTCCTGCTACGACTATGGCTGCGTCTGCTGTGGCTACGCTTTCGTGAATGACGGCGATCGCGAGAACGCGAACGACGTTTGCTATGGTTCCGTGAACGTGATCGCTTATGCTTATGTCGAGAACGAGATCGAGAACGGGAAGAACGCTGCTTTGGCGACAAATACTCCGAAACCGGTGGAGCATAAGATTCTAAAATTAGTATATTATGCATAAATAAGAACTTCTAGATAGAGGATTTACTGCTTGACATAAAACATAATTTTCTATAAAAATATGAGTGTGAGTGTACATATAAACAGAACATTCTAATTACAACATAGTAACAAAAAATAAAAATAATGCGAGCGGTAAAGAATCGTGAAAAATATTCTCAGCAAATATTCCCGCAAGTGGCACAGCCATCGGGAAATATCTATTCATTTTAAAATCAAAACCTCTTTCAACCACAAAATTAACCTGGAACATTTCCATTACTACCCTCTTCTGCATTATCCATTGTTTCAACAGTCGGTTCACCGGCAGCAGCAGCAGCAACAGCTGCCGCGCCAAATTTCCGCACAAATGGCATCGGTTCCGTGTTACCACCAGTTTTGTCACGCGACCGCGACATATTCCTTCGCTTAACAAAAGTAGTAATACTAAAACGATAACTATAACCATATATTGCATGTATTATGGAAACATTACAACTGTTAATTCTAACACCATTATTCAAAAACGGATACTAATCTCAAGGAAGAGAGGAGCACCATATTCTCATACACATTTTAATCTAACCACAAGATTTCAGAGAAAGTTACTGATATAAAAACTCCACATAGTTCTATAATCATCATCATATTTATAAACAAGTATTACCAATTAATGGTGACAGACCTTATAAAAGAAAACAAGCATCTTTTTTCCATCTATTTATTTTGCCTTAAATTCTATGGCTATGAAGCAGAAATAACAAACTGTTTATAATTTTTATACATGAATAAGACAACGAAAAAAAATGCTTTAAGACAATCGATATCACAAATCTTCCACAGTTCCTGTGTTGCTTTTCGCTTCCTGTTTCAACTCACCACATTCCCCAATTGTCACCTAAATACTATAGCGTATATACGCACTTCTACAGTTTTCGACATGAAAAAAGCCTTCCAGTCTACCATGACATACTAAATTGCAAAGTGCACAAAAAGTATCTTAAATGACTCATTATTTGGTGAATGGAAGTCGAAGTCAGCGAAAGACATCCAAAGTCTAAGTACAAACTAAACAATAACTCCGAGCACTCTTTAAATTCCGAACACACACTAATATAGGTGACTTTAATGAAAAAAAAAAAAAACATTTAAACGTTCTATTAAATAGTTTATTTCCAAATAAATAAAATATTAAACGTTGCAAAAAAAAAAAACTTTCTTCTAAAGGAAACAACTATGAATAAGGCGAAAAATATATAACGATGACCTATTATCACATTTTAAAATTACTGGCAAGAATGAACATACCTGCATCATAGGTTTTCCACTTTTACTTCCCTGCTGTTCGATCTGCCTGACAATGTTCATCCCTTCAACAACATGTCCAAAAACAACATGTTTATTATCTAGCCAATCCGTTTTTTCGGTGCAGATAAAAAACTGCGAACTATTCGTATCAGGTCCACAGTTTGCCATTGAAACAATTCCGGCCATAGTGTGCTTTAGCTGAAAATTTCGACAATCAAATAGTATGTCACACGTTAAAATACAAGGAAATCAATAGAGGTTGCTTTACATCAAATCAAAATTTTAAATCCCGAACCTTGAAATTTTCATCCGCAAATTTAGAACCATATATTGATTTTCCGCCTGTCCCATCTCCCTTCGTGAAATCCCCGGCTTGTATCATGAAACGTGGAATTATCCTATGAAAGTGTGAACCTAAAAAAATACATAGTCTGATGTAAAGAAGATTATGAGTTGGAATATCAAACACTGCAACAAATTTTAAAGCAATGGCAAGTTATTTCCTTATCGAGCGGTCGAAATCAAAATTGTAATGAACTGTAGAAAATACAAAGCAAAGCTCAGTAGAAAGGTAAAAATACCTTCGTAACCAAAACCCTTTTCTCCGGTACAGAGCTGCCGAAAATTTTCCGCTGTTTTTGGAACTACATCAGGCCGTAATTCGATCACTATTCTTCCTATATACCTATAGAAATTTGCGCAAAATTATAAACAATATGTAGAAAGTATCATAAATATTCAGGTATGATGTCTAGGGAAAGCCAACCAAGGGGCGTTTCCAAATAACGTAACCTGCAGGGCGGTGGGGGAGGGAGGGAAAAGAAGGCAGGATGTACAAAACTCATTCGCTGCATGTATGATCAAACAAAAAAATCTAATATGTAACGGTAATATACTAAAGAATTTTCAATGTTCAATGACAATAACTGCAGAGCCTTTTGAAACTAACCTGATTCCAATTTTGATTCCCAAATATACTCGTGGAAGATGCAGTTTAACTGTTCCTACCACTTGCTCAGGGACCGCATTGCTCTCCTTATCACATTCCTTCGATGTACCCTCTCCAGTGCCATACTAAAATTCCTTCTTTTATATAAGTGTTACAAATTTCAAATTTTTATAGCTAGCAACATACCTTTACTGATGAAAACGGAAACTAAGATAATTAATCGAGAAAGAGCCAAGTTATTATTGCAGCGTGAAAATCCATGCACAGAATGCGACAAATCTGGGAAGCGCTTTCTGTATCCTGCGGTGTTATTGATTTGTCTTTCGCTTGATATGCATTTCAGAATAAGAATGATTTTGTACAAAAAGTCACGAACCTAATTTTGTTTAAAATTATTTTTGTTCTAAAATGCATATCAAATGAACAAGTCAATAACAAAATTAAGGAATAAGAGCCCAATGCATGTAAAAAACTTCCAATTTAAAATTTTAAATCATAAATCCATAAGTGTTTAAGAAAGTTCAGCACTCAGTTAAGAGTATAAGATTATCTCGATGTACAAGACAAAAATTGAAGCAATTTTCCGCCCTGAGGTATTCCATAAATGTAATACCAAAATTATGCAATCATAATAGTATAAATTCGCAAATACTATCAGACCTTTCTCAATACCAGTATATTTCGAACTTACAGTTTTAAGCCATTCATCATCCGCCCATACCGGCCTTTGGCTTCTTTCATTTGCCTTTGGCGGTCGAGCAAAATTGCATCGGATTGTTCGCCCGAATAATTCCGAATCATTCATATTATCTATTGCTGCAGCAGCATCTTCCGCAAGTTCGTATTCCACAAATCTAAAGAAGGTAATCTAGAGATTCCAAAATATATATATCGTAAAAACAATATTAGCCAATCATCAAAGATACTCTAGAAAGTTTCATTTCATTGTAGCAAGCCGGTTACACATTGAATTAAACAGGGTTTATTGACAAAGCAGTAGTTAAAAGAGAATGTACATAGGTTTTTAAGATCAGTGCTGGTCATCTCAGTTCTTCCTAAAATGTTTGCTGCTGCAATGTAAACCATCTAAAACGATACTTGAATCAGAAAAAAAAAAAAAAAAAAAAAAACAAACAAACCCGAATCCACGATGCTTGCCCGTTTCATAATCCAAAGGAATTGATATACTAACAATTTCACCGAAAGGTATGAAGCCAGCTTGCAATATTTTCTCATTAACCTCTTCGCCAAAACCACCAACATACAGCGTTCGTTTTTTATTATGTGGAAAGTTGGTCGCCAAAGACATCGCTCTTAATCTAAAGTAATTCCAAAACATGCGACTTTGCGAAATAATAGTGCAAGATAATTTGAAAATGCATGTAAGTATGCGTACGATGAAAGCCGTCGATTTCTAATTAATAAAATATGACTCAAAATCACGTGGACAGTTCTATATTTCCAAAAGTTGTAATACACTTTTCTGCATACTGTAAAACTCATTTATCCGTAACAATAGAGAACATTTAAAAGTCGTTACAGCTACAACAAATGCTGCGACAAAAGCAAGCCTATTCAGAGACAAAGTAAAAAGAACTCACGCTATTCTAAATCCAAAAAACGCGTAAAATGTGTGTCACAGAAACCTTTTTCATTTGCCCCCTTCCTTCCTCCACCAATCACCAACGTATTCTACAAATTCAAGCGAAATGTGAATGTCAAAAGAAAACTGCAGTAAGTGACCCCATATACTAACCCCAAACTGCAACCATGCAACAAAGAGCACAGCATACCACCACCTCACATCCATTATACGCAAAAAAATAATCAAGGGAACCGAACGATGTTCGTTAGAGCGAAGTTTCAACACGATAGTAAAAGTCGTCTGTTCGGCATATACGATGTTTCTTGTTCGATTCTACTGAGCTTCAGGAGTCGGTGATGTTTGATTTTAGGATGTTTGTGTTTATTAGTTGTTGAAGTAAGATTGTTAATTGTGACGATGCTGGAAGTGGTTGTTGATTTAGAAAGAAAGTTCATCTACATTAAGATGAAGTTTGGTTTTAATTACCTGTCAAACTTCAAGCGTGGAAGATGAATGTTTGTTCTTTAAGTAATGAGGCAAAGGAATCTACTTTGAAGTAAACTGTCATGTAAAAGGGGTTATTCGAGATGGGAATTGAACGCCAAAGTATTAATTCGTAGATAAATGAAAAAGGCAAGAGGAGCGATGTTCATGTTGCATTTCTACTTATTGCTAATGGCAAGATAAATGAATGGAAATACTGCATATCCTCATACCTTAATTTATTAAAAATCTATTTCCTCTTTAAAATTGTGAAAGAAAATACCTCTGCTTTTAAATGAATCCACTGTTTATTAATTCTTTACCGTTTACGAGTCGGAATTCTTCTCGAAACGCATGTAACTATCATCTTTTGTAATGTTTGGTTTCTGTGAAACTCATTTGTGCACTTCATGCTTTTCATGTTGATGTTTGAGTCGCTTCGAAGTTTTTTATATTTCCTTTGTTTGATAAGGGACTTCATAAGAGATTTTCGATCATTCAATGTCCGTCCCATTCATGGATGATTATTGTACGTGTACTGATCAGAAGGAGAATGTTTGGAACTAGTCCTTTTACTTGAATGCATATTAATCAATTGAATGGCGACTCCATTTTGATTCGTGAAATTTGCTCTTGTTAACAGTTGCACTTCTACGTTTTCCTGTGTCAGAAGGTATAGCTCTTTTTCTATCCTGTATTTATTACTGGTTCTGGTCTATGTTTAGCGTATGACGGTGAATCTTTGATATAATTCGGCATATAGAGATACAGATTTTTTAATTCACTTATTAATTTGCAAATAGCGTATGTAATATTCGCAAAATCTACTCATATCTGGATTTGATGCAGAATTGTATGAATTGCGCTGCATCTTTTGTGTGAAGTTTAGATCTGTAGCATTGTCTACTATTTATATGTCTATTAAAATTGTGACTTTGTGCGTATAAATCATGTGAACGATATTTCAAACACTTTCCGAGAGTTCATATCATTCAAAAAAACGAAGCGAGATGAGTATCTATACATAAAATCATTAATTATAATTTCATATTTTATTATACGATATTCAAATTTTTTGGGTAATGTTACAATGGATAAAGCACAAGGATATCGTGGATTTAAACGGAGTTACGAAAATATCACCTGTATCTTTGCTTCACAAAAAGAAAAAAAAAATACGTCTTGAAACCACTTGAAAGAAGCAATGGGACCATAACTATATACAGCAAAAATATATTGAAAAGAGAAAATGAAGCATTAAAGCGAACAGGAAGTGTAAATTACAAGTATACGATTAATAAACCAGATTAGGACACCGGAGACATATTGCTGTTGAGTGAAGCAGTTCTTAAAAATACCTGGTGACCGGGTAAAAGGAAGCTATACAATCGTTCTGTAGTGCTTTTGATGTTGCTGCATATCTATGTCTCCTAAACATTGCTCAGACTTTCAATAAATTCTCAACTCTTTATTGGATTGAATGAAGTTAGGTGCAAGTAAAAAGTGTGGATTGGAAGCAGCTTCAATTAACTTATATAGGACGCAATCCACTATGACAATTTGGGAGGGGCATATGGCTCTGCTAGTACTGCACCTTGAATGGTTACTTTTGTACCTTTTAATTTCTAAAAGCACGCTTCCGTTTTCCGAATTCATAGTTGCAGTGTGATGAAATGCAGTGTGATGAAGTCCGTATTTACAAGAACCTCTCTAATAAATTAAGCAAATCTAATCTGTGCAACTGGAGAGCAGGCAACAAAAAGGCTATTTTCTAAATATATGCATAGACGATTGCAATGGAATACGAGAAAGATTACAAACCAAATATGCTACGGTACTAAGCAAATGGATAAAGCTTAACGATGACAATTCGATAGAAAATTTCCTCATTTAAACAAAAAGGAAGCTAGCAAAAATTTGTCTCACAAAAATTACGTTTTTATTTGTACTGTAAGGTATTGTTAGTTTCCAGTAACTTATCTCTAAATAGCTACAAATTAAAAAGCTTCGGGACTGCTTTTTATGAATCATTCTTAAGATTCTTAAGTCCTCACCTACACCCCTCCTTTTCCAGAAAATCAGAAGAAAAAAGAAAAAAGCAAAAAGTCATTTTCGACACTCCTTGTTGATTCTATTCACTTCATTCTCATATTTTCCTCCTTTCCTAACGTTTTCCCAATCTTTTTAAAATTTGGATAAATGAATCCATTCTCCATACAATTTTATCAATAAGTCCAATTTCTACGGCTGCTAAAAGATGACTCAAGAAAAACTAGAAAATCGGTTCAAACACAGTGAGCAACTCCTGTAACACAAGGTGCACAACCACTGTCTTTCCCAAGAGCCATTGATGGCGGTCGTAAAAGAGTATCAACGCGACAGTCTGCCCACGCAACGCCTGCGCCTGCTCTGAAAAAAGTTATAAGAGATTAACGCTCCTTCATGTTTTACTCTGAATTATGCATTTATGTCAATATTTTGAATGTTATACGGATATTTTTTTCTGGATTTTCAGTCTGAGTATTCATAAAACAAAAAGGAGATATCTCACAAACTAAAATACAGTTAACCTGCATTGGCTGATAGTAGCCACCGAAGACCACTGATTAGTAGCCGGGTCGTATGCTTCTACAGAGTTTAAATACCTCACTCCATCATGACCCCCAATTGCATAAATTCGCCCACCCATAGATGCAACACCAACACCACCTTAAAAAACTTCAAAAATGGCAATTCAAAACCGGTTTATTGAAATGAAAAGCTAAAGTCATACCTCTCGGACATGACATTTGTGACAACAATGTCCACGCATTATCTTCTGGATTGTAACGTTCACATGACGGTAATGGAGCATTGTCATCGAAACCACCAATTGCATATAAACATCCATCAAGTACTGTGACACCAGCACCAGCTCTGTAGCGAGATTTTCAAGAAAAAAATTTCTAGGAACAACCAGAGTTACCAAACTGTTGTAGAGTAAATAGTAGGCTTTTAGAAACAGATTCTGTTAGGTAATAATAAATCAAGATCGTTTAATTAAATCCCATAACTTGCCGTGAAAATTTTTCAAATATACAAACCTTCTATGTTGCATGCTTGCAACTAATTTCCACTTGTTCAGAAGTGGGTCATATCGTTCACAAGAATCGAGTGATGAAGTTCCATCATTACCACCTACCGCAAATAGATATTTACCTGCAAAAAGACAATGATTAAAAAGCAAAATATTTTATTCCCACTAGAACCGAAGAAACTACAATTTAGGTCTCAAGCAGACTTACCTACAGCAGCAACGCCAACACCGCCACGCTGCACATTCATTTGCTCCACACCTGACCATTTGTCTGACTCAATATCATATCTTTCTACAGTCTGCAAAAAACAATATATTAAATGAACTTAATAACTATAAAATTGTCAAAAAAGAAAAAGAACTAAGTGAAAATTTTAGCATTTACAAGCGAAAATATAACATGATTCAGTCATGAACTTATCTACATCAAGTTAAAACTCTAAAATTGTCGGAAAATCCCAATTATAATACGTAGAAATAAAATTATATTAAATCCATAGAAATGTAAATTGCACTGCTAGAACATATGGACAAATGTTTCCAGTATAACGTAAGGAATCATTTATCTAATATTCATCTTCTATATAGCTGAGCTTATTTCAATTGTTTCTTAACAAAAAATGTGTTGGAATTTGTTCCCAATTAGATTGTTTACAATTATATCAGCTTTTTATTCACTTCTTTTGTTATTTATCTTACTAACTATAAATTATATTCGAATTTGATAAGGTTATCAGCTCACTGGATCTGATTGTTGATGACTTAACAGCATTTTTCAGCTGACCTCCTGTATTGTAAATCATGAGTGCTGCTATGAGTTAAACGATTACTATATAAGCAATTATACCTGTTGTCAAGGTCAAGTTTTTTGAATAGCAATCTGACATTCATTGCTCTCTTACATCTACTTCCATAAGCTTTCTAATATTATTTAATAACTACGACCAACGGTAATCTTTATCTCAATAAAATAAAGATTTATTAAATATTTTCTTTACAAAGCATTAACTATTCAGCTCTAGAATTTACTCGAGCCAGATCCCATTTTACAACAAAATTTACATCTTTGGTCATTAAATACAAAAGAGTTCAAAAATTATAGCGGACTGAGAAATAAAACAGCTAAATGACAAAAATGGGAGCAGACCTGAAAACATGCAGTGTCATCAAGTCCACCAACGGCATATATTGCACCTTCCAATGCTCCAACAGCTATGCCTCTACGACGAGTATCCATGGAAGCGACGGTATGCCACATATTGGTGGCAGGATCAAAACATTCAGCGGAACTTAAGTGATTTGTTCCATCGTGTCCCCCAATAGCATAGCTGAAGTAAACAAGAAAAAATGGATACAAATAAATTTGTCATAGTTATAATAAAAAAGTTCAAGGAAGTTATATTTCAACAGCAGTTCTAATCGGGAGAAATCAGCAGAATCTCAGACAATAAGGTTTAGTATTTGCTATCTAAAAATCTGTTACAAATCGTTCCATCATGCTGGAGATATGCTTCTAAGCTTCAAATCTTTCTTCATCAACTGAAAATTGTGCCTTAATTTTGCTGCTATGCTTAACTTCGAAAAATTGTGACGAATTATTACATAGCAAAATGTTAAATTCTCAGAGAGTGCTTTATGTGCGACAAAAGCAAATTAATAAAGAAATATGGTTACATATTTTTGAAAAATCAGATTTAATTCAATATAGTTTAACTAACAGTTTCCCTTGAGCGCTAACTACACCAACATGTCGTCTTCGGATATTCATATCACTTATTGAAAACCATCTATCACGTCGCCAATCATATGCTTCTACTGAACGGAACGGATCACCCGATGTACCTGCAAAACAATTTTCTTGTCAGCTATTAATACGTCCCTCAAGTTTACCTTGAAAAATGTAATTCTTACGTGCGCAATATGTGCAACTATAAGTGCAAATCTTTGTGACAAATCTGAGTGCAAAAATTTCATCTACTAAAATAACAAAAGGAATTACAAATTACCTCGCCCACCAACGCAAAATATGACACCTGCTGCACTTTTTCTCGGTCTACAATTTGTCCATACTCCAAATGATGGTACTGGCGCATACATATGCTTTGTCGATGATATGTCTGTTATCACACCTACACTCCAATAATTTTTAAAACATAACTGAAGTCCTGTCTCGCATATAAAAAGTATCACCTTTTTGTTTCATTTCTTTTGGAAGTTTCTTAAGGAAAGTTTACCGAGTTGCAACTCAAAGTACCTTGAAAATTTGTAGTGCTGTTTGAATAAAGACCTCCAGTTCCTATAGCAGAAAATATTGGTGAGAATGATGCACTCTCCGTACTAATAATTCCAGGACCGATCTGAGCACGCATCATTTCACTCATCGCATCTGCCACTAAGTCACGACAACGTACACACTCCTGAAAAGTTGCGATCATTAACTTTTAATCCTTATATTTATTCAGTTCTAAGTCTTTTGCACACTCATATTTCATTCCTCAATCTGACAAATACAATAATTTATTTATCGATTAAAGAATAAATCAGTTGAAATTAATTCTCCAGGGAAATAATAACTTTTCAAATAACATGTAAAAAATACCACAATTAAAGGGTGTTTTTTCACTTTGTTCAAAAAATAAGCAATGGGTAGTTGTGGTAGGCGAACAAGAGCAAGTAAGTCTGGCAAGCAACTTCTTCGTTCTTCAATGTTTTCCTCCACCCAAAATATTACTGTTTCGAAAACCTAAAAAATTCATTGCTGGAAATTTGACTATCAAAAAAATCTATGCCAACAACTCAAAATTCTTATCCTCTTATATTTAAAACAACGACCGATTTGGAAGCCATCAACTTAGAAGCTGGCAAATGCTATTCTCTCCTATGAGACCTTCCAAATATTCAATACTACCTTGATTATGATATTTAACATTCGCTGCAATTTACTTTTTAGTGAAAAGTAAATAACCTCCTGTTCATTGTTTACTTTCAAGTCAGAACTACGCAGAAGATCTATCAAATGACCAAGTGGTATCCGCATGAAGTCCGGAAGCACTCGTAATTCCTAAACATGTGATTTCAGAACAATGAATTTTCAAAAATATAAATCCAGATATTCAAATATCCGATTTAAAGAGAAACAGTTATAATTCTTCATAAAATATACTGGGAAATGCTCCATTGCAAAATCATCAACAGATGACATCAAGCTGACACAGTTGTGCTGTTCAGCAAACTGACGAATAGATAAGCAATTAGCGGTTGTCAAATACTGTGTCAGAAAACGTTGACATGCACCACAAACAGTATCCATCTGCAAAAAAATTAAACATCTGACTTTTAGTATCTATGTAATTACTCGGCAGCAAGAAAAAGTATCTTTGTTAATAAATAAACTACCTGCAAAATACTAGCGGCATATAACAGTTGCTGAACATTATCACCATTGATATGAACTCTGCTGGTATATGCAAAATCCAGAAGCTGTTGGAAGGCAACGGCAGGGATATCCTGTGCAAATAAAATACTTCAAATGTTAAATAAGTGAAGTGAAAGTAAAGGGATAAATATAGCATAATACTCTATTAACCAGCACATGCGAAAATATACTTTTCCGAATGTAAGTTAACAGGATACATTTATTTATAAAATTCCATATAGAAGAGCAACAATCTGTCTAACAAATGATCAGGAAAGAAAATGAACTGATAAACCTGAATAACAATCCTGCTTTGACGCGACTCGATCATTTCGGAAGCAAACATTGAATGAAAATACGGTATAGCTGCAGCAAGAACATATCGATGAGCAGTGAAAGTGATCCCTTCAACCTGAAATATATATGAACTAGAACAACATTTAGTTAGTAGCTTATCAAATTCCTAGCATCTTAGTTGACCTTGTGCTTCTGATCATCAATTATGAACAACACCTTTTAACCTAACAAGAAATAAGTACCTTTTTAGAATCTAATGGCATCGAAAATCAGCACTAATATTTGAAAATTTCATGATACTACTCTTATAAAAAGAAAAGCAGTTTGACAGAAAGCAAAAGCAATACACGACTTCAAGAAAAGGACGTGTTTCTTCCTTTTGACATAATTCACATAATCCTACCGTTATGTCCTTTTCAATAAAATTTTGTGGGCGAAACGCAGTGTGTTGTAAAAAATTAAATAAATTTAAGACATAAAATTTCTCTCATATAGTTAAGAATGGATTTGAAACAAGGCGCTCTTTACTTATCTGTAAGCATATAGAACTTCGGTCGTTAATATTTCGACTATTAACATAACTAAATTATGTGATAAAAATCATAAAAAATTGTACTTAATAAATAATGGCTGCACATACCTCAATTTCAATGTCACACATGAATTTTTCATCTCGAAAATGTGACATATTAGAGAGGACGACGTTTGCATGTAAACCATCATGAAATTCAGTAGATTCTAGAATATTGGAACCGCTATTAACTAGCGGTGATGTTGTAACACTTTGTGATGATACCAAACGCTGTGCAAGTAAGTAGTTGCTTGGACAGCTTATTACTGGTGAATCTGAACAATATTAGCCTTTCAGGAAAATTTAGCAAGGTTATAAATGCAATTGATAGCTTAGCCACTAAAAAGATTAAATGGGACAACCCAATGGTTACACATCGTTAGTACCTGATAAACAACAATAACCAGATGATCGCAAATGATTACACAATCATGTGCAATGAAAGATGAAACAAAGTTCAATACATACCACAACTGATGCCACTTGGAATAAAATCCATAGAATCTTCCATATTAATTCGATTCCGTTGATAGCGTAGTCTACTTGAATGAATGCTTTGATAAATGGGTTGTGTTGATGTCCGTCTTCTAACAAGATCTATGGCAGCACCACTATTCGAAGTGGATAAAAGTGATAATGTGGCATAATCACCCTGTCAAAAATTCATAATACTCATAATTTTAGAATGTTTTAACAAAAACACTAATAATAAAACGATTTATTTCATTAATAATATTTTATTACTTTAGTAAGACAATTCCGACTCTTCCGAGTTGCGTAGAGTTTTCGAAAAACCAGAATAATTTTGTAATATAAATATGTTGAAATCATGAAAATATCCCGTACTGTAGAAATATTTTATAACAACTGAGTAAATTCATGTTTGTACTATAAAGGTTGTTTAGAGTTAAAATATTTTTCAGCCAAATAAATCATTATCCAAAACAAATATAAAATAAATGTTTCGATCTTTAAATGATGAATCATTTATCCAATTCATATGTAAATTATTCCAATTTACAGTTAAAATGTAGTGACCCATGCAAATCCTCCCAGTCTATGAGTACTTAAAATATTGTAATCCTTTTTTCACCTAGCACTCTTCGTTTCTAAAAAAAAAAACTGCACTTTATTGTAAATTATCGGTCTCACCAAATTTTTTCTTTGGAATGGAGAGAAATAAATCTATCGATCTGGCACTAATCATAATATTTTCTGATAACTGCCTTATAACGCTAATCAATGAAATCTTCGTCACAAATATTCATCTGAACAAATCAAGAAAATAATTTCCACCTAGGCATTCTTTCAGTATATCAGCCGATATTAGAGATGTTCCACTGCTTAGTATTCAATCTTGCCATACAATTGTAAAAAGTTGGGTCAATTAATGGTAATTTAAATAAATGTGACTAAATTACTAACCTAGACGTTAGTAAACATTTTCTTCGCTACTTCCAAAACAGCTGTTTCCATAAATTTCAATTCAAATTAAAAATTTTTAAGATTCCACGAATTTATTTAGAAACTACTAAGGTTTCGATCAGTCTGTTAAAGGAAAGAGATCTGCTGTCATGATTTCTGTTTCGTAATTTCGCAAGTGAGAATTATTAGAGATTGTTGCTATGAAAAATAAATTCCAGTTGCAGACCTGCCTAGAGTTCTTTATTCTTTGTTCAACGACTCTACACAAATTCTAAGACGTGAAAACTTTTCGAAAATAGGATTCTTCTTTCAAGCTAAATTTGAAATCTATTTTCTCAAAAGTACTTTCATTCATTTACGTTACCATAAAGGAAAACACAGTCCAAATTTAAAATTCACTTTTTGTGAGAATAACTTCAAACAATGTCTTCTCCTACATGATATTATTAAAATCGAAATCAGACAGTGATGTTATTCCATTACTTGAGTACTCTCTTGCTCTATTTCAGACAATAAATGAGTTGAATCATTATATTCGAATTAATTATGTATTGAAAACTTATGTGATTTTTAATGCTCTAGTGAAGAAAAATTTTTTTTTATAAGGAAAAAGCATTGTTTGAAGCTGTTATCATAAAAAATGAATTTTACATCGTTCCTTCTCCATTTTCAATCTATTGCGCCAAGTGGAGAACATGGAAAGTTTACGAATAACTTTTTATGATGTTCTATGTACTGAACGATTATATTCGAATTATGTATTCTGTGTCTGCATTTCAGCACTAAATTTAATCACTGCTCACACTAAAAAAATCAGATTTCATGACAGAGATCATGAAACTTGATTTTCATACCACCCTAACCTTTCGTCATTCGGGTTAACTGTGCCTTGAAATTTAAGGTTTTTACACTTATTCTATTTTAAGCAACTTATTCTACTTGATATAACAACGATTTACAATCTCTTTGATTAATCTATTCTGAAAAATCCTCTAACTTAAAAAACCTAACAGCAAGAATCATACCACATTAGTTTCGATTATTTCAGCCGTTGTTGTGTATTGATGCTGCTGTCGTTGTTGTGGTTGCTGTTCCACAGCCACACTTGTTATTGTAGAAGATGACCAAGCAAACAGACAGTTCTGGAATAAAAAAAGACCAAACACTGCTTATTTATATGAATCCGAAGTTCGAATTAAACATCAGCGCCAATAAGAAGTTGCTTGCCAAATAGAAATGTCGAAAAACTGAGTACTTTCTATGGATGACATCCGAACCCCTCTGTCAAGGGTAACTGACTTTAACTAAAAGCTGAAAAACTGGAATTGCAAAGTAGCAGTGCTAGAGATCGCTAAATTCTACATGCAAAACATTTCTTGAACCCGATGAGAAAGAGATTTGACATTCACAAGTTTAAGTCAAGATAGTATTCCATCATTTCCTCCATTCTTCTTTTCTGACTCTTCCAAACATCCGAAATGGATCGCTATTGTCCAGAGTGTTGAAATAAGACCACTAGGACACGCAAGTGATATATCAGCTACTTGACTCGTATTACTAAATTAGTAAATAAGAGGAGGAAAAATGAAATTTAAAGGAAACTAATTTTCAAAATATTGTAAGGAAAAAATATTAATGTAGGATGTAGCAATATACGTATTAAATAACTGCACACAATACGACGGTGTTATTGTTTGCTCTTTTGTGAAAGCATCAGCAAAAATAATTTCAGTTCAATGCAGTTTAGCTCGAGTCATAAATACATTTTAATTCATTTATGTAAGCTTATCCAACAATTACCAACTAATAAGTCATAAGAGTTAGTTGCACAACTAAAGAAAGAATTAAGCCTCAGAAAAGGAATGCTTCACTCATTTAACCTTAAAAATATGTTCCCAATAGAATAAAATAAGCCAATACATCCTGAAGATAATATGACACATGTCTAATTTAATAAAATTACAACATGTCAAATTTTGAAACATAAATATAAAAGAGAAATATAAATCTTTTGCATTTTAAATAGAACAGATCATCGAAAGGGCACTAAAGAAAGTGAAAGACCATGAAGGGAAGAATGCATTGTCCCTGTTCCTCTTCCCTTCTTACTGACAATCAATTGTCGCATAATGTGATCCCAAGTGTCTTCTGCTATGACTGCATCGCGTCCCTTCCTAAAAAGCATTGAATTCTGAACATTACCGCTTTTCCTACATCGATATAACCGTAAGCACATGTGCTATTGTACCTCCTCCGATTCCGCGATTACCCGGTCAGCAGCTTTTTAATCATGGTAAAAGCGAATGCCTGCTTATCCATTTGCATTCTGTAGAGCCAAAAAGCATTTCTCGATTGTGAGATGATACTATATGGGCACTAACCTTCCGAGAGCGACATACGATATCTCTCCAACATGCGACACTATCACGAATTTTAGATTTTCCAACTAAGCTATACCAAAGCCTTCACAGCTTGAAGAAATACTTGCTTATTACAATATACAACAACAAGCTAAAGAAATACAATTAACTAAGGCTAAAATAAAGAATTTGAAACTTTCTGTCATCAAAAGAAATTTAAGCTGATCCAGGCACTGTAATAGTTGGCTCCGATAAAGGATAAAAGGTACGCAGCGTGGCAGAAATGCTTCTGAACTATATTTTCAGAAACTTTTGGAGTAAAAGAAAATCATTACAATTACAATAACCAAAGTAAATGAAAGTAATCCTTATGGTATTTTCCTCCAACTAAGCACTCATAGAACAGACCCTAAACCAGTTTAACAACATTTCAAATGTAATATGCATCATGATGTATTCCAACACCTACTCTCTCCTTCCTTCATCTCTCTCGCCAATTTCACACAAATGAACAAGGCAGAATCAAAAAATATATGGTGTATCTCCACAGGATACTGAGGAAATACACTATAAAGCATAAGCCAAAAATACGCTGGCAGTAATCCGGTTAGATAAATATTTATTTGACAAACCGGATAAACAGTTGTTGTGGGAAAAATTGGTGTAAATATGACTTTTGATTTAATACAAACCGCCCTATCATCCAAACCTTTCATACAACAAAGCATATGACTCTTAAAATTCAATGGACAAATACATGAACCCAAAGAAAAGCCTATCTATAGCATGTAGCTTACCGTAGTATCACAATATCAGCAAAGTATCGCTAAAACAAGTATAACACACACAAATTATCTTTACTGTTGCCCATTACCGCACGTCCATTTATTCCTTGTGATGTAAGCTGAGCTTTCTTCGTGCCAGAAAGTGCTTGACACATGAGAGCATTACGGATTTGTGCACAATTTGTACTAATATGACAATATGTGGGTTATCCAGCGAAACATGACTGCCCGGTGCCAATTGCTTCAGGGCCAGCAGTACCATATCCATGACATCACCCTTCCCCAAACTATCATTATTTCGAGCCTTAAAATCGAACAAATATGTTGGCCATTTACCGTCTTCAGCTTTACGAAAATGCTTCGAGATCAGTCGACTCACTTCCTGAAATTACCACTAATCCATCCAATAATAAAAGAATGTACTTCTATTTATTTAGAAATTAAAATTTATCTCAACCAAATGAGGTCTGTTGTGCACCATTGTCTCTGGCTTTCCGGGTGATAATTTTCTAAATAACCTTTGTTTTACATTGATTTTAATCCTATTATATTAAAATTATGATGGCCGTAACTGGTAGAGAAAGAAATCACTTAAATTTGTCTTTTATATCTACTGATAAGTGGTTCCTTTTACTCAATAAAAAAAATCTAACACATTCATACCAATACTCTCATTCATTACATTCTCTAAAACCCTAATAGAAGGGAACAGGGTAGGGTAAGAGAGAAGGAGAGAATGGACAAACATTACTGAAGATGAATAAGCAATGAGAAGAGTCATGAAATTTTTTCTTGTGAAAACTGATACAATCTAAGGAAATTTTAATCTTCCTGATATAAATGACAGCTATCCTAGTTTTAACATAACTTACTAATATCAATCTGAAGATTTATGAGAACATTAGCTATTGAAATCTCTTAGATTACCGTATCCAACTCGATCATATCCACTCGGCAAGTCCTTTCCACCGGGCACACCCGTTGCAGCAGACGACAACACCGCTCTCTCAGCACCATCTCAACAAGGTAATCCACAAAATCATATACATTTTTGTCATTTATACCTTTCACAACAAAAAATAAGCAGTTGTTCGCACCCGTTGGTCGTTGCGATATTTTCCGCTGTTTCACGTTCCTGTTATTGCTTCGTGCTACAGAAGACCTTCGTTCAATTTATGGGCTATTTTGAACTGTTCAACAAAGATATTTGTCACTTATTTAATGTGCAATATTAACGTAGCGACACATGTTTTCTTAATTTAACCATTTCAAGTTACTTATTAGACTCGTTAATCTCTGTATGTTTATCCTCTAGTACTGCTTTATCTGATGGGCCTATTAGACTCTACAAATATACATATGTAACGACAATCTTTTTAAATATGTACCATTTGTTTAGATTCTAAAGAGGATCTCTTTGTCACTTAACTTTGTACAGGGCTTTTCCTTATTCCTTACAAATTCGTCAATTAGACCCTAGATGACAGGATACAAATCTCAAAAACAATTCATAAATGATTTCAAAATTAGCTATTTTAAGGATGATTAGGTTATAAAATTCAGACAACGGTAAAATTCAACAAGCAAACCTATGGGCATGGAAACTAATAATCTAAATGAGTTATAATCAAATAATAAATTTGAAACGAAGAATTAAAGTGTCAGCAATTGTGAAATGAAAATAAGTAAATAAAACTGTAATTCAACCTTTTTAATTCTTAAAAAATATTTTCAAAAATGGATCATTTTTCTGTCCTATACTCCAGAAGCTTTCGATAATTGACCATGCTTTATAGATAAATAAGCAAGTGTACGAACCCGAACAAAATAAAAAGAATTATAAAACCTTAAAATCTGAATGAAATAATAAGAACTAAAACCTTGATCACAAAACCGCTTCACCGAATCTGCGACATCTTCCTCATCACCACACGAATTAAACCCTTTTCCAACATTTTTATCATCTAAATTTTCTTCTGGAAAACCGTTCTTCCATATTTCTAAAGTTTGTTCGATGATGTTGTAAGCCTCACGTACCGCTTGCCTTTCATTCCCATTACACGTAAAGAATAATCCACAGCAGCCTGATTCCACCCATTTTTGCTTTACCTTTTTGTTATGACGAAAATGGTCGTTTTTGCGTCGTTTTTTGTTCGTTTCCATAGGTCACCTTATCATCCAAATGGTTAAAGTGACATATGAAGTATGAAATGAAAACACACAAAATTAAAGAACGAGCACGGAGGATGCCGGAATGTCTGTCCGATGTTCCCTTTCATCCGAGGAGACATTTTCAGGCTTAACTTGTCTTCGGGAGTCCTTCACATCTATGAAACCATTAACCAACCAAATATGTAAACTAAGTACCATCTTGTTCTAGCAACGTATGCCCGAACTATACGCTTACCGCGAATTTGAATTTGAACCTAAAGTAAAATTTCAGTGTTCTAAATTATCATCGCCTCGTAGTTCCTTTTTTCTAAGATAGAATTGGTAGCAATTTAAATCACTATTAATTCTAAACTGTTAAATACTCTGAATTCACAAGGTGAAAGTTTAATATTTGTTGAAATTTGTAAATTTCATGCATAACTGCTGAATCCACTTGAATATCACAGAACTTTTAAGTGCTGCAGTGATCGCATTTGAGTTAATTAAAATGCTGGTGATTTTTCTCTTGTTTAAATTTAAAATTGATAATTCTCTGTATAAATAATCAAGTGAGGAATAGAACAAACAGCAAAAATACATATTGACCAAAATATTCGATCTACTAGAATCTAATAAATCAATTCAAACTTTAGAATTCAAATTTAATTTAGAGAAAATGTAATTTAACGTTAAACAGAGTTTACAAAAACTCAATTTCTGTAAAGTTATGAAGAAAATATTGTGCTTTATTGAAAATGCTATGGTCAAAAAATTAGAAATATTTTTTCCAAAATATAAAAAAAATTGGAATCTGAGAACTAGTGAATTAAACTTCAAAAAGACGATGGATATGATACAGTTTTGACATCTTTTGTTATTAATATGACTTGAGATAAAAGTGTGCATACGTTCGCATTGTTGTGAATTGGTTTTTTCGACAAATGATATATCTAATCGTCCAAAATACATTTCAGAAATTGATGTCACGATTTTTCGAACTTTTTCCTTATTGTACTTTATTTTGAATCGGATTTTTTACCGTAAGTTAATTTTTACATAGATAACTGCAGAACTACGGTATTTTCATATTAGAATTATTTGAAAAACCAAAATGGATTGTATTTTTTACTCATTTGTATTTAACTACCTGTACGACTGATTCATTCATTCTTTTATGAATATTTAAAATTTGTTAGTTATGGATATTATATAAGTGGGGGAGTGAAAAATTGAAATGTAAATCAGAAACTGAAGAAACCATCAATTTTTTGATTGAAACAAGAATCATGAAACAACTGGAACTAAATTAAATTAATTCAATAGCATATTAGCAATCATATTCTAACAAGCGTGAAGAAATAAATATATGTGCGCATAAATGAGAAAATGCGAAGTTTTTTTGACAGCACATTTTGTCTACCGAAGTGTTTTCCGAACACTGTAAAATGCCAATGGTACCAAATATTAAATTTCTAATTAAAACTGACATTTCTCTTTAAAATGGCTAAAAAAGATTTGGCAATACCAATTTTGGGAAAATTTCTTTTCATTCTAAAAGATTTGTTTTTTTTTTTTTTTTTCTTTTTTAATTTGCTATTAAACGACAGTAATCAGTTTGATATAGGAATTTTATTTACATTTGAGAGAAGTGATTTTTTTCTGACAATTTTGTTTTTCAAAAAGATTTTTCTGAACTTATAAAATGACACTGTGTACAATACAACGCATTAATCTGTAATTGATGCATTGTGAAGCAAAAGGACAACAGTGATGACAGAAGTATGATTTACATTCTTGAAAATGATGAGTGAATGAAAACAAACGACCGAATAGTTATGACTCATTACAGTTACAAATTTCTTTAATTATTGTTTAAATTAACGCACAACTCAACTTACGTTAGTTTTGCGTTAATTGTTTGTTATTTAATAATAATTAGTAGTGGTAGTGGTACAATAATAATAAAGATTTTCTAAAGCAGTAAAAACGAGAACGAATTATTATGATCACCAAAATTATCAAGTTATTCACAAATAGATTTGTGTAAGTCTCAAATTAGTTGCTTAATCTATCCTGAAATCACCCGGGACTTAAGTATGGTTAGTTGTTGAAAAAAAAAAAAAAAAAAAAGAAAAAACCGAGAACTAAAATAAATATGAAAAATATGCAGTTTTTTAAACACAGAACTTAAAATTAATTAAAGAATAAAGTGCAAAACTACTTAAAATGAAATCATTTTTAAGTATTTCTGTCATCTTTCTAATTTCACAGATCTTCCAAAATTCACAGACATGAAAAAAGATAATTTGTACTGGCATTTCTTCTTATCAGTATTATTCGAAGTTCTGCGAATCTAGTAGTGCCACAAGAAATGAAATGTGATAAAACGTGTTTTGCCATTCACTTTTGATGATACTGAAACGGATTTAAAGAAGGGTATCGAATGCAGGGAATGTAGGGAAAGACGATATGAGCAGTGAACGGAAAAATAAATAAAAGTACTATAATGACTTTCGTTATGAGAAGAGAATGCTGTACAAACAAGTTCCAAGTCACTTTAATACTACAAATCGAATATTTATATTAAATATAATATTCAGATCAATTCCCAGTGCAATGATGCGAAATGACGAAGATATACTAATTAATTAAAAATATTTATAAAATATATTGTACTACGGCAAGCCTGAAGTGTAATATTACCTATTTAAAAATTGGAAGTTTTAAGTGAGAAAATGTCAAGGATTCAACGTAATTTTGGTATTAGTAATTAAGAATTAAGATTACAGGGCTAAAAATCAAATTAAGTAAATTAATTTTTAGTTAAAAAGAACAACGTTAAAAACCAATGAGTAGTAAATAAATTTGAAATTTTATATTAAAAGTTCGACCAAGAACATCATTTTTCTAATAAAAAATTCATGTGAAGATAATAATACATAATATGCTGCATAGAATCAGGCAGAAATAGGCAAATTACTCGAGAATGAGGTCCAACAACCTGTGCTACTGAAAATAATATTGGTGTTGATAACAACGGCAACGGTGGTGGCACAATTTGGTCGGCTTCCTCAAATTCTTCTTTGATCATATTCCTTCTCAACCGTTGACAAACTGTTAGAGTAGGGTGGAAGAAATTGCAAAGAGAAAAATTAACACTTTCAGAAAGCACTGACTTTTCTAAAACAAAGAAAGAAATGGACGTTAAAATGTGAAATTGAGAAAAAAAGAAATAGATGCATCTTAATTTTTATTATTACCTATGTCAGCTTAACTAGTTCGATTGTTTTATGTCAATACTAAGGGATGTCATAGCGGAAATGAAATCTTTGAGAGTGACATTAGCAACTGCTGAAAACAAGAGAAGATTTTTACAATGATATACAAGAAGAGACGTTAAATGAATCCAAATCCAAATTAGTGGAAAACTGGAGAATAGAAAAGTGAACGTGTAGAGCGATTGTTGTTCCTTTCTCTTAGGTAATGACGGTCACTGTCTCGATTGCCTCCTCTTTCACTATAATATCGAAATTTGGAAAAAAGACAAAACTTTCTGGATTTAAAATCTGAATATTAATAGATGAAAAAAGATCGAAAAAATTCTCCTTATGAATCATAAAATTACCAAGGATTAGAGAAAAGTAATGAAGTGATATCGATTCAGTGAAATTTGCATTCTTTTTCCATTTTATTGTGCTTTTGGAAGGAACTTCAGAGGATTATCAAGAAACCTAAGTCTTATAAATCTCATTTGATATGAAAATGTGAGTAGAGTTTATTTGTAGCATTTCTTTTCCCTACTAATTTGACGTTTGATCATCACAAGACCTTTCTAGCTTGTTCAAGTTAATCGACTCATTATTATTCGCTGCTCAAACTTGTTACACATCTGTTGGTTTTCCTCTTCATTCTTTCTTAGCCAACACCTTTTTCTTCAATGTGAAGATAATGACGAACTGAATGGAGTGATTAGTTCCCGAACATTGTTCCAAAATTTAATATTTTGAGATCAAAATTAATTTAATAAACGGTGAGAATGAATTTGGGTAAACAACATATCTTAAGCAAATTCATCATTTTTAGTATCGATATAAAAGACTACAACCATAATTTAATTTCAGCACTTCAATTTTTCTTGTTTCCTCTTTGATTCATTATAAATGAGAGCAATACTGTTATTGACGCGATGAAACTTTCTTCCGGCAGTCCCTTTCGATCTCATTTTGCTCAATAATAAACCATCACCATTCATTGTCACCACTATTATTACCGTGAGATATGGTGATATGTAGTCACTATTTCTGTTTTAAACCTTAAGCAGGACAGAAAAAGTCACTATGGAAATATCCTATTCTAAATCGTCAGTAATATCATTATGATTGCTACCAACATCGTCGCAGAGTTAGCATCGTTATCAGCATCTTATCAACATTACTGTAATCATCGAAAATGCAACACATACATTTTCGAAAAAGAATGAAAGCATGCAGAAACTTACAACGTGAAAAAAAAACTTAAGATTAAAGCATTGTATTATAATGAAAAAGCGATGCGAATAATTATCATGCTCCAAAATAGTGGATCATATCGGACTGCGGATGAATTTCACTAAACATTTCATACTAATACAGACATTCATCATCAGATTTTACTATGCCTCCTTTATTTTTCGTTCCTATGACATTTAACTAATATATTTATGATAGTCTTCAAACAACATTTTTCCTAATTTCAATCAGTATGTGACACTTCATGCATAATCACGTTCAAAGTACTCAGCTAAGGATTACAGGTACATTTCGAATAACTAACTGAATTTTTCATTAAATTTATTCCGTTCAAACTAGTTCCAATCCTAATTAGACTCCTTGGCCTTATCTAATCATACCCCACAACCATAAAGTAACCAAAAATTAGAAATATGCGAAATTAGAAACATTATACGTCAGCAATTCCAATTTAAAATGAGGCTTCGAGAACTTTTTCAGCTGAGGCTAGTATTTCTAAGTTTTAAAGTGAATTTTTGAATAATGAAGGACACATAGTTGTAAGATAATATATACAAGGTAAACAAAAGCTGAAAAACGAAAAGCTGAATGTTCAAAAATTCTAACAATTTTAATGCATTACATGCCAATTATGATTATTAAAATGACAAAACAATTTTAGCGGAGGCGATGGAGAAGTATTGTGCTTTTTTCCTGAAAGCAAAAAAATGAAGTTATCAAAAAGTTGATAAAATCGATGAGCCTAATGTGTCGAGACGTGCTTCAAATTTATAGCATGCGGTAGTATGGAAAACCGACAGTGCAAAATTTTCATACTTAACAGTGGTAAAAACTTCAACCATTATGAGATCCCAGCGATTTGTCACTTAAGAATTTGGCAACATGCAAGTCATTTTGATAGATATGATTGATAATAAAAATGAATAAGGAACATCCAACAGTTACGTGTGCAGCACTGTGCATTATGCCATCAACTTCACCGAAAATCTAAAATCAAATTTACTGCAGTTAAATTAAAACTTTATTTTATCATGAAATTTTCATCATCATTTTATTAAAAAATCCTTAAAAACAAAGTTATCAAAACAGTTTTGACAATGTGTTATAATAAAATCTAAAGCAAAGAAGTCTTTTGGACTCTAGCTGTCGAAGAAAATGGGAAGCGAAAGTACAGGATTAAAGGCATCTTTTTAAATCAAAGAAACAGATTTTCCTTTTTTGACGATATAGAAAGTGCATTCTGCAATTTTGATAAAGTTCAAGAAACTGACCAGGAAGGAAAGTGAAGTTACCATAAGACAAAAAAAAAGAATTAGAATTGTTGGAAAATTTGGAAGTGATTTCAGAAAACTAATTTGACCGCGTGAAAATCGACGTATATGTCTCCAGCTGAAGGATGAATAATCAATTTAATTTTAGTAGCATTCAGCCAAAATGATTTTTTTTTTCCTTTTTTTTTGTTAAAATCTTCGAACTCATCTCAAGAAATCGATGAAACTCTAACAAAATAAGCATTTACCTGTAAGCTATTCGCATCAGCATAGTAATTATATTTGCTAATATCAAACCATATGCACTGATAGCGTACGAAAATATGAAGGATAGAAATATGTGGATGGGAGAAGAAAAGAACAAAAACCAGCCATGCGAAAGAAGCTGGAATTTTATAACATGTAGAAGTCCTACCATGAAAATAGAATCTGTATCCGAGGTAGATAACTGAGAATGTAACAGGGATTAACTGAACTGAAGGAATGGATTAGCGATTGGAAAAACATAGTAGTGTTTATTTCATAGGATTTTTGTTAAAAATAAGCCTGAGTTGGCCTGCATTCAAACCAACTAAGAGATTTTTGGACGGAGTAAAGCCTGATGTAATTTATGTCCTTTCTAACAGATGCATTTATTAATAAACATATTAATCACCACCCAATATTCTTGAGTAAAGTAGTAATGGCATTTGATGGAAGATTCAATTTAAATCATTTTTTCACATTAATTCAAGAAACATGAAACCTCTTTTTCATTCATTGTTGCCATAGCAAAACATTCAATGATACCATTGATTGCAATGATAATTATGTAGAAAGAGTAAAGTCTCAGAATATTCGCACCTGAAAAGAAATATAAATTCTATATGATATAATCACAAACTAGTTTATAAGGAATAAAAATTATCCACAGTAATAGTCACTTCAATGCTTCTAAGCTAATCCGCAGCAATAGTCACTTTAATGTTTCTAAGGAGCTTACCTGAATTACTAATTAGCACAGTGCCACCGTATATTTTGACAGCAAGAGAAGAATAAGGTATTGCAAAAATAAATATTACAATACCAACCAAAATAACAATGTGCAGAAGACTGCTCATTGCATTAACTCCTTTTTTCACATCAGTCTGGAAACGATAAGTACTATAACACACACCTATAAACTAAATGCTTCCCTAATTTGCGAAATATTGGTAAAAGGAAATAAGAGTAATCTATCACTTAATTATAAAAGGGATGCATATCCATTCATAACAAGCGATTTAAACAAAAGCCAAAGTAATTACAAAACAGCTTCAATTTGCTAAGTAACAACGAAAAAATTAAAACTTGAATGCTTCATGATAAATATACCTCTATTCGATCCTTCGCCGAAGTCGTTCTTCGAAAACAAGTGGAGAAATACAAATACGCAGAATGCTCGAGTGGTGCGAAAATGACACGTGCGACCAAACTGCCTAATTTATCGACTGCATCGAAAACTGCTAAAAATAAAAAAATTTTCAACAAGGTTTTAAATTGTTCTTTCAAATGAAAAACGTGTACAAATGAAGTGTACTGAACAACTAATAAATATTAAAAGGAACTGAATTGAATAGAAACATGACTGAAAACTGATAAACCTAACCTTGATCCGATAAGGAAAAAAAATTCGTGAATGTAAGTACGTAGCCAGTACCATTTGTAACAACCTGCTTAAAAATGGAATGAACAGTAAAAGCTCCCAATATAGAACGATTCTGAAATTTTAATTCCTTATAATTATATGAATGTAGGAAATTACCCCAGATTTGTAACCCAATAAATAAATCATAATGAATTCCAAAGTATTGGAAATAGAAAATACCTCTTTTGAGAACGCTTTAGGAAAACTTGGATAAACAGATACCAGGCTGAAATCTTTAATAGATGGTGCGACAGACCGAATGCCAGAAACTAATAGATATATACACAAAGCGGTGTAACAAAAGGATGACAGAACCTGAAGGACATTGCAATGGATCGTACAATGGCAGAAAACTGGGAATAAATCAGTATGAGTAAAAATAGTTATATTTAATCTTCCATAAAATGCTATGTTTAAAGTATAGTACGGTTTGCATGATTTGGGTCATACAGTAAGGTCTGAACCAACAAAAATTTATGTTAAATGAACATTTCTCTCTTAGAAACTTAAATTTTGCTGTATTGCTACAGTATTGTTACTCCTTCTCTCACGGTGCCTTCATATTTTCTTTTATTTCCGAAATTTCTTTACTCCTTACTCTTATCTCTTATAAGTTAACTTTCTATATTTTTGAACAAACCTGAGCAAAGCAGAATGCATAAACGGGTAATATCGGTACCATAATGACTAAAATGAGTGCAAAGACTCGTTGACTTATAACCAGGAAACTTTGGGCAAATGCGTACTGAGCATCCATGCCGAATCGTAATGACAGTATGACATAAGGCTCAGCGAATGATTCGAGCCAAGCAGAGAATGCAAACATTGATAATGCTGTGGTATATGATGGTACCAGTGAGGCGTCTGGTAGAGTCGAAAAAGGTAGCCAGAAACACAGATATAACACAGCAGCTATCAAAGGACAAATTAATGGCCTGAAATATTATAACAAATTAGAATTAAAACCAGGGAAACTATGGAATTTTTTTTTATCCTATGAAAACTGTAGTAACTAACATAATTACTACGGCTAATAAATAAAGTAATGTGTAGAAAAAACTTACGCAAACCATAAATGTGTAACGACAACCGACAGTGGTATTTCACTTCCCAGAAATACCTTTCGGAACGGCTCACGTATCAGAAAAATTGTTGTTGAGTAAAATAACATTAAACTGAAAAAAAAAAAAGAAACAGCATTGCCGAAAATCATGAGTGTACCATTATCTTTTTAATATAAGTTGGCTCTACATTCGAAACAAAAAGTTCCACACTTCATAACCTTTTGCTTTTAGCTTTTCGCTTACGGTACTAATTTAATACTTGAAGGTTCAATTTATCCATTAGCAAAAAAAAGCTCATTAAAATTATAAGGACTAGAATTGCTAAATCAGATTTTTCAAAATTTTCACTTGACATTGACCAGGCCCAAAGCATCGCTATCAATTCGCCGCAACAAATACATATTTATGCAGAATGAGAAAAGGCGGGAAAGCAACTGAAATTAGTAGATGTAATTTACTTTTATAGTTTAAATTTTCAGTTCCTCTTAATCAACTTATACTATAGTCGTTTGGTCGTCAAATGCTACTGTTGACTCAGTGGGAATGAGGAAAGAGTGATACTGCTGGAATTCTAACACATAGCCCAATAGCGACTGCAAATGTTTAACTAATCTTGTATTTTCTTGAAGTAAAAAAATCTAGAAAATTTAAAAAATACAGAAATCGCCAGCATCAAACCTGTCCACTGAAATTATGCATAAAAGATGATGCCAAGGAATCCATCATAACAGGGATATATCAAGTTCAAACTATATCAAGTCCTGTTTCAGCAATGTATGCATTTGGTAAAAGATAGTACTATCCATCAATTAGATGTAACGTTATAACAAATCATTTAAGCTTCTTTTATCGTCTTTGCTACAATAATTACTCGGTCTGAAAATGCAGATGATCAATCGCTTCGAGCAATATGATTTAGTGATAAGTAGACAAATTCACCAAATGCATACCTTCACCCGTCTGTTTAATAATTCTGTTTCCCGAAATATAGTAACTCGAAAGTGTCACTCCACGATGAGATCCACATATTTTGCGAGCATTTCGAAATAACACAACTTTCACATTTTGTATTTAAGAACATTTTATTTCGGTATCTATACCGTGGTGTCAAATTATGAAATATGAAAAAGAAATGATGAATTCTAATGTAATCAAACAGACTAAAAGAATTTTAGCCAACTTGGTCAATACAATATAAAACATAGCAAGGTAATATGGAAATAAAAGAAAATTAAATCTAAGCAAAAGATATCTCGCTTTTGATTCACAAAGATTGCAAGGGAATCCTTCAACTGATCAATTGGTTCCTTATTATTTACCACTGCTCATGGAATTTAATTATTTTACTAATTTCATTGCTATTTACGTTTTTTTTTAGCGTTTCATTCTCATAATCAAAACAGAGTGAAGATTGCTTAAACGAAATAATTTAAATGCTCTCAACATATCAAAGGTCGCATATGAATCGAACACTGCAACAACACAAATCCCTCCAACCTTACAATTCTTTCACATAAAAAAATTTAGAAAATGCCGAAAGTAATTCAAATCTTGTGACAGTCTATCACTCAATCAGGATGAATATTGGAAATTTCATGCGAATTTCAAAAATACTTGATAAAGAGAAATAACTTTTCTAAACAACTTTCCTAAGTAGAAGAATAAAAAACATAGGAACAGAAAACGGAGGAATCATGGAATGATGAAGTCATATTGTCAAACAGCAATTCTGAAGCAAAATTTAGACCAAGTATTCAAGAATTAGGAAAGAAAATAGTAACAAGAAAGCAAAAAGTGATCATACAACAAGTTAACCCCATGCTTGTGTCTTGCTATAATTGATGACTAATTTCGAATCACCGGGTGCGAAACAATCCTTTAAATTCCGCACTGTTTGATCCGGTGATGGTGCAAAACACTGATTGATGAAAAGCAATAAGGAATCGCTATCATTAAGCTGAAACCTCTGAAGTATTAAAATGTGACTGCTATAAAAATACTCATCATGGTTGCGGATTAAAAATGTGTCAGCAATGCGGGAAGAACTGAATATCAGTACAGTGGCCTCTCTTGAAACTGACTGTTGAAATCTGACTAAAATAAGTGGCCGTATTTAGCTTTTCCTGACTGCTAATGGATGCCAATGTTTTCTTAGCTTGAACAAAAACTTGAAAAACTAACGTCCTTTGCGTACTGATATTTACTAACGCTTATCACTTTCAACACTTCTTCAAATTTTGCTTAAGATACAATTTCCACAGGATATGTATAAAAACATAATGCAAATAGGCATAACCGAGAAGTAAGCTGTTACCTTCATATAACTTCGCAAAAAAATGCATAATTCCGCCACTGTTTTCTTTTCGTCAACTGTCCATTTGTTTTGCTTCAGTATAGGTGCATCACCGACTGCTTTCAATAAAATTTCGACCTTTGCATTTTCAGTCATTTTTTATAATTTTTGAATAGAAGCTACCTAAAAGAATTACCTAAAACAGCTTATCACCTAATATGGACATGTTAACACATAATGTTAACGTATTTAAAATGTATAAATATGATTAGAATTTGTCTTGTTCAACACCTTCAGAAGAATATCACAATTTCCGCATTTAATTTTTCTAATTGATACCAAACACTGAATCACTCTAACTTTGACATTCAGGATTCCTAGAACCCTAGAAATGAGACTTTGAAAGTTTGAAAAAAAGTTGTGTTTAAGTTACAAATAACAACAACAAATACCTTATGCAAAACTCCACAGTTTGTATGGAAGAAGAATTACAAAAGCACAAACTGCAAATATCACACAGTTGAACAGTGATTGTTCCCACGGTTCGAGCATGTACAAGCCCGTTATAAGACAATACTGCCTATAGTACCAAAAAATGGGGTTGTTCTGAAAAAAGTAAGCTGATCGCAGTTTGACAAGATAAATTTCATTTGCGTTTTGTTTTTCTTTAAAAAAATCAGGTACTGCTATGACTAACATGAGGTTTGTAGAAAATAAGTGGAAGAAAATCCGTATTTTCAACTTCATTTGCGTCCAAACCTGCATGCTATCACTAAAATTCGAGATTATTGTCGTTCTTTTTCGAGATTACTGTCAATACAAAACGTCATGTTTACCGGTGAATATGTCAGCCGCTATGGTTTTTTTTTTCTAGTTCACAATAAACCGTTTTAGTAATAGAAAATATCAAGCATGTTTTCAATGACGGTTCTAATTCATGAATTACTATTAGCACTAACTTTCGCTACTATATTGTCGTGCCCGTTTTCTCTCCTCTCAAACATTCAACCTGAAGTGAATAATCTGGAAATATTCAAAAAAACAAAAAAAAAAAAAAAAAAAAAAAAACCCTACAGCCATTACACGATCTGTATAATAACTTAAATTAAAAGTGAAAATATTTTTTCTACACGTTAAACCTATTATAGAGCGCAACTAACGACAATGTAACTAATGTGTGCATGTACTTAGCATTGATAATAGCACTGATCACATATACGTCATCTGTGGAAATAAAGTAAAGGATATAGCACAGAGGTATACAGAATAACACAGATAACTTCCGTTATAGATAACACGAACTGTTTGCTAAGCTAATGCTTATCTCTTGAATGCAAGCGTAAAATATTGCAAAGATATATTCTAATGTATTCTACACAGGATGGAATCACATCTCGATAAGAGATGACTAGCAATTTAAAGTTAACAATAAAGCAAATCTGAAATTAAAAAATAAAACTAGAAAAAGGATGTTAAGAAATCCCCCCCAAAAAAAAAAAAAAAAACGACGAAAATGCAGAAGGCGAGAATATACCAAACAATAAATCATTTCAAAGATATCAACGTAGCCTACAGAGATGACTTTGTGTCATACCGATTCCGTGCATCACGCCGACTTCATTTTTACGTCATGCCTCAGCTCCTCTGATTCGCATTATCGTTTTAGTCTGTGCTATTCTTGGTTCTTTCAGTTTTCTGCTGCGTTTCTGATTTCTGTATCTTGCATTCAAGTTTACGTGCTATTTTGCAAATCTCTTCGAAATGAGTCTGTTTCAGAATACGTCTCCAAGTACAATGGGACTTTGCAAATGTGCCAAGAAAAAAGTGACAAGTTTATTTTGTTTCGAACATCGAGTGAACGTTTGCGAGTATTGTCTGGTGGAAAATCATTGCAAGGTACGTGATAAATGTTAATGCAAGTGAAAATGAGGTAGTCCTGGCAAATTATTTACTTAGTAGTGGGACAAGATATCCGCCTTCTCTTTTACTCAAATTATCAAGGACATAAGGCTGGAAAGTATCACAAATTTTTTAAAGCATTGGAATAAACGCTTCTTTTTTATATCAAAGGGACATGATATCATCTTACCTTCGTAAAATATTCATGGAATTAGAGATGTACAAAAAGAAAACAAAAACGAAAAGAAAAAAATGAAATTGTAGTGTGTTGTTCAAAGTTATCTGTCATGGTTGGCGGACAGTGATTATGATACAAACTGTACGCTATGTTCTATGTCATTAGAATCTAAGGAAACTGTTCGCTTGAAATGTTTGCGTATGTTTTATTTGATACTTAGTAAAGTGAAAGTCTTGACTTTAACATGCTATTATTGAAGTTTAAAAATAGAAGTTTCCTGCGAACATTCGTTTGAGGCTGTGTACAGCAGACATCAGATCCAACAGTGAGGAGTAATATATTTTACAGATAACAAATTTGAACAGATTATCATAAAACAGTGATTTGTCAATCACTGTTTACCTGTGAGTTTTCAGATCTGTTCCACTGGGAATGTTTAGATGCATGGGCACGTCATTTACCAGGAAATACAGCTCCAGCTGGCTATAAGTGTCAGCAGTGCCAGGAGGGTATATTTCCAGCTCCTAATCAAACATCACCAATTATTGAACGTTTACAAGCTGTGTTGCAACAGGCAAACTGGGCACGAGCTGGACTTGGATTATCCTTAGTAAGAACTAGATTTTTTTATTTCCAAATTTCATCCTATTGTACTTCTCGAGTACATCTTTTATGAGTTAGGCTCTCAAAATCCTATGGAACCTCTACTTTGAAAATCTCGAGTTTTTTTTTTCATTAAAAATTATTGAATCCTTATTTGATAAAATTTCTTTTTATGTATATATATATATATATATATATATATATATATATGTGTGCGGACTTTTCTAAATCTGTTCATATAACGAACTTTTTTCATGCAGTTACCAGAACTTGATAGTTTACCATCATCTGCGTCAATCATTCCATCGATGATAACACATTCGGTAAGTGGAAAACAGAATAATGTAAATGAACACGATATTTTGTATGAAGCGAATCTCAACGTTGGCAATATTCGTAGTGATACACCGGCGACAGTAGTTGACGTAGGGGACGAATATAATCGGCAGGAACAGCAACGTCAATTTACTGGTTAGTTCTTTGGTTTGAATCAAATACACTGGATAATACCTTTGTGATTTCCATTCTCGTTATATATAATTTTACGTCTTAAGTGGAAGTGATCATCAGGTTTTATTTTTGAGCAGACTCAACATTTGGTTTTGATGCTTGCTGTGCTATTTAACTCTTTGTTATCAAACTTCTCGGCGTCTTGAATTTCAAAATTTTCTTACTAAAAAGCCACATACATCTTGACTGATATGTTTGCATCACTGAGTTTTCCTGAAGTTCGTTTATTCAAGAATGTGCAATTTTGGATTGTTCAGTAGTATTCATTGTCAGCGCTGAACGATTCAGCGTTTTTTGTTGTTACTGTTTACTTTTTCAGCCAGAAAACCTATGAATCTGAATGAAAACAATTATGCGATTCCAAGTTCTTTATTATTTTCAAAAGATCGTGACGAAGATTTACCAGAAAACAAGTATAAACGAAGATCAGCTAGTGAATGGCTAAATCGCTGGTTTAGGTTCGCGAAATTTAATTCTTTGTAATATCTATGCACTCTTAATCTAATGGAATATTTCTGTCCATTAAATAATTAAACTACTTTATAAAATGGAATTCATAGGAAGAGAAAGCTGAATACTGAAAACATTTCAGATCGCGATATGGTAAGCGTCCTGTTTTCGATCCTCGTGCACAGTGGAAACGTGGATTTTTTTATATTATAGTTTGCATTATAATAATGATGACAGTATTTACCATACTTCCACGTTTCGTAAGTAACCGATCGAATGATGACCCAGCGTTCAATCCACTCGCTAATCCAGACATTCGTATTGCATTTCCGGAACAAAGTCAGTAATGTTGCTTGTGATTTTTCTTTCCCTTAAATTTTTGTTATTCAAAATAATTGTTAGTACAGGCGCATGTTCATAAAATAGAAGTAGAAAGGGTTTATGGCTATAATTACAAAGGTTCTTTAATATTTATTTACGATATCTCTCTGGCTCACTCTTTTTTCGTAACATTATGCGTAATGTTGATATTTTCTCTCTATCTCTAGCACTTAGTGGTACTATCGTAGGAGACTTACTGAATGATAAAGCAATTAATAAGGTAAAAAGGATGAGTTCAGAATGCCCATTTCTTCGTACGAGTGAAAGAACTATTTAATTTTAAAATATTTACGGAAAGAATCTGTAATTAATCAATAATTTTAAATTAGGGCCTAAATGAGAATTAGTGTTTCAATCAGTTATTTTATCACTTATCATTGTACAGTTTTCATTCCCATTTTAGATTGTTTACCGGCTGGAATAATCCAGTTTAAACTATTCTAGCCGAAATTAACATGTTGATAGCAATCCTTGTCACCATGTAATATGTTAATTTATATTCGGTTTTTGCTTTTAATTCGATTTTCCAGTAAGTTAGTTGAATGTAATTATGATGTATTTAAATTTTGTAAATGTTCTATTATAATGGTTGCATTGAAATTATGTGGTAATTAAGGGTATAAATTAGATCTGTGATATAAAGTGGGAATTTTTGTTGCAACGTTCTTAGTTTGACTTGGTTAAATAATTTTGATCGATTGCTTTCATAATAAACAGATTCTTTTTAATTTTTGTGATATGTGATGGATCAGGTCATAAAGCTTGTCCACTGATATGTTTTAAACCATTAAAATTTGTTTTGGCTATGTTTTATTGTAAGTTACAAACTTAGTATATTTCGGAAAGGACAGGGAATTCATTATTGTTTCATTATTGTTTGGTATTATTATAGTGATATGATTGTGACAATTCCATTAAGACGTGTAAAGATTGCTGCTCAAAATTAGGAAATGTTCCCAATTAATTTTAATGGAATGTAACGTTTCGGGCAACAAGATGATGCAGATGGCATCGAATAAGGGCTTAGCTCGATTAACTGCTGGCAAGTTGCGATTAGTCAATTTGTCAAATTGTCGTGGGCAACAAATGGCAGCATCGAAAAAGGTTGAAGTATTCATCAATGACATGAAAGTACTTGTTGATCCGGGTACCACTATATTGCAGGTTTGTGCGACTGTTTTTACCTCATCTTTATGTATTTATTTTTGAACGATTTTTGACTTTTTATGTTGAAAATGCAATATAATGTTGGTCTTATGATCACCTACCACTTAATGTTCATTTCGCACTTCTTCTTAAGGTTGAGCTTGTACTGACAGTTATAAATATTGTTCCAGTGGATGTTTCTTTTGTTTTATGCAATTTAATTACAGGCGGCCTCCTTGCTTGGCGTTGATATCCCTCGCTTTTGTTATCACGACCGCCTTTCTATAGCTGGCAACTGCCGCATGTGTCTAGTAGAAGTAGAAAAACAGATAAAGGTAGGAGTTTTTTATTGATTTCTAAGATTCAGTTTAGAAGTGGTTCTTAAGGTTTTTAACTTCGCTTTTGATTTAGATTTGGCTTTTTGTCCATTTATTATATTTTTTATTTTGATTGAATTTCATTTTTGTCACTAATTTATAGCCAGCAGCATCATGTGCTATGCCTGTTGCGAATGGCATGAGAGTACAAACTAATTCACCAATGGCGAAAAAAGCTCGTGAAGGAGTAATGGAATTTCTGCTTTTAAATCATCCACTTGATTGTCCGATTTGTGACCAGGTTTGTTAGCCGGAACAGTGAATTACATAATACTTTTTTTGTTTTAAAATGAACGAGGATCAAATCTTAGGAGCTGGATCGCGAAGTCATGTAACGGTTTATTACATGCTGTTTCCATAGTGTTGGGAAATCTCTTGATCTAAGCGTAGTGACAGATAAAATAATTAGCAAGCTTTTAAAGACTACATTTTTTTGTGTCAAAAGAAAAAAAGACTCTTTAAGTAGATTTATGAATTTATAATATTGTTAGGGTGGTGAATGTGATTTACAAGATCAGTCAATGGGATTCGGTTCAGACAGAAGTCGTCTGGAAATTTTCTATGATGGCAAAAGGTTTCTTAAGCTTTTGAAATCTAAAAATTTATATTTTAAAATTTCATCTAGCTTTGAAAATTGCAGCTTTGAAAATTCCGTTGGTATCCGACTTATGTATTATAGCACTAAGAAGCTTATTTGTTCACAATAATTTTCCAGTGTTCTGGGTTTTTAGAGCTGTGGAAAATAAGTATATCGGACCACTGATAAAAACGGTAATGACACGATGCATTCAATGTACGCGATGTGTACGATTTGCCAATGAAATAGCCGGCGTTTCGGATTTTGGTACTACTGGGCGTGGAACTGATATGGAAGTTCGGGTTTTCTTTCTTTTTCATGATTGATAAGTCAAGATTGATTGTTTGTTCTTTCATTTATTAATATTTATACGATATATTCACTTTTTTCTGCTATTTATTACTGTGAGTATCTAACTATTTTATGCAATTTTGTCATTCAAGTACATTTTAAACGGAGAAACTTCAGTATGCAATCTATGATGATGGTACGTGACCTTTAGTATGCAATCAGATTAGAAAATTTTATTGGTGTGAGGAAATTAATCACTTAAAGATTGGAACTTATGTTGAGAAGTTGTTTGCGACGGAACTGTCGGGTAATGTTATTGATATTTGTCCAGTTGGCGCTCTTCTTAACAAACCGTACAGGTATATGTATTATTTATTTATATATATGTATTATTTTATATATAATATATATACATGAATTTGAGGTAAAATCTGCAAATGATTTTAACACATTTTGAAAACTTTGTGATTTTTACACTTAAGTGATGTTATTTATATGCAAAGTGTGTCTTCTGTACGTAATATTCTCAATTTCTTTATGAAAATTGAGTTCTTTCAGCTTTACAGCAAGGCCGTGGGAGTTGCGTAAAGTAGAAAGCGTCGACGTGATGGATGCCGTTGGTTCAAACATCGTAATTGCACATCGAACTGGTGAACTGTTCAGAATTACTCCAAAACTATGTGAGGTAGAAAAATGAATCACATAAATGTGTTTTTTTGACAAGATTCGAGGGTCTTTTTTGCTCATCGGATCCCGAACTCATTGATTTTATTATTATTATTATTATTATTATTTATTATTATTAATTATTATTATTATCATTATTATTATTAACTATTACTATTATTATTTTAGGATATTAATGAAGAATGGATAAGTGACAAAACACGTTTTGTTGTTGACGGCTTAAAAAGACAGCGACTTGGCCAGCCACTATTACGGACTCAAAATGGTTCTCTGGAGTAAGTTTGCATTTGTATAAGAAAGTATTCATGCATATTCAATTGTTGGTAGGCTAAAATTAAACTTCCATAATCATTTGTCTAATACTTTCATCTGCTTGCTTGACAAATTGCGATAGTGAAGGACAATATAATGCAGAAAAAAGAAAAAAGCATACATAACATAATAAATCCTTCGTTCACTAACTGATTTGTTTGCAGGCCATGCAGTTGGGAGGAAGCGCTCTTTGCTGTTGCATCAAAACTGCGCGCTGCTTTACCAAATCATATTGCTGCAATAGCAGGAGACCTCTGTGATACAGGTCTCCTTTATGGCATTAATAAAAAATAAAGAAATTCTTTGCTTTTTAAACTTCATATAAATTTAAAAAATTAGAAAATTTGTTGCCGCAAGAATAATTTGATTTTCAATAATTTTTCTTTTCTCTTGTATGTCATATGTCTTATGTATCTTGCATAATAACATTTCCAGAATCACTAATAGCTTTGAAAGACCTGATGAATCGATTTGATAGTGAATTGGTTTGCACGGAAGAATCATTCCCAAGCGGCAGTGGCGGAACTGATCTTCGGTAGTTTTCTAGAAATATATGATTAACAAGAAGTTTGGTTAAAGAATGAATAGTGCTTTGTTAATCAAACTCTTTGTTGATTTGGAATGTCTAGTCTTTGAGCTTACTGGCCATGATATTTCTCTGGACTTGATACTTCTGCGACATACATCCAACTCGTTTATATGTTATTGTTCTTTCGTTTTTGGACATTTTCTACTAAGTTATATGAAACTTTTCGTAATCTCTTTTGATAAATTATGTTTCGCAATCTCTACCAATAAATTATGTGTTAGAACTAAGCAAGTTAAAAGGTCAGCCGTTTCAGATGTAATTATGTTATGAATGACAAATTTATTGGGATAGAAAGAGTGGATGTTTTATTATTAATTGGCACAAATCCACGCTTTGAAGCCACAATTTTCAACGCTCGTATACGAAAAAGGTACTGCGAAAAACTTGCTGCTCTTCCCTTTTTTTTTTTGTGTGTTTTTTTTAGTGTTATTGATGAAGATTATTAGCTTATTTTTTACAGATTTAATAATTTATGTATTTTTTTATAAGCTTTTAAGCTCAATTTCAGTTATTTCGTTGGTTTGAAAAAATTAGACTGAAAAGAGTTGGGATTTGCACATCGCAAACTATTTTTCTATTCTATACTGCTGAAGCAATATATTTTAGCTTTCGACATACAGATATTGAAATTGGTGTTATCGGTGAAGAAGTTGACTTAAAATATGGTTATGAATACTTAGGTGACAATGGAAAAATTCTGGACGATATAATCAACGGCAAAGGCGAATTCGCTAAGGTGAGCAATTAGTTTTCTTCTGAAAAATAAACCAAGTTTGTGCTGAAGACAAAAAAAATTTCATATTTTCAAGTTTATTTCAAAATATTTGTTAAGCGTTTGCAAGCAGCTAAACGACCAATGATTGTTGTTGGCTCAGGCGCATTACAAGGAAAACATGGTGCTGCATTACTTGGAAAAATTCAAATATTCGCTGAAAAATTGCGATCTAAAACCGGAAAAAGTAAAAATTTTGTCTAATTAACCTAATCATTATTAATTCATATCTTGTCTCGAACTTCAGATATGTTTCCGTAGTGATGTATTTTTGGTGAGTAAGGTAGTTGGAGATATTATGTCTGATTTCATATTTTCTCCATTTCGAAGAAATGGTATAATTTTTATTTCATTATATACCTAACATCGAAAAGTTCACAAAAAATAAGCAGTGTATTGAGGACAAAAACTATTTTACTTTTTATTTTTAAATTTTATCTATAAAAATAGTGTTTTTTTTTCTTAATTTTAGCTATAAAAATAGTGAATGTTCTACAACGATATGCATCACAAGTTGGCGCTCTGGATGTTGGCTATAAAGTAAGTTTCTCCAATTTCTGCAATATTCATATGGTTCGGTGTAAGTAAATCATAAGTAACACTATTATTTGTAATAATTTTACGACGTAAGGATTGCATTTCTTTACCACATTCATTGCTACAGTTGCAAGCTGAATGAAATGTAAGTTCTCTTTTCAATTCTTTTAACCATGTGACTTTTATATGAGGACTGTGTAAGTCTAGACTAACATGATATGCATCACAAATTGGCAATATGCATGGACTGAAAAAATTTCCTTTTTATACTCTTGTAGATTTAAGATCGTTTATTTTTTTTTTTAAATTGTTTAGGCTGGAGCCGAATGGATCTTGAATTCTATTAAAGATATTAAATTTTTATATATGCTTGGCGCTGATAGTGGTCGTATCAAAAAAAGTGATTTAACTCCCGATACTTTTGTCATTTACCAAGGTTAGTGAATATTAAAGCTGATATTAGACTACTAGAAACATTTTTAAATAGTTCAAGCTTCCAATAAATAATTGAAATGAGTTTTAAGGTCATCATGGTGATATAGGAGTTGAGTTGGCAAATTTGATCTTGCCAGGTGCTGCTTATACGGAAAAGGATGCCACTTATGTTAATACCGAAGGCCGAGCGCAAAGGGTTGGTGATTTCAGCCTTTTCTGTGCAATTTTTTAGAAAAGAGCGAAATGGTTTTTTCTTTAGGAATGCTCAGTTCATCAGTTAATTGATTAAAAAATTGATTTGAAATTTTTAAGCTAAGTTTTTGAATGGGTTCGAAAGTTTCTGCTAATTTTGTGCACAAATTGTGCTAAAAACCAGTAATCTTAGAGCAAATCTAAAAATTCATTAAAAAATTTCCCCAATCTAGTTACTATATAGCTTTTCCGCATATCCGAGTACTGTTAATTTCATTAGTTAATAATGTGCTAAGAAGAAAATCGCAAAATTGTATACTACAGCAGTGTAGTGATTGAAAGTGCTATACATCGGTAATAAACAGTTTCTCCACATGGATGGATAGTCGTGACAAAAGAAAGAATCTGAAATCACAGGATATTAACTGATCGATTTAGCTTCACATTTCATCTTTTATTGTGAACATTTATTGTCGATTTATAATTGATTGCTAGTATAGTGATTTCTTAATTTCTGAAGCTTTCTTTGTGATCGATATAACTATGTATTTAAGGATCAGAACTGAAATTGCCGTTTTAAAAGTTTTTTGTCCAAAATACTCGGATGACATTTATGTCACTATGATTTGCTAAGTTAATTCATTATTTAATGAAATCTTTGTTAATGTACAAACCGTCATTACTTTGTTTTACAGGCTTATGCGGCAATAACTGCTCCAGGTGATGCGAGAATAGATTGGAAAATTATCCGAGCTATTAGCGAAGTAGCCGGAAGAACTCTGCCCTACAATGATCTTGATCAAATAAGAAGTAGAATGGCTGAGGTTAGTCTTGGTTTCTTAATAATTTAGAATTTTACTACACGCTTCTTAAATCTCACAAGTCTTTGTTTTCTGCAAAAATTTTGAAAAGTTCCAGATTGCGCCTCACTTGGTACGATGCGGTAATGTTGAAGAATGCTCATTTCAGGAACAAGCAACATTGTTAGCGGAAGTGATTTTTCTGATTTTTTTCTTTTTTCAGATTTTGGATTAAAGACCTCTTTTCACTTTAATTTTTGGAGAAGTTAGACTTAAAGAGCAGTTTAGCAGTGGAATTAAGGGTATAATTTTCCGGGAAGCTTACTGTATGCATTACCCATTCATGTTTTTTTGCACCAGCCTGAAATTATCGTTTTTTAGAATTATACTGCCGCCATCAAAAGAAAAACCCTAATTTGAAAGTGGATTAAAGCCAAGACTTTCATTGACCTTCATATAGATCGTTGAAGTTGCACTCATACTGCTAGAATTTATTTTAATTAATTATGTTGCTACGGTTTATTTTAACACTAATAATATCAGCTTATTAAAGTCAGATTGGGTAATTGTAACTTTAATAATCTGTACTATTAGTTTCTGAATAACTATTTAATTCAAATAGTTTTGATTCAAAATCGTGATTGAAGCTTAAAGATATACATCAAAGTTTTGTTTTTCATTCATTCAAAACACTTGTTGTACATTTTTTCAGTATGTTTCAAGTAAATATATAAATTCCGGATTCCACATAGAAATTTCAGTCTGGTGATACAAACGTTTCGTTGAAACCGGAATTGCTTGAACTAGGTGATTTCTGGATGACAAATTCAATATCTCGTGCTTCGAAAACGATGGCTGAATGTGTTCGTGCATATCAGCGTTACAAGCAGGATCCTTATATGGAAGAAAATAGATTTCTTTGTGTATAATGCTATCTTAATTCGCCACCTATCAGCAAATAAAGTAAAAGTTATTACTTTTTAGGTTTGGCATTGGTGGACACTTATAAAAATATATAATTTTTATAAAAGATATTTATGAAATTGTAAGATGTAAAGCTTTTTGTATATTTGTTACACTGCCGAAGAAATTACGATGTACTGTTAGGAAGTTTTTTTTTTTTTCTTTATGTAATAAGTATTTTATGGATATTGCTTATCACACTAAACTCTTGTTTTTCATTTAGGCAGAACATCCGTTGTACATTAATAACACATTTTTCCAGTGTGTTCAGAGTAAATTCAGAAATCCACTTGAAGCTTTTTTAGTTGAAAAATTTTTGTTGTCCAAACATCTGGGCATCTAACATTAATTTCAACAGCAATATACCAGGTATAAAATATTATTAGCATACTTCAGTAAAGAGGATAGTGATTTAAAGAAGTAAGTATTTTTGCTGTCGCAGTTATATCTTGAATTATTTGTTGAAATTTTAGCTGAATAAACTATCTAGTAGGTGTTATCATGCAGCGTTCTTTTATCAGTTGTTTTCATCTAAACTCAGATTTCTCGCAAATCGATCTCCTTATCGTCTGCATATTCTGATCATAAGACACATGGAGGTCTACCAGAGTTTCTTTCTTCATTACCAGCACCAAGAAAATCAAAGATAAGTAATAAATGTTATAATGAAATAATGATATCCAGTTGAAATTCGGCATATTGGACCAGTCGGTGATCCAACTGTCACCGATGCATTGAAGTGGTTTGTAGCATGCTCCTTCATATTCATATAAGGATATAATCATCGTATATTTAAAACATTTGAGAAGAATAAATAAAATTAACAACCAACTGAAGTCATAGAGTGTTTTTTTTTTTTTTTTTTTTTTTTTTTTTTGACTCAAGTCAGGAATGATTCGAGAATGACAATGAAATTTGGTTGTCCAGATGGGAAGGATATCGGTAAGAGAGTTCCGGTTTGTCGATGCCACAGTGAACCCATAAGGAAATTGAAGTTCAGTTCTGTATCCTACTCCTCCTAGTTTAACTGAGCTCATTTTATCTGTACTCTTTCAGTTTAATTTCATTCTATTCTCCTAGAACCTTTAATCGTCTTTTCAGTAAGGCTCGTTTCTTTTCACGCATGCATTGTTCCTGTTTTTTACGAAGTTGTTTCTCCATTTCTGATAATGAATCACTCTGAAAACTTTAATTCATTTTGTGAAATTCAGATGATTTCATTATATGCTATTTCTAGTAAATGCAAAAGCAGTTCCAATTTATGTTATAAATTCTGTCTTAGAATATCAGTATATTCAGCAATGAGATGTCATCTTACAAAAAATCTATTACTATTGGCACGGTGTTTAATCATAATTGAGTAATCTGATTCACGGAGATTGGAAACTACGTTTGCAATTTTAGTTAGTTTTCAGTTAGTTAATTATAAAATCTCTTCAATAAAATTCTTGAATGCGAACCGTTTTCCGCACAACGACAAATGCTCGTTCTTGTTTATTAGTACCAATTGGTCGTGAATATTTGAGCAACGCATTAAGACGAGCTTTCGGATTCAATGAAAACTCCAGCATAAGAATGACTTGTGCCCACTTTTTATAAGTATAAGATTTAGAAAAACATAGCAATTGAAAAAGGTTGAATAATGGTTATGTATACTTTAAAACGGACTAAATCGTTTAATTAACAAACCTGTCGTTTCCACTCAGTTTGAGTTCCAGATATTAAATCATACGTCCTGCCCATCATTGCGATTAATAAGTTAAGCTGCATAACGCTAACAAACAATTCGTAAATAATGAACATCGCCTTAAAATAACTTTACATTTCTTGCCCATACTCATTCGTATTATTCTTTTCATTTTTTCAAATTTATACAAAACTGTCAACCTTGCCAATGTAGATCATCATTGTTCGGTCACACAAAGTGACCATTTTGCGATAAAAAACCATAAATTCACCAATTGTCATGATAAATATTCTCATTATTGCTTCCATTGGATGATCCATAATACCGTCGGTGTCCTTTGACAGTGTGGCATTTTGATATTCAGCTTTCTGACGATTACATGACATAAATATAATGTAAAATGCTGCAAATAATTAAGCAATTGAATTTGTAATGATAAAAAAATCAAAAGAAATATTTTGTAAACAATGAGAAAGAAAGAGAAAGGAAGTTTTTATTTAACTTTTTATCATTCGTAATTCAATTCGAGAAGGACAATATAACAATAAAAAATAAGCGTAAAAATTACAGTGAAATAAAATATGATAAAATTATTGTGTAAATTAAAACAGTACCAAAATAGAGAGGTAGTTGTATGGAAAGGGACTGTCAAATACCAAAATTGTCATTTCTTATACATTTCAAGAAGGATTTCCCGAAAAAAAAAAAAATAATTTTATCATACTTTATTTCACTGTAATTTTTCAAGCAAGAGAAAGGATGTCATTACCAAGCAAGAGAAGGATGTTATCAGCAAGAGAAAGGATGTCATTACCTTGAGAAAAACCGATTAGAAAAATCGCATAGATAAGGAAAAATCGGCTTAAATCTCGCGATAAGATTGTATATATCATCAAAACGAACGGTCCGATAAATTTTACAGCTCTAGAATTTAAGTCACTAAATTTAAAAAAAAAAAAGAAAACTGATTAGTTTTCTAAAATTATGACAGATGCGTCATTAAAGAATAATGATATGGATTAAATGTTCACATAATATAAATAAGTAATACAAGTCTTGTTGATATTAACATTTTCAAGTTATTTTGTACTCATTCACTATAGCCTATATTATATTTTTATTATTTATATCTTCCTAAAATGACTATGAAATTTAATATATCGAATTAATTCTATAAAATTTTTTAATTTCTATCGTTTCTTCTTTTTTGTCTTATAATCTATTCTAAAACTTATTCCCTTCTTTTATCTATAATTAGATTTTAAAATTTTCAGGCAAAAATTTTATGTATTCTTTTTAAATGCTATAAATTTGAATTTTTTTTTTTGTTGATCTCTTAGTCAAAAATGATTAATAAAGGAAAAAAAAAAGAAATACCTTGAATAAAACAAGAAATGTACACTAATCAGAAGTACGACGAGCAACGAAAGTGCATTGTCAAAAAAAAGCATTGCTGGGGTCAATGAGCACATCAAACGAAATGGTATTATCATCAAAATTAGCATAAATGATATCTTGTACGCAATCTTGGCCGGGAATGATTTCTAAGAAAATTGTAGAATAATGCCAAGGAATTTCCATATCAGTTGCTTAATCAGCCATAATGGAGTAGAATTTTATAGTAATTTCTAGCAGAAATTTTAATTTTATATGTTCTTTTAAATGCCTTAAAGTTTTTCTTTGAAAGTTTTTCTTGGCTTATTAGCCAGAACTGATTAATAAAAAAAAACTGTAAAGAAATGGAAAGAATATAAAACTTTCATTTGATAATATATAAATATGTATAAACTGTTATTATTTATAAGATGTTAGATTGTAAAAAGAATAAAATATGCTTGCAATGTTTGAAGTACATTTAGACCTTCTTATTCATAATTCTGCATAAAAGATATCGGAAACTGACCAGTATTCGCCACCATAGTTTTCTTCCAGTACTACGAATGTCCATTACATCGTCAACAACTTGAAATATGGTCATTAAAAGTACAGCAACCTCAGCCACTAAACGAAGCTGTAAAGAAGTGAAAAATATTGCATTTCATTATAAAAAAGATATGTAAATCAAATCAATTTATTTCTAAAAATCTTAGACTGTAAAACCAATACTTTGTTTTTCATAATTTTTGTTATTACTGATTCAGTTAGCAAAATTAGTATTCCATTTTCTAAAAAAAATTCTTATAACATACATTTTGTTGCCACCCGTGTCCAAAGTACCACCAATGACCGCACGAATAATCAATTTGTAATAATCTCTCTATTAAAATATTGCAAATTATTAAACAAGATTGAGATAGATTACGAAATAAAACAAAATCATGAAAATTTTAAAGCTTATTAGTATTTTCTGGTCCTATGCGATTTGTGAAAGAGTCTTTTTCGAGTCAAAAATTTCTAGTATTTAATTAATTATCTTTAGCAGCATTTTAGCAGGATGTTACTGATTAATAGAAACTGCTATAATAAAAATGGAATTTGTGTACAGTTAATTTCACTTGATTACCGATTCTTGACAAAACTAAATACTATCTGAGATATATATAAAATAAAAAGAAACCTAAATTTTGAGAGTCCATTTTGCTGTCCTTTAGCAAATTTATTGCTGCGAATGAAGATGTCATTGTTTGGTTATCATCAGTATTATTAAGTGATGAATTATCAATATTGAATAAAACCATAGTGTCAAGATAATTCATGACGATGCTCTGCAACTTTTCACTCTTTTACTATCATTGTAACTTTATTTGACCTTCTTGTGCATTTTTCTTGCAGCAAACGAAATATTAATGAGATTACCTCATCAGTTAGTGAAAATGGTCGACACATGAATGCGGTAAAGGTGCAAATGTAAAAAAATAAATAACAACCAAATGATAAAGCAAGTCTGAAATCTTATAAATTTAGTCTGAGATAAATTTTGAAAAAGAAAAATTTTTCATTCCATCTGAAAAATGATCATTATTTGGCAATAAATTATAATTTGAACAAATGTAACGAATGCTTTAATACATATTTCAATGAATTGAAAGAAATTAAAATAATCGTAGAGACAGCACATTTTTTATAGCACTGCCAACTTTTTTTTTCTCACAGAAATATCCACTCTGATGATGTTACTATATTTTGGTTTATTTCTTAAAAAAATATGGATAAATAATGTTCGACCGTGTTCGTCCGAATGATTCCCATTTTACTTGTAACAGATCGCCCAACAAGCCATCGAGAAGTTGTAGATGTTTCGTTGATTCCTGAATGAAGTTAAGCAAAATTCTATTTATTTTTTGATCAGTGAGAACAAAGCTCTACAATGATGGTAAAGAAGCAGAAGCAGAATTTATACACTTTTATTAATTATAATGAAATAATAAACTACCCCATAAACGATCAATGACAGAGCACTATCTTCATTAAGTTCACCCGTTTCCTGATTAATTGTGTCCAATTTTGCAAGTGGATAAGCATGGCTGCTTGCGTCACCGTATAACCAGATTACGTTTGCTTCCAGTTTTAAAATTTGTTCAAACATCTACAATATCATTATTTGCAAATTTCTTTCTTTACCATTATGAATCCTGTGACGCTTGCTTTCTTAACTGAAAATATTGGTTATACCAAAGTATTCTGAAGTTAGCTTCTTAGTAGCCTCCCCCCTCCCTTCCACCCTTTTTCAAAATTCCCCTCCCTCTGTTATTTCACTCTGTCACACACACAAGTGTTTAAATAATATGCTAAATACCGATTATAATTATCAGTAATTCTTAGAATACAATATAATAATAAAGTATGTGAATTTACAAAATATATGTGAATTTCTGCCAATTTCTCAATTTGCAATGATATAACATTTTTTTTTTTCAACATTTTTTCAACTTTTATAATTGTTTTCAAAATTAAAACTCTCTTTTTTAGAAATTTTAAATCCAAAATTTGGAAAAATTTTCGTGATTCTTTTACAATTTAACTCACCTCTTTTTTTGCTAAATGAGCTGCCAATGTCAACGGTGTCAAATTTCGATTGTTCATTATTTGTAATTTGGCACCTGTGTCGTAACAGAGTTTTAACATTTCCTAAAATTTTTCCTTTTCGTAACATAAGCTAGTCGATAAGTCTAATTTAAAAAATAATCAACAAGTTTAAAAAAATTTTTCTTTTCTTTAAACTTCTACAAAGCTTCAGAAAAGAAAAAGGTGATAACAACTGTCAGAGAATGTAAATTAGCAATTTAAGGTCAAAGGACACCCTTTGACCTTAGATTGCAGTTAAAATAAGTGATTAAGTAAATGAGAAAATTAGATATGAGATAAATACTTACTGGTTGCTCATGAATTACAGCTAGATGAAGTACTGTGTTACCGTTTGTATCTTTTCGGTTTGGATCAGCACGTTTTGCTATTAAAATACGGTAACAATCGGTCTGATTGATGCACGCGGCAAATGATAACGGATATTCTCCAAAATACATTCGACTGCAAAAGTAAGCCTTCATTATCATTTTATAAATCTATTGGAATTCCATCGAGTTAGCAAATTACCATGGCTGAATATTTTGAAATAAAGAAATTATTTTTCGCCATGCTTTAGATGGTGATTATATAAATTAAATTGCTCAAATAAACGTTAAACAAAATGGCTGCTACGTTAACCATTTAAAAAGGATTCAGAAAGTCATGTATATTCAGAGATTATGAACATTCTCTTAGCGTGGAAAGACTTCCTACCCGTTATAAGTAGTTTTTAAGCTGAGTTCAACATATTCATGTTCCAGCGAATCTGTACGACTGCTTTTTTGATCATCAGGACAAAAAAACGCCCCGTAACAACGTTGATTAATATCAGCACCATGTCGAAGTAGAAATAGTACCATAGCAGGATCTTCATTAATTATTGCTTGATGTAAAGGTGAAAGACCTACAAGGAAAGAAAACTTTTGTTAGACAAATTCAACATCTAGCTAAAAGCTATACCCTAAATTAAACTTAAGAAATTTATTCATTAAATTGTTTTTCATATCAATATTTGTAGAATTTAATCTACATTTAATGTAAAATCAAAATGAATTAACATAGCACGAGATGGAATTAGAACCAGCTGACTACAGCTTTCATCAATACTTAACATTGTATCATCATCATCTTGTATTACAAAGTATCTGTGAAAATACCATAGTAATCTTCGCTAATGAATATATCATTAACAAGCTTTGGATAAGCTTTGATTAATTTGATAGCAAGTTGGTTATGAATAGCCGTTCCATGCAGAAGACAAACACCAACAAGATTCTCGCCCATTAAACCACGCTCGTCCAGTTTCCACGTCACTTCTCGATATTTCCATTCAGATTTTCCACGTTTATCGTCTCCTTCCAGTAATTTGAGAGCTAAAAATTAATAAAATTTGCACAAAGATATCATAAAATATCTGATCTGTGATCAAAATTGTTAAGAAGTCGAGTATTTAACAAACATATTTGATCATAAGTCATCTGATCATTTAAATCATTGACTTCATATTGCGCAGTTCACAAATTTTTGACTAAACTTTATATCGTAATTTTTGATTTGCAAATTAAATAGATACCTTTTTTTAAATCACCCTGATTCTCGCCTTCTTGTCGAAACTCATCAAGAATATTAGGCCCACTTTTTCCTTTACCTTTCTTACGCTTCAAAGCACTAAGCATTGCATTTCGCTCTTTATTCCGAATTTTCACCAATTCAGCTACAGAAACCATTTTACCTCTTCCGGAATTGTACATAAAGTCTTTCAACTGGAAATCCCTCTATATTAGTTTGCTTTAAAGGAAAGACAGAGCGCAATGCAATATATGTTTAAAATTGGAATCTTTGCGAATTAAGGAATAATATTTCACTATTTTTTATTAATTTGCAAGTGCTGTTTTATTTTATTTTATTTTGTCATCTAATTATTTTGCCCTAGCAAAAATGATTCCAAATCGGAGTATTAAATGATAAAAAGATTATAAATGTAGTACATAATAAGAATATAGAACAGTTTATTTAAATAATCTGCCATGAACCTTTGTCTCGATAAATTCATCAATAATTGACGAATCACCGGTATCTTTGGCGTATTTCATCCATGGTATTAACTCACCGCCACCGTACATATCAACAAAACGGTAAAGCTTCGGTGTCGATTTTCCTTGCTTACGTGTTCCCTCACCATGTGCTGCCGACGATTCCACATTTCCCATTTTTTTCTGAGCATCAAATTGTCTGCAAAACTTTAAGTAACTTCAACAATAAATTTTTAATATTCTGAAATCTATCCTGTAATCTTAAATTACAAAAGCATTTTTTCGATGAAATCTGAGACTGTGTCAAGAAAAAAAATAGATCGAACCGTATGTTGCTTTTACACATTTCAAATATTCAATTTTATTAGAATTTTATTTTTCTAAAAACTATAAACTGCTATAGTTTTCAACAATTCTAGAGAGCATTACATAATTTGGAAGTTGGATATTTTTCTTTGTATTTCTTATGGTCTAGTTAGTTCAATCAACCAATTGGCAACAATTTTCTTCCTGGTCTGATTGATCGATCGACTTAGATGAAATAGATTTTGAGGTAAAAGTATATAACAATAGTGTAAATCTGCTGAAAATCAAGGTAAAACTTAAAGAATATTAACATTATATCATCAACGCAAGTCGTTGCTAAAAATGATACAATTCAAATAAAAAAATGCATACATTATTAACATTTCAGGGAAGAAATATAAAAATCACATTAATTGTTAATTGATAAGATGTATGTTGGAATATCTTACTTATACTTATTGATAGGATTACTAACTAAAGGCAGAAATGTAATTATGCTGGATGACTACAATTTTTATATTTTTCCTTGACTGCTAGTGAATTGTTATTCAAATGCAATTATTTCTTTCTAACTTAAGCATTTAATGCATTTTCGCAAGATTCATTTCCTAGAATTCTAACAATTTATTTACTATATTCCGAAGACGATAATTTCCAAAATAATTTTCTAATATCTAGCAAACAAAAGACCTTGAAGCACTCCGAAACACTGAAACCAGTGATATGTCAATAAAACATTCCTTTTACTCCATGATATTTATCAAGGAAAATACAGTTGCGATAAGCAACTTATCACTCTATAAATCACACTTCTCAATACGCTCAATTTGTGAAAATTACTACAAAGCAACAACCTTCTTAATCGTGCTAAAGCATTTAGGTGATAGAAACCGTAATCCACCCTCAAAACTGCTATGATAACTTTGAACAGGAAGGAGTAAATGTGCTATTAAGGAAATGGACAGGTTTAGAGATCGATAACAATGTCCTGATCCTTAATTCCAGATTACGATCACATCCAAATTATCTCTTTAATCTTATCCTTTTTAGTATTTATAATATATTTTACTTAACTCACAAACTGTCAATTCTGTATAGAATATAAATTAAAAAATATGATGCAAAATAATTCATATTTGCATTATTTAATTTACTTTCTGCACTTTTTTTTTCATTTTTAAAATATTTTATAATACTGAAAATCACAAAATTGTCTCTGAGCAGTGCATGTATTGAAAATTTCATCAATTGTTGAATTGTGTACACAAAATTTTCACTGTTTTATTATCTGATTTGACAGGGAAAAGTGGACCGATCACTTTCAGATTGCTTGCGTATCGTCCCTGTCTTTGCGACACAAAACCTACAGAAATGCTTTAAATGATCATCGAGTAGTCATCGAAACTTTTCTTATATTGTAAGCATTGTAAATAAGTTAAATAAGTAAATGCAATGAAGTAAGAATTGTTTAAGAAGCTTCAAATCAAATTATCAGCTTTCCTCATGCCAGTTTTCTCTGCATAGTAGGATTAAATAGTAAATATTTATAATGGTGGAAAAATTATGGAGAAAATTATGCGAAAGATCAAAATTTTGATATCATTAAGTTTATAATTTTTGTATTCAGATAGAAATTCATCAAGCCTGTGGCACTTCCAGAAGTCAAAAAATTGCGAGATGAAATACTGAAAATTGCAATAGACAATACTTTAAAATTATAAATTCCACTTCCTTCTAATCGAAAGACATTGTTTTTTACTACGGTTGTCGCGAATTCTTCTTTTAAATCTGCTGATCCTAAAAAGAAAAAAAAAATTTGAAAACCCACCCGTTTTTATTTTTTAATTAGTACATAATTTAGGTACTTATATTTTACTATTTCAATTAAATTTTAATTCAGTATTTGACATCACAATATTTTCTTTTCTAATTCAACAGAATTTTTCTTCTAATACATTTCTTGAACCGATTCTCTTTTTCTGTATAGCGTATTGTTGGTACCTAAATATTCGTGTCCTTCTTGATCAATTACTAATACACAAGGAGCAGTGAATCCAATATGTACCGGATTCCACTCTTTAGAACCGATCTTTGCCGCTTCATTATATGGTTGCCAGCTGTAATCGAAACCAGCCACAGATGGAGGTATCTGCACCAAAAGTTGTAACGAACCAATAGCGCTACTCAGGAATGGCATTTTTCTACTGAAATTTTATTATTTTAAGAAATAATTATGAAAAGTGAAAAAGCGGAAAAAGTTGTTTAAAAAAAAAAAAAAAAAACAAAGAACTGTGAAGAACTGATTGCTATCAGAGAGATAATATGCTGTTACACACCGAAAACTGAATATTGGAATAATTTAGTCAGTTAGTACAGTAGCAAAATAACTAGAAATTTTCTCGCATAGTTAGTGAATAGCACAATAATTAATGATAAACTAATAAAAATTAATGAAAACGAAGAAATGATAAGAAGGAAGAAAGGATAATGAGATTTTTCGATGTGAATATAAATTAGATGAAAGATTTAAAAGACACGAACGAAATGAAAAATGATTTATCAGATAAGTGATTTGAAATGAAAATCCTGGGAAATCGATTCATTGATAAAATATTGTGATAAGTAAAAGTTAATGTCCAAATCAAATCAATGTCATTTATTATCAGCTTGTTGCTAACCTTACAAATGCAGCAGCAATTTTGCCATTTGCGTCATTCCACGCTCGACCCATTACTGCATGGCCAAAATGATACCATAAGGCAACATATTGTTCCTGTGGGCCATTTAATGTATTCAGTGGACGATCCAATGCTTTGATTAAACTCCTTAAAATTTACTCGGGACAATGAAAATTGGCAGCAAGATTTAAGAGAGAAGTGAAAAAATAAATACTTCGTTTTAGGAAATGTATCACCGATTCGGTAGTCAGCCCATTCGTTCACCATTAGTAAATGATCCGATGATTGCGCCTCCTGCAGAGCAACTAATCTGAGATTAAATTTAAGATTCACTTGAAATTTCACAAATTTGAGAAAAGTTCTCCTGATTTTTAGTAAAAATTCCAAAATTTTAAGAATTGCGCAAAATTCCCACCTTTTCAAGGGCTTCTATTTTCATGCACTGTTCACAGCAGCAATGAGGTGGCCTATCGCGAAGATTTCTTACAAGAATAAGGCAATCGTAAAGTTCAGATTCTGCTAGTGAAGTAATTTGCTAAAATCAGAAAAGAATTTCAATTCAAACCGGAAATTCTTTGTCTGTGAAGATGTGATGGCTATTTGAATTTATTGAAGCACAAACCCCAGCACATACAAATGTAGCAGTCTTTTTCTCAATGTTTAACGTTCCTAAAGCTTTTTGTGGCCAGAAAATCACTCCGTTAGAAGTACTGCAACGTAACGGTATGCGAAATTCATCATTAGAATGTTGTAGCCACCTGGCAAATTTTATCCATTCATAGAAGAAACCTTTGGTCTTATGATTCCCATCGTATGTTAATATCTAAATTTTTATGATGGAAGGTCTTTTGTTATTATTTTTTAAGAAGAAAGACTGCACTATCCTTCATAATATAATTAAATGATTAATGTAAATTTATGAGTGGCATTAGCGGCACAATATAATCATATAATTAAAAGACAGGATGAGTGTGAATAGAAATCAAAAATTCGGAAGCATATTAATCGGAAGTATATTAATATTAATTTGTGTTGTTAATATTGATTAGCTCATAGCATTTTAACTGTCTGATACACTGTCTATTGAATATATGATCTATGATATGTTTTCTTATATGAATTCACTTAATTAGATACCCGAATTTTATCATTAATATCTGATCCGTTCACCTTTATTCCTTCACAAGCGAATTCACACTAAAAATATTCCTGATAAGCAGTGTGTAATGTAAATGATAAAGAAGAGGAATGACATAGTTATAATATTATTCAGAATAAATATTAAGAATTAGAATAGAACTTTAGTTTCTATTGCTGATAACTTATCGACAAATCCGGAACAATTTATTTGGTATTAAAACGTTTACGTAATTTGCAAAATATAAAAACAAATTATAAAACAAGCCAAAAATCACCATATCTTTTTGAACATAAAGAATTTGGGTAGTCGGAAAATTTGGATTACAAATATATAATTCGTCAACAGTTTTGAAATTTTTGAAATAAGACCTAAGTCTTTTATTCAAGAAAAAAGATTAAAAAATTGATATGAAAAAGGACGTTTACTTGTACTACGCCACTTTCATTCCATGCGCTACCAAAATACGCCAATCCTTCTCGATCATAACGTGCAACATACATATTGTTCTGATCTGGTACTTGTACTGGATTACTTATTAGTGCTGCACCAATTATTTGCTCTTCCCAACTGTCTTCTGCCGCTTCCTTCTAAATTTATATGAATTATTCAATTATTAAATTTGTAAATGTAATCTTAACTTGTCCTGCAGTATCTGATAAATGTACAGTACTCTTCTGATCATGAAGCTTAACCAGTTCTCCTTCCACCTCACTTCTTCACAAATTTATAAACACTGCGACTCATATATTTAACTTCAACGTTTTTATAAATTCATTTATTCTTATCTTTGGCATTAAGGATTTTGTAAGATATGCAAAATGCATGTTACTTAAAATTTTTAGAATTAATTCAACATATTTCGCGAAGCCGTATGAAATTTATCTATTACAGATCAATATACTCTGTATTCACTTCATTACCCGTATTTATCGAAGGTAATTTAGATATTTTCAATGAAAAAATAATTTTCTTTTTAACAAGTTAGTGAGATGTTTATCATATAATTCTAAAATATTGAAAATAAAACATTATAAAATTAATTTTACAATAAGGAATTATATCCAATTTTCATCACATCGGAGAATTCTTTCATGCTCAAAACGATGTATTATTCTGTTACAATCATCATTTCGATTAGACTATAAGTATTTGGATTTTTTAAAGTGAGCTACAATACGTTTGGTTTGATAGAAGAAACTGCAATTAAATATGTACACTAAGATTATCTATGCTTTGTTATCATCAAATTTTGTTAACCGATTGTCAGATTCACTCCAGTGAAACACTTTTAAATGCATGATAGAATCGTGAAAAATAAAGGAAGTATTTGAAAATAATGATCGGATAAAAAGTTGCTATAAGCAAAACATAAAAGCGATAAAAAAAAGTTTATCATGAACGAATTATTAAAAAGTTGAATCACATAGCGTGACCACTCTTTCCAGAACTTAATTACCTACCCTTCAATAAACCTTCAATAAAAAGCATTAAGTGTTTTGGTATTTTGCACATTTTAAGAATATTATAAATTAAATAACGAATTAACTGTGATGACTGTATGAAAAATACATATTTTTATTTGTTTTATTTGTTTACCTAGTATTTCAAATCTAAAACTTGATAAACAATTTTTCAATTATTTTTATATGAAAGCTTTTTTTGCAGGATGATACTACAATTTTCAGTTTACATCGCAGGAGGACTTGTAGTTTTTGCGCTCAACATGTTATATTTTGCTGCAATCGTTCGAACAAAGATAAATCGTGAAAGATACGGCCTCACAGGAATGGAGGTGTGATGTTTTTTCAATAACTTTTCATTCTATGTTTCATATCCTTGGCCTATCACTTATAACTTAACTTATCTATATTGTTGGCTCGCCATCTATGAGACAACTTATATTGATACACAAGAAGAAACAGCGATTTTTGTTCTCAACGTTCCCTATAATTGAATGCTTTCTAAAATAAAGCAAAATGCTACTACAGTTTCTCATCATTCTCACAAAACTTATTATTTGCAGTTTTTCGCGGATGGTTTAATGGCATTTGCGATTGCGTTAGCTGGTATGGTACGCATTGTTCAGATTTTATTAGAAAATCAAAATAGTACAGTTTCAAGAATATTTTGCGTGGTTGTACCATATAATGCTATTCTGGCTTGGTTAGTAGATTTTCCAAAACTTCTGCTTCAAGTTTATTTGAATTTTAACGATAAAATAACTTCAAAGCCATGATTATTTCTGAAGAGCACAGTAAAATCAGGAAAGTAAAAATTATGAAAAAAAAAAAACATGTGAATAATTTAGGCACACTATCGAAGCTTGTTTACGCAAGAAAACATACAAATTTTTTAAAAATAACTATGTTCTTGGTAAAAAAAAGCACTTTGATCCAAGCATATAGCAATTGAAATATGAAGCTTGTAAGAATATATCAGTAAGGAATAATTAATGTTAGAATATATCAGTAAGGAATAATTAATGTTAGAATATATCAGTAAGGAATAATTAATGTTAGAATATATCAGTAAGGAATAATTAATGTTAGAATATATCAGTAAGGAATAATTAATGTTAGAATATATCAGTAAGGAATAATTAATGTTAGAATATATCAGTAAGGAATAATTAATGTTAGAATATATCAGTAAGGAATAAGTAAGGAATAATCATCTTTACTGATGGATACAGTAAGAGGGAAATTGAACTTGCACTATGCTCGATTTGGTTGATTTTACTGTTCAAATCTTCATTTACTTGCAGTACGGGTCAAATCTCTCATCGGTAACTCTTAAGTAACTCTTCAATGAACTCATTCATACTTCACTTCCAGCAACAGTGACCTCATGATGTTTTCACTGCCACACTAGAAATTGTAACAATGATCACTGCTTTAGCCATCATGACCCCTTCTAATACCATTTTCTTCTTCTTTCTTCCTTCCATCCATCAATTTCTAGCCTTTTTAATCTTTATTTACTTCGTTTAAACTTTGTCTCATCCTTCTTTTTCTCCTTTTGTCGCTAAACTAATGCACAAACACAGAATTACCATTTGCGCTACGTACAAGAAACATTTGATTCCCGGCTATGGCAATAGACTTGCAGATGTAAGTCTTAATGACACTGCTTATTGCTTTTGTTAGAGCTTTTGTTACTTTTTTATTCTGATGATAATTGGCCAAAAAATTTAGGACAGAGCCGATGACCGCTATATCAATGCTTGTAGTTAGTATTGACCGGTTAATTTCAATCGTCAAACCTATTTTGTATTATAAAAAAATGTTGAATATTCAGCATTATTTGGTAAGATTTACTTGTGTCTTTTATGTAAAGAAATGCTAATTGTTGAATTAGTCGCCGAAGAGAAGATGAAAAAGCGACAGAATGACTCATTGGTTACTGATACGACGAATAGTCAGAGATTTCTTGCAAGCAACATGGAATTACTAAAAGCATTTTATAAGCTGAAACATTATCATATTAAACAGTTAAAGTCGGAAAATCGCAACATCAACTCGTAATTTAATTATCACAAATGTCATAAAACTTTCAAATTACTTATAATTTTAAAAATATTGAATTACAGATAGCTGGCAGCAATCTATCAATCCTTTTATTGATATCTGCAAGTGTACTTTGCTCATATCTAAATAATGTCAAAGTGCATTCTTTCTGCTGGTTAGCGCTATGAGACTTCCTAATGTAAATTCTGGAATGAACAAATGAAATTAACTGAGTCATTTACAGATAACATTTAGAATTTCTTGCGAATTTTTCACCGCTTTTTGAATTTATTTTATCTCTTTTACAACTTAAAGTAAGTAATTTCAATTTTACACTTAACTCTGCATGGCCAAGTTTTAAAGTATGCTTATAGGACACCAAATAGCCGATGTCCAATATTCAATCGAATATTCTATGGCACACGCATTAGTGCAGCTACTGGAAGTGTTATACTTTACATTGTCACTTTATTTATGGTGCGACGATATAGCAAAAGGATAAAAGAACAACAGGTTTTTATTTTTAATCTACATATGAGTTAAAATCATTCAAAGGAATTAATTACTTTTCCGACCCGTTACATTCATCTCAAATAGCAATTGCATTATCAATGTGAACGGTAGCTAATTGGTGAACTTAATTGCTGCATTTTCATGAATTTCACAAGAATCGAAATTTTTGATTTTGACAAAGTGTTTGCTTTGAATGTGTCGGTGGAAGTAAATTTGAAGGGCTTTCAACATTTAATGAAGTTTCTGTGTTAAGCAACAAATCATCTTTTTGTATTGTGATCCATTATGAACTACAATTCGTAATTTTCCAATTTGCTATTTTCAGAATTCCGAATCAGTTAAGATAAACAAGCGTCAATTAAACTTTACAAAAACCGTAGGTTTGTCGTGTTTTGCGACTGCTGGCCTATATGTTTTGCCTATGATTATCGCATTCTACGAAACAAGCAAGGACAAAATACCAAATATTACTTTCGTAATTGTTATTGTAATAACAATTTTAAATTCTTTCTCCAAAACAATTATTGTTGGCTACCGCTCACATGATATCCGAGATGCCGTCATTGATATAATGCCAGGTGTATTTCGTAAGTAAGTAAATTTGAAATGAATGTACAACTTGCTCGAATTCAAGAAAATCTCCTTTTGATTTATAGGTCTTATTTATTTATTTGTTATTTTTTTAAATCTACTGAATGATTAACCGGAAAGCTTGAATCATAGTAGGAAGTCAATCTAGAGAGCTGTTCTATTATGAGACAATTTAGATTTGGAATACATAAAATGCAAACTATGAATGTCGTTAAATTCAAAGCAGGACACGCTACTACTGCAATTGTTCAGACTGCTGCTAAAACCGTCAAATGTAGCTGTTAAATTAAGTTGTTGACAGTAATTGACCAAGATGCTTTGAAAAGGCTTTTTGAAATTTTCTTGAAGTTATGATATTCGTTGTGATTTATTCTGTCATAATTTTAAATGAAGCAATAGTCCCTCTATAATTCAGAAGTTCAAAGGTTATTAAGTGTGAATAGTTTTCAAGATACTATGGAAACTTTGGGCCAAAAAGTATTAGTAATAGCAAATACTTCGTATTGCACACAAAATCATTTATTGAAAAAAGCATTTGCTTTCTTTGGCATTGTTAGTTCAATTTATTCTACAAAAGGACTACCACCTTACATTACAAATAGGAGAAGTATAGATGTGTTGAATTGTTGTTTCATTTAAATAACTCAACATTTTGCTTTATATATAGAAAATGATGAACGTTTCAACAATTTTGTTGAATAAGTATTCAGGATATGATTGCCGTATTCGAGAACGATTACAGTAGTCTGTATTAACTCATAAAAGTTATGTCTCTCACAAAACTCATTGACTCATAAAACTTTAAAAAAGCTAATAAATGATAAGGAGAATCATTTAATTGTTTGAAATCACTTGTAGTAGATGCAAAACATCTTCATCCATTACATGTTAATTATTTACTTAAAGACAAAAAACGATAATACAGGTAATACAGGTACGGGTTTTTGGAATCTAACTTGATATCTTTCTTTCATGACTCATAATGCATGCAAATCTGTGAAAGCTTGAACAGCAAATGAAAACCTGGCGTATCTCAGTGCTCATTTAAGAACTATCGTCCTATCCTTTGAACTTAACAATGAAAAGGGAACAGCATCAGTAGAGCAAAATAGCTCTATGAACCTGATAGTGTTAATCAAAAAAGTGATAACAAAAGTATCAAATGATGAGGTTGAAGAACTAAGAGCTGAAGTAATCGAATCGAAGTCTAGAAATATTTATGACCTTAAGTAGAACTTCGTCTAATTTTATAATTATTTGCATATGGATTGGAGTAGTTCAGTTATACATACATTAATTAATATTTAAAATGATTTTTGAGCAACCTAATATGAAATTGAAAGAGTGCAGTCTTTTGCATATGTTATAAAATAGAGACGTTGCAGAAAAAGGAAATTACTGTTGTATATCCAGAATTTACTTTTTCAATTTTAGAAATTTTTTCTTAACAAATAAAAAGTTATATTGATGGAAACTTATTGAAGAGTTTGCTTGCATTAGTCTGATTTTGGTTTAAATTAGTACTAGTTAGCTCTCTTATTTCCTTTTTTTATTTTATTTCCTGTTATTGTACAATATTCACCATTAGAGTGACAAGAATGGAAATGATCCCTATTTAGATGAAAGAAAGCGCCTATATTGGAAGGCGCTTATGAACCATAAATGCATGAAAAGCAGCAGCATTTATTTTCTGTGATCATTTATTTGGAACGACATTTTTTTTTTTTTAAATTATTTCTTCTGTTTCAAAATACATGCTTTATTGATTTAATCCATAGTTTTTGGAAAATATTTTGATATCTGGATTTATTATTTGTCGTTTCGTTTTGAGTTCCTACTTTGAAATACGCAAATTTATATAACGGATAACGAACAAAACGATTAAATGGAAATCTTTAAAATAAAAATACATTTAAGGCAAAATTATACATATAAATATTAGTAATAAATTATCTAGTAATAATAGATCAATGGAAAAATTAAAAATCTTCTAATAATGGTGAATTTTATTGTCTTTTCACTGGATAATGCTAGTTACTAGCATACTCCCTGTGCTACTAAACACGTGGAAATATAATCGGCGTAGCTAATACATCAAATAAAAATTCGTGCTTGTTAAATGCGGTATGCGTAGCGGACACAATATTGGTACTGATCACTAGTGGATCTCAAAAAATTCTCATATTTTCTCATGCAATTATCATTCCTTGGTATTTGCTGGATGCGCTTATTGTTTTGCATAGTGATACGTTTTCTATTTCAAATTTGATTGGAAATGTAGAAATTTAAATTTGCAGTACAAACTTTATGATTAGTTGCGAATCTGCTTATCAAAAGTAAAGTTTCAGCTATGTTTCGCTATAATTTATAAGAAAGGAAAGCAGATCACTATTAAATTCGATATTTCAGCAACAGATTATCAATAATTTATAATTTCATTTTTTTTTTTTTTTTTTTTTTTCATTTTTGTGAATGTTAAGAAATTCTCACTTCTTTTTATGTCGTTAGCTTAGATAATTAGCATATCTGTGTAATCAAATATCTTTCAAGCTATTTCTAGTTTAAAAACAAAAAAGATTAATTAATAACATGCTATTTAAAATACAAAGAAAAAAAATCATTGAGGTTTATTGTAAAATGTTACTTTTAAGAGTATTTCTTTTTTTACAGTAAACTTCTTAACTTGCAACTTGCTAGCTATTTCGCTTATGTGAAATATATCATGTGAACATGGCTGAACATCATATTAGCAATAGATGTCACTGGATTCCTCAACTGTTATTATAGATTTCCTCTAAATTTTGAAAACTTCAATATTTGTTCGTTAAAGACATAGACAACTTGAAAATATAAATAATTTCAAATTTATTCAATGCATCGTAAATATAGTTTAGGACATTAAAAAAAGGATCAGGAAATGGAAGCATTATTAACGAAAAGCAAGAATGATATAGAAAAGTATACATGTTCTAATGATTTCTTCTAATACAATCAAGAGAAATTTTTGAACACTGTTAAAAAAATGTATGAAATTCATAGGCATGCTATAGTTATATCTAGGCAAAGATTAATTATCCATAGCGATTAACTAGCTAATAATTAAAATAACTTGGTTAGTTCCATAGAATTCGGTTTTTTTGTTTAATTTTTAAGTTTTTGGTTACAATAAAGTTTCAAATGCAAGAAAAAGTGACCTGTGCATAATGCTAATGCGCAAAATGCATTTTCCGGGAGCCAAACCCAAATTTATATTTAAGAGAAAGAAGACGGTTTTAATTTAACAGATTAATTCGATTCATTATCTTATTGTATAAACGTTAATTTTAACACCATTGATCATTGCTTAATGCAAAAAAGAAAATCGAAAAAACGAATTCTTCTTTGTTCTTAAAAAGTAATATGAATTTTGGTTTGTATAACTTCTATTAAGTTTTTCACAACAAAATGAAAAATTCTCACTTGAGAATAGTCGAGAATTAATAAACTTGACAAAAATGTCTTTTTTCCCCACACTCAGGTCTTTCTCTGGATTTTTCGATATTACCACCGTAATAATTTTGAAAAAAGGATGAAATGAAGAAGTGATTTTATTTACATCTTTGAAATTACTTCTGATTACATTGCGATACTTGAATGATATTTAGTGAAGTGATGTTTTCATTCATATGAAAGATAAAGAAAGGAGAGAGAATGAGCGATATGCTTTCGCATGAAAATGTGTAATAATCGTAGTGATAACCATGTGAAGTGATAATGAAAGAGGTGAGAGATGATTGGTTCTATTTACATTCTTGGAATTATTTTCGATTACACTCTAAACTATAAAGCATTGAATTACACATCCATCACTTCATCCATCTCTTAGCTATCTTCTCTCCTAAATCTTTCCACTTATCCATTTGAACAGCCCTACTATAAGCCATCAAACAGATCCGTTATTGGACATTTCGATGCTTAGCTTTATTTTTAATTAATTTTCTTTTACTATCATTTCTTCTTTTTAGAATTCCATCACAGCAGTGATAAATTTGGGAGCATATTGAGAATTAACAATACATTTGATAACATTACCTTTTCGATCATTTCTCATTTCCGCATTTTTAGCAATAAATTTTTATTAGTCAATCAAAAGTAATTTCAACTTTCTTCAAGCTTCATTCTTTTGGCAAGTTTAATTTTATGAGGACTGATTAAAATTATTGATAAACTTAGGATTATTTTAAAAGCTATAGCAAACATATTGATCTGCTACTGGATCAATTTCAAAAGGAAGAAAAAATATTAAAAAAGATTAGGAAACTTATTTTTAACTAATGCTTCTAGTTATATGGAATAATTAGTAAAAAACATTTCTTAAATGTAAAATCTCAGTGGATCAATTGACTGTGATCATAAGATTTGCTTTTAAGATTTTTGTTATTCTGTTTCAAAAAGCATACGATACGAATCGGATTGGAATGTTACCCTTGTTATTCTGCACTTAATCTTGAGAGACTGAAATCCTTTGCTTGTTTACTTCCTCAATTCCACATAGTTGAAAACAATTCTGATTGAAAGGACGGAAATTTGTTTTATAGAAAAGATTTTTTTCAGCTATCATTTTTAAGCATTTATCGTTGTTGACTTTGCGCTCTGTTTTTCTCTTTTTGTTATTGGCGATATGTATATAAAGCATACTAGCAGGTAATGTAAGATATCCTGAATGACATTATACTTTTCTGAAATGAAATTGATTGTGTATTGTTCTCAAAAATTATCAATCACAATGTAACGGAATTTCCGAATAACAATATGAAATTAAATTTTACATTTCTTAATGTTACCATTGTTAGGAAGAAATACGAAGTTGCTGAAGTTTAAAATAAAATTCTTTTAGGAAATGTTGGCCGATTCTCCAATAGATTTTTTTTCAGCGCAACTTTTTGGCACATATTTAACATAATGCTTCAAAATTGCTACCATATGTAATTTAGCAAGCAAACAGCTTTTAATTCTGATAGCTCACTAGCAACAAATTTAATAGCGCTTATTTATCCTCTGTTCATTTTAAAGTCTTCCTTTTTCGTGGATGGGTAATTTAACTTTTTTCCATTCTTCAAACATTCATCCAAACATCATTATAAGGAAAAAAAAATGCGACGTTCTTCTCATTTAAGATTTATCGATGTTTTAGAAATTCCTTAAATATTGAAAATTTACATCTACATGCATTATTTTATTGAATACAGATTTGTTATTTTGGAACGTTAAGATATCTAATTTCTCCAAAACCCTTTCCAACCTGAAAATCATGTTTCGTTATTGCTGATGCGTAATTTCTAAAAGCTATAATTTATAAGAAGCCAAGCACAATACACTTTCTATGGAAATAATATCCAAAATCATATCTCAAAGTCATATTTTACCCAAGACTATAAAAATCTTATTTAGCCTAAGATCATAACATCATCATATTTGGCCTAGGATCATTGAGCTATCACTTGAAGGTTGTATTCAATATATAATACTTATCGATTAAGATAACAGAACTAAACGTGATCTCGTTTCTTTTACACGTACTTTTTGAATTTACTTTGTCTAAAATATGTGAATTATAACTTTGCATCTTTTTCCATATTTTGAGAAAGATATTTCGAAAACATTTCACTTATTCATTCCCTTATTCATCCTTTCACTTTTCAATCAATCATTATATCATCGAGTAATATTTTCTTGAATATTCAATAAATTATGCTCCAATAAACTTTGAGATCAAAAGCTTTTGTAGTTTTTAGAAAAATAAAACATAATGAAATAAATGTTTTCAGTATTGTCACTGTAATTATACTGTCAACTTATTTTTACTTTTTGATTCATTGTTTTGCCAATATACCTCTGGATAAATTTTAACTTTGGCTTATTCCTTATTCATACTGTAAAACAAAATTGCTACAAACTTAGGATTCAATTGAAAACAAATAAATACAGTGTTTCTTTTTCTTCACTGTGACTTCCTGTTGCTTTATGTCATCTGATTTAATCAGTTTGATCACTTTAAAATAATACTTATGTTTAATCTATTACCCACTATTTAAATTATTAGTTAGCAGTTACTGAATTCATATTTGAAAAAGAAAATTTGATAAAGAATCTGGAAAACAAAATGCTTCAAACAAGTTTTAAAATCTGAACTTCCCAATTATCCGACCATTCTTTGAAAAGAAAAAAAGATTTTTTCTGCAATACTTTGTGATTTTCACCTTTAATTTTCTAAAAACCTTCAAGAATTATTTTGCAAACATCAATCAAATTATCTTATTGCAGTACCAACTAGTAGCACCGGAATTAAGCGATAGATTACCTTGTGTTTCATTGTCAATTAGCATCATATTGTCATCACAAATCTTCCTTCGATCTACATAATTTTGAAAAATCGGCAAAGATTTAAAAGACAAAATTGTCCTTACCTCTTAAGAGCTATGAATTAATTACACTGGAAATTTGTGAAAGGGGATGGTTTTAAAACATTTGCAAATGAAATTTGTTTAAGTAAAAGAAAGCGATGGATGTGATGTGAAAGGATAAGAAATGGATAATAAAAAATAATTTCTCGCCTCAAATCTCTCCTAAATCTTCTTTTTCCTGAATTTATATTTATTATTATAAGTAATTTAAAGCAAATAAAAGTTTTAAGTAAATAAAGATTCACACTCATGACTTTTCTTTTTTTATAGGAAGTAAAAAAATACTTTATTAGCATTCTAAAATTTGGATTAATATTTAAAAAGGCGGCATGGCTTTTAGAAAGATTTACAATAATTATCAAAATTTCTCATCGTCATTTCAGTGTTTAATTTATTTGAAATTTTTTCTTAACACTTTTTTGCGTGGGAACTTTTGAAAGAAAGAAATGCAACTTGACGATTAAATTTTAATTTATATGTTTCTTTTATTTTAATACATTTTCAGCATACGATCATAAACAAAGAAAACTATTTAATTATTGGTAATTAACGCATCGTTGTGAATTGGTATCTATCTGAAAAGAAATGTAGAATTTTGCAAAATTAAAATGAAATTTATTCAATTTGTAAAGATTTTCAATTTTAGTTACATCCTCAACTGGAAATTGAAGGTGGGATGTATCCCTCTTCAAAAATCAAGAAGAGAGCGCTGTGAAGTTATTTTAAACTAGAAGAAACATTAGCACTTCTTAGTAAATTTAGAGAGAGAGAGAGAGAGAAAGAGGGAGACGAAGGAGCAGACAAAGGAATTTCTTCGGATTTTTTCCATCTCTTCTTTCAATTCCTTGTGTTCCTTATATTAGCCATGCTAACAACCGTTCAAAGCAAGAATGACAACTTATTGTTAGTTAGTCGTAACTACTGCTAAGTAATCTTAACACAAATTTTCATCTTTCCTTTTGATATCACAAAGCTTTCCTCATATGCTTAATCAAATATATCAAAAAGATAAAGTTCAAAACCAAAAGGGATAAGTGTTAGCCATGTTTATTGTCACAAACCCATTATTGCAACTTTTTATTGAATATTTTTCCTATGTTTCCAAATTTCTCAATGGATCAATCTTAGAGTCATCAGGCAAATAACTGAATTTCTCATTTCCATTGAGGTGCTTAATTTCTTTTTCAAAAATTGTCCTGTTTATTTTGTATTAATTTGATTCGATCATAACTATAATTTAAAAAAATTATAACTGCAGCATTAACAATAATAGATCAATAAATATTTAGGATAACCTAAGATTTTGCTTTCAAATTTTCCTCGTTATGATAAGAATGTGTGCGTCATCTGTTATTAATATCAGTTATCATTATTATCACTATTGTTATGCTCGTTTTATCATGCTGGCTGTCTTAAGTGCAACACTGTTTTGCAACATTGTCGAGTCGTCACTACGCCTGGAAACAGTTGTTTATGAATAGGAAAATGAGATTGCATTTGTCTTCGTTTCACCTTCCGACCATTTCATCGAAAACATTTTTTCACTTTCTTCTGTCTCTTCGATTTTTAGCTTTTTTGCTAGAAACAAATGTAAGAAACTTAAATGTTATGACAGTAAATTAGTAAGAACGAAATGGTGAGTATTTCACCAAGAAGCAATTAAGAATTAAATGCCCGATGAAGAAAATTATGCCTTATGGATTAAAATTTGATTGAAAGCTCAAATTAGCTGTTGCACGATATTTATGATAATGAAACGTAGTGTTTATCGATATGATTATTAGTTGTTTGGTTTACTTCTTTCGATTATGCATTGTTCTATTTATCTCTGTGTAAAATTTGATCTTTTTCAAAACCTAAAAATAGAGAAAAATATAAAATATGAAGTTTCAGAATAACAGTGATAATTCAGATTGGTTAAAAATTTGAAATGATAAAAATTCTGCAAGTATGAGTTAAATTTGAAAAGTCTATATCACTATAAACATCTGAAGTCGATAAACTCCGAATTACTTCAATACTAGAAAAATGATAAATCCGAATGAAATGGAATATAAAATGAACTTTTGCAACTAGCACTTACTTCTGAAAGTTAATTCTCTCCCATTTGTGATCGTTTTTTTTTTTTTTTTTTTTTTTTTACATATGTCTTTGATATATGTAAAGAAAATATCATATTCTTCCTTATACCGACAGCGCAAACACTGAACGGGATTTTCTTCTAAGAGAATTATTTCTCTTGCATTTATAAAATGATAACTTATGAAAACATGTATTCCAGCTGGGCTTTCTAGCCTAATCTGGCCAAATAATATATTTCTTCCTGCAGAAAATAGCTGGAATGATAATGCAAAAAGAAATATAATGCATAACAAATAAATTATTCGGAATTGAGTGATTTGTGTATTGTAAAAAACGTTTTTGGGAATGTTTTATGGAATGCAAAGAGAAAGGTAAAGTTTGTTCAATTGAATGAACTTTTTCAGAGATGGCGCTAAGTGCAGCACGTCAACAATCATCTAGCTTGATGCAATTCAATGAGGATATTATCAAGCAGGTACAATGCCGCTTCTCTTACATTTCCAAATACTTATCCAGCATCATAATTGATCTTTTATCACAGTGAAGCACTTCATGGCATTCTTCAAAAGGCTTATTAAATTTTCATTGCTCTAAAATAAGTTATTGATTTCGGTTACTTGTTTTTATAGCAACGAAGATTTAAATCTTAATTTTTACGTTGTCCACTTTTTAAATTAAATTTTGAGTAAATTTTTAGAGTAAAAATTTTAAATTTTGAGTTAATAGAGAGTTTTACTTCAAAAGTGGCAATTTATTCAAAAAGAAAAAAGAAAAAGAAATTCTAGCTAACAACTGAAGAAATTGATGAATTCCGCGAAGCTTTTATGATGTTTGATAAGGACGGCAATGGAACGATTTCTACCAAAGAATTGGGTATTGCAATGCGATCATTAGGACAAAATCCAACCGAGCAAGTATGTGAAATCTTTGCTTATGGAAGTCGTATGAACACGAAAAAGATGTAGAAAATTAGGTCTTAAATTGTTTTGCTTGTTGGTTATGCATTAATTTTTTCCTAGCATAAGATTAAATTCTATTTAATTTGCTTTTAAGAATCAACCTATTTTTAAGAATGAAGTGCTCGAAATGCCATTTCATATTTCGATCTCACATTACTTGATGCAAACCGATTTAATTTTCAGATACTAATTGACAGGAAGATTAGAAATGAATTGAGAAGAACGGTGATGAGTGTTACAAGAAATGAACAGCAGATAGTCTTATAGTTCAAATTAAACATCTTGTCCAATTGTGTTATAGGAAATAATGGAAATGATCAATGAGGTAGACATTGACGGTAATGGACAAATCGAATTTACTGAATTCTGTGTAATGATGAAAAGAATGATGAAAGAAACAGATTCTGAAATGATTCGTGAAGCATTTCGTGTCTTTGATAAAGACGGAAATGGTGTTATTACTGCTCAAGAATTCCGGTATTTTATGGTAAGTTGAGCAGATCTTTATATTATGTATTTTAAGATAATTAGTAGTATAATTATTTATAATTATAAAAAGTAAAATTTGCAGGATTTCTAGATTACTTTCTATGATTTGTAAAACAATAAAAGAAACATTTTTTCCATCTAAAATTTGAAAAGAATTCGTTTTATTTGAAACACATTGATTTATTAGGATAATTGATCGATATATCTTGACCTCATTGCTTGCACCATAAAATTTCATTCATTTGATCTTACTACACAATTCAAAATCACAAGATTGACCTGAATTAATTGCTCTTTGTTGTCCTAATAATTCCGATAATCTCATTTATAAACTAAGAAAAAACATGAAAGCATATTCTTGAAATAATTTCAGGTTCATATGGGTATGCAATTCAGTGAAGATGAAGTCGATGAAATGATTCGAGAAGTAGATGTAGATGGTAAAACTTTTTTCAGGAATTTCAATAAGTTTATAGTAAATTTTCAAAATTTCATTTCTTAATTTTAAAAATTTTTTCTAGCAATTAATATTGCACCTTTTTCCTTAACCCAGTTGCATAGCTGTTTTGCAGGAGATGGTGACATTGATTATGAGGAATTTGTAAGAATGATGACTGATCGATAACAATGATATTAGAGTGATGGCAATATTCTACTACCATTCATTCTTTCATTTCCAGAAATCTTTTCTGAGACTAAATAACGACAAACGATAAAATTATCGTCATTTATTGATCTCGCCCTCACTCTGCTACACTTTTTTTTTTTTCAACTTTATTCCATGGTTGTACAAGAAGCATGGATTAAATCTCTTCCATAATTTTTTCAAAAGTTAAAATAAATCTATATAAGAAGACCTAGTTGACTGATGGATAAAAGCAGAAGAGGAGTCTGTTCTGTTGTCTACCAATTAGAATGCATACATATAATTTTTGAATAGCATTGGAAATTCATTGTGAATGAAAATTCTAAGAATTGAAATTTGCATTGAGTGAACTTTTGCATTTACTTATGATAGTTAATGGTTCGAAATTAGCGCGCATTTAAGAAAAGTTCCTCTAAGTACCACAAGTATTTCAGTATTTCTTACACTTTAGGACCGATCGTGTGTCGCACACTAACATCATCATGGTATAACTTTTAATAAGCAAAATAACTAAATTTGTAAAAGTAGTCCTTTGAAAAATTGTAAATATAGCTTAAGACTAGAATATAGAAGTGATTAGACCAGGTTTACCAGATATTTTAACTCTTCACGGCTGTTTAATTTTCATAATATACATTACAATTTGCAAATTTAGCTTTGCACAAATTGAGCATTCCATTATTAAACTTTTTTCTTGTAGTTTCATTTATTTTTCCCGTAAAAATGTGTATGAATAGAAACCGCTTGTATTAATGAACCTATAGCTAATTAACACAAAGTTTCAAACATTAGCAATCAGCTGAAGACTTTCTCATTATCTCATAATTATGCCGTGTAATAGCTTATCTATTAGCTGTATTCCAAAATGCTGATCATTTCTCTGAATATTATCAACTCGAATTATTTTGCAAAGAAGTTAAATCTCTCCCGAACCAGTATGATTTCCATTTTCATATTGATTTTCGTACAATATGCATATATATGTTACGTAAATTCATTCGTTGCATATTTTACATTCGCGGTATTTTACAATTAACGAAGTTTTGATTTGCATTTGGCAATTTTCTTCAGCTTTAAACAAAATTTTTAACCTATTGTGCTTTCTTAAGATAACTTCAAATTTATACCGATCCTTTTCATAAATTCTGAAGTAATTGTGCAAATCTTTAAAGATCCTTATGTGTTTTTGCATTTTCCAATAATATTTTTGAATATTATTGGAAATGAAATTCGCGCAAAATCTAAAATAAAGAAACAATTACATGGCAGTTGAATGATTTATGTAAACTTAAATGCTATTTGGGATTACCATAAAATGTCTCTCATCCGTAATTCTTGAATTCTTTCTAGGCCTCGCTGGATTCCTCTTAAAATTTTTCCAGATCCGTTCCGGGAAAAATATCGCAATTTGTTTTAAAATATGTCAGCTAATAACAAAATTGATAAAGATATCTGATTCCTGAAATTAAAAATGAAAATGTTAAGACACTGAAGTCATTGAAATATTTTTGATATCTCTGTCCAAATTTTTTCAGTAATTTCTGTTACTTTAAAATTCAAATGAAACGCTCGTGACGTCAAATCGATATTGTATATGAAATTTTAGATGAAACAAATTATCCGCAAAGAATTATTAAACACCATTGGCAATTAATAGTGTTCAAATTTATTGAAAAAACAGTTACTCATAAATTTAAAATTATTTTTAAGATTTTCAGTCATTATTATTGTGCAATCCTTAATGAAACAAAGAGAAAGTGTGTTTTAAAGGACAGTACAAATTTGCATATCAAACATAGATGCAGCATGTAAATTTCTTAATTAACAATATGCACAGTGCTGTAATACTAAATTTTTATAATTCAAATTTTTAGATTTGATAAGCAATATGATAATGATGTTTACTAATCATTTATAAAAGAATAATTATTAAACGCTTAAAATTATTGTTATCCGTCATATTAATTTATGTAAGCAGATATAATTACGCAATGAGTTTTGATGTTGACAATCTCATTGATCGCCTTCTGTCAGTTGGATTAAGCGGTGGTGTCGCACTTACCAAATGCGTTCCTGAACAAGAAATTAGTTTGTTTTCAGTTGCAAAAATCCATCATTTTAAAAATTAGTACAATCAGAAATTAACGATAAAAATTAAAATTACCAAAAAATTAAGTATAGAATTTCGAAAAAATTCTTTGTTTGAAAATAGCAATAATGTTGGCCAATAAAAGGTTATCGCTACTCGTCCTAAATAACTCTGCACATAATTATTTTATGAATGTATTTAACTTATACACAATTAAAACAACTTGTTCCTTCGCTAATAACTTTTTTCTTACTTGGTTCCACTCTGATCCTGGAAATTTGATATATCTAAAGGTTGTCTTATTTTTTTGGACATGAAAATACATCAATCTAAGGTGCACTTCTTTTAGTATCATTACTTGGTACCGCCCGACAAATCTTTCTTTCTCAACCACCTTTGATCGAAATCGAACCACCTGTTAAAGTAATTTTGCTTCTTGACAAATTATAACTGATTATTTTGATAATCATAAAGGCTTAAATATAATATAAGTTGTAGGCTAGTAAAGCAAGCATTCATTTCACTACCACGTACCGTTTCATAAATTTGCCAATAAAAAATTTGTTTTTACAATATTTGCATATAAATGCACGCTATTGTTTTATTTTGCAACTTTTTCATCTCATTTCTTTCTTACAAAATTTGTATGATTCAGATTTTTTTTTTCAGTAGAATAATTCAAATATTTTTCGAGGTATGTGGAGATTTACACGGACAATATGCTGACTTACTTCGTCTGTACAATCGTTGTGGCTTTCCACCTGATGCTAATTATATTTTTCTCGGTGATTATGTTGACAGGTGACAATCATGTCTTGAATTAATGTATTCATCATTTATTATGAGTTTACCTGAATATGTTAACAAAACATGAAGACGGCTTAGAATGCGCCATCTATTAAGTCCTGACTATTAGATCAATGAAAGAACATCATTTGAGCTTCTTCTGGAAAATTTTAAGCTATCATATTACCTACCTCGTGTTATCCTGAATAATTATTTAATCTTTTGAGATTTTCTTAATCTTTTCATCTCATAAAATAGAAATTTTCAAAATCCAAAATGATATGTGAGCATTGGATTTTTATCAGAATTAAATGCACAACAACTAAGATCAATAGAAAAACGAAATAAATTGCAGGGGTAAACAAAGCTTAGAAACGATCTGCTTGCAATTCTGCTATAAAACTAAATATCCGGAAAATTTTTTCTTGTTGCGTGGAAATCATGAATGCGCTGCAATTAATCGCGCTTATGGATTTTATGATGAATGCAATCGACGTTACAGCATACGCTTATGGCAAATGTTTCAGGTGCTCTAATTAATCAGTAAATAATTATTAGCAAAATCTCTGCTAGTGGCTCATCTAAAATTAATTTGTAATTTTAGGATGTTTTCAATTGTTTACCATTTTGCGGTTTGATAGCAGGGAAAATATTTTGCATGCATGGTGGTTTGTCACCAAAGCTGAACAACTGGGATCAGGTTGATTAACTGTTATCATTTAACGACACTTCAAATTTACCAAATGTTTTTGTCTAGCAAATATGACCAATATAATTAATATTCAACTCTAAGGCTTTTTTCTGATCCTGGAAAACAACTTTTTAAAGATTTTTTTTTTCTTTTTGAAGTCATGATCATTTTACAGTTACTGCACATTGAAAGGCCCATAGATCCACCAAATCCTTCAATTCATATCGATTTGCTTTGGGCAGATCCTGATAAATGGGTCCGTGGCTGGCAGCAGAATACACGTGGCGTATCTTACGTTTTTGGGGCTGACGTAGTGAATGCATTCTGTCAGGACATGAATATTGATCTCGTCGCTAGGTTTCATTCAATTTTAATTTATAAATCATAAGTTGAGAATACATAAAGCATGGATTTATCACTCATTTGAAAATGGTTCAAAATTAAACATAATTTCAAATTAACGATCATTTAGAAAAAATGATGCATGTCTGTGATGTAAAAATTGGATAAAGAATGCAGACTAAGCTGCTTTAAAATAAGCTAATTGACTAACGATCTCATATTCAGTAATATAAAGTATTGTGCCAAAAAAGGCATTCAGCTATAATTCGAAATGATTAAGCTAGCAAAATTCCGATTGGCTAAAATTCGAGTAGAAATATATATTACTAATGCGCAGCACTTTAACTTCAATTTTCATAAGTTTTGATTTCTGAATCCCAATTTCTGTATAATTTATTTCGACATTTTGAATATTCTTTTTACTAAATAATGATGGTAATGAAGAAATTATGAAAACCATTCATTTCAAATGAAAATCACTCATTTCAAAGTGTAAGTTGTCATAATTAATTCGAAGAGAGTGAAAAAATAATTTGCATAATTTAGCTCTTTCGATACTTAGAAAAATTCTTTAGAGCACATCAGGTGGTTCAAGATGGCTACGAATTTTTTGCAAATCGTAAATTGGTGACTATCTTTTCCGCTCCGCATTACTGCGGTGAATTTGACAATGCTGCAGCGATAATGACTGTGGATGATCAATTGCTGTGTTCATTTGATGTACTTCGTTCCACCAGTAATCCAATTCGTGTCTCGCAATCTTAATCGATCTAAATTTCAGTTCATGTTCATTTCAGTTCTGAAAAAAAAATCGTGTGTTTAAATTATTTTTAGTTAATTGCTTGCAGATAGCAAGTGTTCACTGAAAAAGAGTATTTGTTTCACAATAACAAGTAAAATGTTTGCAAAAGACAGTTCAATCGTTTAACATTGAATCGAATCGTTTAATCGAAGCCAAATAAATATGATTTTTTTCTAACTACAATACGCCTATTGCGCTAAGCTAATTCCAATAAGCTCAAATACTGCTAAACTATCCTACTTTTCATTATAAGTAAAATTTTTGAAAATATTGATATATGCGCAATATTACTTTCTTCAATTTCCTATGGCGCATACGTCAGAAACAGATAATTAATCTTTTTTTTTACTTATTAGAAAGTTTTCCTAACAAATAAATCTCGAAAGGTATAGATCGAAAAATTTTGATAAAACCGTATTAATGGTTTGATAAGCAGGATGATATAATTTGCTATGCATTAATACTCAAATTCAAAATTACTATCGATGCAATTTTAAGTCTTCCCTTATCAATTATACGACTGAAGTGTTTTCATTGATAAAGTTGAGAAGAAAATGAATACAACTCAACAAATATCTTCATTGGTATATGAAAAATTAAAATGATGAAGAAATTAAATAATCTAAGTTATTGTTATGAAATTTTGGAAGTAAAAAAAGTTCGATTAAAAGTGCTGCAGTTTCAGGAACCTGCTTTTAAATCTTTGTTAGATTTTTCTTTTTTAAACTTAACTTTTAGGAACCTGACTTTGTTATATTTACAGACTTTTAACCATTGCTAATGTTATAGATATACTTATTTTTCTATTTCACAAAGTCTCTTTTCTGCTGAGAGTTTTGGGATCATTATTTTAATAAATTTTCAACAAATGGCTGTTGTTGAGTTAGTGCTTATTTACTAATAAAAAGCACTGAAAAAATTATTAACAATTAATCAAGATAAACTAAATTTATAATTTTGATCAATTAAAATGAATTATTCTCCACAGTTCAACTATTTTCACGACATGTATACTTGTAAGTATTACGCACTTGAATGTTGGTATTGAAAGCTGTTGAAAAAAATTAAAATTTATTCATTTCTTAACGAATTACGCAAGTATGTTTCTCTTTTAAATTTATTTATTAACCCATATATTTGATTTCTACTTTAACTTATCACATTGCTACAAATACCTGATTTTAAGATTTCTATTATTTTATTCTCCAGTGCTTTCAGATTTTATGGAATAAATTCTGTAATTCTTTTGTGCAGTATTTATATCTGAATCACTGGTTATATCTGAATTCTCATAAAATTTGTTTCAGTACTTTTCCGGTCTATTCAAAAAAAGAATTTTATAAATTTTTTGCAGATTAACTCTTTTTCAAAACACGAGAAAAAGTGTGGAAACATTCAAGAATGACGAAAATTAGAGTTGCTTTACAGCGAGTCCGAAGAAAAGATGAGAAGAATATAATTCTAACAAAATTTTGTCGGAGCCATTGCTGAGAGTTAATGTAATATTCCAGAATATCCAGGGAAAAGCATTTCAATTTTCTTTCGGAATAAAAAGAGACAAAAGAAATAGTTGTCGTTGTTGAAATCTATTCCGATCTGATTCTTTCTCCTGCTTTATTTGTAGATTCTTCGCAAATGACAGAAATTCCATGAAGATTTTATGGAGTTTATTAATAATTTTCAGTGAAAAAGTAAATTACATTTGATTTATTGACCTTTTTTGGAATGCAAACATTTCAGCTTGCTTTCACAATTTGTTTTACCGCTTGAAGACTTCCAAATCACTTGCCAGGCCTGAAGCCATCAGCGCGTCCTATTGCAATATTTTTTTTTACCATCACATCCAAGATAGGTAGTGGTAATGGTTCATACTGAAAATGAAATTTAAATAAATAAGGAAATTTAAAAATATTTTTTGTATTTCGTCTAATAAAATTTGTGAACACAGATAAAAGAAAGTTTTGTTTATTATTGCTAATTATAATATGATAGCAGCTGTCGGTATTTCGAAAATATCGAGCAAAAAAACTTTCCGACTATTTTTAAGAACAAATTTTAGCGACTAATAGGATTCATAAAGGGTTATTTTATCAAAATCTTATTTGTATTGTACCTCTGAATTCCTTCTGCATACGTTAACTACCGCTATTATAAAATGTCAATAAAATCAAAATAAATGATAAACAAATTGAAGATATTTTAAAATTAAATTTGATAACGGAAATCGAAACAGAAGGTATACTTCACAAAGTTAATTGATAAAAATGTAATATAATATCCAGAATTTTATTTTATAATCCACATAACAAAAATAAAATTTTTAGAAAAAAACCAACCATTGATAATTTTGGCTGATCAAAATCAAGCGAATTCAAGTAATTAGCAAACGGTTCATAGTTCGTTTCATGAAAAATTGGTAGCCCTTGAGCAAATTTTATAAATGTTGCTAATAATAGCACCAATGTATAAGATACATCTACCATAGTCTTCACTCAAGCTTGTGATTATCTATAAAAGTTTAGAAATTAAAACGATTTTCTAAGGATAAGTTTTGATGCACAGTTCCGATAATGATAACATGCCACTATTACTGTTCTAAAAGAAATGAATGAATGGAGTCGTAAGACATACTTCAATATGATATTGACAAAAATGCAGTGATGTTTTCAATTACGTCTTTTTTTTATTTGAAAAAGAGACATGCGGTTGCGTTAAAAAAGCGAAGAAAAGAAATTATGTGAGGAGGAAAGTTGATTAAGAGATAATGAAATTGAAAGATATTGGAGTAAACGAATATATTTCAAACACTTTTTTTTAATTTCTTTTTCTTAATTAATATTTACATATTTATGGATATAAATTTCTATTTACATGAAATAACCACATAAGTATGGCTACTTTCTAAATAATTTTATTTTTAGAAAATATTTTTAGAAAAAGCGATATTTCCTTTGATGGAAGCAACTGCAATCATTTAATCTAATAGAATGATTAATATTTAAGGTTTGATCAAGTATTTAACGACTGTTATACTTGCTATCTTGATGGGAGATAGCTATATTAATAAAATAAAAAGGTGGTGAATTTATTTTTTCTTGATTCCACTAAAATTCCACAGTGACATGAATTATGACAATATGATTTCTTATTTAACAAGTCATTTATTATCGATTACTCCGGCTGTTATTTACTTAGTTGATCTTTAGAAATTTCTATAATATCTCATGAGGAATTCATGATGTTTACGGACAACGGTGTTATATAATATCTTTAGATATCCTTTAATTTGTGCAGTTCGGTTGCAACAATTCATCGATGAACAATTTTTGATTAAAATGAATCGCAAACAAAAAAGTTAACGATCTTGTTGGTATCAAATTCCGTTTATTTGAGTGAAATTTGAGGTTAGGACCACGGACTTTTGTGATATTAAGTGAGAAGACTTAAAGTGATTAGATAAATGGTTAGCAGACAATTTTTCCCATATAAATATTATATATAAAACGATCTAAACGGCTAAACAGTTTAGCACAATGATTCTTTCTGGAAAGTAGCACTTGAACACGTGCGACAAGCAATATCGCACTGCGACACAAAACGTCACACTAAATATTTAAACAAGTCTGTTATGATTTATACTACTAGACTTTTTTCCTAATCCAATGAAAGACTATTCGACAGTTGTTAGTAAGAGTGGCAGTTGCAAGGACAGATAATCAAATTAGTTACATCATAGCTGCTATGATTAGATTTTGTCACAGTATGTTGAGAGTTCGAGAGATTTCATTCCAACTGCATTTATTTAGCCGAGAGATTACTTTATATTCATGTTCATAAAAATATGTGCAATAATGTCATAGAAATATTCCAATTACCAGATGTTATGTCAATTCAACTGCTAAGCACAAAATGATGTGATAATAATTGCATTTCTTTCACTTGCTAACAAAAATATTCCAATGATATGATCACTGCTCTGAATTCTTCGATTATTAATAGTTTTGAGAGTAATGATGTGCCACGAAGTATATCATACTGGACAGAAGTTTATCTCTGGCTGCATCATTTTCTTAACTTTTTTTAAAAAATTTATAATTCACATTTAACATTTCTGATATTCTGACACTATGAGCCGAAGAAATTTCGAATTTTCCTTTTGTACTAGCATTTCTTTATAACAGTGATCATTCAGGCTTCCGTCAAAGCATCGGAAGAATTTGAAAAGGCAAACTACATACTACATGTAGGACGAATACGTGTTACCGCAATAGTTTTTGGAAAAAGTGGGCAAACAAATTTTAACCGATGCATTACAAATTTGTTTATGTACCTAAGTTCTGCTATTGTTTTATAGATATTCGAAATATTCCGCATAAAGTCAAATTTATGTGATCATTGGTTAGTAATTGATGTGAAGAGGTTATTACTTAACATATTTCAAATGTCAAATATCAAATGGAATATATTTTAATATGAAATAAAGTGATGCATTGCATGGGCTACTAAGTTTGATTAAATTCAAAAGTGAAATTGTGAAATAAATAACAGTTTTGTAGTCTTACGAACGATTAGAATTTATCGTATTTTATTGATGTTAAATAACTGTCCTTGCTACTAATCATTTGACAATGTTAACTGATTAAACAATGTGATAGTAACAACAATGGAAACAACTAGCAGATCCAGTCAAAAATTTCTGCATCGATGTAAATCATTTGCTTTCAATTTTTTTTTATGATTATTATCGTTGATGCATTAACAATTAACTGAAAGGAGAAATTAAGATATGTTTATTGAAATACAAATAGAGAAGTAAGAATTCTTATCAATGAGTATGCACACTTGAGACTAGAGCTTCTTAAAAATTTGAAAATACAATGAAATTCATCTTTTAGCGTCTGACATCGAAATGCTCCCTGAATCAATGTATATTTATGAAAGATCATAGGTCAAGAATTTTCATGAAAGTGAAATTTACATGAAAACATTTGTGTTATTTGCATATTTCAGACCAGCAATGTTTCTCCAACTTTTTGCCAAAATAATTAAAAATTTCCATGACCGGCATGGACTATAATCCCTAATCATATCATTCATGATATTATCGAGGAGCTGAGATATTGATGGTATTATCACTGAGATACACTTAAAATCAATTCATTCAAAATAACCAAGAATTTAGAAGGCAGAACTACGAATCAAGAGAAATCAAAACTACCAATGAATACTTCAAAATCCAGTTAATAGAAGTGTGCAGTTACACTTTAAAAGATTTAAACACTATTTTAATCTTAATTTCTCGTCCATGATGATTACACATCTATACCTTAATTAACTGATTCATCTCGGAAATTCAAGTAATATGCATTGTTTAAGGAGTTTTGAGCGCTGCAAAGTTTCGAAAGATCAGAAAAACTTTTCAGAAACCGTTTATTAACAAGATAGTTTCTTTCTGTGTTTTAAAGCAAGCTCTAAGTTAAAAAGAAAAAGATTGGTCCAATTATTCTTCCTCCATTCAAAGACATGAAAATACCCACAAGAAAATACGAAAAAGGCGAAGAAAAATAAATTCAATCTGAATTAATTTGACCCACTTAATTAAATCTAGTTAAAGACTAACTGACTCACCAGAAATTTAATTGGCAACTTTGGTAAGTATAACAATTAATACCGGTGAAATTCTCAGATATAGAAAGCATGCACTTCTGACAAAACATCCATTCTTCAACGACAGTGCTGCTTTATCAGTTTAAATTAAATCAAATTAACTTAGTTTACAAATTCATTTCCGCCCCTATAAGTCATTGTTTACATTTCCCTAAGTTGTGTTCCACGTCCCAGCAAACTTTTATTAGCATCTCGGTAGCGTTTGTTCCACTCCGGAAAGCCGGAAAGCCTCATTCGTATTCCTATCCTCGAGGGTCAACTGCAGTCCCCATTAGAACATTTTTACCGTAATTCAATAGACAAGGCATTTGTAGGTTATTTCCTAGATGTTTTCTTCTCCTTCCCTCTACCAAATCCATACTCTTTTCCAAGCATATATGTATAGCCGCCTTTCTTGCTCTAATTTTCCCACACCTTTGTCTCAGAGGTGTCTACGTGTTTTACTTTTTCACCTTTGTTCGGTCTCTTGTATACTGAGATATCTCGATAAACACATGTCATAACACGTGTTTCCTGTTTATGTTTCTCACTAAGGACCACGTGATATAGCAGTTCTCGTAGCTACTCACAAGATGTTTTCATTTTAAGAATTTTGTGTTCGTGGCATTTTCTATGCGGTATCTTTGAAACGTTAAAAATAGTTGGTTCCAACCAGAAACAACTATGTTAAATGGATAAACATGGTGGGTGATTCAATCTGAAATACACTTCATCTGTTGTTTAATCAAAACGGGCGTATGTCGAGATGAAAGTAATTTCAGTTTGTCTTTTTCTTCGTCATGTTTATACCCGTAAATTGGTTTAATGCTGCTGTATTCGTTAAAGATAATTTGTAAATTGAAAAATTTTTCCGAAAATACAAGATGGGGATTCAAATGCTTATGTGACAGCCATATGAAATGAATTATGTGATAGCCATATGAAACGAAGTAGCAGTTTGCCGCAGTTTAATGCTACTGTATTCGTTAAAGAATGCAGGTAACACTATTTTTTCATTTTTCTTTTATCTTTCAGTTTTTTTTTTTCTTCTTTCAGTAACACTGTTGTGTACCCTTCGTCATTTTCGCAGTCGATATGCTTAATGTAGTTTAGAAGGTCCTAATGAAGTTATAAATGGATTATAGGTTTCTTGCAGTTAAAAATGTTCTTGTAAGAATTATGTCACTTCATCGAGCTTATTTTTTAACTAACGAGTGTCCGAGAAACTTCTGAAAACCCTGTTGTTCACATGTTTGTTATCCATATGTTCAGATGTTATCAAATCAAATTTAGCTGATTTTAACAATATCCATCTCGTTTCAGGATATTCCGGTTAAGTAGACTGACGAATTCTGTAGTTCTATAATCTTAACGATTCAGCCCTGAAAACGCTTTTGGTTTTCATTTTCCAGGCCTGAAGCAAACTATGAGAATCAGTCATCAAAACATGAACGGCCAATAAATGCAAAGGGATACGGTGGACGTTACAGTTTAAATAAGGCGAAAAATTGTTCGTTTTAACAATGTAGTTTATATCGCACAAGCCTGAGCACTGCTTAATTTTAGTTTTATTTCTTGTTGCAAATCTTTGATTTTAATGAAAGCTGTACTCTTTTCAGGTGGAAAGTATTATAATGAGAACATTCAAGATCGTGTGAGAATGCGAAATTCATCAGTTCGTGGACAAGTGGAACGATTTCCACGCCATGAAAACTATACTGTGGTAAGCATTCAACTTCCATTGTAATACCATCATTGATCAAATGATTTGTTTTAGTTTATTATTTGTTATTCCGCTTTTTAAGAATAATAATTAGGGATTTAAGTTATTTCTAGGATTTCAGCTACATTGACTTCTTGAGAAATAGTGTATCAACATTCCATTCATTTTCATTATCTAGTTGAATTGTCAGCTCTGACCAGCGTGCGCTGTTGTTGTAGTCTTTATTCAAGATTTAAGAAGCACATTTTATCATAATTATTGTTTTGCTCTATTGCCATCCGATTACCATGAGGAAATAATTTACTTCCATAATTATTCCTGAATTCGTAAATGGATATTAAAATGTCATAATTTAGAAAAAAAAAATAATTTTTTCCCTGCTCTTGTTAATCCAAAAGTGAATGTTGATTTTAGAGACTAAAATTAATAAATTATGCTGAGAAATATGAATATCGGAAAGCAGTATATTATATGAAATTGGTATATGTTCGACTACCTTCAAGGCTTTAAAAATTACGACCGTACTGATACTGCCTTTTTAAAAATTAATATGGCATGCTGTCATAAATCTTGATCGTTGTACTGAAAGAAATTGTTTTGTAGTATGATGAAGTTTATCGATGCCTGTTACCGGAGCCAAATCAACCATTGGCTGACACTGTAATGCAGCCGTCAGCATCCATATCCACTGCTATGATGCGTTGTGAATTAGGCAGATCAGCTAGTGACCGAGATCAGTATCATTGCAGTTTGTACCGCTTACTCCGCGTCAGTGTTATGGCCAAATTAAATCGGTTGTGTGAGAAGACAGCACTCGGAAGTGTGCGAAAATTGTCGCAACAGGTGCTTTTTTATCTGTATTTATACTCATTAAATGCTTAGATAAACTGATTAACCTTTTTCTAACGTTTATTTTACGGCAATATATATTTTCTTTAATGCGCACTGAGAATTTAAAGAATTATTAAATCTTTAAAATTGATTTCGATTAAAGTCGGTAATAGACTTTTAAGCACAATTTATATTAAATTGATTTGAATTATTAATGTAGAGTGTCTTGAAATCTTGAGAGTTGGGAAAATTAATTCATGGCTATAAATTTGTTTTGAGGTACTTCTGATTAATCGCAGAAACGAACGCTTCAAGTGGAGTGATGTGTTATGGTTACAGTTGCAAGTGGTAGTTGCCGGGAGGTTAAAGTTTATTCGTTTTGGATACAAGTGACAAAGTTTTTTAAGTTGTGCCTTTTTAATGAACTATGTCATCAACCTTTGCTTTTAGGCAAATGAAATCACCAAGTGATCAAATTAAATCAACTCGTGAACATGATAAGTATCTGATAGCTGAACGTGAAAAACAAAAAGTGGTCTTGGAAGAAATTCGAAATTTCCATTTGAACGATAGAAATGAGGTGACATGTTTATCACCGTCTACAGAGATCTTAAGTCAAAGTCAAAGATCACTTAAGGAGGAATTGAATACAGTCAAGGATATGTTGGAACGTTATGAAAATTTTGTGGCACTATATCCTAATATGCATAGCATGGAGCGATCAACAAATATGGATGAATTGGTCAAAACTCGAATTCAAATTCTTTACGCCTGGTATAATATCACGATTGATTTGTATGCCAGGATAAGAGAGGTTTGTTTCCAAGTGATGAGTGATTAGGAAGCGAAGGGCGCAATGGGTAATGCGTAGCGGACAGAGCTGCACATAAAGGTTTTGATGTTAACCTTAAACCATTCGTTTGTGATATCTGATAATGATAAAAGCAGTAATTAATTCTTCTAAATTTATGAGATAAGTAATTATAGGTTGGTGTGATCCTGGGTATGTACAAAGATCGTAATTCCAATGGTCGTATTTCACTTTCTCCGAATGTTGCACCAAAAGATAGCGCTATCAACGATTACTTGATTGCAGGACTTTCGTGGCCATCATTAGATAGTCCTATTGATGCAAATGAATTCCCCTCATCACCACAAAATGTCTGTTTTTCTTTTATGAAGTAAAGTTATTTTTGTCACATATTGAAAAACTTTGATATATATATTCATGATTACTGCATAATTGGTGGATGTGATGCATCACTGCACACTATTTTGTTGAAATAAGCCAACAAAAATTTCCGAATTGTCTCATCTTTTTTGAAAAATTTGTTAAAAAACTAATTTAAATTTTAACATTTCGAAAATCTTATTTTTACCTAGTATACAACACAAAATTTGTTCATTTCAAATTTTAATATCATTTAAGTTAAATGAACCGGATGACGCTTCAAGTCCACAAAATCTATTATTAAAACCTCATTCAAATGTGATTACATCAGTAGACTTTCCTGTATTACGTGAACAACCGTACAATATTTATACCGCTTTCGTCTGTAAGTTGAAAGAGATTTTTACACCATAAATTAAATTTTTATAAAAAAATCATAAATGAAAGCATATTTCTTATTATTACCAATTTCCTAATTTCTATATGTTTGTAGCACGTAGTTTACGACGTAAAGGTATGCGAAAGATATTGCAGCGCTTGGATAGCGTTTGCTTTACAACCATAAAAAAGACTATTGCAATGTTGGAGAAATCACCAATTACTTATGCAGAAGTAGTGGAAAGTGGGAACAGGCAGCGGTTGATGCATTATACTATGGTATACTATTTGCTTTATGTTTTGCATGATTTTATTTGTGAATAAAACTCTTTAATTTTGTAATTTTGCAGGTGTCAGTTCCTCAGTATTACGTCAATGATTGTTTAAAATTTGATGATGTATGTTTTTAGATTGCAATGATTAGGAAATGATGAATATTTAATAACAAATATTACTTAGACATATTTTCTTAAACCTTTAATTGTTTCAAGCATAGAAATTTTCCAGACTTCGTCTGTAATATCTCTGGAAAAGAATTCTTGCTCAATTTTAAAACATTGCTTTACCGTTAGATTGATATGTATTATGTTATCTTATGGCATGACTTTATTAGAGATCGAAGTGATTGTAGTGTGTGTAAATCTGTAGATCAAGATCTGGTATAATTTTTTTTTTTTCATTGATTCTTGATTCATTGATTGATTCTTTTTAGGTATCGCAGAAGCAGAAACGAGATTTACCACAGAGTTTGACAAGTCATCAAGAATTTTTAATGATGAAATTGCCATCATTCCAGGATCTGTTCTTGTTTTTAGTGCGAGTACCGCTTGATCTAGTTCACGAGTGGTTAAAAATGCGTAGATCTGCACAACTTCCATCTGACTTGTTAACTCTACAAACGGTACCATCAGTTAATATGCAACTAAAGTTGTTTTTACTGGAAGAATGGTATTTGGTCATCTATACAGCAGATCCAGATGCTTTGTGCTTATTTAAACCTTATATTTAACTTATTATAGACTTCATAGATGTTCTTTCCATGGATTAAATTAATAACAGTCCGGTTTCCCAATTTTTCAAGAAGACAATATATTAAAAAATATATTATTATTACTTATTACTGTTAATTATTACGGATATATCACTCATAGGGCGATCTCTTTTCCTGAATAGATCTTTACTGATAGCTACTACCTATCGTTTTGCAGTAGCACCTATTTAAGCTCGATATATACATAGTCTCTAGCAGTAGGATAGTTTCTAGGTAATGGAGGACTGCCACGATTGTATTGAGGCTGCAATTGCTGTGAAGCATCGATTTGTATCATTGGTACAGTTGGCTGGTGTTGATAACAAAGTGCTGTTTGGTTTCCTGGTACCGTTTGAGGATGAATTGGCCGAGGTTTTTAAGGTATGCTTTCAAATTTTTTAAAAAAATGGCAAAAATGTTTGAATTTATCAATTTGATGAATGAAATTTTAATATTTTTCAATCATTAGGTTTAATTTTTTTAGGTGTATATATTTTGTAGCATAATTTTTGTAGAGCTACCTTACATGCATTCGTGACTGGGTACATGGAGAAGTCACTACTGAGGGAATGAGCGTCGAATGGACTGAACGAGTTATTCAGAATCTGACGTCACAGTGGTCGGTGGCGAGACGTTTTGCTGTAAACGTAATTTCTGGTGAAAGTGAAACAGTGCATCGATTTTGGTTTGTAAATTCTTGTTCTTTCTTTTGTAAAAGATTTTGTTTTTATTGTGCTTTCTTTTTTAGCAATTCTAATGTAGGTTTTTGCTGTAGTTATTGGTTACATCGTCTAGATAGGCATAAATAAGCATTTTTCCTGATTTCATTTCTTTCAAAATATCGATGTTTGATTCACTATGTTGTCATGAATAATCAATCTTAAGCTGTAAGTTTATCAAGTTTTTCTGATGAATATTTACTACAGTTTTGCTTTTTCTTAAAAATTTCTCATGTTATCTTTATAGTATAATTGCGGGTGATTTAATGCGCAAAATGGTCAATGACTATTTGCCAGAAAAAGAAGATCTGATGGATGAATGCAGAAGTAATTTTGAGAATGCTTGTACTGATGGTTTGCAAGAATATGACGATTTGTCGCTGCGACGGTCAGAATTGTTGTTCTTAATCATTACTTTCGGTATTTTGTCCAAGCAGTTTTAAATAAATGAATACTTAAATGAATTGCATGTTTGAAAACATGTTGATTGATGAAAATCACCAGTGTAATGGTCGTGTTTTGTTAAGATATTATTCAGCTGGTGTTAGAATTATTGTAAAAAGGAATAATGTTACAAGAGATGATTTATATAAAAAGCGCGTTTAAGTAAATGAAAATACAGTGATTAGTCTTGAATGAAAACGCTTTTTCAGGAATGCATCACAAATATTCATTACGTGTAGGCATTTTAAATCACTGGTTTGTCAAATGAAGGATCGTTCCTTGCGGTCGCTTGCATTCACTGGGATGCTTCTGAGGGATATTGAAATATGTGCCCTCTATAACTTAAAGTCTGCTGACATGCATAGCTGCCTGTCTCAGTTACTTATTTCACATCATTCACAAGTCAGTTGCCTTCCATTCCTTATTTCTCTAAACAATCTACCACAGCTGCATTAATCGAAATGACTATATATATAATAATATAATATTGATGACTATATATATAATAATACGTTATTTATTTCTGCTTTTGAATTCCAGTATCGTGCGCATTTTTCCTTGACATATATTTTCAAGTATTGGATAATTGTTTGATATATTGCATAAAAAGCTAAAATTCTTCAGATCCTTTTTTAGTTGTTTTCTAATCTAGATATTTTGGTGCAATACTCTCCAGGTATTTGTTGTTGAATATTTTGATTCAGGTCGTTATTTCTAATGATTTAACAAATATAAACAGTAACTACGTGATGTTTTGTGATCAAAACGCATCAGAAAATATCGATTTCCTTCGGATATTGCTCAACATTACATGTTCTCGTCATCGTGCTGAATTACCAAAAGATGTTGTTGATTGGTAAGTCTACTTATTCATACTGCTTTTGAAATATACCAGAGATTTCAGGTTATTTTGAAGTCTGGATTTTTATTAGATCGCTCCTTTCAGCAGCGGTTACTTGTTGATTATTTCACTTCGAACATGTTTTGTTGATTTTTCTCAAGAAATGTGGAGTGGGACACGTTTGACGATCGATCTTGATGCGGATACTGAACTTTCCTTGCGCTATTTTCAGGTTACAATTAATTTTACAGACCTTTGCTATTAGTTTTACAAGGCTGAAGAATAAATTACTTCACTTAATGCAATAATTTACTTAGATTTTCGTGATCTCTTAAATTTCGATTTGCCTGCCAACTTCCGTTGAGTATTATATTTTTCCGATGGTGTTCCATAAACCTTGATGAGATGATTCACTATTACCAAGTGTGACTAATCCATAGATGAAGTTCGAGCAGTGCGACAGTCATGAATTTAAACATTTCGTTCTTTTTTCTTGCAGCTATTTATTCTAATTTAGAAAATTTTTTTTTTAATCACAAGACTCAGAAGAATTTTTCCAGTTATCGAACGATGCATGTCTGTTAGCAATCAGTGCTCCCTCATTACTAAAAATGAGAGAATTATTTATTCGAAATATGACAGCAGGAAATGGTTTCATGTTTGAAGTACTGGAAGAGCAAGCATCTTGTCATGATATCGTCATTGAGAGCACAAAACAACTCAGAGTTAGTTTGAATTTTAGTTCTGGAGCAGGAAATAAAATGATCCAGCCATTAATTAATTTTCTGATCATGCAATAATTTTATTTAAAATGTCTAGAATCTTCCAGGAACTTGCGTATCGAACATGCCAAATGTTATTTGACGAATTTGCTGGTAAAATGGTTAGAGATGTGTTAGATGGACAAGAATTAAGTTCTCTCGATATTAATGAATTAGAGTCCGTTCGAGCTACACTCATACAAGCGTATAATCTTGCTTTTGAGGTCAGAGTGTTTTTATTATTATCTCAAAGTTTATCTCTTTACTGTTGTCCTTTTTTCAGTACCATCGAGAATTCTATCGAATATTACCGAAACAGGATCGTCACTCTTTTGCCTGGCAAACGGTTTGCTGGGCAAAGGATTGGTTACATTTTGCATTAGAATTTGTTAATCCAGGTGATGGAACTGTTCCACTATGGGCGATACAGTCATTTCAATTTTTAATATTGGCAGCATGTCCTGAACTAACTGTAGCATTAACAGAAGAACAATTTCAGGTTAGGCTTGGTCATTAATAATAGTTTTTCTTCATTGATTTTTTTTTTTTCTTCAATTTATTTGAGCAATTATGTGCTGGATAATTCCGAGTGCACATCTTTTGTTAATTCGACTTTTGATGATTGTTAAAGATAAATATTTAGATTAATAATGTGGTAAATGAATTGTAAATATCCATGCCATTAACAAAAAATATAGATTGTGCATATTTCCTGCTAACTTTTTTTCAGACTTTGGTGAAAATTGTGGATGCATGCGTTGCGCATGTTGTGGGTAGCGGTATTCCAGGTATTGTCCTTACTTTTGCTTTGTAATCATGAAATGGTGAATTGGATCTTAGTTCTAATTTTTTTTTTTTGTTATAGTAATGAAATTTTCATTCTTGAAAGACAATTGAATCCGTCGTTTTCTAGATTCAGTCCTGGTGAATGGAACGTTCTTCGACTGTGAAGTGGACAATACAAGTTCCCGTGGTCGTACGGAATCTAAGCCGTATTCTGTGACAGATGCCACAGCTCGTTCTCAAAGAATTTCCAAGCTGTTGCGTAACATCGATGAAAAGCGTAATAGACATTTAGAGGTGTTCGTGTTATGATTTCTTCCATAAATTCCCTTGATTACTTATCAAAGAATTTTTATGGAAATCTGCTGATTTTTGAAGGCGGACAACAAGATTGGTCGAATAACAGAAGGTGGTCGAAGAGCGTTGACATTATCAACATATTTTAATCCGAAAAAGCGAGCACCATTTGAATGGCAACGACTAGAAAAAAAGATTGGTAGGAGGAATTTTATGAAATCTTGAATAGATTTTTTTTCCTTATCTGATTATATTTTAAAAATAATAATTTCACTATATATTTAACTTTGTGATTTGAACTAATCATTTGTGATATTTGTGGAGAAACAAACACTTGCTAAATTAATTGTTAGTAATCTTACCACATGTATTTCGTGTAGACTATGTTTCTTAGGATGTGGAAAGTTTGGTACAGTATATTTGGTGATGAATTTAACTGAAAACTGTTTGATGGCTATGAAACAAATCCGTATTGAACGAAATGATAAGGCATTGCTGGCTTTGGTTGATGAAGTGGAGAATTTGAGCTTATTGGATCATCCAAATTTGGTTAAATATTATGCAGTAGAAGTTCATCGGGTATATTTCAAATCACGGTGGTTTTTCTCTGATTTCTTGTTGAAGACAGTTTTCGGAAAACTTGCCAATGCTTGCAGGAAGAATTGCTTATTTTTATGGAATACTGTTCCGAAGGGACACTTGAAGAAGTATGTCGTGAGGGTTTACTGGATATGCGATGCGTTCGGCGATATACACATTTCTTGTTAAAAGGAGTGGAATATATACATATGAAAATGATGATTCATCGAGATATAAAGCGTAAAATATTTCTGTTAGGATTTGTTGTCTATTATGAGAAATATTCTCTTGAATTATAAGATGTATTGTTTAAAATCTAAGTTTTTTTTTTTTTTTTTTTTTTTTTTTTTTTTTTTTTAATTTTCTTCCAGCTGCAAATATATTCCTCGGAAAGAGGGACGTTTTGAAACTTGGCGATTTTGGAAGTTCAGTGAGATTGAAGGATGGTACAACAGCTTGTGGTGAAGTAGCTGAATGGGTTGGTACTCCGGCTTATATGGCACCAGAAGTACAGACGCTTGGTGGACGGACAGAAATGAACGGTAAAGAGGAACTTGTTGGATATGGCAGAGCAGCTGACATTTGGAGCGTTGGATGCGTAGTTCTACAAATGTGTACGGGCAAGGTCAATTCTGTTGTTAGAATTTATAATTTGATTGAAACCCCCGTACTAGTAAGGCTTGAATCTAACATGTTATTACCACTTTCAGTTCACTATGAAATATAGTCCTTTTCTAGAATACTCTAAAGTACATGTAAGCTTATTAAGCCCACTTTGACAATTATTCATGTCGCACGTTTTTACTTCATTTAAAATTAAAATAGAATATAAGAATATAACAAGCAGTACAAGATTTTCAATTCCAGCCTCCATGGCATGAATGTGAACAAGTACTGCAAGTTGTTTTTCGTGTTGGTAGTGGTATGAGACCAACAATACCGCAAAGCTTGCAAGCAGATTTGACATGTTATTCATTTTTGGACCTGTGTTTCCAGGTCGAGCCAAGTAAACGAGCTACGGCTGAGCAACTTCGCAAAGATCCATTTGCTGATATAAATGTCAATATAAATTTGTGTTTTTTTTTTTTTCTTAATTATTTCAAAAATTTTAAAAATTAAAACAACAAGACCTGGATATGTCCGCTTGCACAAAATTCATATGTCAATAGTTTTCGACATTGTATTGCATGGTCTTTTATATTATTTTTGATGTCCTTTCTTCCAATTTCATAATTTCATTTTTTTTTTTTTTTTTTTTTTCATTTGCGTTTTTCCAGGTTTGTGAAAGTTGTGATTCGCGAAGTTGATTGAGCTGGTCATACTATACAAAATGCTTATGCTGTGATTTTAAAAGAAATTTTTCGTTTTTATGCCTTGAATTGTAAAATACTTTGTATTATTTTAAAAACTAGTTTAGAGAAGAATTAATCTATGAATGACTTATAGAGTTGAATTCACGAGGGCTATTTGACCATACAGTACGGTACATTTCTCGATTATTGTACGATTACATATTACACTTTGTTGGATCTCGTAATCTTGGATGGATTAATATCCATTCTCTCTATATTAGATTTGGATATTATATTCTTGTATTCATTATATTTACATTTGTTATGATTAGATAGTGCTCACCATCGTCACTTCAATGAGGATCGGTAAATTCAATAAGTGGATTTTCGATAAAATATTGACGTTTGTGGTAACAAATATTACGAGTGGGTGATAATGTAGTTTCAAATGTAGTGCTTTTGAAGCCGTACCAAACTCTTTTTAACTGCTTAACTAGGATGAGCAAGATGTGTCCTTGAAATTTATAAGTTGCTTCACTTATTAGAGAACTGGGTTGGTTAACTGGAATAATTTAAAATTCAGGAAAATGGAAAGTTTTGAAAGCTAATTGGTGGGTAACACAGAACTGGTAACGTGGTAATAAAGTCCAAAAGGCCTTAAAATAGAGGTAATGTTTGTATAATCTAACAGAGTAGTCAGATTATGAATAAAGTGGGTGAGGTGAATGAAGGGATGAGTAACTGGTAAGTCGTGATAATGATCAATCTTTTACAGAGTGTGTGACTTAGTCGTGAAGTTGTTTTAGTGTCGTGTAGTATTTGTATTGTACTGCAGGGGCATTTGTGGGATTTTTAGGTGCTCCTGAAGCATTGCTTTTGAAGATGTATCGGACTGTTCCGCGATGTTCCACGTCAAGCACATTGATTTGTATGTTTCGAGTGTGTAACTTGAGGCGGTCTTATTCGCCATTATTTGTTGAAACGACGTCAACGGAAATATCGAAGCCGAAAGATGACAAATTGCAGAAAAGGAAAGACCCAACGATGCTTGAGGTCTTGGTTTGTTCACGCAAACACATAGTGCAATATGTCTTGATGAATTTAAATTTAAACTTAATTTGTGGTTATAACAAATTTTGGCGAAAGAAAGACATGAGTTAGGGTTCGTTTTAATTTCATAAAAGTCTAATAAGCTTTTTTTGTTTATTTTGTTACATAGAAGTGGTTGGATGCTGCTATTGCTATGCTGAAAGAAGACTTATTATAAATTAACAATACTATAAGGTTTTTTCTTCTATTTAACGATATTTTCCAGGAAATCGATGTCAAGAGTTTACCGAGAGCGGAGAGAAGACATGTGGAGGAATTTTTAAAGATGAGTGAAACAAGAGCAGATGCTATGAAAAGATTAAGTTATAAGGTAAGTAGTATAAAGCACATTTTCTTCTGATTGAAATTGAAGTGCTTCTGTAATTTTGATGAATTGTAGAACATTTGACTGCTTTTAAGTCGAATATGTTGCGAAATAGATTAGAAGTCTGTTTTTTATTAAAAGGCTGAGATTTGAGTCTTCTTTGATTTTAATTGATGGTACTCGAATGTCATTATAATTTACTGCTTACTAATGATTATCAGATGTCAGCTTTTTTCGTATCACATAGAAGCTTGTTGTTCATGTGGAAGGAAAGAAAGAATGAAACGCATTAAGGTAAAGATCAGGTAAATTCTGTAAGTTATTTCTAATTTTTTACATTTCTTGACTATGCTTTGCAGAATTTGGCTACATTTTTCGTACTGTTTGGTTTGGCAGTGGGTGTGTATGCATATACTTATACTGGACTTAAGCAAGAAACTTTCCTAGAAGAAATTGATGAAGAGTTAGCGATAGAATTGGCCGAAAAAACAAAAGAAGATTGAGCGTAAATGTGTGTCATATAGTACGCAAGAATTTATTCCTTTTTATATCATTTTTGATCATTAATTAGTTGTAGTAAATGGCTAATATTAAATTACTCAACACATAATGATATAGTTATTATATTTTAGGTGATCCAAATCCTTTAGACAGGAGAAAAGCTTCCTAGCAAATTCATCCACATATACATACCTTGAACATTTCTGTTCGAGGTATGTATAAGCGTATGTCAAAATATATGTTTTTTTGTGTTTTTTGAAAATATGTGAATGCAGTTGATTAGTCTAAAGTGTAAATCAATGCAAAATTAGGTTTCCGAATTTCACATGATATATATGACAGAAGTGACAAATTCAATAACATTATAGAAGCAATTCTGTGTTGTGCTTTTCTAGACACGATGGTGTTAGCAAAAGAGTCATTCAAACATTTCCAGATTTGTTGTAATCGAACTCTATGTTAACAAAGGACCGATGTTTGATAGGATTTGGACGATAATATGGTGATTTACACAGATGCAAATGTAGTAAATATAGTTTTTTCTGCAATTTTTGCGATCTCACACCCAAATTTGATTCGTTTCTCATTGCTAAAAATCAGTCGTGTTACTTCAAAATGAATACATAATGAATTCGTTAAATAACTGACTAATCTGTTTAAATGTCAAGTGATATTTCTCGTTAAATGGAAACTCCCAGACATGGCTACAATTCCAGTTATTCAACAAAAAGACCTTAATTTGTGCGATACTTCTTATCCTTTCTGGATCGTCTCTTGCATCTGCCATCAGTATCTTTGTCACCAGCTATAAACTTCCTCTTAGACTTATTCATTTACTGTAAAAATTTAGTTAAAAAAAGCTTCCATAGAATATGCAGTTAATGTTTGAGACTAGCAAAAAGATTTAGTGACCACATCTTAGACATCAGACTCAAATTTGAGTACTGAGCTCAAAGTACTCCATAGCCTTTGAATGCAGTACACTGGCAACCATTTTTGAATTGGTCATCACGCTTATACCTTTCTAATTTCATTTATTTTGTTTGAAATTTAATTGACTATTTATTTCTTCTATCATTAGAACGGTTTCTAAAAGACTTTTTGCTAATTCATTGACTTTAAAATCTAATTTACCGAAAGCTCAAAAATGATCATAACAGTCTAATTGGAGTATAATAAAGATTTCTGACTTATTCCCTGATTCTTTGTATCTGTGCTTTCCGAGTGACTGCTGCTTTCACAAGCCGTCAAAAGATCCTTTTCCAAATATTTTGAAGGCAACGAAAGTTTCTCATCTCTGAAAGCATTTCCTTTTAATTGCATTTCTCTGGATCAACTTTATGATTTTTTTCACTTGCATTTCTTTTTAGGTAGACAATATATCAACTTTATATAAATCAAACTGATTCCCTTAAATTTGTTTTTAAATATACTAATTTGCATAAGATAGCTAAAACATCAACTGGAAGTAATTAATCAGTATATGTAATTAATTCATGCAACTGTCCAAACTGTAGCTTGGACTTTAAGTATCATTTCAGCTCGTAGCTTATATTTTACTTCATGCAAACTGATACCTTTCGTTCTCCGGAAATGCCGATAATTTACAAATGTGACAGTAAGCAGACAGCCATCGGTTACAAATAATATAAGTAAATGAATAAATAAATTATTAAGTAAGCTTTTCAGAAATTACTTATTTGTTTTAGATAATTGTGAAGCTATTTACTACCTATTTTTATCCCTTATCGCTTTAGTTGTTAAATTGATGGCATTTACTTTAAAATAACTATTGCTGTCTGGAATTCCACAACGTGGATAGTGACGTTCAACATGTTCACGAATCACGCAACAACGGTGGTTACGCGATGAATTTAGTGTATTCTCAATCACATTTGTCATCTGAATTTCGACAGTTCATTATTTGAATCGAAAATGATTAAGTTTAAATAATCAGTTATGCTTGTACAGCAGCAATTCAATTACCAGTTTTTGATCTTAAAAATTGTTAGTGTAACTCGCTATTATTATATTAGACTTGAAAATGTTGTAAGCAATCAGTTGGAAATTATTTTCTGTGATTGTTTTTAGAAATTACTTACTTAAATTTCAAGCTAAAACTAATATTTATTTGCTCTCCAAGTTAATTGATAAAATATGATAATATCAAAGAGTACGAAACAGTATGCCCGGAAATTCCCATTAAATTGCTAATAAATCAACGAAATGGTTTTTATACTGTAAATAAATCGAAAGAAATAATTCCAAACTTGTCGTAGTGAGTGTCCAATTGTAAACAAGCTACCTGAATAATACCTGATCTACTGGTCTATCACATAGGGGTCATTAATCAAATAATAGTAATTTTGCCGTAATTGATGCTATCAATGTAGATACTGTGAAGAAAATTAATTGTTGTAAATAATAAACAAAGTAGTTATATAAACATTTGTCAAAAGAAATAAGTTATCTACACTTTTTGGTAATCCAATGCATTTTTCTCGAATGATTTCACGATCTTTTGGTGATAGGAACGGTGTCCGGATGCAAGAGAAGAGAATTTCGGCTTCACTATCTGTCCGGATCATTTTCTTGAGCCAGTGAATAAAACGCTGACTTAATTCCACTTCGGATGATATGTCTACGTCACATCTTCATCATGGAGACGATCAAAGATCACAAAAACAAAATTTAAAAAGTTTTTTAAACTTATAAGTTCTTGAGAGAAATGTTAAATATCAGTTTTCACTTTTTTTTTTTCATGTTTCCGTCGTGCAAAGTTCCCATCACTTTGAATTCGTGAATTGACTGGTCAAATTATTAAAATTGAGGAACTGTGTTATCAATTATTGATAAATCATTAAATGTAGTAAAATTGTGGGAGAGAGAGACAAGTGCAGAAAAGCATAAGAAGAGTAAAAAGTTGCTTTCCTTATATTTTCGTTGATAAGATAAATAATCTTGTATAATCAAAGAACTACCTGCTATAAAGCATAACCAGAACTGCTGCTGGTAGAATGTAGAAAAAAGTCGACATGGCAACTTCGCTGATATTTTCTGCAGCAGATTCCACAAGCGCGGATGTTTCATTAATGCGCAAAAACATGCTCCAATCAGAAGATACCAAATTTAAGGCTAATAAAAGATTTGAACGTGGTCCTTTCTCCACTTTTTCGATTACATGCTGAACATTCAGATTGATCTCTTGGCCTTTTGTCTTATGAAATGCTGGCAAACATTGCAGTGAAATCATGGATTCACTAATCATTCGTATGTATAAATTGATCTTTTTTCTCTATTACTTTGCTACGAACTTCAGAAATTCCAACAAACCTCTACGATTAAAGAGGTAAATTGATTCATACGAAAAATGCGTGCTAATTGAAGCAAATCAGTGAGAATATTATCACCCAAGCGTAAATTACGTTTATCTATTCCAGCAATAAAATCTGTCAGCGTACGTACAGCGCCGACATCATAGCATGATAGATCAATTGCTGGTGGTACCTTTCCGCATTTCATCAACTGAAATATCAGTTTGATTGAGCGGGTGATAATAATTATTGTTTCAAATATTGTTCCTCTTACTTTCCGATAAAGAATTACCAGGGCGATTTTTTCGGAGCATTTCGCGAAGTTCTCTACTTTAATTAAGTAATTACGGCGTCTTGTGCGTAAGATGATGTTATCCGATGATTTCCTCAAACAAGTTGCCACGTGCTCCGTCATATCACTATAACTATGTTCAGTGATAACAGCGAGTAATAAGTTTGAAAAGAATGGAATAAAATTTCGCAACAAACAGATGATAAAACAATCAATTATAGAAATAATGTGTTATGAAGAGATTGTGAGAACCCACCTTATTGATGACATACAGTAGCTGTGGACTCATTTTTAAATCTTAATCTGAATTAGCTGCTTTCTGCTTGCACAAAAGTTGCTATTTTTATTTTTAAGCTTCAAATTTCGTGCACTAGTTTATGACTTGTGCAGCACTTCACGTGATAATCAATAATAAATTAATAAAAGCTGGTAATTTAAATCGAGAACATCGGATTAACTAATGCTTCCAAAATTGTTGGAACTCTAAAGTAGACAAATCGGACAATACTATTGTCATTTAATTTGTCCCGATATTTTCCATTTAATAAATAAAATTATTTGATGGAAATAGATTTTGTGTAGTAACAAAATACAAACATTTCTAATAATAAAAAAATATAAGACGCACTCAGTAAGCGCTATTTGCGTTTCTGAACGGATATCAGCTTCATCCATTTGCATGTCACCAATTACTTCTGTTCTTCAAAATACGAATAATTCATTCTAAAAAAATGCGCATTACCTAACGATTCTGAATTATGCAAATTAAATTTAAGTACCTTAAATATAATTCAAGCGATTGGAATTAGCAAATCTGTACATTTGCATCTTTTGCATCAATAATTATCAATGAGATTTTCTATCATCGGTTGCTATGTGATCTATATAACATTGTATTACAACTGGAACGTAATGAAATATTAGATAGAACTATTTAAATCTTTTATTACATGACAAAGTATTGTTCATCAATAGATGTAAACTCTGTGAGGTTGGTGATTGTTTTCGCCTTCAGCGAGTAATACTTTGGAAAGTTGAGCTTCTCTATAAATTAAGAAATAATTTTTTCAGTCTTTGGAATATACGTACGATAAATACGATAATATGGGTTTATTTGAAAGTAAATCAACTTCAGCAAGGAATCATATAGGAGTGAAAGGTACAGAAAATCAATGACTGAGATTGGTTACATCTGACTAAAAGTTTGAGAAGAACTCTAGCTATCAAAATCCATAAATATATTTAATGTTTTTGGTGATAGGAAAGAAAAGCCAACAAAAAGAAGTAAAACCATTGAATGTCAAGCAATCGATCAATGAGACTGGATCATATTCAAAGAAGGATCCAGTAACTGATATGAAAATGAAGCAGATTGCCTTCTGGATCAGTAATCAGGAATCCAAACAAAACAGAGATTTTATGAAAATTTCAAAATCAAAATTAGAGAAGAAAAAGGACGAGTCGCCAGCACATGGAAAACAAACAAGTATTGAAGCTTTCAGAAATAGTTTAGAAAAAAGAAAACAAAAACAGACAAGAAATACGTCAAATGTTTCGAAAAAATTGTTCTCACTTCGTAATTAAGAGTAGAATTTTCGATAAACAATGCCTAAGTTAATAAATGAACAAAGAAGAACTCATAAACTCTTTTTCTGCAGTAAATCGCTGATATTAATTTGTTTAAAGATAAATGTGATCTTGAATGACTGTTCATAAAAGCGAAACACATTAAGCACTAGCACACACTAGAGAAGCACTAAAATAGATCGGATCCATCCATTTTTAATGTTTATGCAATGCAATGTTTTAATCTGAGTTGATTTGAAATTACTGATATGATAGAAGATTATGATTATCACTCATTAGATTTACAGGATCAACAATTATGAGGCGTCAACGGGACAAATCACTGAAGGAAGAACTTTCACGAAGGTTTCCTTTTATCAAATTATCAGCATTGTCATAGACATAATTATTGACAATGATGATGATCATTACTCGATGCTCATTTTACATGTTTAATGACATGACTTTTCGTTCATAAAGTATTCTTTTTATAGAATCGAAATCATTAATCCAACTGAAATGAAGGCTGAATTGAAGAAGCACAGCCTGAGAGATAAGGTAGGAACAATAAAACCAAAAGAACGAATAACTCAGAATCGTAATATGGACAAAAATAATGATGATAACTTAGAGAGAACACAAGAACAGTGTCCGGAGATATAGGAAATTAATTAGTATATGCAATGATTATTAATTCATTTTTATATTTGCAAAGGAATTAAAGTTGGCAGAATTTTTAAATCATTAAATTAGTGCGCTTCTCAATGAAGTATGTATAGTTACAAAACAAATAAATGCATTTCTTTTCTGCCATAATTATTTGTTCTCGTAGTGCACATCGAACGTCTTTGCAACTTAGAAAAACATTTATTTGCAAAATATTAACAACAAGAAATAACTTTTGAGATTTGAGATAAATGTTAAATTTAGTAGATGTATGGAGGTGAAATAATTGAATTTTCCAAATTAGCTTCGATATCTGTTGAAAATTTTCCTCTAAGATTTTGTAAAAATTTCGATCGCTGACAAAGAAATATTTTCCTGCTAATGCAATGGGAATTTACTTATCTATTACTTAAGGTTTTTATTCCGCTTCCTAACTTCTTCCTGAACTAAGATCATTCCTTTTCAATAAGATTTGCAATCTCTGCTGTGCTAGTTATGAATGAGTGAATTTCCTGAAAATAGCAACAAATGAGGAAAAAATAAAGGTAATGATCAGGAATGCATAAATAAGTAAGTAAATGGAATAGTAAATAGAATGGTTTTTCATAGTTAAATAAAATTTTTCTTCCTAAACAAAGTTGGAAAAGTTTTGACAGGTAGGTGTAAAAAAAAATATTCGGCAAGTGATGATAAGAGCTTAAAAAATATTAATTTTGTAAGTCCAATTATATGATCTCTATTTCTTTGTTGATCAGTTATGACATTTATAGATGTCTGAACCCAAAGCCCCACATAAGTTTGTTTAACAAAACATTTCAATTAAAATATTAGAATTTATGTAAATTTATGCAAAATTCATGAAAGTATAGGTATACAAAGTTTTTCATTTTGATTTTATTTCGTTCATTCTTAAGCCTTTTTATGGTCAGTTAACTATGCTTTTCCTCATCGGCATAAGACTTTTTCTAAAATGAACTGAAAAATACAAATGGATTTAATTTATTGAGTATTATTATTGCAGTAGTATGGGACCAATTGGAAGTAAACATACTAAGCAAAAAAAACATTCTGACGGAACTTCAGGTACTTTAGGAAATTTTTGTCATTAAAACACTATGAAATTTTTTGACGTCGTACTTCGCACAGGTTTTAGGACCTATTTTGTTTTTTTAGCAAAAAATTTTCATGCGTTTTCAAGGCTTTGATGTATGAAAAATTGTTCAGCGACCAATTTTAAATAAAAACCTTTTTAAATAAAGTGATGATTTTCAATAAATTTTAAGATAACAATTAGCTGATTTTCAGAGCAACAGAAAAAATCACTCTTATCAAGATTACGAAAACGTATCTTTCAAAGACCTATTAGTTCGTGGAAGCATAACAGAAACCAACCATCAACAAGTAAGCATAAAAATCGAAAGTTTTTATTGATTATGTTTATGTACGAAACGTGAAGTGGAAAAAAACAAAAAATATTCGGCAAAAAAAGCAAAAAACAGTAATTAAAAAAAGTGTGATAATATGATAATACTTCATAACATGTGAATTAGTGTGAAAAATATTTTAGCACTTTTCTATAACTTGTTTTAGCATTCCATTGTTCCTTTATCATTTTAATTGTACAAGTCAAATTTTTACTTTTTCTAGAAAGAATCAAGCGACAGTCAAACAAAATTTCAAGGACAATCTCAAAATCATCAGAGCAGCCAAGGTTCTATAATTTTTCAATATTTTTTCTTTACTTACTTATACGGCAATCAAGCCATGATTATAGACCAAGTATTGATGAAAATGTAGTAAACATTATATAATTAATATTCCCAAGAAATGAAAAAATAGTCTATTATTCATGAAATAGTTAATTACTTATTTAATAAAGAAGAAAGGTAATAAGGTATACTTGCAATATAGTAAATTTACATTGATTATAAATAAAATATGGTGCTAAATGTGAGATGTATTGATTTTTTTGTTCAGATCATTTTTACAATATTTTCTAATACTTTTAGAGAAACTGTTTAGCATCACATATATTTTTCAAAATAAGTAAGAAGAGTGTAAATCGAATAAAAAAGGTATTGTAAGAAAAGGTAGGGATGTTGGAGTGCGAAAGAATCATAAGGAGACTGAATCATACAAATCAACAAGAGCGCCATCAGAATCTCTTTCTTCTCTCAGCAACTCAGTGATTCATAAGATGCCAGATGCTGCGCGGCAAAAATATCGAAAGAAGCAGAAAGAAAGTGCAGCCCGGTAGATTAATTTAATTTATTCTTTGTATTTCATGTTACTTCAGAATCAAAATTTCAGTGGTACAGCATATTCTGCTTTTTCTTATTAGGAATGATAATAAAACTTTACTGACCCCGTAGTATTTCATATTTCCATATCTTATATGAAGTAATTGATTTATGATTATCGAAAAGCACTTGACTTCATTTCAAACAACAAAAATTTGGTGATTTCATTTATCCTACAACAATTAGAAAAGATTAGGTTAAAGTTATCTTTTTATCTTTTCCACTTGTATTACCATTTACCTAATAATGCAAGTATCATTATCATTTCCAGAAGTACCAGTAAAACATTACAAAGATGGGCTAAATTTCCCGGATCGTCACCTTCTTCATCAAGTCGACAAAGCATTAGAAGTATTGTACTCTTATGTATTGCACTCTTATTTTGAAGCTTTATTCCGGTAAAAGTTAAGTTGGTTATGCAGTTAGGAACACGAAATTTACCTTTAAATCTTGATCTCTGTTTTAGCATTTTAAATACTTCGTTCCTAAAATATTACCTTGAGGTGTTCGAAAAAGGATCAAAGCATTCTTTAGCCGTCCTATGAGTGATGTCTCAATACAAAAATTTGTTGAAAAAATTAAAAAAAGAAATGAACTGCGGAAAGAAAGTACTTTCAAAAAGGTATTTAAATTCTATCATTAAAATATAAATTATCAACATTAATATCACCTAAGGAAGAAATCTAAACCATGATTATGTAATCCGAAACATCAAAATAGACGGGACATCAGACGAGGTTAATTAAAAATGTTTTTGACTAGTACATTTAAAAAGATAATCAGAAAGGATAAACTTGCTTCGTTTTTTACATTTTTCAGGAACTACCAGAAATACCTTTGCGGAGTGCAGATGAAAAATTCCCATTCAGACATCGAGTTGAAAGGTATTTTTAAACGGCCAATATGTGATAATTGTTATTTGCAGCTAACGTTAAAAAAATACGTAAAATTTAATTATAATTTATTTAAATATCAAAAGTTGCTAATGAAAGCCGTTGACCAATGGCAAAACTTGTCCTGCAATACATTTGTCTTAAATTTTTTGTTCATCGAACAAAAAGATTGCATTTATTGTAAAAGTTTTTAATTAGAACAAGGATTTTTTTGTTTTGAAATCACATATTGAAAAACAAATTTTTAGGTACGAGACAGAAATGAAGGAGGAAGGTGTTAAAATTAATTCACTCAAGGTTCAGTTATAATACCACCAAAATATTTTAGAGATGAAATGTAAATAGGAAACGAGGTTGTATAAACAAAAAAAAATCAAAATGCATCAAACGTTGAATCAAACGTATCAAGAATCTAAGTAATCATGAGTCTAAATTTAGCTCAAAGCTAAAATCATATCATTTTATTCTGACTGCTCCAAAAAAACCTCTCGACTAGTCTTGGTGATCAAATATAAAATCTAAGTTCTCGAATTTAGAAACCAGTTTCAAGAGTGATTAATAAAGACAATGAAGGAAAGCTGTTCGACGAGGATGGTCTACCATTTTGGAGTAAATTTAGTAAAGTACAAAAGGTTTGTTATAAATTGAATTTTTGATTATGAAATATTATGATATGATACATCTACTTTTCAGGATAGTGAGCATAGTGGAGAAGTAACGGATGATGAACTACCCATGGATTCGGAAGTATTACTTGAAGTTCAAGCAGGGTTGCGTAAACTTGTTAAGATGCCTAAAATTAGGTCAACTATTACATAAAATGAAGATTACTGCAGTAAACAAAAAGTTTTTTTATCTATTTCTTATTTGCTTTCCTTTTAATTAAAACGTCTTGAAATTTAGAATTGTAATGGATCCTTACGCACCTTTGGATTATTTAAAATCGCGCGATAAAATTTTTTTTACTGCTGAGGTAATCTTCAGCAATACAGTTAGATCAATGGTTAATTTAAACGACGAAATAAGCAACGAAGAGATAATCTCTAAAAGAAGTCGGAAATTAGGTCAGGTAGGATTCTAAAAGTGCTTTTATCATTGTTGAGAACTGTATTTTCAAGAAGCTCGAAAGAGAAAAAATAAAGGATGGAATAAAAATTCCAGACTTCCGGTTAATTTGCTAAAACAGTGATGTTACATTCTTAAATTTTCAACCTTAAATTTCAGTTTTTCTTGAAGTTATGCTTGAAATTTCAATCAATGAACTGTTCATGAAAATGTTGAGAAACATGGAATTATCTTTTCTCTTTTCAGATATCTATAGAAGAACCAATTAAAATAACGCGATATGATGAAAATAACCCTTTGATATATGAACAAGTACCAATATAGGAAGGAGTCATTTGTTTACCATTTTTTAAAATCACTTTTAATTTAAAATTAATGATTAAAGACTTGCCAAAAACTCACCATGTTGAATTTATTTTATCTCTCGTTAACATTTTGAATTGGGATTTATTTCTTTCGTTTAATATTTGTAATTTTTCCAATAAATACTTATTCATTCACAAAACCATTCAATCATACATTTTTCATACATTTTTTATCCAACAACAATCGTGGCACTACTTATCAGTGTTAGTTATTCTGTCACATTGCTTCTGAAATATCGAAAAGGAAAAAGTAAAGTGTTGTGTTGGGCCAAAAATCTCTCGAAATTTTGAATATTCATTACCAAGTTTACTAAATGAGATCAACATTCGTCTACATAACTTCACTTTTAAGTGATCTTACCGCTGAGTACGATATGTCTCCATATATACATACAAACAAATAAATTCAAATGCCAACTATTGAGAACATCCTATGTTGGAAATGGTGCATGCTGTCAGTAGTATGCCAGTTACACTTCAACTGAAAGGTCAGACAACATTTGTCCATGATCAGGATGATCTCAATAGCCTCTGGAAAGCTACCTTAAAGATAAGGGAAACTCTAACTTCAAACAAGCATATATAGTACTGGCTTGCAAAGCCATTCATCTAAGAGATGGAAATCCCAAACAAGCTCATAACCTCAGAGTTCCATATCACCCGTTATCGCCTATTTTTGTGCTTGAGTTAACAAAATATTTTTCATTTAATCACGACGAAAATTCAAAATAACCAGGTAATAGAAAGCTAGAGTTATAATTATTGAGATATTTTCAATTTTTTTAATAAAAAAATGAATTAAATCATTGCTGTTGTAAAGGATAGTATTTTCATTTTATTATTGTCCGATGTAAATTTTAGCTAATTTCATTTTTATCAAAAAGTCTTTTATTATTAATTTGTACATCAAAAATGATTGCTGCCCTTTGCTGACGTCCTCTGTATTTGCAAAGGATATCTTCTATATCAACATCTCGTATTGTCCAAAGGAAAAAAAAAAATGCAAACCAATTGTGATAAAATTAGTTTCCAAAAGAGTGATTAAAATAATAGCAGCACTGACAATAGCACTGTTAGTAGATAAGATTAGTCCAGTGCAAGTTACACCTCCTCTTAAAAAGCCACCGCGCTTGATAAGTCTCGAGAGTTATTCTCCTATTCTTACTGTTCCTGAAATGCCATTACCGCCCCTCGTGTACATGAGAAGACACTCAAAAGAATACAATGCCTGCTGAAAAATTTCTTTTGCTTTGACCAAATAAACGAATAAATGGTGAAAATATCCCACTCCATTTACTTCCAAGTGCACTGCAGTTTATTTAGTTTATTTCTAATTAATTATTATTATAATAATTTGCTGTTGTCAATGTGAGGGAATTTGGTTTTTCTCATTGCTCGATAAAGTGTTACTGTACCACAGATTGAATTTGATATTCTGTCATGCCCAGAAAGTGGGTACAGATGGACAATGTCGAAAAAGATTATAAATCCAAACAACGGATTGTCCCCAAACATCAACATTCACCTGAATGCGAAATACTTCAAAAGAATCCACTAGTTCACAAGCTCCCGGTTGTTCCACCTGATTAATTCGCATATCAACCATTGGCGGGATGCTAAGTTGCGCAGTGACTGAAATGTAATTTAGGTAGCGATGTGCAAATATGTTGTAGCAAACCATTTCCAGACCAACGGTTTACGGGTGGATTGCTAAAATGCATTGTGTCTCGTTGGATGACAATGATAGGATTTGCATCTTCACATATGAGAAATAATTCTATTTTCATATACGAGGAAATGTGTTAAATCCAGGACTGAGGAGCACAAAAGTATGTTTTAAATTTCTTCTAACAAATTCATTTGTAAAAGAAAACAAGCAACTGCTACGAAATGTTTATAAACAGTCATTATGCTTATACTAATGATTGTTCATTTTGAATAAGGCAAAATTACTTTAACTGAAATATATAGTAGTAATTTTAAGGTTCAATTTCATTTCCCTGTGGATTCCCTTGTGGCTGAGTGCTTTTGTAATATTGTAGCTGGCGATGGCATATGTGGTAGAATCTCCCAAGTCGTACAGGTCTCAATTGAAGGGTCAAACAAAGTGTGTTCACGACCAGTGGGTCATTAGCTTTAAAGCAACCATCTTAGGAGAGGGATGATTTAACTCGGTTTAAAGCCAGATAGGTGAAGCTCGTTCGCCTTGCAAAGCTGTCCGTCTAAGAGAAGGATACTCCAAACAAAATTGTGACATTAGGATTTTGCTGCCATCATCCAACTATCTGGCTTTAAATCTGTTAGATTTATCAGACCTGATAAAAAAGTTTGTTAGACCAGTTCTGTGCACGCTGCGATTCACTAAAAAAGAGATTGGCATTAGAGATGACATTCTCGTTCGATACTGCTGTCATAAAATAGGGTCTGGTTCGAGTAAATTGTAGAACTGAATAGTTAATGCTTTGCAAAGAAAACATTTGATAAATCTTTATTTTATTGAGATAAAGATTACTGTTGGTCGTAGTTATTAAATAATATTAGAAAGCTTATGGAAGTAGATGTAAGAGAGCAATGAATGTCACTATTCAAAAAACTTGACCTTGACAACAGGTATAATTGCTTATATAGTAATCGTTTAACTCATAGCAGCACTCATGATTTACAATACAGGAGGTCAGCTGAAAAATGCTGTTAAGTCATCAACAATCAGATCCAGTGAGCTGATAACCTTATCAAATTCGAATATAATTTATAGTTAGTAAGATAAATAACAAAAGAAGTGAATATAAACAATCTAATTGGAGACAAAATCGAACCATATTTTTGTTAAGAAATAATTGAAATAAGCTCAGCTATATGGAAGATGAATATTAGAGAAACAAGATGAACTTAAGTTACATTGGAACATTTGTCCAAGGAATGTTCTAGCAATGCAGCTTTCATTTCTATGGATTTAATACAATTTTATTTCTGCATATTATAATTGGGATTTTCCAATATAATTGGGACAATTGTTGCTCTATATGAAAAGCCTGTCTTCGAAAGAATTTGTTTTCCTCTCAAAGAATATGGTACCGGCTACCCGGTTCTTTAGTCACGTAAACCCAAAGCCGAATGTTTCCACTCAGACGTTGACTTCACGGTCAAAAAATCACCTCTAAGTGTTAAATTTGACAACAAGTCATTTCGATTGAATGATCTTATTTGGAAACGTCTTTAGTATTGTGTACTCTTATTATTGTTGTAATTCCACAATATCGACAATAGCTTTATTGGTTTTCTGCAATTTCGTAGCATATCGCCAAGTTGTCTTTATTTTCTCCATCAACGCTTGTTGAAAATGAACTGAGTGAGTGTTAAGACCAACCGAATCAAAGCTTGTAGTACCCAAAAACTGAGCTTAGACAAAGGTTTCAACTCCTTACGTAGCGCACAATGGCTTTTAACAAAGCGCATCATTACCGTGAGCAAATAACTCTCACTGTCACATGTTGTTAACCCTTCATATAGTGCTGGTTGATTTACAACATCACGTCATTTGCTTAAATGGGTGGTGAATATGAAAACTTCTATGATATCTTGCAAGCAATGCAAATTTTATATTTATTTACGGAATATTCAATTTTTAATTTGTAAATTTCTATCTTATGAATTTAATACAAAATTATTTCAACATATTATAAATTTATCTCGAATTTTTTGACACTCCTTATATCTTCCATTACAGAACAACAACATATTGTTCTTTTTAAACCATATATTCGAACTTTACAAGCTGATCCTGTAAAAAATGGCAAATTTCATATCGATGTTCGCCCTACCAACAAATTCCTGTGCATGATAAAATCATAGTTCTAAATAACTTCAACGTCAAAATAGGCAAGAATTTTGAAATCTGAAAAGAAAATCAGAGCATTGTGCATCACAAACAGCGTTTTCTAGTCGGGAGCCTAAAGACAACTTAGATGCATTCTCGATCCAAGCATTAGCATATCTCATCCACTACATTTTAATGCGTTAGAGAAATTTCCACATTGTTTATCATATCCGAGTTATGCTTAATCATATTATTACACGTTATGCTTAATTATGCTTAGTCATATCCGAATTATATCAGATTATTAAATAGACCACTGCCTGACTGTAGCTTCAAAAATAGCAAGAAACAGTTTTAGGTGAATTACAACTTCCAAATAAATCTTGAAACTAAACTGATAGATAATTTGGCAACATATTAAAGATAGTATTTGTCGAAAATTGAAAGACTTTATTGGAAAACTGTCTTAGTTGTGTTGGAATTGATATAGATGAATGTGTTGGGCAACCGAACCATAACTTATTGGTATAAAAGGGTTTAAATCTTCATATAGTGGGCATTGACTTGCAACAAGCGCATGATTACATTGAGTAAAGGAGATATCAGATGATCTTCATTCTTTATACAGTAAGAAATGGATTTTAATACTGTCATTTTCTCATACCATAAGAATGACTATTAGATTAGAAAACCTTTGCAATATTTGGACACTGTAAACAAATTTGGTTTGCAACAAAGGAGTAAATTTTAAGATATTAAAGAATGCACATGCGTGCCCTTTGTTAATAGTAAAAAATTTCTAGATAAGCAGTAGATAAACTCAACTACGGTGGAAGATGAGTGTTGGGATAATGATTGCTTACGTGAGATGCAATTTGAAACAGTTTTATATTTCTTTAGAAAAAGTTCAATTAAGATAAATTTTAGTATTATGGGTTAATATAGTTTTATTTCGACATATTATTGTAATTTGGTTTTTTCCGACAAGTTTTTTTCCCTGCAGATCTCCACAGATTGCCTAGGTTTCTTCCCAAAGAAAAACAAAGGTTACTTGGATGGAAACACCAAGAAATCAGGGAATGTTGTCAAAGAAGTGAATTACCCACCAAGCACATCTCTCTCAGTCATCTACCATAAGAATAAGAAAAATAGCCTTTCAAGATGAAAGAATACATTAAGTTCTGACAAAAATTTTGAAACAACCAGAACAAGTGGCGGATCAATTTGGCAGAAAAAATTTAATTGTGTGACCGCGGTGGATTCTATGCTGATGTGAACGCAGCATATAGATAAACGGATTTTTTTCTTTCCTTTTTTTGTTTTTTGTAGTGTGTTCTTGTTTATGTCGTAGGTACACAAATGTTGGCTAATTACTTCCTTAAAACTATTCAATTTGACATCCTATTTACAACTAACTGCACTTTTTTAGGTTTTTTGTCCGCATTCCCGATTGAAAAAGAGAAAACAATCAGAGGGGGAATTGGATGCCTTTGTTTGAATACTCGTTTTGTAACACTTTTAGTTCCTTCTTGTTCATCTACTTCCTGAACTGATTTCTCAAAAGTTGTTGATTGAATTGATTTTTTTGTTTAAATGGATGTACTCTATTACATCCATCTAAAAGTCAGTGTGGTTTCAGAGCTAATAGAAGTATCACAGATATGATATTTGTCCTCAGAAAACTGCAAGAAAATTGTAGAAAACAGAATGAAGGACTTTACGTGACATTTATCGATTTCATTAAAACATTTGACCCTACCAACAGGAAAGACATGGCAGGTCATTCAACGATTAAGATGTTCCCTTCATCTTTAAGTCCCTTAAAATGATCACCTGTGAATCAGTCAGTACAGAAATATACTCTCTGAATCCTTCCTAACCTTCATTCGTCTTTGAAGCATTCTGATTTATAGAAGCTTTAGAACTTTTTGGTCTGAAAGATTGCGTTCTCGTAACAATCCTATTTACTCTCTTTCAACATGGTGTTTCAGGGTCACGGAAGATCTTATTGAAGAAAACGATATTTACATCCGACATTCAAAATCCCGAATCACCTTATCCGATATTTGTTTTTTGCAGACAACACGCCTTCTTTCGTCTTTGAAGCATTCTGATTTACAGAAGCCTTAGAACTTTTTGAACTGAAAGTCAGTTTGAGGAAAATAGAAATTCTATATTACCCCGCACCACAAGTAGACATCATTATCTCCACATCACTATCATGTTTGAGAAGCACTATATCCTTGACGAAAAGATCGATAAAAAGATCAACAAGTGAAACAAAGTATTAAGATTAATGTCTATAAAGCGATTATATCACTTACTCTTTTATATGGGTTTTAACCCACATAGAAGGGATCAAGGTTTTTTTTAAGATAATAATTCTAACATCATTATCAGCGATTTCTCGAACGCTTACATCAGCCACCAAACATTCCTAAACATCTATTGGAACGACTCCGTGATCAGTGTTACCATTTTCGAGCAAGTTAGATCCCCAATATTGAGGACACGGTTGTGCTGGATAGGAAACATCATATATACATCCCTTTCTCCTTGATAGTTGTGAGATCCTAAAAATTGCAAAAGCATTCTAAGGTTTCATAATTAAAGTTTAATCATTTAAAATATTTCGTATCACTGTTACCAAGGATTGGTCTCGATAAAAAAATAATATGCTAGTAGGAAGAAGGGACCTTGCAGCTGGCACCATCTAAGGAAGTTTCTCAATGTTTCGGTGTAGAATGTATTTCACATTCCAGATGTCACAATACTGTTGACCGAATAATTCATTTAAAAAAAAAATTATTAATGAGACTTGATAAGTCTTGGTCAGCTTGAAATCATGTGATAATTATTATGAACAGTAGATATCAAGCTTCATACAATTCTCTTAATTTAAATTTTAGATTTATTATTACACAAAAGGTTCCGCTTTTAAAACTTTTCTTATTTATATTTCAGCAAAGACAATGGCGCAAAATATCAGCGGCTTTAGTGGTAATTGATATGCATAATAACAGATTAAAAATTGCGCCAAAAGTAAAAGGATATAATGGATCCAAGGAAAATTTGTTTACTTAATGATAAAAAGACTGTTTGAAAGCATGTTTAGAAGAGTCAATAACCTGTTTGTGAAAATTCAAGATTACCAGTATTTTTATGTTAATGATTGCAGTGCATGAAATAAACAGATTAACACAGACGGTGGATAAGCTCTAAAAAAGCAAAGGATCGATTAAAATAATACATCATATACTTGTACAGTCAAAATGAGGTGTATTTTAAACAATAATATCGGACAATATGATGAAAAAATATCTGATCTGACTATCAAATCAAATAGATTTTCGCTCTTAACAGTTGGTAAACTGATATATTTCTATTATTTAAATAATTGCTCAAGAATTTCCAAATTATTCGAGAAAATTTTTAAATCCCAAAAAAATCAGATTGTAAAACTTATTGCCAGACCAGATTTTTTAAGGAAATAAAGAAAAAATGTAATTTTTTAAAGAAAAACCAAAACCCAATAATTATTTTTCAAACAAGAAAAGAACTAATTCAGAATTACACAACGTAAATTAGGCCACATGGCAAGAAATAAAGATGCAAAACAGTGCGTATGCATACAGCAACTGGTTAATTTGTTGTTTCGAAAAAAAAAACCGGGAAAGAAATTACGTGGTTCATAAAAAAATAAGTATTCAATCAATTACTTATGAAAATAAAAACACATATGACATTGAGATACTAAAATCAAAAAATTTAAATGAGATCACTTGGTAAGTGGAATGCTTCATAGAGATAGAAATAATGTTAAAGAAAAATCTAAACAGCAGAACCTGAACGTAAATTGCTAGACTTAATTATTAAGTACTAAAATGGTCGCTGAAGCTTTGAACCAAAGAAACCTGAATTAGGAATTGAAGGATGAATCCAGATTTAAATCTGAACCCAGTTTTATCTAAATAAGAACTTCCTATTTCAAATAATCCACAACCAACTCTTCAGCACATTGATACTGTCTTGGTTCCAAAAGATGTAAGTATTAAAGAATTTCTGATTTTTTATAAAATCTTTATGCAATCATACTGATTAAGTCTATACCATTAAGCCCATACAAATACAAAAATTTTTGTGAGAATGACATTATTTCCTGATGGAAACAAATTTTCTGACTTTTTTCTGAGACACACTAAATTTACAAGAAAAAGGTTGCCCAAATCTTTTAAAATCAAAGAAAGCATTTCTACACTCTGAGAAGAATATTACTAGATCATGAGATTTAAAATAAAAAAAAGATAGAGAGATGAAATGTCAATAGTTAAGTGTGAAATCAGGATTTACAAATGAAAAGTTATGGAATTCCTCTTGATTTATTGTCCTGAAAACGGCCGGTTCGGTTGGTGTAAGTATTGGCTCTTCCTTCGTAAAATCAGTATCGAAATTACTTGTATCACGTTTTGATTTCTAAAATTAAATCAAGTGAAAATACAGACAAAAGTTTTTGGTGTTTAAATGAGATAAAAATGTGATTATCGCATAGAAAAAGCAAGTTGCAAGCGTCATTAACTCCCATAAATGGCGTTGTTTTCAGCACGCATTTGTCTTCGGGACTCATTCCTCTTTATCGCTTCAATATAAAAAAGTTTATTTACAATTTTAGGCTTGAAAGGTGGTTTGACTCGTCGTGTCTCAAGTGCTTCCCAATCAATATCCCAAAAAAAAGGGTGCGAACGAATTGCATCTTCACCGCCTTGTGATTGCATACAACCCAATCGTTTCAAAGGATTTTTCGTCATTAACTGAAATCAACTAAAGAATTAGTTTAGTTCTTTGCATATTTCTGGACATATGTTTTAGTATTTACATTTTCTTTATTGTTAAATCTAAGAAGTAAGAACCCATGCTTTTTAAATCATTCAGAAAGTGAGCTGGAAGCAATTACTTAAAGTTTACCAATAATTTACCAGAAGAAATCAAGACTAAACAATTTGAATATTGAATTAAACTAAGCAAGAATAATTTTTAATTTTACTTGACTATAGTGATAATGTGTTGATGCTACATTATGAATTAATTTGATTGGAAGGAATAAAAGAATATTATAGATCAGAGTATTATAGACTACAAGAATATTATAGACTACGAATAGGTATTTGCATTTAAGGCCTAATTAGATGATAAAATTACATGCGGTAGTGAATGTATATTATTGGTAAGATTGATAAGCATTATTTTCAAATTCACAGCACTTGAACGAGATGAACTGCTGTGATTTCTCAGCTTAAGTTAAAGTTTGAATATTAAATTACTGCTTTTAAAATGTTGACTGCTTCCTTGGAAAGCCATATGGGATAAAGGACGTCATCGTGCAAGATAGCTTCAAAGAGTTCATCTTCATTATTAGCTTCAAATGGTGGTTGTCCAGCCATCATTTCATACATGAAAACACCTAGCGCCCACCAATCTACTGATACACCATATTCCATTTCTTCCAATATCTAAACAACATTTTTATGCTGTAATAGAGTACTAAAAACTTCACCAATATATCAACTTGTCAAATTTTTTTGTTTGACATCACTACTAAACACTCACCTCTGGGGCAATATAGTCCGGTGTGCCACAAAATGTTGAAGTAAGTTTGGAATTAGTAATGCCTTCTTTACACATTCCGAAATCCGCTAATCGGCAGTGTCCTTCTGCATCCAGAAGAATGTTATCGAGTTTAAGGTCACTAAAAATTTCTCAAATTACTTCAAGAAATCACATTATACTTACTCTCTAGTTGTCAAATGATGATGTGAATGATACACACAAAATATCCACCAATAAAATTTAGCAGAACTTGTTTAATAGCAAATTAAACAAATAGTAACTTGTTAAATTAAAAGTAAATTAAACAAAATTAAACATCTAACCGATAAATAACAGCATTACGGTGCAAAAATTGTAATGCACAGGTAACTTCGGCAGCGTAAAAACGAGCACGTGGTTCATCGAATTTTCGTGCCCTTTGTATTTGAAACATCAAATCACCGCCATTCACATATTCCATTACAAAAAACAGCCGATCCTGAAGATTTTCGGACAAAAAGGTAACGGATGAATTAGTACAAATGTAAATAGTACAGTTCGACAAAATTAGAAGATACGACAAATTAAGAAATTAATTAAAGTGATTAGCAGAGAAAATAGTGCTGAATATGAAGGAATAACTCGAGTTTCTACACATATATGCAAATATGTAATTCCCCATTTATTGTCGCTCATTCAACACTTCAGTTTTGCAATCAAAGACTATATTTTTATGATCACAAATAAACAGGGCAGATGCAAGAAAAGGAAGTTAATAGCAAAAAGATGAATTGTGATAATGAGATAATTGTGAACTTACGATAGTTTGAAAACAAGAATGTATCGCCGTAAGAAATGGATGTTTCGCTGCCAAGGATAAAATTCTTTTCTCGCACATAGTACACTCAACATCGTCGTCTTGCAATATCACGTCTTTTTTTAATATTTTTACTGCATATATTTCATCGGTGCTTTTATGCTCCGCTAGCATTACCTGGGAAAGAATGCGATATAATATATCTCAGTTATTGAAGATTCAAAGAAATGGTTCAGTCAAATTTAATCAAATTAAAAAAAGATTTTTACGGGTAGTAACCATATCTAATAAGAACCATATCTAAATCATATCATATCTAATATCTAATAAGATCCATGTTATATTACTGATCCAAATATCTAGGCTCAAAATAGACTGATTAATTAATTCTACGATTACAATGAGCTAAAAGTCATCTTCATCTAAAATAATCTAGAAGTAAGAAGGAAGCTATGTTAAGAATTTAAATATGTCCTAGGCAATACTGCATGTAAATTTTTAAATTGTGGATAAAAAGATTAAAGTTTGAAATAAAAAGTCCCCAAAAATTTTTGGAAACAAACCTTCCCAAATGATCCTTTGCCAAGAACTTTGATAAAAGTAAAATCATTGATAGTTACAGCGGTTGTTTTTGAGGAAATAGTTGAATTGTCGCTTGATTTTCTATCACTAATTTGATCTTGCGATATTTCATCTTTTTCTGTATTTACATAATGCCCATTATTTTTGAATCAACTGTCCATATATAGTTTGCTTTTTAATTTCATTTTTTTTTTAAATGAAAACAAAACTAATAGAAAGAGGGGAAAAAGATGATTTCAGGAATTTCATCTGTGATCATAGCAGTGTGATTTGATATAAAATGAGATTGAGGTAGGGTATATGCTATGATATTTTACAGAACTTAGTAGCTCACAAAAGTTAAATGATTCGATGGATGAAAAAAATGACTACCGACACGAGAAATGTGGCATCGTGAAACAAAACTTGTGCAAAATTTGAAATTTGAATGAAAATTTTCAATAAAAGAGTAAAACTTACCAATATCAGCTTTGAAAACTATTTGAGTCATTGAAGTAGTAGTTGGAAGTGCTGATGCTAATAGTGCATTCGGCTCATTGCAAACATCCTCAGACATTATCGATGGCTGAAATTAACAAATTTAAATTACACTAGAAATATCAATTGCAAATTGAATGAAATTTGTGGCATTTTAATTTGCGTAAAAATAAAAATATCACTTTAAATGGCAAGTTGATTCAATCCTGAAATATTGTGAGCTAAAAGTGCAACTGTGCTGTATCTAGGTTAAATGTTAGTAATTTATGACAATAACGCAAGGAATTTTTCTTTGTTTTTTTTTTTTTTTTTAAAAAAAAAAGAGCAATCAGTGCACCTTGGAGTGAAAATGAGACAGAAATATTTATATATTAATGAAATGATTTGAAATACACAAATAACCAAAAAGTAGACATTGTAGCATTGTCCGATAATGCTACATCATCGCTTCTTCTACAATAAATCAGTTATCTTCATATTTGCTTTTTCTCCCTTTGTCCGGAGAAGCATAAATGCATAATACCAAAGGCATATGCATATTGATGTGATGTGATAAAGGTGATAAGGGTGAATGGATACTGATCTGATATGACAGTGCATACTGAATGTGATATGACAAGAGTGCATAGGTACATAAACTTCACACTAAAAAAGTGGTTAAACAAGTCGTATTAGAGAGAAGAATACCTTTTGATGCATGACTCTAAAATTGGAATTGATAACATTTATATATTAACTTAAAACAAAGATAGTAGACGGGATTTATGCGTGTATTGTAGATTTCAGATAACAACCAATCTATCTATTAGAGCAGTTCAATATTTAGCAATTATTGTTGTCTGTTAATAGACACTTGCTGTATCTATATGAAGAACGTATAAATCATAATTCAATTAGAAATCACAATTTGATCGATGAGAGTGATGAAAGATTTGGCAGATGAGAAGGAAATGAGAAGTGAACAGGTATTCAGTGAGCGAATTGTTTGCAGAGAAGAAATCTTAAATTTTCTCAGAAAACCGATTAAATACCTTCTGGGTCGCAGAGCTAAAATGAAAGCGTCAAAAAATCCATCTATAGAACAGTTAGATGATTCATTAAGTTAGGTAACATGAATAAAAAAGATACAGGATCTAATGAACTAGTGAATTAAGCACAACTGGTTTTTTAATGTTATAGACAACAAATTTTTCAAAAATTCTGTTTCAAATAAATATCATCCTTACATGCACATCATTCTAAAATTATTCTGAAATTTATTGACTTTTTTCTCTTAGAGAAGAAAAAATCTATTCAATATGAGGAAAATTGGAACAAAAAAAGACAGTTGAATAAAGAGGAATATCTAGAATTTCTTTCTAGAACTGCAATCTCATAAACAATTGCTCGTATATTTATTTAAGTGCAAAGTCATCACTTCTTAGATATTGCAACTATTAAAGCGAATCAATGCTTTTTCCTTCTGAATCTCATATATAGTTCGAGGCTAGAATTTTCCTGCTTGAATTTGGTTTATGGATTTGGAAGTCATGAAATAATTTTTAACAAACAAAAAAAGTATGATGAAAAAAAAAAAGATAAGAGATTATAGCTGTTCCGCAGTACGCCGAATTTCAAATCAGAAAGGAAGGATTTCTATTCCCGAATGATTTGTCACCTAACGGTTGAAAAAAATAAATAAATAAACATTCAAATTACGTACTTTTTTTTTACACCGAATTGACATTTTATCACCCGTTAAACCGAGTTGAGCAAGTTCCAATGCCATCTGTTTCGCATTGATGCCACAGTTATTGGCGACATTACGTTGACAACTGCAGAAGAATCATGTACTGTTTTACTATATTTGCATGAATGAGCTATACCATAAGTGATACTTCGATCAGTGTAGTGAACATATTTCAAAATTAATTTTAATTTAGGAAAAGCAGGTTTTCAACACCTGCACTTCCAATTTGTAGGAAAAAAAGAAAGCATGTATTTGGTTGAATAGTTTGACCAAAGTTAAAAAGCCAAAAAATAAGGTATTGAAAGAGCCAAAATTAAAGTGACAAACCGTTTGTGTACATTAAGTTTACAGACAGAACATTGTAATCCTTGATTGATCAAGCCATAGAGCATCGAGCCACAATGATCACAAAATGTTGGTCGCTTATAACTGTGAACTGTGAAACGATGCGGCATGTTAATGTTGAATCGGCCAAGGCCCTGCTGTAAGACATTTGTTTTAGCAAAATTCGTACCTAAAAATATGTCCGATAAACATGGTTTAAAAATTTGCTGGATGACTCATCGGAGATTGGTGAGCAACCAAAAATGAAAAGCAAAAGTGGGATATTTAGACCAGAAATATTAACCAAAACAAGCAGAAAAGAATCAGCATTAATCTCGAGAGATTTTAAAAATCTTTGCAAATTACAAGAACCAAAATGAATTAATGAAATCCAGATTTCCTTTCATCTAAAACATATAAATCTTCAAAAGTATTTGAAGGAAATACTAACTAATATATTAACTCAATTTGCTGCCTGTATAAGAAGTAAAATGAAATGAGAAGTGAAGAAACTATTTAAAAAATTTTTTAAAGCAAATCGGCAAGAATCTATTTTTAATTGAATCCCTTTTTTTTCTTTTTTGATAATCGTTTTTTGTAATAAAGAAGTCTTTTTGATGTTAAAGAATTTCAGGAAATTGTGAAGAATTAGTAGAAATAAAAGACTACCAGTCTTTCACCAATTTAAGAGTAGCATTTTGCAAAGTCCATTGAGGAATAATTATGAAAAACCGTGTCATTTATAATGTCAACATTTTTTAGAAAATACTTTAAAAAAAAAAAAAAAATTAGGACTAAATTAATCAAATAAACTCACTGCTTTATTTCTCTCTGAACAAATACATTCTACATTAATCAAATAAGAATCAAGTGTTTAATGCTGAAACTTTAAGATTGTGATTTTAATTTCAAACTGTTAAAGGTAACTGACTATCAATGTTTTTTCCTAGTGTTTCTGAGATTCTAAGAACAACGAATTATGCAAAGTAAACTAGAGCATATACATTTTAAAACAATGAGCAGTGAAGGGAAAAGTTCACCTTAGCTGCTTCAGTTTGTAATTCATCGATGGCATTAATCCGACTTCCGGGACATTTCCATATCACCTGCTCATGACATCGCTTGTGTACAACTACTGTGCATACTTGAAAAAAGAATTTCACTCCCTTTCAAGTGATGATAAACTTTCTCAGTTCAAAATTTTGAAATTTGAAAGGAACTATTCGTAAACTATGTTGAAGTTTTTGAAAGTTTTATTATATTTATTTTTTATAAATCACAAGATAAATTTCTCCTCACAACCACATTTATATCTCAAAAAGATATATTTCTTATAAAAATTTCAAGAAATCAAATTCTATTACTTAACAGATACCAACATTTTCACTGAACCATATCTAGTTTTTTGCTAAAAAATACTGGCGATATCAGATTACGTGTTCAATTTTTGAGTTAGAACGATAATTTCTGGAATACTATAGTTCTCGACATTTTCAGACTTTAATATGGCGAAGGTCGCATTAGCAAAATAAGTATTACAGAATATCTCTTTCATCTCTCCATAGCTCCGTCTGTATGCTTTGTAAAATTACAAATGCAATAAAAAATCCTCATTGTGAAAACAAAATTTCATCAAAATAAAGTAGGAATTGAACTTGTTGAAACTTGTTCCTTCTTTATATCCTCTGAACGAAGTTTCTATCTTAGATAAATATAACTTACTTTGGCATTGGTAGCCTTGTTTGCCAATCCCCCAAATAAAATCTTTACAATGGGCACAAAAAGTTGGCTGTCGTAAAAACAAGGCCAGAAATTTGTGCCCCGTAACCTAAATTAATCTAAATTTTAATAGTTTAAAGATTTTTACATGTTTTTTTTTTTCTTTTGAATTTTCGAAATTTATGTCACTTTCTAAAATGGAAACAGAAAAGAATAGCAAATGCCTCGCTGCGTTTCTGAAAACGCAAGACATGAAGTTATGCTTAGTAAATGAATACTGCTTGCAAAGAAACAATTAAAAACCTCATGAATTTTTCGGCGCATTGCACCTCGCCGTAGTCGACTGTTAAATGCATCGGTGCGTTCCCGAAAAACCCGCTCTCCCTTACCAACATTATTTTTAGGCACCTCTAAATATGTATAACTTTAGAACTAACTTTTCGGAAAACAGTAGTAGTCTATAAAAAAGATCTTGCAATCTACTGCATGGCTAATTCTCATTTTTAAAAGCAACAAAGAAGAAGAAAATTTTTTGAAAGTAATAAGTTTATCTTAAAAATTTGGGAAACTCAAAAAGTTATACAAAATTTATGCCAACCTTCACTTAGTGAACCTCGCAATTCGATAAGCAAATGAAGTTTTCCATGCGGTTCCAGATCAATCTAGAAAGATATTCTCGTAATTTGAGGTAAAATATGTAATTTAAATTTCTCTTAAAATATTCTTTTCCATCGAATTCAAGCACAGTCACTTCTATAGAAAATTTTTGTTCATACCCAGACATCATTCTTTGTTCCAATTTTGAGATCCTCGAATTGTATACGACAGTTAGCCACAAAATCATCAGGAGGTAAGGCGCAATCATGAAACACTGTGAATTCAAGCTCATGACCATCATGAACTTCAGTCTATGAAAGCAAAGCAGTCTATATAATGCAATAATTAATATTGTCCATTATCTAGAATCTCAAATTATTGACAATGATTTAAACAGAAAGAATACTGAACCTCATAATTCTCATTCCAAACAGGCATGGAAGTCTTCGGACGGGTCAATGTTTCTCCGATATGATTCTCATCACAATCAACATTTACATACACATCCAATAATGCTGTCTCTTTTGAATTGGTTGCAAATCTGCAGAAATACTTTTTTAATCTAAATAAAGACTTCTCAATACATCCTTTTAATGTCACCAATGTCAAAAGTTAAATGATCTGTGTAATTTAACGCAATATTTTATAGAGATTTCATAGGATGCTTGGAGTTCGTTTCTGAAGTTTATAGAGTGAGATAATGAAAGTGCAAATGTTATGAATTTATATCTTATACGGAGCGGTTTAGCAGGCCTATAATACAAGCAGATAACAAAATTATCCCGTTTTTTTGATGTGCACTTGAATAAAAAAACATAAAACGGAGCATTCAACTATTGTACCAACCTTTTCGACCATTCGGTAGGTCGGAGATCACGAGCCTCTACAACTTTTATAAGAGCGATTCCGTTGAAAATTGTCATAATTATATATAATTACTTCACCATATCTTTTAATACTGAAGAAAAAGTTGAAAAATAAGTAAGGAATTAGTTTCACATAATAATTTGATAAATTTTTCGTTCTTCGATGCAAGCTTGTCAACAAATAAGATAAAATAAAAATAATAAACATATAGACATCGTTTATTTTCATCGCTCTTTACTAACTTTAATCAGTTTTTTCCATCTGACAAGGACAATGTTGGAAAATAAATAATCGATTAACAATTAAAACAATGTCTTGTAGAATATGAAATAAATAATATCCTGCCTGATTAACAATAATAGAAGATAGACAGCACAAGTAAATAAGGAAATAATTACTTGCCGGAATGTGAGAGATATTGAGTTCAAGGGATAAAGAAATGTGGGAGCTGGAAAATGTTGAGTGATGTGGTAATGATGATGGAATTGAGAAATTTGATAACAAGAACTCTTGAAACGATTAAATTGCTTATCGTTGTTATCTATGATGAAGTTACAGTGTCGGAAACATGAATTAAATTATCCAAAGGGAAGACGAGAAGAGAAAGTTGGTATTTCATTTCCGGACGAATTCATGCCCTCTTCCCTACTGTCTTTTACTGAATACATAAATTTTCTATGCTGTTTTTTCTATTTTTCCTTTCCATAGTTTTTGATTCAAACTTTGAACTAAAGAAAGAAAAATGGGTTAGTTTAAAGCTTCCAACTGGGAATTTGATATAAAGAGAATAAAATAAAAGTCTTGTAGAAAAATACTGAGAGTCTGCCTTGCTTTGTGTAATAGTAGTGTGCGTTTGAAGCTCTAAAATACTGAGAAATCTTTGGAATTTGAGGGTCCTGGAAAAGCCGTGAGGCTTGAGAATTTCACGAAAAAAGCATGATGACAAAACGATCGAATAACGGAAGAAAAACGAAAAAAATAGCAGTTCCAGCTCTCCAGACTAGTCCTATTTACTTATAAATAATATGGCCCTCATAGTCCATAGCTACATACACACACATACACATACACATACAAACACATATATTCATTCATACATACATATACACACATGCAGAAACGTAGCAAAACGCAGTTGAGAGGCGGAATATGTGGAGAAAACCTCGAAGGATGAGAGCAGGAATTGATATTGGTTTTGCATTGCATGGGAAAAGTGAATAGCGTGCAGCATTCTGAAATGATTTCAGCTTGAGAAGAGATGGCGGAGTGCGGGATAAAATTGTTTTTCTTTTTTCTAATTTGAGTTGAGCAGCGCAACATGTCGAGAAGAGACGATGTAATGTGAACGATAGGAGCGGAAGATAAAATTTGGCTGCCTTATTTATATGTTCAATTAAATTCCCATCCGTATTAGGATGTGGTATGTTGTCGCTTCTTTAGACACACTAATCACCTAATCGCTAGAAGATTAGAAACGCTTTTTTATCAATCTTGAACAAGTCAATAAAGATTTGGACTTTTTATACTTTATTTATTTACTCGTTATAAATAATCCTGTATCGAATATGCACTTTGAAATTAACTCTTAAACTAGGACTGGACTGCTTTACTGATAAATAATTTTTATGAAAATATTCATGACCACTTAATACATATAGAAATGCATCGCTTTAATTTGGATAAAAATTGTTTTGAAATCTACTCATACGTTTTCAAAATGCTTTTTAAAGATGTTATCTGTAAAAAAGGGAGGAGAAAGATTTTGGAAATAAGTACGCTTAAAATTATGACTACTTTTTTTTAAATTTCATAAGAAAAAGCAGAAAATGTCTTGTCTCTGTTATCTGGTTGCGTTAATTCATTAATTGAAAATGATGAAAATTTAAAGCTACTCTTCCGTATTTGTTGATAGCAGCATTTCTATATCGAAGTATAATTCTCTCGTCTCTTGTACTTCTCTCGTTTATCTGTCGTACTTTTCTCCATTTTAATAAATTTTGAATTGCTTAAGTGACTAATGTTAAATGAGTTAATAAGCTGTTGTAACTGTATCTTCGTAGTAAAAGCAATCAAAGTTATTCATTCATGTGACAGTTTTTTTGGATTACTTGATGTTGCATCTACAAAATAATTGATTTCTTTTTCAAAATGAGGTAAGTTTTTTTCGAAATCGAATAAAAAAGATTTCGTTCTTGAATAAGATTTAGATTTTCCTTTTCACTGAGATTCCTTTTGACTTCCAAAAACTTTTTTATCGGTTGGAAATAAAAGATAATAAAAACTTATTCTAATTCATTTTCTAATTTCGCTGTCTTTTGATAACTGGTAACCATGCTATTTTGAGGAATAATGCGAAATTCGTAAAAATGGATGAGAAAAAGGACTGTACAAGATAATGAATTATCTTCGCCAATCTTTGCAAAAGATACATATATATAATATAAAAATATATATATATATATATATATATATATATATATATATAATATCAGTGGGAAATAGATAAATTTCTTTAAAACATATCTTAACTCTATAAATTGGAACTTAGAATAGTATTAATATCCTTTTTCGTCTGTTCATGAAAAAACTCTCATGTGAATATGCAGTGATATACATGAAGCGGAAGAACATCGACCTAGAAAAATTAAATCCTACAAAAATTTAGTTTCTATTTTTTTCTCCCTTCCTATTTCATTTCTTCGAGATTAATAAACACAAGAAATTTCTTAAAAGACGAACAGACAGGTATTTCAGATATTACTAAATGAAAATTATTAGTGAGAGAGCTTACTAGAATCTACCATAATTGTATACTATCTGCAATAATCATTTTGGAACGAATAAGATTAATAAGATTATTTTAATAAACGGAAAAATTGACACATTAATTGTTGTATTATTAAACATTACTTATTATGATATTTCACTATAAAGCTGCAAATTTGCTTTATTGTAATATAAACAAATTGTCACCTTGAATCATACAATAACATTTCTGAACTCACTGGCGACAGAAACTAAGAAATACTTTGGTTATTTGTTTAATTATTATAAGCATCTGAAATAGTCTCACAAAAAGAATTTAAATAATTTGTTTTAATTATCGCATTAAACTGTTGTTGTTTAAGATTGTTTCGAGGAGGTAGCATGTGTATCTGTCCAGGTTGAGCAGAACGTCCTAGGTTTGAATAAACTTGACATATGCGGATGCTAGAGGAACAAATTTACAAAGCTATCTAATGCACCAGAAATAAAAAAATTCAAGGCATTTTCCTTTATTATTTATGCTATAAAACTTAAATAAAAATTTCAATCTTGTTTCCATAATAATCCTAAGTTTCCTAAAAAGATATGGTCTCTTCTAAAATCATTTCTTTCATTTGACAATATTCTTACAAGTCTTCAATTTTATATGTCTGTGGTAGTTTTTTCTGACTAATGGAGTACAATGATTATCAGATTTGAAGCAAAGGAAAGACCAAAAGAAATGCTTTTTTAAAAAAGTTACTTTTTTGACTTGTGCTTGCTAAAATGCAAAGTGCAGTCTGCTAGACCAGAGCTTGACTAAAATAATATTCCGTCAAAATTCCTTAGATGCAATCAAATTTGATGACATATTTTCAAAGAAAGAAAAGAAAGAGCTTTAAAATCAACATACATTAAAATTTATACACTAAAATTCATAAATATTGAAATTTATACCTATTAAAGAAAAAGAATAATAAGGTTTCAAAGGAAGTTTAGTAAGAAAATTTCTAAACAATTGACTAATTTTCGATTTGTTTTAATGTAATATTAAATTAAATTATGCAACTCAACAAAATTTTTGAAGTTACTTCTTTAATGAGATGACTATGCGAATGTTTTATAAATATAATATCATGAATCAAAAATATCACATTTAGAGTGTTCCATTTCTAAATAAAAACTAGTTTAGAAAAATTTAATACGCTGTAAAAAAAATTTAAAAAAAAAATATATAAACCTGAGATTTCAGGCCTATTTCTTTTTAGTGCCTTTTTATTATCCTATTGGTTCAGAAGTTCAGAAGTTAAACAGATTTTTCAAGAATAACTTCTTAGGCTCAGGCTTTCCCTTCTAAAAATAACCTATTCACAACATGAATCTACTCATTAGTTTATGAAAATGTATCAAACTCAAAGATAACTATTTTTGAGCTTCTTGTGGGAACAAAAAAAAGCTATTAGTATTTCTACATTTAACTTAAATTTAAATTTAAAAAAAAATGAGCACACACTAAAACTGCATAAATGAAACTATAAAAACAGTATACCACAATGGACTGATGTCATTTTATTAGATGCTTATCTCATTAGAAGCTTATTAAAAACATTTTAAAGATGAGTTTTAAATCAGTGATAACAACTTGGCGATATATCGACTAACATTAACTTGATCATACATTTGCATGATCATAATAAGAGTCTATTATCGCAACAGATATGACTAATTTGGTGAAAAAGTATTTTCTATTTCTTCTATCTTAATCTACATTTACTTCTTTTTTCCCCTCTCATACTTAATTTCCGGCCTCATTATTTGTTAATTTAAATGATTTCCTTGTAAGAAACATTAATAGATTCTTTTCTCCAAAGAAATACTTTAAATTATTTTAAAGTATTATAAAAAATCAAATTATTTTCAGGTCTTTCTATATAAGTTTGCTTTTTTTTAAATTCATTCTTCTTTCTCGTTAGATCTTAAAGATTACAAACATAAATTTATTTTTAGGAAAAGCATGAAGTACTATTGCAGACATCATGTAATAAAAATAAATTATATCAATAAAAATATAAAAATAAATTAGCGGATGAATTGTTTCTCGATTGTATGAATTAGTAGCAAAAAAATTGGAATTAAAGCTTCATTTTCTGAACATTATCTAATTAACGTAGCAGTTAGTAAGTGAGTGGCCTTTGTTTTTACCATAAGCAATAATCATTGCAATTTACGGATCATAAATCGATCTAAATCAAATGAGATTATACTTTCTTCAAACACATATAAATTGAATAGAAACTTACTAAAACATCCA